GAGATGGACAGCGCTCGCTTGAAAAGCAGTGCAGAGGAGGAGTTTGATGACGATTTGTTTTTCTTTACCGACCGGTACCATGCATTTTCCCATTGGCTACTCAAAGGAACCCTGTTGTAGTGGAGGATATATCAGCCCCACCCCTCTTCTCTCTGCTGTTGGATCATTTCCGAAGTTGTTTGTTGGTGTTGCTCCGTGTGTGAATTACGGGGGGGAAAATGCCATTGACCTGAACATTGTGTTACGTCCCAGCTCCCACAGTGAGAACACACTGAATAACGGGTGCGTCGGAAATGTGGGACACCATCCCATTACTGTCTTGAGTTGCTGCAGGAATAACGTCTACTGTTGGTGTGATACTTGTTGGGGAAAATGTTTTCTATGCATACTGTTAGTTGTCTTGGTTCCTTTGTGACCTCTTCAATGTACGATGCCTCAGTGTTATCATAACAGGAAACCCAGTTATCCCCATTTATGGGATTTGCATCTTTTTGTTTTTAACACTTTTTACACTTTTTTTTTTTAAACACTCCACAAATTTCCACCTCAATACTCTTACCTCTCTGGGAGAAGACAGAGCTCAGGAGTGGGAAGCATTCGTCATCAGAAATACCAGTCTACCCAGTTCAATATTTTATTGTGTGCCGATTTTTTTCAGTTAGGGCTTTAATCCTCCTAATTGTCCACTGTGGATTATTTTACGACATGTGTGTAGAAACCCGAGATACAACATTGCTGGCTGGTAGAAACGTAAGATGCCAACATCTCGCAACTGTGTTGCTGTAAATGGTGTAAACTGGCGTATACAACGTGTTAAGAAGGTTGAGGTTATTATAATGACGAATCAAAGCCAACAGCGAGAAAGGACGCTTACTGCGTTATAAATATTATGCAGACAAAAAAGGTGTGCATGAAAAATCTCCTGGAGCTGAAGAAAATGGAAACCCTTGGCTTGATGGACAAAGCTGCCTCGGTAGGGGGAAAGTAGACACCACACATTGTTACCATGGGAACACAGAGCGAACTGCAGTGCCACGGTCTAATTAATGACAGTCAGTGCTTCAGAAAAAGGGCCACGATGACATCATCAATACCAGTATCATAGATGTAGCTAGAGGCAATATGGCTTTGTGTACGAGTGAATGTCCCACAGTTTTTCATTGACGTGAAGGCAACAACACAGTGTGGACAAAGGCACAGGATGTAAAGCAACCAGCCTGCTTAAGTTATGAGCACTAAATGTCATCTCATCATCCAATAACATGACCTACATAAAGGAGCAGAACTAATCTCCATGTAGGCGGATGGTGAATAATGCAGTAAAATGTGGGAGATCTTTCTGAATCTTAGATGTCTCACACGTGTTGGTCGCTGGCATATTTTGCTCTGACTGATTTCACATCTTCACTGTTTCTTATCATCGGCTTGTATATGCAGTGTGTAAGCTACCATATGACTGAGGAGATGACACAGATTTGCAGCTGTTCCTACATTGTTATTCAAAGGGTTCATTTTAGAGCTCAGAGCACTTTAGATAATTTATTCACTTACAAATAAGTTTGACATGTGTTAAAAAGATGTGCACCATCTAAACACAGGATACCCACAGGACAACGCAACTCATACCATCAATTAGCTGCAAGCAACACTGTGACTTCCAGGCCGAGTTCCACATGTCCCGATTTGAGAATCACTGCTTCAGTGTATCACCTTAGATGTACTGTACTGCATATTTATTACTGAAATATCGATGTGACAAGTGCGTATGAGGACACATAGAAGTTCTTTGAGATAAATGCTAACAAGCTCAACAATGCTAACATGCCTATTTTTTTTTACCAGTTTACCAGAATTATTGACAAACATTAATGTCCTCTTTGAAAGGCCTTATGCATGTATTATCTAAGCTAATGCAAGACAATCCAAGACAATGCAAACATGAGGAATTATTATTACCATTACTATATAAGTGTAACATGTTACACCCGGGGCGGCACGGTGGCGTGGTGGTTAGCACTGTTGCCTCACAGCAAGAAGGTCCTGGGTTCGATTCTGCCCAGTGGCCTTTCTGTGTGGAGTCTGCATGTTCTCCCCGTGTCTGCGTGGGTTCTCTCCGGGTTCTCCGGCTTCCTCCGCCATGTCTCTCTACCTGCTTCTAGAGTTTAAGACTGTTTCAGTCCTGCATATTGCTTTTATTAGATAAAACTATATAGAGTCAAAGTTCAAATCTGGTCTCCAGCAGATCTGATTTTATCTCAATATTGTTACAGGTAGAATAACCCATCAAATAACTCAGCTACACAAAAACCCTGGAAAGTAATGACACTTGGACTGACATATTAATATTGACTATTATTATTCACTTATGATAACCGTTTAACTCAGCAAGCATGTCTTTAGACCGAGGACTTTAACCAGGAGACAACTCTTGGTCGTTTATCCAGAACCCCCTCGGTAGAGCAAGTGTTGATAGTGACACATTTGACACTAGTTGCAGGCTTGCTGACACATGGGGAGTCAGCTCAAACTCTTTGTGCCTTCACAAAGACATTGCAGATGACTGGATGTAATACGCATATATATTTCCCCCCGGTATTTTCTCTGGATGACAGAGTATTTTCTATCTTTGTCTGGTATGATCCACAACATATAATTAAGTTTGACTCCCCCATTTGGGAGAAAATTGCCATACACCAGACTATCGTGGCTTTCAGACAGGAGTGTTTTTTGTGACTATATCCGTGTGCTCACACAGTGGGAGCTCCAGTCACGCTGGGAATTGAATGTGTGGCCGTGTGTGTGTGTGGGGGAGAGGGGGGGGTGATTGGGGGGGGGCTGTTAGCTCCTGCTAATCTGTAGCATGCTTTAAAGTTTCAACACGTACGCAGCAGTGGAATAAGGACTTTCTAACTATGTGGTTTACTAATATTGAATCAATTCATTAACTTCAACGCTACTTTTCCTCGAACACAAGAAGCATTGTTTCGGTTGCTTGGCGGGGAGCTGGAGAGCCTCCCCTCCTTGATCAGCCTCCAAGTGCAGGACTGCACTAGTTATCATCGCCGTTTGCAGGAAAGCCCTCAAGCTCCAGATATCTGCATGTGGTGCAGCTACGGGAAAGAGAGGCCAGAAAGTGTGAACTCTCTACTGTGAAGTGAGTTGGCACAGACAGTCAAGGCCTCTCACCTCAAGGAGAAGATGTCATGTCAATAATTGGCAGACTAGTGCGACTCCTTGGCTCACAAGCCGGTAGAAATGGCTTCAGAAGCCCGATCAGTTGTCGCAGCCTGGACTGCTACAACAGCCACGGCGAGAATCAACCGCGGGAAAGTATGACTCATTTCAAAAAGATGGCCGCTGAGGCAAAAGGCGTGAAAATGTGGCATTGCTATTGCTCATGTCTCCAGCAAAAGGACGTCTGGAGAGAGTGTCCAAATCCCAAAATGTCAAACAGTGAGGACTGGCGGAGACTATTTCTGGGTTTGAATAAATATGAAATATTGAGCACACACACAAGATATCCGTGCACACATTCATTTAATATGTATGTTTATTACATTGCATAGCTTGCTTTTGATATTGTATTTGATGCGCTCAAAGGGGTACTTATTAATACATTCTTTTTTTATCCTTTAAAATGAAAATGTTCAAAAGTGCGGCTCACACTCAGAGGACTAAAACGCGCCGTCTCCATTATGAGAAGCTCCATTCTTCGCATTGAGAACATGCACTTAAGGGTTTCTGATTTTCATGTGTCCCATTATCTCTTCACTCTTCATTAGCTCAATCTATTAATAGTAAAACTTTTATATGCAACACAAACATCCAGAATAAAGAGTACGGGACACTGAGATGAATTTGTCCTGTAACACACAGTACCAAGACTGAATGATCATAGGTCCTGATGGAACAACACATTTATTATCAGACATAAGTCAGACATAAGTCAATACAGTGTGATTATCATTATGTACCGACAGCTTAGTAGCTGGTGTCCTGGTCGATCAGTGTCACGTTTGGGTCTTTTTAGTGAAATGTTTGAATAACAACCTAATTATGGGCTAATTTGTGTTTAGCGCTGATTTTAGCATACAGATCAGCTAAAAGACAACAGTGAGCATGCTGGCATTAGGACTCATAGGAGAAGAAGGAAATTCTATTAGCTTCTGTTCAGGTTGTTTTTCTTTTATCAGTAAGAACACAGAATCACATTTAGGTCGGTCACATCAATAACAATAACAACATCATAACTAACATCTACCATCTCTCAACCAGTTGTTGGCTCCTGTTTTGCAAATCCAAATTTGTACAATTGTTGACATGGAGGGAAATTGCACAGATTAACTGTGGAATGATTAACAGACTTCTTATGATAAATAAATACAGTAGTGTTATTTAGTTTCTAAATGTACACATCCTTCTTAGCATAAAACATGCTCCTATAAAGCATGTGGATGGTCTTGTGCTTGTTTTAAAAGTTGTCCATATATGCAGATGTAGCAATGGCCGTTATCACCTTAGAAAGGAACAAATATTGTGAGCCGGTTCATTATGAGCCCATGAGATGAGTCACACCGACTGTTGACCCACATTGCAGACTTCAGCGGAGTGGAAAAGGCAAACATGAATTTCTTCTCTTTTTCTTTCAACATCTCGTTCTGCTGATGGACTTGCGTGTTTCCTCCCAGATGAAGATGCGCGGATCGTGCATGTACATGTTCAGGGTGACACAGGTCGGAGGAGACCGCGTGCAGCAGCTCCGCGAGGAGGAACCGGGAACGCACCCGGCTTCTCGCTTACGCGCTCCGGCCATGTGCCATAAGAGGCGACGCTTACGCGCTATTATGCATTTAGCCCGTGTTAAACATTACACCACCCCCCCACCCCTCCTCACCCTCTCACGCCATCCCTCCTGCTCCTGGTCACTACAGGTTTCTTTCGCTTATGCTGCTGCCGAGTATTGAGCCACCAGCTGACCTACTTTCTCCCTCCCTCTCTCCCTCCCTCTCTCTCCCTCCCTCCCTCTCTCTCTCTTCTCGGTCCTGTTTACAAGTCGCTGCCAGCGAAGCCCGCAGCTACAGCGACTTATTCCGCACGGCAGACAGCTCACCGGGCGCGTTAATAACCCGGCGTTATTAACTTGGGCGCTGTTATGCAAGTTAACGCGTTCGGGGCTCCCGGCTGCTGCGCCGCGCGCTGCCGGCGTTAATAGTTTGCGGCTCGTCGCTGCGCTGCGGTTTTTCAAATAAGATGAACGGATCGGTGAAAGTTTGCTGCGAATATTCACGCCAGCTGGAGACTCCCTTTGAAGGTGCGTGCGATTTCATTATTTTATTATTATTATTATTATTTTTTTTTTTCAGTTTCGGGTCCGGGGGTCATCACGCGGCTGTCAGCCGTCTGTCTGTGACATCAAAGTTCGATTAAAGGAGATTAAAAAAAAGATTGTTCTCAACGTGTTCCGCGAGAGCCAGACTGCGTAGGCTGAGGATGCTTTTAGTCCCACACGGGGGTCCGCGCCTCTTCGGTTGTTGTTGTTGTTGTTGTTTTTCTTTTTTTAGCCTTCAGTCATCACAGTGACCTGGTTACGAGGTGAAATGAGACATTTTCTGCCCGCTGTGCCACCGCCGATGACATTTGTGGCAAACCCCGGAGGGGTGTTTCGTCAATGTGGGACGTCAGATTGAAAATGTAAAATGGCACAAGAGGAGAAATCCTTGAATAATGTCTCAGCAGGCTTAGGTCAGGCTAATGTTACCCAACCCTGCAGCTCTAAGTCTACTGGAGTTCCCATTTCTGGCTGTAAACCTCTCTTTTCACATGCACAAAGCGTTCTGGGCTTCTTGTTTGCGCCTGACATGGTTTATTTTTATTTTTTAGACAGAGATCTCCTCTGACCTTCGTATGAAGTGTGGCATAATTACTTATTTGCTATGAGATAAGGAGTTATTGAGTGCACTCATTGGCCTCCCCACTGCTTTTCCTTTGAAGTGCAACCAATTTAAGTATTTCCTGTTTCCTTATCACTTAACACCATAAATTGCAACAGCAAAAAGGATTTAGAAACTGATCAATACGTTATCACAAGTTTTTACAGCTTGAATATGTTCACACCGTTTTAAACGCAAATATGTACATATTGTGCTCATGTGGACTGATATGTTGACAGAACATCTATGATCACATATATGTTGGAAGTCAAGCGGTTTTGGATAACCTTTTCTACATGCAATGTTAAATAAAACGGACCTAGATACAGTGTCAAACTGCACATTTCCAGTTGGACTACATAAGATTGTCCAGGCCCAGTTAATGTTTACCTCACAGCTTGAGCTGTCGGCTCTAAACCAGGTGCAGGTGGTCCAGCAATGTGAACTTTTCCCCAACCAGACGGTAGCAGTCTCTCGGCGTCACGGATTAACACGCAACCCAAAGGAATCTACCGGCACGAGAGCAGCAGAAACACCGTGAGCCGCCCGGCTGGAATCGCTGTCGGCTGTCAGAAAGCCAGCTGACGACGAGCTGATCCTCACTGACGTGATAAACCCTGAGCAGAAGTTTAAAACATTCTCGCGTTTGGTGTAGCATTCCATTCGTGCTTTTCCAGAATGTGTATTAATTTGTAGTTTTTTCTTTCTTGATATTTATTCGCTAAATAATGGATAATCTGTTGATGCAGACATTATTTGTAACTTACAGTTTGGCTCTGCTGAAAGCACTACAGGTCATTCTTGTGGAGTTTACTCGATCTGAAGTGTGATTATTTGCGTTGTTTATGGTTTTGATAATGTGGCATTTAAAGTTTCTGTTTTGAAACATCAGCCACTGTCTGAGCCGCTGAGATCGGCTGGGTTTGAACTTTTTTTCGTCTACTGACCATTTCTTTTATGTAGGTGAGGGTGAGATTTATACGGTTTCCATATTAATATATTGTGACAGGGTTTCTGGAATGGGGAGACTGGACATTCCAGTTTTCTTTCTTCTAATCTTTAGCGTCATCTCGGTGTTTAAAAAAAAAATCTGTTTGGATTGAACTAGTCCTGCTGCTTTCATTTGCAAGATTGGGCTTAAATTACATGTTTAAGACAAATGTCACTCATCAGAAGACAAACTGAAGCAATATGAGGATTTTAAATAGTCCTGCGAGAGTTTTGGCACCTGGCTGCTTCATCATTTTGAAACTGCAGGAATCGGATGTCAATGTGTTAAGATGTCAGAGAGGCGCTTCTACGTGTCAGTTGCTCCAATATTGCTCACATATTGCTTCATTTCTTTTGTGCTGAAGACGATCGGCTCGCCCGCCACTCCCCAATCACTGATGTCAAACAGGTATTTTGTCAGTGACTTAATGAAGTCATTCATTGTCAGGGTAATATTCCCCATCCATTATACGGCCTGAGTCATAATCTTAAACTTCAGCGTGCAGACTTGTGTGGTGAGTCGCGGTCGTTGCTGGTCAAAAGCTTTAAATACCCTCGGGCACGAGTGTAACTAGACTCTGGTGTTTCTGAGCTGTTAGCCGCACAAGGTGTGGTTTGCCCTGAAATGTTAAAAGAATGCAGGCTGATGTGTGCGGATTCATTTGACAGCTCTGGAGTGTGAAGAGCTGTAAGTCGGATTCACCCAAAGGGACACAATTCAACTCTATTTTTTAGATTGTTGGATGTTTTCAAAATAGATTAGATTGAATTATCCTCATTAATTCATTTGGTTTACCTGGCATTTTTTTCAGTCAGTCAAATGTTTGACATTTTGTTCCCATATGAATTCTACGGGAGCTTTATTGCTGTGAGGAGGTTTTAATTCTCAAGCTGTGACACTTTAATCTGTGCACACAGTAGTTTGGTCGTAAGTCAGTGAGAACAGCGCTGCAGGACGCTCGTCACTGTTAGAAAAGAAATAGCAAATGTTCTTCCTTGCTGATCCTGAATCCAAAGCCCAGTCAGATGATAGCTTGACTTGTTGGCAGCATATTAGATTTGGGTTTGTGTGCATGTGTGTGGAAGGAGGGAAGCAGTTAGTTAGGACTCTAATGGAAAGTTGTGTCTCAGTAAAGGGGGTGGGGTGTGTATCCTGGAATTTGTTTTAAGATCTAACAAATTGGCATAAATCTGCCACACAGAAACCAAACGTCACCGGGTAAATTTTGATAAAACAATATGTTCAGGGAAATTGGGGACATGGAAGCTGTAGAATCATAACGCTGTGGTTCGGTTCAGTCAATGTTTTATAATTACGTAAAGGCTGCGTAGACGGTTTGAGATGGACTTGAAGTAGAAGATGGGATGTGAAACTGGGCCACACGCCACTTCCTGCCCTGGAACAAAATGATGTTGGTCAACAGTAAATCGATAATGCAAATGAAGTGAGTGTAGCATAATTCATTTAAGGAACTCGCAGTAAAATCCTGCCTTCTGTTTGGTCCTCTAGGATCCTTACCTGTATCCGACCCATCTGACTTTGATTTATGAGGATTTATACATGAAAGTATCAATCAGCGGACATGCTTGAACGCAGCGACCGATAATAAATCAAAGCTAAATAATGCAACGCGTCTGCTGAACAGGAATCTGGACCCTGGAAGGGTTTTACTATGAAGCCGTTCCGCGAAGAAGGGGAACAGATCAGAGAAAAGCGATGCTACTATCCTAATGAAGAGGAACTCATGAGCACAACCAAACTGTAAACTGGTTTTAGATTTGAGGCGATCACGCGACAGATCATAACTGATATGCTTTTAGCCGGATGTCACTGGCACTGCTTGAGAATAGCTCTGCTACGTCACACGGAACATACTTTAAAAAAAAGAGAATCTGGACATCTTTTCATCCACGAGTTGCTTTTCTTTCCCAGAATTGGGCGATAGGCGAGTAGCGTGCATCGCTTTGAGAGGTGGAAAGACTAGAAAGGAGCTACATGAATGCAAGTAGATTAACTGTCTACTTCAAAATAAATGAAAGGCCTTGATGTCAGTCCCATAATATAACTCTTAACTTAAGACTCTGTTGAGGTGAGATTAGTTTATGGACTGCGACTTTTAATGGGTGATAATTTAAGGCAACGGGGCTCATCTTGATTTGAAAAGAGAGCGGATGCAATAATGGAAGTTTACCTTGAGGTTCCTTGTCAGTAAGCGAATATAGCCGGATGTTATTTGGTTGCAGCTGACCAAGGCTTTATAATCGAGGTCTGTGCTCCATGTTGTTTGAGCTTGCGTCGCACAGAGGATGTGAACAAGAGCTACACTCTCTTTCTTTATGCTGTCTTATCCAAAGAGGTTTCTTCCTCAGACAGTTTTCTAGGTCAGGGGAGTTCCTCCTGTGCAAAAGCGCTTCTTTAGCGATGAAGCCCTGCAGCCAGGTAGTGGCTGAAGACGCTGGTACACTTTATATTCTATTGTTAACACGGTTTGTACTGTAGAACGTATTGATTTAAGTCCTTATAGTAAAAGGACAGGGTTTCTTTCCCTGTTGATTTCTTTTACAGAGGAAGAGAGGATTTTTCTGTATATTCATCCCTGCAGGTTCCAAAGAAAATACCCGGCTTACATTAAGAATCGTTGAAACACAGTTCTCCTCTTCAACAGAATGGCTTCATGTTTTCACAGGATTTGCCGTTTCTTTGGTGGACTGCAGACGGTGGCGGGCAACTGGTCCGCGCTAGGTTTTTCCACAAGGTTGTTCCGACGAGGTCAGCGCCGATGGTACTTATGAGAATTCAGAAAGGGCCTGGTTGGGAAAAGGAGTGAGTATGGACAACCTTTCCGACTTCGGGGGCTGTCCATCCAGCCACAGGGAATGGGAGTAAGTATCAAAACCACTTGACTTGGTGACCTGTATTGTGTTTCTGCTCATTTATTTTGAACATATTCCATATTGTTCAGATAGTACAACCGCTCAATTGTTTAAAAATAAAATGCTGCATGAGTAGGCAACACACACAGGTTTAAAGAAACCTACACAGTTATATTTATGGATTGTAGACTTTAATGAGCATATGCTTCATTATCGGTTAATAATAGAGTTTTAAAACACAAAATGCATTTACTTTGTTGGTTACTTTTTCCCTTATTTAAACAGCACCTTATATCTCAGATGAAATTAGACAATCACCAAAGCCAACCCAAGCCTGGAGCTTCACTGAACAACACACTCTGAACCCGACTTGAACCCGGCAAAGAGTCAGGCCTCGTTGCAGAAGGCTGGCGGCACACCTTGAAATGGCTTATCTGTGGCAACCTACATACTGGCCGGTTAAAGTCTTTTTCCGGATGAGGCTGTTCACACATACCTCGACTTGTCCGTTGCCGCAGATGAACTCGTTACAGTATATTAAAGTTCGCTCGTGCCGTTCTGGCCTCAGATCGTAAATATTCACGGGCTGGAGCTCGTAACGAGGACAGCGCCGGCTGCTGGTTAAGCTCCGCCTCGGCTCTTTCACAGAACAGGTGTCCTCTGAAACATCACATGTGATCCCGCATGTTAAACCTGCTGCCATATTTCATGTCGTTATCGCCCCGTGTGAGAGTGTGCACGGATCAGATGCAGAGCTGGAGGCTTACGTGACACATTGACCTGTTAAACATGTGGGGAAAAGCAAGGCCCTCCAACTGTGTCACCTGGTTATTTGAACATGGTCACAGTGTCGCCAGTGGAAAGTCCTTCTAGATTTGCTGATCACAGTTTGTCTGCGTCAGTCTTTTTGCGAAAAACGTTTTGACCCTTTTTGTCACAAAAATGCGGTATTAAGTGACAATAATTCCACGTAGCTGCTTTCATTTCAGGGCTTCGTCGTGTGTGTGCTGGTTCATGGTTTACCGACACGCTTGAACAGAACAGAGTCATTGTAAATATTTTCAGTAGGATGTCAATTTCCTGCTGTGAAAAAGGCCCATTGCGAAAGGTTCAACAACATAACCATGAGCACCTTTGGATATGCCAAACTACTATCTGATGACAAATGACCAAACAAAACCACATTTACCCGTGCGCCTGTGTTTTCCAGCACCAACAGCTGCGTGGACGATTTGATGGACGAGGATGAGAAAGACAAGGCTAAAAGGTACTGTTAGTTTATGTTTGTATGTCGAGCATGGACATTTTATCTCCTAACTCAATATGTAGTTTCTCTCCTTGCTACTTTCGTAACGGGGATGATGGTACTTAATCATTTAAAAAAGAACCTTGAAGCTTTGAAGTTACATGACGGATGAGAGTGAAGTCAATGAAAGTTAAATAAACATAATTCAGGTAAAAATAAATTCCCAATCAATGATTACTTTTGTCACCTCTTTAAACCTTTTTTGTTTTTATGTTCAAATAAAAATTTAATTTATATTAAACGAGTCATCTCATTTCCCGAAATGAATCATTTCTCTTATTAAAGCGGCATAAATGTACTCATTAATTTACGCTTATGTTGCTCCATTACAGACAATGAAAAACATTTGAGATATATCCAAATCTCCACCAACTCCTGAGGAACGTATGCTCTAGCTTACTGACTCGTTTCATCTGTGTAGAAGTTAATGCACAGTGGGTCTGTTTGATGCGAGCTGAAACAAACAAGGGAGGTACTCCAGATGACGTTTCGATGTCCGTCTGCAACCAAGTGCGTCTCTGCGCCCTCGGCCTGCTTTAGTTTGGAAAAGCAATGCTCATTTCAAGCAGCATGAATAAAAAATGAATTACAGGTGTATTGAGCTTCAACCTTCGATTCCACAGATTTCTAATGCCTCTCTTGTGTCGTCTGCCGTAGGGCGTCTCGCAACAAATCGGAAAAGAAAAGAAGAGACCAATTCAATGTGCTCATCAAGGAGCTTTGCACCATGCTGCAGGGTCAAGGCCATCCGCGCAAGATGGACAAGTCCACCATACTGCAGAGAACTATTGACTTCCTGCAGAAACAGAAAGGTAGGGGAATACACAGCTAGTATTTGCAGTTTGAGAAAAATGTAGAAGGACTGCAGACACCCCTTTGTTGTTGTTCCCCCTTTACGTCCATTATTAGCCAAAGCTCCTCTTCAGTCAGTTAATTACATTATCCTCGGGTCTGTCTTTTTTTTTTTTCAGAGATCACTGCGCAGCACGAAACGTGTGATGTGAAACAGGACTGGAAGCCTTCGTTCCTCAGTAATGAGGAGTTCACTCAGCTAATGCTGGAGGTAAAGCTCCGCAGGACGTGCTTGTGGAAGTCGATTTAGCTCTGGAATTGATTGATATTGTTAGTTAAAGAAAATGAGAGATGGGTGAGATGACATGGTGAGAATTAAATCACTCCTTAACTTCCTGGCGTGTGGAAACCAAAAATATGCTCATTGGACAAGAAATTGTCATTGTGGGTGGTGGAACAAAGGGGAAAATGTACAAGAGCTATAATAATATAATAATAATGATAATAATAATAATAACAATAAAAGGATATCAAACAAGATAAAAATAAAGTGCACAGGCAAACAAATACCAATACAATACACAATGTAAAAGTGCCCAAAAGTGTTTTTATAATAGAGTCAGTCAGACTGCCGACAGGAAGAAACTGTTCGTGTGGCGGGATGTCTTGGTCCTGATGGACCTCAGCCTCTGCCAGATGGAAGGGACACAAACAGATTTTGACCTGGGTGAGAGGGGTCGGCTACAATCTTTTTAGCTCGCTCCAGGGCCCTTGAAGCGTGCAGGTCCTCGCCGGACGGCAGATTGCAGCCGATCACCCTCCCTGCAGAGCGGATGACACGCTGCAGCCTGCCCTTGTCCTTGGCTGTGGCTGCAGCGTACCAGACGGTGATGGAGGAGGAAGAAGGAAGTACATCCTCTGCTGAGCCTTCTTGGTGATGGAGCTGATGTTCAGCTTCATCACTTCATTCTTCCTGAAATCCACCACCGTCTCCGCGTGAAGCTCCAAATTGTTTTGACCTCACCAGGTCGCTAGATGGTCAGACTTGCACCTGTAGGCGGACTCATCCAAGATTTCATTCAAAGCGCTCAATTTGTCCCTCTTCCTGCAGGCCCTAGATGGTTTCTTGATAGCATTAACTACAGATGGCAACATCATATACGTATCTGACAGTGTGTCTTCACTCATTGGCCATTTACCGGTAAGCAAAGAGGCTGAAATAAGTCACTTCTGTTCTCTTCCTAACAAAGCAGTGTTTTTGTTGTTGTTATGTTTATCATTGTAGGATTTTTAAATTACAATTTGTTTGTCTCTATCCCTGCACCTTGCACCAGTCAGATATGGTGGACCAAAATATCTTGAATTTCCTGCCGGAGCGGGAACACGGGGAGGTGTACAAGCTGCTATCATCCCACATGCTGATGACTGACCCCATTGCGGCTGACTTCCTTGACAGTGAGTGTCCCAAATCAGGAGGTGAAAAGTTCACTATGTGAGACAATTACATCGTCAGCCGGGTCATTTGTGTAAGGCAGCTTTTGTCTGTCACACCGACTATATCTGGCTGCTGTTCTTTTCCCAGGGTGAAACCCCACATATTTAGAGCAGGTTGCTGAATTGGGCTCCAAAGTTTATTGGATTGATGATTAGTGTGGATCTATGGTTAGCCCTTTTGCTAATAATAGGAGCTAGCTTAGTATCATAGCTAAGACTTTAAATCACTGTTATGTTAGCACAGTAATCCAAAGTAGTGTAGTATGAGGGACTCAAGACACTGACCTTAATCCTGTGATACTATTGGGTTTTTCTGAGAAAGAGAGTTGGTGAGGAGCGAGTGGGCCTACACTTAGAAGCCTAAATAGCCATAAAAGCCTAAAAGCATCTTCAAGTGTTGCCTAATGTCGGCCTTCCACTGAAAACTGTTTTGGTCTTTGAGCCTCTGTGGAATAATCGCCTGCATGTAGCTGCTCGTCGACGCTTTGACCTCTCGATAGAGAGTTCACATTGGAGAGCGACTGAAGCCAGACAAGTTACTTTTGTCATGTTTTCATAACCATAAATCGGCTTCTTTGACTCTCCCAATGGATGTAAGGAATGTATTCATGCATATTACATAAGCGTTATGCCACAACCCTTTTTAACACTTGATATAGGACATTTATCACACGGACATCCATTGAGGTATTGTGAATCCAAGGTTTCACACGAGTGTCCCTCGTCGGATCGGGAACCTCTGTGTGCTGTTAGTGTTACACAAAAAATGTTAAGAGGCTGCATTATGAATAGGTTCGTTAACCTTGAAAATCAAATCTGCTGTTTTTCAGGCGAGGCGCATATTGAATTTTGCTGTCATCTCGCCAGAGGTAACATTGACCCGAAGGAGCCGCCCGTGTACGAGTACGTCAAGTTTGTCGGAGATTTCAAGTTTCATAACAATGGTGAGGATTTCTATTTTCCACTTGAGATTCGGTAAAATGTGGAACTTGAGTGCAGTTGATGTCCTTGATTCATCTACTTTTGCTTAAAGGTATTGTGAGGAACTTTTAAATTGTTATATCTCAATTTAATACTGATGACTTTTTAAATCCTTCATAAGAAAATGAAACCATCAGCGAGAAGATTGATTTCCACGAGTCATTATTAAGGCTTTTAATTGGTGCAAACCGAGTCAGATTCCACACAAAACCACGCACGCTGTCAGACAAGGTTTTCTTTTTGTCCACGTCCATTTAAAGTTCCTCGTTGTTCGCTTCAACAAACTAAATGTATAAAATACATCAGAGAAACTTGATTTTCAGGGGATGAAATTAAGATTTATGTTCGTCTGTTACGCAGTGCCTACATCTTCTTCCAACGGGCTTGATTTGACGTTGCCAAGAAGCCTTCAGTCCTCGCTGGAGGAGCAGGTCTGCCTCATTGCTACAGTACGATCCGTCACGCCACAGTTTCTAAAGGTAAGACAAGCCGGGATGATGATGATGATGATGAAGCGTGTGCCTTTGGTTCTTAGTTTGTAGTGCACTGCTTTTAAAGAAATAACAACAACAGGCGGTGGGATTTTGTGTGAGGGATCAGTCATTTTAGTCCATGCGAACTCTCTCTATCTGGAGATGTGTTGCTGCACAATGTCAACCTTCCTAACTGATTACGTCATTTTGATGCATCTGATCCCAGAGGGGCTTTCTGAGGACAAATTATTGTAAAATAAACAAGAAGTCTTGCAACCTCTCTTAGTGCTCGGTAATGGTAGGATCATTGGCATCACAGTAACATTTGAATACTTAGCTCAACTCCTTCTAAACTTCCAAAACCCCCAAATGCCAAAACGCCTGGCAGGCATTTTCACTGTTATTTACTTTATTTATTTTTCCTCACGAGAAGAACGTGCCAGTAGAATCAGATCTATTGGACAGACTTCAACTCTCCCCCTCTACTTATTCCCAAAAGCAAAAAACATTGATTTCACTGATTTGCCAGATGGAGTGACTGTGACAGTGTGGTCTGCGCCATATGACACATGGATTATGTCTTCCCTCAAACAAATCTACTAACAAATCTACTACAAAGGCTGGTTTTAGTATTCAACTCTATTTTTCCGCCCACGGACTACTTTCAAACAACTACGATTAAATATAAACTAAATACAAGTACTGAAACTAAACATTTTGTGCATTTTGTGGTATGTTTTATAGTACAAATATTATACCAACATAGCAATATCAATTCAATTTCTCCTTCAGAGCTGGTTGAGTCCCCGGGCCAAAAGAATGTTATAAGACTGCTAATTCGTTGCATTGCTGTGAAACCGCAATCGTGTTTTTCTCACTCTGTTATTTGTGTTTAGGATTCCTGTAACATGGAAGATCCCTGTGATGAATTCACATCCAGACACAGCCTTGAATGGAAGTTCCTGTTTTTAGATCACAGGTAAAATATTTGTTTGAGTCCATCTCCTTTTAATTTGTCTTTTTAGTATTTTGTTTTGTCTTTTATCCACGTTTTATCATCTCATTCTTATGTTTCAGGGCTTCACCAATCATAGGCTATTTACCCTTTGAGGTTCTAGGAACGTCAGGCTACGATTACTATCATGTGGATGACTTGGAGCTTATAGCTCAGTGTCATAAGCAGCGTGCGTAAGGGTCACTTCTCAGAATTAAATCACATCCACGATCTCCACCGCAGAAGAAATGGGTACAAATGTGTTTCTCCTCTCCTCAGTGATGCAGTTTGGAAAGGGTAAATCCTGCTACTATCGCTTCCTGACCAAAGGTCAACAGTGGATTTGGTTGCAGACTCGCTACTACATTACTTACCACCAGTGGAACTCCAAACCCGAGTTCATTGTCTGCACTCACACTGTTGTCAGGTGAGCCTGGTCCTTGCCCCCTCTAACGCCTGCAGACAGAGAGACGTGTGCCAGCCTTTGGTTGCGTTAAAATAAAGACTGGATTCATATTCGCAATATTGGCTGCACACTCACACGCTCTCTGCACGCGCTGCTTTTCAGCTACGCTGAAGTGCGAGCTGAAAGGAGGAGAGAGTTCGGCTTCGAGGAGCTGTCTCCACCTGAGGTCGCTCCCTCTTCAGTGAAGGTAAAAAAGAATTATGGTCCCTTTCCCCATTCAGCGCGTGGCGCTTACATGGTCACCGTTCCCTTTGGCTTTCGGACACGAACCCGGGTGTCTAACGTCCCTCTGTGTCCCAGGCTCAGGAGCTGTATTTGGACATCTGCTCCACACTGCACCCGCCGCGGGACAGAAACAGCGGCGTGGGGTCGGTGTCCTCCCACAGCTCCCGGAAGTCCTCCCACACGGCGATGTCGGACTCTGCATGTGAGTCCGCCTCGGGCTAACTCACCCAATGGACGGTCAATCTGTAGGGAAGTCCTGCTCCTATAAATTACCGGGGGGGGGACTTCTGTGTTATTCAAATTAAGCGGGAAGAACCGGAGCCTCTCCTGCAGAGAAACGGTCGACCAATGCCAGTCCAACAGATTTAAACTTGACAAAGATTACAACTGATCTGTGGAGACTTTGTTGTCGGACGTAAAAATCTTCTGTAACCAAGCAGACCAGGAGGTCTAATAAACACCGATCTGTATGTATGAGGGGGACGATGCATCTGTGATAAGTTGTTACCATGGCTTCCTTTAGCGTGCTGTTCGTTTGAGCCTCCGTTCTCTCCGACTTCAGCTGCTCTTCCACCCACCAGCTAAAACTTTTCACTTCCATCTGCATGTTTATGAATAATACACAGTGGCAGTCTAGTTGCAGTGCAAAAACATAGCTGATGCTGCTTTCCTCCCACACACAAAAATAAGGTGTTATGTTATGAGACATATTCATAGAACTATATTGGTCATAAATGCATTTGGGACGTTGTTCTGCCTTCAGCTCATGGCAGCTTTAGTTACTCTGCCGCAGCGTAAATACACTGAGGTCAGTTATGATCACACCATTATTTCTCAATAGTGACCTAACGCTTTATGATACATTATATACATGTTCACATCAAAAAGCCCAATCTCTGCCTAATCTTTGAATGTAGAAAATGACGAGTTACAAGCAAAGACTTAATGAAGCTGTTCTTTATCCTGATGAGCACCAACCGGGGAATCATTCAAATAGTTACAATAAACTGTAACCCACTCCTGAAATGAGACTTTCATAGTGTAACATGCCTTTGTTGCACTTATTTGCTAAGCTGTTGTTAGATAAAGAAAAGCAGGCATAATGACCAAAACTGAACACACCGTCGGTTGTCTCAGCATATTCAGAGGTCACCTGTCTTTCTTTCACCAGCGAACTCCTACACGCCGTCATGGCAGTCGGCTTCCATTGGGACAGAGAAGACATCCGCCAGACACCGACCGAGCAGCTCAAAGGTCAGTTCAAAGCGTTGACGTGCCTCTGTCGGTGTTTGCTGATAAGTTGACCCAATGTAATGTCTCAGAGTATAAAGATGGATCTATATATATTTCTATTTTCCCCATAGAATTTGGCACAGAGACAGAATTCCTTTGACCTCAATCCCCAACTGAGCCTCCCCCTTTCTCCTGCCTGCAGTGAGCACTCCGCATTGGTCAGTGCTCCCGCCTGTTGCCTTCCTCTCCTCTGATTGTGCACAATTGAGGTTATGACTTTTGCTCCTTTGGGTTCATTTAGTCTACTGCTTGAGTCCCCGTGACCTCAAGGTGTTATAAAATGAAGCGAGAAAGACGCGTGAAACCAATCTCAGGTGTCAAATTCCTAGAATAATTCATTGTGACTTGTGCTAACTCTCACATCCTCTGATCACTTAAGGAAAGAAATGGAAATTGCTGAAGAAATGTGTTTTCTCACGTCTGTTGCTTTTTTGAATCATGTCTTTGCAGCAACAGCAAACGCAGCAGCAGCAGCAGCAGCCGTCGCCGGTGTTTCAGCAGCAGCAGCCTCAGCTCTGTGTAATGAACCAGCTGAAGGAGCAGCTGGAGGAGAGGACGCGCATTCTGCAGGCTGACATTAAGACGCAGCAGCAGGAGCTGCACGACATCAAGGAGAAGCTTCACCTCGCTAATCTCCAGGTAACTTACGTAAAGAAAAAGAAGAAGAAGAAAAAAAAATATCCCATGGCGTGCGGAGCGAAAATATGCAAAATAAAAAGAGATTTAAATCCAGACATGAAAAATGTGCGGCGTTTAAGTAAGAGCGGTTAATGACATTCAACATCACATTGTGAGCTTACATTACCTAACCTTCATGATGGCAGAAGGGCCCCACCAAGAGGCCGGCACAAACCAGTTCAGCCTGATACCTCTTAACAGCCTCATGACCCCGATAACGAGCACAGAGAAGAGACTCGGCAGTGGCGCAGTGTTTGTCTCCTAAAGACCAGTTCTCCAATAACAGATGCAAGCAAAGCAAAATTAAGTTAAAAACATTCTATTTTTTTTTAGGTAAATGAAGGATAGATAAATATTTTTGTTCATGTGTGTGTAAGGTGTTGTTACAGCAGCCTATCCAAAATGACTCTGGCCAGGCCCAGCAGCAGCAGCAGCAGCAGCAGCAGGGATCCGGCAGGGCGGCCCAGCGCAGGCACTCGGGCTTGACCAGGCGGCACTCGAGCCACTCCAAAGCGTCGTCCTGCGGGGGCCACAACTCATCCCCTCGATCACTCCTGAGAGAGAACAGCTCGCCCTCACTACAGGTACAAAGAGCCAAATCCGTGGTAAACAGTCCGAACGCAGTTGTTTGTAAATCTTTCCTCAAATGTTAAGTGGATGAATATTGCATGAAATCAGTCATTAGTTCTCACGACTCCACAGGAAACAGCTGTTTCAGCATGGATTCAGCCGTTAATGTCAGTCTGTTATTTATGGATATAGACATCCCAACAGGTGGTATTTGGTGATATAAGTAAAGTAAATATTCACGCACAGTATGCTTTCTCTGCCTACTAGGAAGTTTTTACATTATCTGTGCGTTTTCTCTCGTTTCCGCAGCAGATTGTACGGAGCGGGCAGCTGCAGTCGGTGAGCGTGCCCGTGCAGACGAACGCCAGCGTGACGATGCCCTTCTGCGGCAACCCCATGATGTTCTCTCAGACCAACACAAGGTCCCTGCAGGACGCCAACCAAAGACACATGGACGCCGAGTTCAACCAAGACGGACAACTACGGTAAGAGCGGTAAAAACCAGCCACTTACATCCACAGGGGACGCAGGCGGTATGGCACACACTTTTGGAAATTCCTAATTCCATAAATATTGGAAGCAGTTAGCTAGGAAAACATCTTCCTTTTTCTCTTCTCGCGGATACGGAGGAGTTCTTTCAGTGACCGATTGTGTCTCCCGCAGCATGCTGCTCAACCAGCCGATGCAGACGCTGGTTCCCACAAGCAGCGTCACCGCGCAGCCTTCCCAGTGCAACATGGGCATCTCCCAAACCATGTGAGAACTGTTTAATTACACTGTACACACACACACGTGCGCCCTTCAGGATGTACGGTGCCATTTCCCATTGTGCCTAAGTTGGTCGTTGTGCCCTCCGAACAGATACACCTTGGAGCAGCAGATCATTGCCCCGTCGTTCTCCATGCAACAGGTCAACTGCAACGCCGTCCTCGTCCCCTCCCCGGTCTTCACGTCCCCGATAGTGATCCCGCAGAACAGTTTCATTGCAAACCAGTCCCAGTCAGCCTACCAAGCTCAGCCCCAGGCCCCTCAGCACTCCCTGCAGCTCCAGCAGCCCCAGCAGTTCTTTCAGGTACCAACGTCCCACGGCTGTGTGGTTGAAGACGCAGAGTTGGTCACTTTTTGCAAACTGTTGTCCTTCGGCTTCTAGACTTTAACTACAGGTCGTATGCGACGGCTTGTTGCATAACGCAGCTCAGCTTGATTACAAATGTCTCTGTTTTTTCTGATTTATGATTATTTTAGGCACTGCACTGCATCCAAATCCTTGGTTACCACAGCAACAAGCTGCTGTTTACTTCTGAGATATGTTTTTTTTTCACCCTTAAACCTTGGCTTTACACCAAAGCTCTGACGCAATCTTAAATTCATGAGGCCAGGTACACTATTTTCTCCAAACTTGTTTACAGTGTCATTTCCATACCCAATATATTATTAATACATGTTCTTGCGATAATTAATACAAAATAAATTACTAAGCATGGTTCCAAGATGAACATTCTGCAATGGGCCAAGGACAACACAGTCATTCTCTCTCAAGAGTCTGCTGTCTTTCCACCAGCAGCTGCCTTCACTTTATTCTGCATTATTACAAAGCTACAGGAAGTTGAACCTCAGCCCAAACTGTTCTACTAATGTTTGAAAGGAAAATAATTATTTGGAGACAGAAGCACTGGTTGTTCATTCAGTATTTCCTGGAGGACACACTGTTGTAGTCATGGTCCTGGGTTTGTGTTCAGTCCGTTTCTTGTTTTATTTTAAAGGTTCCCTCACGTATCGTGTCTGTTTTCACTGTGCGGCCTTACTGTCACTGACTGCGTGACCCGGTGCATGATGGGAAAGGCCTGTCGATCGCTGTTCGAAGGCAGCTGAAAAGTATCCGACTTGACAGGAGGTTCAATGCCGCCTGATCTCGTCCACTTTCCAGGAGAGAAGCGGCTCATCGCCGGCGGGCCTGATGTGCGATACAGTCGGACAAACCCTCCCTGATTTGTTCCGCCTGCGTCTAATCACCAAGCTGTCCTTGTGTTAGGAGCCTGCGTGAGCTCTTCCATTCAGTGTCAGGTTGTCTGTGTTTGTTACCAGTGTCCCTCTTTCCACTTGTCCTTCATATTTCTCCTCCCCCGGTTGGCCTTGAGTCATCACTGACCTGCTCTGTCAGTTTTGTCACTTCACTTTTGATAAATTCAACGTGTCTTCCTGATTTTACGACATTCCGGTGCTCTCCCTTTTGGGCTATTGCTCATCACACTCTCGTGGGGGAGACGAAGGGGTCTCACGTGTTTAAGCCCATAACTTCATTCATGCGTTAACACTACTTGTTGTCCATCTCAGTGAGAGACTAAATCGGCAGCAGTCCAATAAAGACTCCCTTTGTGTCTACAGATGGCTCAAGGACTCGTACACGGCGGATCTGCTCCAGCATTCTTACACACCACTAACGTCCCGCAGCAAAGCACTGTGGGATACATCCAGCAGCAGCTATCTCAGCAGCTGCCGCCGGCGCATCTGCAACAAAGGCAATACCAACATTCCCAAAACCAGACGGGCAATGTTTCCGACTTCCGAAATATGCTGACTCGGTAGCGCTGCGGACCAGTGGGGTGGGTCGCCGAGATATTACCGCGGTGCTGTCGGCAGCACGTCGTGGCATTTGTCGGTGGAACGGGACGGGAATTTGCTTTTTAGTGACCTCACTACTGCTGGGAGGCCGCCTCGAGTACATCGCTAGGAGTGAAAACCACCAGCACAGGCGGCACACTGACCGAACGTCATCCGCAGGACCCGAGGAGAGCCTGAGGGGGCCGGGCCTCGGTCCGCCGGCCGCACCGCGCTCAGTTGCCGATAGCGGAGTATCAAAGCTCTCAACAAGACACCACATGTTTTACGTGGGTCCTTCTCAGTATGTGTTTGCACTTTCTTCCCGCCCCCTAACAAAATGTAGAATATTTATTTTAGTTCCCCGCTTGTCAACCTGCTCTGTTTGGATCTTCGGCTCCTCAATGGCTCGTCTCATGAGAAAGGGGGTTTGTGTTCACTGTGGACGCCCCGCTGGGATGCAGGGATGCTGGGATGCTGGGATGCTGGGAGGGGGGGGTTCGAAAGGGCTATCTAGATTTTTAAAGCCTCAATCTGGGAATGCCACAAACGACACTTTTTTTCACAGAGAAAGGACAGTGGAGCTTGCGATGAGCTGCCAGAGGGGGAAACAATTTGTGCCTTCCGCCGCGGTTCGTCCTCGGCGCGGTTTGATGGTGGCGTCTGATTACGGCTTTAAAAATCCAGCTCAGGTCCACTTGGAATACAAAGTTCTATTTTCATAGGTCATAATTTACTGTTTTTCCTCATCAAACTCAAACAAACAGCACCCTATATGTGTAATGGATGTATTACAAATATTTATATATTGGATGCTTTTTGCAACCTTCTGATCAGTGAGTCTGCACACTTATTGAACACATGTAATGATGGTAGCTAAAAATATTCATTCAACCATATACTGAAAAAACACAAATGACTTAGTGTTTATTTATCACATACAATATATATTTGAAACAATATATGGGAATAAGAAAGTAGTTTTGTATTGAACGGTTTTAATTGATTTGATGTGAAAGGTCACGTCTTGGTTAAGTACTACCTGGATATAAAACATTGCATTTCGACATGGTTTTAGAAGTAAGTCACGGCAGTTCTGTCAGTGTGTCAAGATGTTACAAACTGTCCGTAGGACTTTATCAATTGAACTTTAAACTCCATCTTTAAATTGGCGGATAACACACAAGCGCCGCTTGTGGTCGACGATGAGGACGTTTCATACACACTTTGCGCAACGTCAATAAAAAATAAATTTAAAAAAGAATGTTAATTTATACTGCTTAAATGTTTCACCATGGATGTACTGTATATATAGAGATATATTATAAGCCATTGTGTCATGTCAATTATATGGAAAAAATGTTCAATGTCCTCACATTCCTCCAACCGTTAATCCACAGTATTTTCTTTTTTTTTTTAAAGGTATCAGATGTGTCCAGTGGACGCAGAGACATGATAGTTGAAAGGTCATATATTGACCTGGATCACAGAAAAAAGAAGTATGACATGAAGCTGAAAGGTCATTTTATTTTTTATATTTTTAAGTCGAATGGGTTTCACTTATTGTTCATTATCCAGATCTGTTTTTGATGTGTAAGGGACCCCTTAGTCTGTGTGCATTTCTAGTTGTGCTCAGCCAGCAGCTCAAAGGTGCCATAAATACATTTTATTTTTTACTTTTACCCACGTTTTTAATTTCAATCACTGAGAGAAATATATTAGTATAATTATATATAAAATATGTTATTTTTTACCATTTACAACCGTTCAGTAAAAATCCCCTCTGAGGTGGTTTTCCATTTAAAAGCATAAGTCATGTTTGTCCACAAGATAACAGTTAGAATACGGTGATTTGCCTTGAAAAGGTGGTCCAGAAAAAATAATTATTTAAAAAGAATAATTTAAACCAGCTGTGCGTGAATCATGCTGAGATTCATGCTTTGCTCCAGATTAAGTGGATTAGGCTCTACATTATTTTGTGTAGTGACTGGTCATCCAGTGTCCGCCACATGTCTGGATGCAGGAGGATTTTTTGTCTATTGTGTCTATTGGTCCACAGACCTTATTGTAAATAATCCCTCCACTTATTTTGTAGTTCTTAACATATTTTTTTTCATCCAACTTTCAGAGTGCTTTTCTTCTTCAGGGGGTTTTCATTGAGTGTCATTGTTTCTACGTGATATGTGATTCACATTTAACTTTTACTTTTCTGCTTTTGTAAAATAGCAACAGACACCTTAAACGTAAGCGTGGCGAGTCCGATCAAAAGCTTTTGTGTGTGAGGTTTGCAGGATGTGAACCGAACAAACGGCCATTTCTGCAGAAACAGACATTGAATATATTGTAAAATAGAAAACGTTTGGACTATATATAGTTGTTTATTTTATGTCTAATAGATATCTATATATGTTTGTTAAAATTAAAGTAATTTTGTAACATAATGAAGTGTCTTATTAGAGGAGGGGAGGGTTTGCGTTTCACGGTGTTGTTGCAGTCACTTGTTTGGCTTGTTTAGTTTATGTATTCACCATCAACATAAGCTTTAAAAAATATCGTTAATATTGTTTTAAAAGAAATTAACAAATCAAGTTTACATTCTAAAATATCTTGACATTAACTATGGTATATATAGAACTATTTATAAATCAACTGGAATATTGTGAAATATTTTGAAAATAAATATTTTTAAACATATGTATGTGAGTGTGAATGGTTGTATTTCTCTGTGTAGCCCTGCGATTGGCTGGCGACCAATCCAGGGTGTACCCTGTCTATCGCTCGAAGTTGGCTGGGATGGACTCCAGCCCCCCCCGCGACCCTGTGTGCAGGATAAGCGGTTTGACAATGGATGGATGGATGGATGGATATGTATGTTATTCTGAGCAACCTCTTTACATCATAGAATGATTTATCTCCAGGAATGTTTCTCTACTGTGTTCTTATTGCAACTACTGGTAATCTGTGAAAGGATACAGATGAGAGCTGAGCTTTGGTTGCAGAACAGTACGAACAATATTGTGCAACAAGGTTTCACAGAGCAGAGGGCCCATATGAGCCACTGTCACACCTCCCTGTGATTTCATCTTCAGAGATTTTATTCATCAATGTCAACCATCCAGGAAAAAAACAAAACACCATTCGCTTTTCAAAATAACAATTTCATGGAGAAGATTTGGCAGTCGCATTTTACACAGTAAAATTAAAGTGGTTAGAAAATCTGCAGTATTATGTCTTTCAGCATTTTAATTGACTGCAGATTAACATCCCACTCGAAGAACATTATTAAAGAATGCCGTCCTATTTACTGTACATATGGAATGGGTAATAATATAATTTACGGATATTTAAGAAGAGATTTGGTTCAAAACCTTTTCTATTTCAATCAAAAGACAAGATGAATGTCCCATGCTGGTATTAATTGAGAGAAGCCTCGGCCACTTGGTACACCTTATTGATCACCACCTCCACCTCGTCACCACCCAGATGGCAAAGGTCCAAGACGCACACCAAATGCGTGTCCTCCAGCTCCACGGCAGTCGCCAGGACCTCCTCTACAAGACATCGGTCACATCAATTTCTAAACCCACTGCTATTGTATTAGATATTCAGCATGCACTTTCTGCTAGTGTGTTTGCTACCTGGCTCGGGAAGCGCTGACTCGCTGCGGCGGTCGGCGAGCGGACAGAGGAAGCCCGACGAAAGGCAGGACAGCATGCTGTTTCCGTGGGGATCCTGAGGAAGGCCGACCGCCCTGGGCTCGTCGGAGCTCACCACGGGCAGAAACGCAGCATCCATGGCTATCTGCTTGTTTATGCCTGTCAGAAAAAGAAAAAAGAAAATTGGGAAAAAGGAGTTACACATTTCTCTGGCAATCTAACAACAAAAAAGAAACGTCTGTCTCTCTAAGAAGGTTTTGGTAAAAGATCAGAGTAATCCTCCCGATGAAACGTTACCTAGTACTGTTACTCGGTAGTACCCAGGATGCACTGCAGGAGCAATGGCCTCCGCGTCCTGATTTGCCGTCCACCGCGTCGCTTGAAGGTTGCTCTGCTGCAGGAGGACATCCTTTTCGTCGGCCGAGAACCTCCGAGACACGCTGTCCCGGTACAGGCCGCCTCCAAGCAGATGTTCAGACACTTCCAGTCGTCGCTCCGGCCAACTGCTGCTCTCCCAGGAGATCACTTCAGAGTCTGATGGAAACAATAGTCAGTATCGGGACACGTCAGGGACACCGCGGTGCCGCCGGGGCTCCTGGAACACACCTGGATTTTGATGTTGCAGTTGTTGGCGTTCAACATCCTGAGTCTCCTCAGACCCAGAGTCACTCTCTTCTTCCTCTTCCTCCTCCTCCTCCTCCTCTGTATCTCGATGTCTCCTGGAGCAGAAACAAGTGAGCTCAAAATGCTTCAACTGGATTACTGATGAATACTACCAGCTTGATCTCCAGTACCTCTTTGCCAACGCGCTGACACGATTCAATAGGGACTGTTTGGCTTTTCTGAAGAAAAAAAAAAACATTTCATTAATGGATTAAAACTCTCCTTTTAGCGACAAAATTAGATTTTAATGATACACTCTCAGATCTGTTGGTCGGAAGTCAAACCGTACCTCGTTTGAATTCTTCTTTTCCTTTCGCTTGAACCCGCCGACGTTGAACCCGCCGCCAGAGTCTGTTCAGCTGTTGAGGGATGTCTGTGTGCGTCTGGTACCGGGGCGCGTTCACACGCTTCAGTAGAAACATCCTCCGCCTGCATAAAACCAGTTGATTTATGGTCAGTTTAAAAAAAGGCGACTACTCTTGGAGAGATTGCTATGAAATAATGGGTGTTACCTCTTTCTCTTCTGTTCCTCCAGACTCTGTGATCTGCAGGTTTTTCATGTAGCGCACCGCTGTGATCTGTCCTTGAATTGCAACCGTTTTATGTTCCCTATATTGCAGCGTCTCTAACACCTTCTTTAAGTCAGCTGCAGCAACCAGAGGAGGTTGACCTGAAGACGGAGCAGAGAAGATTTACAGTGACAAAAGGTGGGAGGATATGCTGAACGCAAACTTACAGGCCAAACCAGTCCATCTATAAATAGGTAATTTAATAATAGTCTTGTTATGGGAAGCTTGAAATAATAGATTTTAGAATTTCAAATAAAGATGTAGAAAGAATGATTCATCTGTACAGATTGCTGGCAGAACTGCAGGAAAATGCTGACACAGATTCTATTTTTTTCCTGCCTCCTACAAGACAACTGAATGAATCACATTAGTTCAGTTCAGTAACAAAGAGGAGTTTGTGTTTTTGTGCACTGAAATTATAAAAATGAAAAGAAATCTGTGACTAATCAGTGTCAATTTTATAATAACGCACACATTGTGATTTAAAAAAAAAAACTTTCGATTTTTATTTTCCTTACTTGAGGCCTCTGCCACTGACTGTGTGAATTTCTGAGGGGGCCGAGGGAAGCAGTAGTGACCTCCAACAGCAGTCTTCTGGAGGACAACGCTGTCCTTCAGAGTTTTGGTCCACTGGATGAAGCTTTTCACTCTGGGGTCGCCCACATACGGCTGACCTTTGTGATAGCCTGGTGGGGAGACGGGTGATACAGTGACTAATACACTATCCACATAGGGTATGTGTACATTGTCGGTTTCATTGAACAACATAAACGTGGAATAAAATAGTGCATTCCCTATGACCCGCCCCCCAAACAAAAAAGATTTACTTCTCCCAACTGAATAATCAAAGAGAGGGTTTGGTGTGAAAAAACATACATCCTACTCTGACGCTGTGATACGTTAGCATAACGTTTACAAATAAACTAGGTCTGAAATGAACGGCTTCAGTTTACAAAGTAACAGAACGCTAGGTAATGACAAAGACGTTGAAAACTGTTTCGTTTGTGTGACGCGCACAAAATATATGGTCAAATTTCTGTTCATTTTTATTAATATTGGATATTATTGATATTGCGTGTGTTACTATCTGTGCCCAGTAGGTGGCAGTGCAGCGCTGTGGTTTCGCCTCGCGGTCCTAAACTGGCCACACGTTTGCCGGTCAAATTAATTTACTAAATTTTAAATTTAATTATTTTTCTGAGGTTAATAACTAATAAAGTGGACAGAATGAAAATCGATAAACAATGTTTTAGAGATTACATTTAACATTTTTAGAGTTTACTTTGTGTTGTGTGGTAGCTGCGCTGTTTGAAAAGACTTGAGTTAGCAAGGCTGATAGTAGCCCCATGTAACCTCCCTTGTTTTATCTGGCTCCTATATTCTTTATAATTATACTTGTTATGTTCTAGTAGGTCGATTTAGACTTAATATGTGAATTAAGGTGACAAATTTGTTCTCGCCCTTCTCGCTGTGGGCACATTACTAACGTTACTAAACGTGTGGAGATGATCGCTTTTATTTGAATTGTGAAATAAATTGTTGTTCCCAACGAGCTGCATCCAGGGTCCAGCTGAGCTAGGCTTGCAAACCTTGTCCTCAACTACATTTAAGTTCACTGTTATATTCTTTTGCAAAAATAAATTAAAAAAATGGTCAAAATGTCCTAAATTCCCAAGCTTACTTTCCCATGGAAGGTTTCCTGAGATCTACAGGACAATTTCAGCCCCTTTGCAACCCTACTCACTGTCTCAGCTGTGCTAACCTGTGATGAACGTCTCTGTCTCGCAGCTGCTGGTGAGGTAGGGCGACGAGCCTTCCACGTGACAAACTCTCATCTGAGTGCACACCAGGTAGGTCACTGCGACAGAGAAGAAGTCGTATCGAACAGGTGTTTAAAAAGAAACGAGTGTGGCAGCAGAGCATTTTGGATTGGAGCCGACGCTGTCGACCTACTCGGGCATATACGATTGAAGACTTCTGGTTGGGAAGAGGAAAAAACCTCCAGAATAAAAGGGCGGTCAGACGTTCCGTCCACCGCGTGGATCCAGCGGTAGGTCCAGTGCTTTTCCGGGGCTAAGAAGGGGAACAAGGTCGATCTCCAAAAACTGAGATGAAAATCAGCAGCTTTACTTAAGTTTTCAAGTCACAGATAACGTGAACATATTTTACCTTTGGTCCCTTTACTCTTGACTCTTTCCACCCGGCCAACAAACGTCACTAGACCGATGACATCGCATGCAGAGTTGCTGGGCATGTGTTCCAACTCCAGCCTGCAAAATACGTACGTACCATTAAGCACTTTAGTTTAAGTCGGTTTGCCTTTTGTGCCTGAATCAAAACACTAAGGAATAGCCATAGCTTGTTTCGTGTTAGATGCTGACGGACAAATATTAAGCTTTAGGTTGAAGCCAGTTCATCACCTGGTCGTGAATTGGTAGGAAACTTCGGGCAACGCCCACTGAGGCAGTACACTCTTTGGTGAGACCACAGTGATGACGGAAGTAGGGTTGTGAGGGTTCAGGCAGATTTCTTAGAAAAACACATACGGAAGGATTACATTTACGCCCTGGTGTACGCTGCGGTTCAGCTGTTTAAAAAAACAGAAACATATGCATACATACCTACAGAGTCAAAAGTCTTCATTCTGTGGTGGTCCATTTGGGGGTGGGATCGTTTGGTATAACTCTGCTTCAGGGAGTAATTCTGGATGTACAACACGGTGCCTACGGTGAGTCTCTGGTAAAACTCAAGGCAAAGTTCGTTCCAAAGCACAAGGGACATTGTCCCACTCTGGTCGGCAACTTCGAAGTACGCCTGGAATGTAACGAAGGACGAGGTGAAAAACAAATACGACAAAAACCCACAAAACATGCGGGCGTGAGATCTTCAACCTTGCTCCAAATTCTTGGGAAGTGCAAACTCACCAGATACGGATAATCAATCTTGAGCCCAAACTTCCCATAATACCGTAACCTAGATTTGTGTATTATCTTCACTAGGAGAGGGAGAGGATTCCATGTCTTTTTAAAGCAGGACTCGAGACTACACAGCAGAGTGATCTTGGACACTGTTGAGAGGACGACATTTGGAAAACACATCTCTCCAATTTGACATGCAAAGTCTAAAAACATCTTGTAACGAGAAGCCATGGAGTGACTAATTATGCCGGTGTGATGCAAATATTCTAGACAAATAGATTTCTACAATGTAAGGCTATCATATTGTGCAGATCAAACTGATGACAAGTATTGCTATTTATGCATAACATCCAACCTAAACCTAACCTATAACTCCATCCTCAAAAGTGATGCTAAATGGGTGGAACATGTTCGGTTTCGTCCGCTCTGCAGGCTGACATGAGAAGTAGCACAGTGCATCGTGTACGCCGTGTTAAAAAAGAGAGAGGGCTCGTCGGAGGGTCTCACCGTCCAGCACGGTGTTGGATGGCGCGGCGGACCCGGAGGTCCATCCATCCCCCTCCGGGTCCTCGTTGTTCCACAGAGACAGGTAATGCCTGCGGCTCACCTGAAGGGGAACGTCACTCTGCAGCACCGCACTCCTCTCCATGCCGCGCTTCACCAACATGGGAAGCGACGCGACGTCCTTTACGCGCGCCAGGAGCGCGGACCTCCGCGCGCCGCACCGCAGCTTCTCGATGCAAATGTAACCGTGTCCCAGCCTCCTCTCGCTGTACACGAACGAGCACTGCGTGATGCCGATCTCCCTCCCCGCCCGCAGCCTGTTCGCGTGTGCCAGGTGATTCAAACTAGGGTGAAGGAAGCATTTGACTCGCCAGACTCCGTCAGTGACCGTCACGTCGTAACTGTAGCTGTCGGGCTGCGGCCCCTCGGTTTGCTCGGATAAGTACCGCTGAAGTGCGACGACGGCGACGGGAGACGCCGCTGCCGCCTCGGGATTTGTTTTCAGGCACTGCGAGGAGCACAGCTGCTCCAACGTCCGCTGGAGGAACGACGCACAGGGAAGCTCAGCGAGCGACGAAGCACAAGGAGAGGGATCCTCCATTGTGGACAGTTAATGCTAAATGCTAAGCTGGCTGTCCCCCATGTTACCTTAAGTTAGATCATTGGCTGAGGTCGGCTAGCTTCTGTCCAACGTTGAATAATCGGTGGTAGTCGACGTGTCTGCTTGACGTTTCTTTACCACAAAACAAGCTAACGTTATAGCTGGATAGCAGTTAGCCACTAGGCTAACGAAGACAGGTTACCGTTAGCTAACGTTGCAAACACACAAGTGCTGTTTTAATGCGTCACGATTTGCCCTGAACAGCTTAAACAAGTTTCAAATGATTTTTTACTTGTTTAAAGTCACCGTGACAATGTTTCAGTCTGAGCTAGAAACTATCTGCCGGATGTAAACAGGAATTAGCTAACGGTATTTTTAAAATCCGCGCTGAGCCGGATCTGACGTCATCAGAGCGAATAGTGAGTTGTTGGCCGAATGGTTTGTTGATTAAAACGTTATACACTTTTAGATATATACGTTTTAACTATATACTTGCACGAGGGTACACAAATCAGACTATTCATTCTCACACTAACACACTCACATTATTGAGATAATGTGGTATATCATGCAATGTATTTTTTATAGTATTAATAACACTTTCCTCTTTTGTTGTTTTGACAAACAACTCATATACTATCAGTCTTCATTTAATTGCAAAAGGTCAATACTTCCTCTGCTGTAAATAGTTTCTTCTACACTCTTCAAATGTTTCAAATTCAATTGATTTAATTTGAAATATGTAACAGATTTACACCTTTTGTAGATACTTATGTATTATATATAGTATGGCTTCCTTTGTTCATATTTTACATGTTTTATATGTTATTTTACTACATTACATAATCTTTACTTTGGTAACTGTATATCTGCACGGTGGCAGAGAAGCATACATGCGGGGTGATCCAGAGAAACACATGGCTCTCCAGTCGGATATTAAGTAACCATCTCCGTTCAAACATCGCTTATACGGAAAATGCAGTCAGTTGCTGAGTTAGTTCATACTTCAGTTAACATTTTTTTTCCAGTGAATTTAAAACCTCAAAAGAATTCATTCTTGGGCCACTGGGGGGCAGCAGAAATGAGCTTATCAGCCAAACTGCATTTGATTATCAGCTGACCTAATTGTTAGTTATACTGATTGGTCATTTACAAAGATACAAAAGTTGAATCAATTGTGAATCTTACCTAAATCTTTTATATAATAAATCAGCAGCTGAAAGAGTGACCCAGGCCAGTGTAGAAAGGACTACATTGTATTACTTTTAACCAAACAGCCCTATTACAACTTTTTATTGACTTTGTGTAGTTTTAGTATCACTTTTCTTGAACTGTTGTCTACTGATTCATACAGTTTACAGCCTTCAGTATATTTAAATGCAGAGTACTATGGAACAACCACATGAACTATAATGATATGGAAGAGACCGCAAAATAAACACCCAAATAAGATTCTGTGTTTGCATTACATGCAAATTCGAACTTTTTTTCAATGTTTACACATTAGTGACGGATGAACAGATGGTGGAAAGTAAGTCATAGTGATTTTTCAAGTGTAAACTGACATTTTATGCTGAGTAAATTGATATACTGACTTTTTATTTTAAAGTTACCGTTCAGTGCAGCATTTCCCAGCAACGTACTGAGATACTAATTTAATTGCATAACTCACCTGGAAGTCGCAATTGCCCTTTTTTCATAATTAACTTAAAATCTCCCAGCAGTATTCTAACAGGATAATAATGCAATAGTAGCCAGTCATTTCCTGTAAACTTAAACTAAACTAAATTTACCAGCTTATACAATTACCATGGCATTTAATGATGAGTATCGTGAGCCTCCACTACATGAACAAAACCTTGTTCAAAGCTGATCCAACATGAAGAGCTCTGATCCATAATGGATTCCAGCCAAAGATCAGAGGGAGAAGGGACATTTCCTCATAGACAGGACTAGCCTACCGCCATGTCAGCACTAAATGTTATTTATATGCAAAATTAGAATTACATGATTGTTTATCATCTTAAGAGGCTTGATTGAAGATGCTTGTGAGTACGGAGTTACTCAATTTTAAAAGTTCATGTAATGTATAAAACTATTTGCAGAATGTGGTAAAGAGTATATGTAGGTCTCTTCTCTTACCATGTTTCTCCCAAAAATAAAGTGGAAATCCAACATAAGATGAAGTTACTTTCTTAATCTGTCCAATACGTATTCCATTCATCCTCGAATTTCCGTAATAACCGTCTGCACTGAGACCTCCTTGAAAGCTCGTATTGAAATGAACCCTTGTGAGTTCATAACAGTGCATCAAAGAGGTGCAGCAGGTTGATGTTAAAACCTGCTGTTGTAACCAGCTGTTAAAACCTGCTTGTGGTTTGGGTCTAGAGCTTAGAAACCTCAACAGATAAACAAAAAAAACAACAACATCATCGGTAACACATAAAAAAGGTATTTTTTGGTGTAGTATTATAAGCCAACAGCTCCATCCACTTGCACATAATGCGCACGCTCTCTCTCTCTCTTTCTCTGTCAGTGCATACATTTTCTCTACTTCCTCCTTTTGGAGTGGCTGGGCTGAATACCAGAACACAGGATATGCTTGACAGTGCTCTCAGTTCCACAGCAGCAGCAGCGGCCGTGAGGACGACACGCTCTGCAGTCGAGATGAGTGCTGGCGATGTGGTCTGCACCGGCTGGCTCATCAAATCTCCTCCTGAGAAGAAATTAAAGAGATTTGTGAGTAGGAATAAACACCAGGCACTTGTTTATGTCCTCTGCTCGCAGTAGGAATGGCAGGTTGTGCTGCCGAGCCTTGTCTTGCATGTGTGTGTGTGTGTGTGTGTGTTTGTGTGTGTGTGAGATACGGGGTGGAATGATGATTTAGGAAAAGACTGTGGGTTGGTATGCGTTTCTTGAAATGATCTGTAATCCTCTCTCCTTTTATTTCGTCTTCCTCGTTTCCACGGTGACGCCTCGCTCTGCCGTTCTCTGTTGTGGAGGCACTTCATACTTATTACAACAATATCAATATGACAGACTGCAGATGCACTTCAGGCAACATGGAAATGACTCCTACAATAAGTACATGTATTTGCGGACACGGACAGCAGTGTTTTTGTGGTGGTTGGTGAGGGAAGAGGGGGGGGGGGGGGGGTCATGTGATAATGCTGGGCTGGCCACTCGGCCCCGTGTGTTTGTGTGATGAGCGTGCGTATTGTGAAACATGGGAAGTATTGTCAGTCAGACAGACTTAGATGCCGAGCAGAAATAGTCCGGCTTTATGACGCCTCTTTGCACTTCCCCTGTACCAGTGGAGGAGGAAGACGAGGAGGAGGACGAGGTTGAGGAGGGGGAGGAGGGTAATTTGTCAACACCAGTGCAGGGCCGGGTGGGTGGAAAGTGTGCATTGATGGGGTGAGAAATACACTTATTTTAGCACAGTATGCAAATCTTGTAGATAGCAGAGAACAAAGTGGACGCATGTGTTTCAGACTCTGGGGCAGACACGCGGTCTGACTCAGTATTCAAATGTCGAGCTCGTGCTGCCACATTATCACGGACAAATGAGCGCTGCCGCTCGGTGGCATCCTCGAGGGAAATGCAAATCTTCATACAGCATTAACTTACAAGAAAACAGCGTTGAAGGTTTTGTCTATTCCTTAAGGACCCATAGGAATTACAAAATATCCAAAGAAATATTGCAAATTGTTTAATAATACATTGTTTATAAGCATCTAATTTCTCTTGCTAAGTACTGATGTTACCAGTATCTCAAGACGAATATAGTTTTTATCCATTTCCAAATTCAAAACCCAAATACATTACCTTCTCAAAAGCACAGTTTAAAATAATGATATCAATCATTTGACTTTGGGGAAAAGTACATCTGGATATTAGAGTATACACCATCCTCCTGTGGATTACACCTATCAAACATTATCCTCCGACGAAGTAAACTGGTCCTTATCTTTTAATCCTTAGCTTGCTGTTTTGGATCTTCATTGCATTAAACATGCATGGTATCAACAATGGGGAACTTAATGGGCTTTGGCCTTCCTTAGTGTTGCAGGCAACAGAAAGAAAAGATCACCATGTGACTTTAATGACAATAGTAAAACCTACTTAAGAGCTCTGTCTTCCCCTGAGAAATGAAAACAAACCAAAAATGTGGGTCTGCTCCTACTTTCCCTTTTTATTTACACATTTCAAAGCAAAACCTTTCCGTGTTCATACCACCCATAGGATAAGATGGCCATCTGTCTAGTTACGGTTTCCTCCTAAACTCAGCAGTGCTCTTCGCGGTAAGTCTGGCGTGTCTAACCATTTCCTGGTGTAGACAGGTCTAACCAACTGACTTGTGCAGAAGCGCATTACCCGCACGCAGAACAACGAAAACGTTTGGTTTTAAGTTCACGCCACAAAATGAGTAGCTGCACTTCGACAATGCACAGAGCGCCCCAAAACCTAGAGGTTAAAAATGCTGCATCCAACATGACTGCCCACGAATTGATGGGCCCTTGAGCGTATTGCACAGAGGTCTCAGGAACAATGAATACCTGCTAAGTTTCAGTTTTCAGCAATTCCTCAGTACAAAGAACTGACAGATTATAAATACATCTCGTTTGGTGTGTTTCTGCTAAACACAACTTCCTCTTCTCTGCACTGCTGGGAAAATTGAGTTGAGTTTCCGCTTACTGACCAAAAAAACAGGTTGAAGATCACTTTTATGAGGAGGAGATGTGATTCCCATGACTAGCGGTGGCGGAGGGGGGCAGGGAATATTATTATTCACAGTACAACTACTGTGAATAATAATATGCAGAAAATAGCAAGTAAAAACTACATTATGAACCTTTTTCTTCCTTCCCTTTTTCTCCTGCAGGCGTGGAGAAAACGCTGGTTTGTGCTTCGAAGAGGTCGCATGAGCGGCAATCCCGATGTGCTGGAGTACTACCAAAGTAACAACTCCAAAAAGCCGATCCGCACCATCGACCTGAGGGAGTGTGAGGTGGAAATGCTGAACGGGCAGCTCCGGATAAAGCGAGACTTCCACGGGAAGCACCTCTTTGTGGTCAAGACCTCATTTCGGGTTTTTTACCTGGTGGCCAAAACTGAGGAGGAGATGAACAGCTGGATCAGCAGCATCAGTCAAATTTGCCAGTTTGCAAGCCTGGAGGATGCAGGTAAACACACGCTGCTGCTGCTGCTGCTGCTGCTGCTGCTGCTGCTGCTGCTATACACAAAGTACTGGTGCAAAACAGAAGGTCATCGCATCCGCCGGTTGCTATTCAGCAGATTCCCCGCTGTTCCAGAAGAAATCGGTTTCTTTTGACCCCACGCAGGAAGAACTGAGCTGAAAATAACACTTTAGAAAGAGGTCAGAATAAGAGCCTTTATTTGGTGGCGTGTGGTTCACACAATAGTCCAGGTTCAAATATGAGGTTGCTTTCTTTTGTCTTGCGGCAAAAAGGTTCAAATTTGAGTTTTGGATGAGAATTTGTATGTCTGCTGTACTCGGTTTTTGTGCTTTGTTTCAACAAAATCCATAGATATGAATTTACAGGAACATTTATAGAATGATGCAAAAACAATCTGCAATATATCCATGGGTTCTTGTTTTTTTTGTTAAAGTGTGTGTTGTCTTCATTTTTTTAGCTGAAGGGAGATTTCAGGGGAACTTTGAGATTTGAATAAGTAATTTTCCATCTATCTGCATGTGGTTGGAGTGGCGAACTTCAAACTATTTTTCTTAACTGAGGAGTAATTCTAAGCACTGCATGCTTGAAAAAGAGCTGTGGTCTTTTGTAGATACATTTCTGTGAAAGTGAGTGTGAGCGATTCCACATAATCACTTTGTGGTTAAAACCATTTGATGTAAATCATACTCTCTATGCGTCTTTTGACAGCATCAGCAACACCAACAGCAAATAGATGCTTCATTGTCCTAAAATAAAACAACTTCCCCATTCAAACTCATTGCTTTTAAAGTCTTTGATTGACAGCCGTGGGTCAATTAAAGACTATTCTGAAAGTATTCCTGTGGTGTTGACAATTATTACTTGTCTGCCAACGTGTATCAATCAATTGTCAGACTCATGCTGCTGTGACCTTTGCTCCACTGCAATGTTTTGTGAGGAAATGCAGAAACATGTCTGTTAGAACACGGTCCTCTGTGTGAGGGAGATAGAGCAATGTGGTTGATATGCTGCCCTGCACGTTACCGAAAATCCTGTGTGCTTTCGGAGAAAAACACACACCCAAGCAGTCAATTATGATGCAAAATGATATTTTGCACACTAAACACTTTGATACAGATTGCCTAACATAACTTTCACAATAGTGTATAAAAGGGTTGTTCTGAGAACACAAACCTCTATTAAGAGTAGCAAGTGTTAAGAACATGCAAGACTTTGGTTTCCCCCCCACACACACCCCCAGCAGCCACAACCCCAACATGGCTTTGCAGGGAGAGCCTTGACTCGGTGACCTTGAGGGAAATGGAATGAAAGAAATTTCTAAATAAAAGCCAATCAGACTAAAACATTTGAGGATATATAAACAAAACAGGGCACTACTTCCGAGGTGCATGGAAAAAAAAAAAGAATTACCATCATTTTCATCTTTTCACATTCACCTGCTTCGTTACTGCGGCACTGTAGGTTTCATGTGTTCAGGCTGGGGGAATCCTGCATGCGCGTTTGCTTTTAGTTTGCAACTTTTAGCAAGTCATTTGTGTTGGCACGATGACAGTTTGCTTATAACTCTCAAGTAAGATTTTCAGAAAATGTGCTCTGCTTTGCTTGGTCTCAACAGAGAGTTCAGAAGAAGGCTCTCCTCACACCCCCACATCAACTCATCCGTCTCCCGACAGCTCCGACCGAGTGTCCCTTTCCAGCCACTCCGATTCCAGTCACCCGCTGGACTACCTCTTCCTCTCACAGTGCGAGACGGGGAGTGTAAGCACTTGTAGGTGTGTACGATCTGTTAAAAGCTTTGGCACAAGACAAAAGGACTGCAGCTTCACGTAGAACAAATGCAATGTTTTCACCCCCGTCTGTCTTTGTAGACATGACAGCTTTTCAAACTCGGAGATCTCTCTGGAGCAGAAGTCATCGGAAGACGCCTTCAAGGACGTCGTCCCCTCGCCTCTTTACAACGGGTCCTTGGGATCCTCCAGCTTTCATGCCAGCCACAGCCCCTCTCTTCTCCTCCATGGAAGGTGCGCCAACCCTCCCTTCAGCGCCCCGTGCACGTCCGTGGCTCTGCCGTCCTCCTCGTCCTCCCCGGTGGGTCACTGTGCCCAAAGTGTGTTCCGGTTCGACAAACCTTATTCTCCGGCGTCTTGCGAGGCCACGAGTGACAGACAGACGCCTCCTGCGCTGCCTCCCAAGTCTAATCACCTGTCAGAGCAGCTAAGTGATGACGCAGCTCACAGGCCGAGGGCAACGGGCGCACAGCATTTCTCAAACCACGCTGCGGGATTTCTCCGGAGGACCTCTCTGACAAGCCTGGATCATTTCAGAATTGGTATGTCCGCAGTTGGTAGTATGCAAAAAACTGAATTAAGCATAATGCTGGTGCTTTCATGTTGATAATTGCTGATTGTAAGATTTCAGTCAAACATCTTCTTTTTTTTTTTTTGTAGCAAATGCTCATAGCAGAGCAATGACGAACAGGAGGCAGAGTCTTAATCTGGTAAGAGAATCAGTAACTGCGGAAAAATTAAAAAAGTTGCAGAAAACCTCTTTTGGAGTAGCTTGATCATTTTGGAGATATGCTTATCTGTTTAAAGTTAAATGGGAGCATTGAAACCCCTCTCACCACGGTCTGGTGTGCGGCCAGGAGACAGTTAGTTTAGCTTAGCACAAAAGCTACTAATAGTATCTCAGTTGTTTAATCTGTAAAACGGGTACAGTACATTCCTGGAGTTTTCTGCTGGTTTTATATTCACTACAGCCAGGATAGCTAGCTTAGCTTAGCATACCATACCCAGAGTCATAGGATGTGGCTTTCTTTACTGGGGGAGGTAAATAAAGTTTCCATTGGATGGAATCAAGCTTGTTGTTTTCAATGTAGCTTCAAAGATACTGTACAGATAAAGCGAGGCAAAAATATGCTAGCTTAAAACTTCTAAAATTCTTCTAAAAAGGAAACGTGTACCATAAATGACAAGATCGTGAACTCGTGATTCTTTGTCTTTCATCAGCCTTGTGTAAATACCGCCCAAGTTCAAAGCTTCCAGGACGAGTCGTATGTGCCAATGACTTCCCCGACTCCCTCAGTCAGCGGCATTGATGGTGATGGCTACATCCCCATGAGCCCCAGGACATTCGCTTTTTCTAGTACAAACTGCAACGGCGAGTCCCCCGCGACGCTGGGACCCCTGACGTGTCTACCTGGGGATCTTGCGCCGCCTCCGGTTCACAGGCATCTCAAGCCTCGCCTGAGGAGAAGTGAGAGTCACAAAAGCCCCGATTGGTTCATGATAAATTCCTTAACATTGTGTGCAAAACTGAGGCTGCCCTTCAAACAACGGATACAATTGTGTAAAATGATTGGAAATACTGACAAGTGAATAGTGTTTTGCATACACATGCTAATGAAATGTCACTCAATGTTTCATGCACGTATCAGATACACAGCTTTTTCCACATAATGATTCTTACTACCCATTACCGTTTGAAAGCTCTCAGCGGCATGTTGGGGATTTACAACCAGTCCAGTAACTCTGCCCTTCTCTGGATCCACAGCTCGACCTCCACCTCTTGACTTGAGAGGCCTCTCTACAATCACTGAGTGTCCAACTCATCTTCTTTTGAGCACAGCAATGAATGAATCCTGGTGAGAGAAAAGAAGTGTCTTTATCCTCAAAGTGTTCCAGCAGGTTCCATCCCCGTGTGTCGGTTCTGCCATTAGATTTCTATAAAAATCAGATTTTACCTTCAGATTATCTTGTCCATAAATACGCTGACCCAGCACAACAGTAATGTCCTGCTTCTCTGTTGCTTATTCTCAAATTTCACAGCTAGTTGCTAATCTGACATTCTTCCTAATTTTTGTGTTATGTTGTTGCAGCTTTTCAGTAAACTGTGTACCCCCTGAAAGAAGAATGGAGAATGAGAACAATCCAAAAGATGAAGGCACAAACTGCACTGCAATGGTAACTATTTACAGTCGTAGGAGCACATTTTAAACAATGCATATTTCACGGACTTGTGTCCAAACACGGTGATAGACAAGTTGATATCCACTTAATTTGTGAATAATTCTAAACGTCACTCTACCAGTTTTCATTGTGCTAAAAAAAGAACAAAATCTTACAGACGTTTAATTATAGGACCATTTATGAGTGGACAATGGGTATATCTTATAAATATATATGATCCATTTACGCAGGAACAATGACCATTCAGTAAGTTCTTTATTTAATCCCTTCTCTGACAGGAGTCCAGGCATGATGCAATGGCTCAGCCATCGACGAGAAGATCCAACCTGGACTATTTGTCACTGGATTTCAATTCTGCGTCCCCGTCTCCTGTACAGACGGTATGTTCTGATCAGATAAATGACGGAAAAGAACAGGCTTGCTGTCATTGAGACAACATCTTCCTTCTGCCTTTTCTGCATCGTTGTGCAACCGTAGCCTCCGTAGCGAGTAACAGACTTCCTGACTCTTTTTAACTGGACGAAGACAATCTGAGACTGTGACATTGTTGATGTTACTTACCTACACCACCTAAATGCTTATTTTAAAACCGCGTTCTTGTGAAATCTTTATACAGCTTACTGCTGCTATTATGATAATAAACAATTGCGTGTCGCAAAACATCCCTTGCAATGAGGAATCAAATATGTGATCCCAAAGGGCTGCACGTCAAGATTTCTACAGCACACTTCAGTGGTTTGAAATACATGTGGGGTAACATGGTTGTTTACTTGTACGAGTGGAGCGGAACCGTGTTCATTTTGGACAGCTGTCGCTCACCGTCTCCTCGTCTCTCCCCCTGTGTTCAGCAGAAGCCCTATCTGTCGGATGAGTACAGAGTCGATTACGTGCAGGTGGATGAGAAGAAGACTCAGGCGCTGCAAAGCACAAAAATGGAGTGGTCCGATGTCCGGCAGTCTAAAACATAAATGGAGCTAATATGGTGAGGAAAAAAATCAGGATCACTCGGTTTGAGGAAGACCGCAATAACACCAGCGAGGAGGACCAGAAAACAAAATTTAAAGCACTTTGAAAAACAGTCTTGAAATAAAAGTACAAGAGTACATGAGCAGTTTGATGATTGTATGTGGGGTGAGACACAATTTCACTGAACAAAATGTTTTCTCCCAGTTAATCAGTATTTATCAGTATGTCAGATTTTGCACTGTAACTATTTCTACTGTAGCATGATGTTTTACCAAAGAGCTTGTTTTTTTATGTGAATATGATTGTAAATAAGAAATACTTTAATGATGCCTATTTTTACAGCTTTCCCTTTCTGCTCATTCTGTGACCCATGCTGAAGATGTTTTTCACTGGTTTTGGTGCTGTCATTACTCCCAAGAGATGTCATAGACATACCAAAAAAGCTTGAAAATGTTAACTTTAATTATACTGATTTTGAGAGATAACTTTTTTTTGCGACAAAACAACATCAATAGCACCACAATTCAAAATGCAATGGAGGAAAACCATCATCATATGTTGTCATGAACACTGTCAACGTTTTTTAGAAATTTTTTATTTATTGTGTTTTGGTTATTTATTTAATTCTATAATGTCTTTTCTCTATGTCTCCCCCCACTGGCGTTTTCTATGTCTGTGCGCTGTTAACTAATAATACACTTTATATTTTTGATAACGTATTAAGAGTTGTTATTATTCTTTTTCTTTTTCAACTATGCCTAAGGAAACAGGAAAAATATCCCATCTCATCGAGGTTCCCTCTTGCATACAAATATGTGAAACATATAGATATAACCATGGACCAAACAATTGATCAAGATCGATAGAATGACACATGCAGACAGCAACATATTTTTTACAACTAGAAAATGCATTTCCTGCTGAAAATGCGTTGGAATACTAAAAGCTGCAAGCTGAAATGAACTTCATAAATTTCTCAAAATACAGAAAGTTGAGGGGAATTTTAATACATTTGCTGAAATTACACATATTAGAAAAGCTAGAATTAATTTGAAATTGCTGAAAATACAGAAATGGGAGAAGCTGAAAGGAATTTCAATAGATTTGCTGAAAAAGCAGAAATGAAAACAGCTGAAAGGAATTTCAAAAATTGCCAAAAAATACAGAAATGAATATTAAAACATTGCTGTTAATACATGCATAAGAAAATATGAAATTATTGCTGTGATTATCACATTCATGAGGAAAAAAACACTTAATTCTCTATGCTTTTGACCTCAGGTGATGATGAGACTATATGTAACTGACAATGATGAGTCTGATGTCAAGGATTCTCTCATTTCCTGCTCAACCATTGAATGAAAGATTTTTAGTGGACAATAGTAGACAGTATGTGATTGGCTGAGAAACCCACCCAAAGTGACTGCGTAGGGGTCTGACACAGACATTGTTTGTAGTTATATTAGGTGAGGAAGTGAGGGGTGGTGAGGAATTGAGAGCGAGAGGGAGGGAAGAGAGAGACAGACAGACAGACTGAGTGAGTGATTAACAGTGAGAAAAGGTCAGGGGAGAGGGGAGCGAGTGTCTTCATCATATTGGTCTGTTGACAGAAAGCATAGCTGCGTCGTGTGACTCCACTAATCAGGTAATAGGAGCAGCTTTGAGTCACAGACAGAAATACTGCAGCGTGTGTGTGCGAGTAACCACGGCAACGGCGCACCTGTGTTCATTAACAAGCTGCTGAAAAGGGCAGAGACAGGACAGCGAGTTACACCGAATCCACAACTCAAACAAGTGTCCTCTAGCGCAAAACTATAACAGCTATCTAAAAAAATTTTTTTGAGAGACCCACGACTCTACCGAACGCAACGATGTGGTTTTTATATCTGTCTGGTAAGAAATACGTCTCCTGTGGCAGTTTATATATATATATTTTATATATATAAAATATATATATATATATATAAAATATATATATATATATATAAAATATATATATATATTTTATATATATATATATATATAAAATATATATATATATATATATATAAAATATATATATATTTTATATATATATTTTATATATATATATTTTATATATATATATATATTTATATATATTTTATATATATATATATATATATTTTATATATATATATTTTATATATATATATATATTTTATATATATATATATATATATATATATATTTTATATATATATATATATATATATTTTATATATATATATATAAATATATATATATATATTTTATATATATATATATATATATATTTTATATATATATATATATATTTTATATATATATATAAAATATATATATATATATATATATAAAATATGAAAATATATACAGTTTTCAAATTAAATATTGATCACAAGAAGTATAACGAATGGGCTTACGGTGTTATAAAAAGACTCGTTACACACGGAGGTTACCCACGCGGTGCGTCACTAGCATGCGCCGACAGTTGAAGGGTGGCGAAAGGAGGTTTGGGTAAATTCCCCGAGAAGTCTGGAGAGGAAGTCCGCGTCCGGTTTTCCTACTGGAACCATTGGCGCAGTCCCGGTGTAGTTCGATAGTCCTCGCCACGGTGCGCTTTAACGTGTCGCACCCACGGCCACGCTCACGCCTGTGAGTGGGGAGTGGGGGGCGACGTTGTTAGCGGGCTCCTCGGCTAGCTAACAAATGAATCCGTACGTGGTGGAAGCTTTCTCCGGGGGCCCCGAGTCCACCCCCACGGCCGAGAACACCGAGTCAAAGTTAGCGTTAGCAGAAGCCATGCAGTGAAGAGGTAACTCCGTCTTCTGCTCGGGGAGGAGGTGGTGGTGGAGGTGGGGACAAAAAATACCCCCGCCAGCTCCGCGCTGCGACGCTGCGCGGTAAGTTTGTTTACCTCGCGACCCGCGTGGACGCGGTCAACGCGGCGGTCGGTTTGTCGTCTATGACGCTATCGAGCGACCGTCACCGCGTGTCGTCTCTGCGGAGACGACACGCCGTAGTCGAACCAGCATCCAGCGCTGATTTATACGTTTTTTCCTGCACATCTGTGGCTCACTTACACGCCTGTTGCTTTGTCCCTTTACATGGGTGCGATTTGATCTGTCGTTAATGTTCACCTGTATATGCAATTGTAATTGTGTTACTAAACTAGCATAACGGCAGTTATGCACGTAACGTTTATGTATACATTACAATTACATTACAAGGGGACTTATTGGTTTGATTTAGTTTTATTGTCCCACAAAACTGCATACAAGCCTCCATAAAATATACACGAAACACTCACACATCCGAGACTAAGACGGTAGATCCTGTACAAGCAAATATCTAAAGTGAAATAGAAAAACAAATGTTACTAAAGCAGTCAATTTCTCCTTTGGGGTTTATATTGATGATTTAGTTTTTAAAACAATTGTTTTAAAATGTAAACACAGAGGATGGATATATTATATTTCTTTAATAGAAATGTATCAAGTCACTTAATAGAAAGAGAAGCTACTGAAATAAAAATCAGCAGCAAAGTGTACAAAAAAATTGTGTTCCAATGTTCCAAGTCACATGATATTTTCCTCTTTTTTTTTTACAAATTGTTATGTAATTACAGTGCCATTGGAGGCACATGAAGGGAAAACAAATTTAATTTCAAAGAAGTAGCGTTGCTCGATCTCGCAGGAGATTGTACTTCTGTGAAACACTATTCTATAGAGAAGGTCAATTAGGCAGATGGCCACGGAGATATACAAATGACTTCTGGAAATTCACACGTTTTAATGGGCATAATTAATCTCTATAAGCTAATATAAATAGCCTAAATAAAGACTGTGATATGAATCCTGCATATGAATGTGACAAATGCCAAATGAATCCTTGATTTCGGTCTCAACTTTCTCAACTTTCAGGTTTCGTACCCGATGGAGGACACCGTGGTAGGGCTTCCCGCCAATTTGGAGAATTCGGCTCTAATTCCTTCCGTTGGACTGCCCTTGTAGAACGCTTTCGCCATGGCTTCCTGGAAGGTGGAGGAGCAACCAAGTGACACCATGGATTTGGCCTCAGCGCAGCTTTCCCGATGCGGCCCCGATGACATCACGGAAGAGCCTCAGCCTCAGCTCAACACCGCGGTGAAATCCCAGAAATCTGGGAAATTTAGGAGGACCGCCCTGACATTTTTTGGAGTTCGTAAAAGCATGTGTATTCTACCTAGTTTCTTTGGAGGAAGGAGTAGAAATCCCAGCAAGTGGACGTCTAAGAAAGGAATCGGCAAAAGCAGTACACACGATGGGCTGAGTAAGGTCAGCCATGACGATAATCTGAGCCGTCGGTGCACCTCAGCTAGAGATTGTGAGTACCTCGGTCAGAAGGACTCGGCTGCAGGGCTCCACGCTAGCTGTCCCAATGAATGTAGTCACTCCAATGCGGACCAGAAGTCACTGACTCTTCCCCGGCAGAGGAGGGGTTTGAGGAGCCTTTTTCAAAGTTTCAAGTCTCACAGACAATCCCACAGAAACGTGGGATTGGATAAAACTGAGATGATTGCAATGTCCTCTCCTCGCTGCGAGAAAGAGGTGCCTGTTGTCCAGGACAACGATAACCAGTATGTCACAGAGTGCCTGGATTCTGAACCGGATGTGCCTGATTCTGCAAATGTTGCGTGCAATGTTTCCATCGGCGGCGAATGTACCGACGCTGACGAGGCGCCGTCGGAGAAGAGTGCGGAGCGAGGCAGCACAAAGCCTGAGCTTGACGGGGAGACGTGTGACGAGGAAACGGAGGAGATGGATTCGGTGGTCGTGGATCCGAGCGACCTGAAGGAGAGTATGAGAGGACACAGCGAGCCCTGTCTGGCTCTTCAGACGGCGTCCGAGCCCACGGCGGAAAAGTCGGAAACGCCCGCCGGCTCGTCAGAGCAGCTGAACCTGATTTATGGAGACGTTGCTTCGTTGAAGAGCTTCGACTCCCTCACCGGCTGCGGGGACATCATTGCGGATCAAGAAGACGACAGCGTCACGGAGAGCTCCGTGTCCGGAGAAAGGAGCAGAAGTGGAGGAAAGAGGGCCTCTTGTTATCTCACATACCAGGGTGGCGGCGAGGAAATGGCTTCACCCGAGGACTTGGACGAGGAGTGTCTCCACGACTTCTGGGCAACTAACGCGTCGGAGGACATTTGCTGCACTTACAGCCAAGAGCACACAGACATGACTGCCGACCTGACGAGTTCTCACAATATGGACCTGCTGAACAGCAACAGCGCGCAGCAAGGCAGCGGCATGGACGCGTCTTCCATCGCCGACGTGCTAACGCCTCAAAGTGAGCATCAAGAGTCCGTCCCGACTAGCGACGAGGGCTACTACGACTCAACGACGCCAGGTCCGGAGGACGGACAGGACAAAGCGGACGGGCTGAGGGCGGAGAAGCTCCCCAGGGACAGTTACAGCGGCGACGCCCTCTACGAACTTTTTGCACCCGACGAGAGTCTCATCAGCCCCCATTACGAGAGCAAATCCAAACTGGCCGGTTCCAAACCGTGCGAGTATTTAAGCCAACCCGTCGACGCGACCGACTCCGCCTTTGTCCCGGACATGAATCGGTTACAGATAAGCAGGGAAATGTACGAGGTGCGAGACTTTCTGGAGATCGGTCGGCAAGAAATGGGCACGATGAAGAACCGCAACGTGGCCGCTTCTTTCAACAGGAACGACGTGGACCGTGATGTGTTTGATGAAAAGGGAAATAAGCTCGCTGCTACTGAGAAAAGAAGAAAATCCATAACTGCCGATTGTGAGAAGAGGCACAGCAGCGTGTCGTTCGGGAGCACATCCGATCCGGATTTTGAAACCTTTTGCGAACCCAAAGAGCAACACCTCGAGGAGAACAAGCCCGTGGCTCTGCCCTACAAGAACATCAACTCTCGGTCCCCCGCCGAGAGCCTCGCCGTGGACGACCGGCAAACAGTGTGTTTCTCTCAGGCGCTGGTGGACTACACAAAGCGCTCCCAGATGCTGCGCGACTCGGGCCGCGGGGCGGACGACACGGAGACTAACCCCGCCTTCACGCCGAACATGCAGGCCTTGCCCACCATCGTCACGTTCGACGTGGTGGACATGCACAACGAGGGCGAATACGGCGAGCAGATTCACATGGACCTGGAGGAGGACATTTCGTCGCCCTATCGGGGGTTCGAGGAGAGCTACACGCAGAAAGACGCATTCGCTGAATGCGACTATCAAATGTTGGACCTGTACGAGCAGAACCTGGTCGGCGGCACGTGGGCCATCGCGAGCCTCCCGCGGCACGCCGGCCTCAAAAGAGTCAGCCAGACCGCGTCCAATCCGCTGTCTCTAGACAGGAGGAGCAGGTCTCTGGACACGGACAGCCTCCAGCTGAAGATGCCCGACCGATACCGAGAGAACGCCGCTGCTTTTCCCCCGACCGAGAGGGACCCCGAAAGGGATTCCTCGCCGCATTGCAAAAAGAATGTACTCGCGTCGGAGGTCAGAGTCGGTAGCAACATTGTGGCCTTTTCGTGGCAAACCAGGTCAGAAATGGCTTTGAGCCTTCCCCTAACAGACAGAGAATTCAGCGGGAAAGTCCGGAGTCTCAGTCGGACCCCAGTTCAACGGCAAATGTTTTACGGCGCACCCGGCAGCAACCGCGCCAACATTAAATCGCAACTCTGCTGCGCGAAGCCGTCGGGCCGAGCGTCCTGTGGTCCAAGTTTGCAGAGCAGAGAGCCATGCAACAGGCCGTGTCCACTTCCGGCGCGGTCAGAATCTGGTTTACCTCGTGCATATCCTGGAGCAACGGACGTCGAGTCGGAGGATGTCAATGACAAGGATGTTTTTTGTAACGCCGTGGGTAGTTTGCAGTCCTACAATCGGTGTGGTAAAAGGGGAGGGACGTCCCATGCGGCGGGTCCCCCGGACGCGGGCGCGTCTCTAGGTGAACCGACCGCAGCCAGAGATGTGGCCGGAAGCAACCTTTGATCAACAGGGTCCTGGAGTTTTAAATCCAATTTATTTGTGCTAATGAGTTGTTTTGTTATGTCACTTCCGTGGCAGCAACTGTTCTTTTCTACTTGTATCACAGGCTCATTGAACACGTCAACGTACCTGGCTAGAGATGTGGGGGGCAGTCTTATTGGGAAGGTCAAAAGGATTGTCTGCATTTCCACAGTAGTTTATTTCACAAAGGCCGCACATGCAACACGCACACACACGTCTATTGAACACAGAAAGTGTTTAAGCAAGTAATCATTGTATTTGCTCTGAAAGTGCTCTCAGATTCATCTCATTAAGCTGTTGAATATTACAAGAATGTTTCATGCCCACGCCTAGCCTCAGTGTCCAGGTCTCATTATTGAGGTCGCACTTTGTTTATTGGATAGTCATCAGTCCGGTTTCCATAGCAAAGCCAAACCAGGGCGAGATGAATCTTGCTTTCGTTGCCAGTTGCCTCAAAACGCGCACGCTTATGCTTTAAGTGATGGCTTATATTTACAACTTATTTCACAGCCTTTCGTTACTCAAATGTTTTATTTCTAGCTGGTTTCTTGATGTTTTCATGTCAGAACAGATTGGGTTTAGGGATCAACGGGAGGACATATCAATTCCCAGGGAGGAACAGTCTTGTCCGTAATGCAAAACGTGTGTTGAAATGCATTAAGCTGTTGCACTTGTCTGCAAAATGTCTGACAGCGAGTTCTCCCTCTGGAGGCAGAACAGCATCAGCATACGTTGGACCTGTACGGACCGAATGGTAGTTCCTGCATCTCGACTGCAGCTGCATAGTCCATTTACATACTGTAGCCGGCTTCAGGGCATCTCGTAAACCACAGCACATTTCACACAAAGTTATCCAGTGTGAGGGTGTAAGTGCTTTACATAAGAGGTTGAAGAAATGGTCAAAAAGTAAAATAAATGTAAAAGGGTAGAGTAAAAATGACAACTTTCAGAACATATTTCAAATGTGCTGTTTTATTTGCGGCTCAACCAACTGAATCAGTCTCACTATGCTTGTTCTTTCTCCCATTTCCCAACAGCTGTCAAGTTAAAATTCTTGCTGAAATGATGGTCTACATTACTGTACGCTTGTGGAAACGTAGTTGGACTTTGTTTAGATTTTGAAATCACACGTCAAAAGTTAAACTGGTGTTTTTTCCTTGTATTATTTTCTTGTGCATTTAATTTTTGATCAGTCAGAGGTTTCAGATGTAGTGTAATACTGAAGAAATGTCAAAGAATTTGTATTTATATCCTCAGCTATTTGTACACTGTTAACATTGTATCAGAATGATGATTGCAGATGGTCAATATTGTTTCTGTTTTTATTAAGTTGCATCCATCTTACTTTAAGGGGTTCCTCTTGAAAACCTGTTACTATTTGGTCACAGTAGAATACTGCCTTATACAAAAATAAAATGTTTTTTTCCATTTTCCCCTCACTTGTTCATATTTGGGGTCATGGGGCAGACAAAGCAGGGGCACTCTGACAGATCAGTGGGCAGCTTTTATTCACACTAATACCAAATAGCAGTTCAGACCTTAAAGTTTAACTGAACAGGTTGACCCGCTTCTGCAGATTGATTGAGGAAATCACAAATGTGTGAGGATGCGTGGTGACGTGATCAAGCTTCTTTATTGGATTCGGGGTACAGGGACAGTTAAATAAAAACAGCCAAGACCATATTTTATTAGAATTTACATTACGATAACATCCCATTCAATCATTCAATCACACCAGTTGGAATCTCTTTAACAAATCTGACCCTGCTCGTTTGCGGTTGTGACCCGGGGGGGGTCTTTTCCACCGATGACATTCTTGCTGCTGCTGCCCCCCCTCCCCTCCCTCCTCCCCCGCCCCCCTTTGCTGTATCTGGCAATCCGGACCAAACTGCGACAGCGCCAATGGCAGCGAAACAGAAGACGGGTACCGGACGAGCAGGATGGCAGCAACAAGGTGAGATGAGCGCCGTCCGAAGTCTACCACAATCTGGGAGTATGTGCAGATGATGGAGAGGGTGTTGTTGCGGGGTGGTGGTTTTCCCACATCCGTCCGGGAAAAAAAAATCCCCAAAAGTCAACTTTATCTCAAGTTACAGTAGTATTCTGACCAAAAAAAATGTTAGCGCACGCTCAAAGGCTATGAGGCTAACTGGTGTTAGCAGCCCGGCGTTGGAAGTTAGCCTGTGGAGCCGCGCAACGGGCTAACTTCACCGCAGCGTCAGGTTAGCCGGGTGCTTAGCATCGCTGCCGTTAACCGAACAGAGACCAGGTTTGCGTGACAGGCTCGGCCGTTGGCGGCAGCCTCCGATAACGGCTTTCTGATTGCTCTCCAGCCGTTCACCGACAAGGTAAACCGAAGTGGGCCGGTTAATTAACGATGGTAAAGTGTTGACTGTACAGCCGGTGAAGTAACGGTAAACTAGCATGCTAGCGGGAGCTAACTGGGACTCGGGGCCCTTAGAACGTCAAACCGGTCGTTCTCATCAATTTCTATCGCAAAGGTGACGTCGTGAGCAGCGGTGATAGAATGATGCTATTCTAAAACGTGCATTGTGAGTATGCGACCTCTTTAACTGTCATCTTGTTTAACCTTATTTTTTTTACCCGTCTCAAATCAGGATGCTCTTGCTAATGATTTCAAGCACTTGAGGTTTTTTTTTTCTCCTTCTATTGACGTGTCAACTAGCTGATGGATGCTGTAACTTGGTCCATCTAGGTTCGTTTCACGGTTCAGGAGCTTTCATGTGTGGTCACTGCCATCGGGATCAATGCAGGGTTTGGGTTTGGTTGCACATTTATGCAGCTTTTTGATGTTACAGTGAGTCAAGGGTGAAAAAACTGGCTGAACATGAGAATTCAGTTCAATCCTCTTTTTATTTTCCAACTTTTAATATCCCCTCGCTGAAGGGATCATTTCCTTGGTTTTCCTCTCAAAGCGATGAGAGGAGGAAAATCTTTTAAAAATAGCTTGAATCAACAAAGCATTGTTGTAAGTAATTGCATGATATACAATCCAAAGTCATTTTCAGGAAAGTTGTTTCCTCGTTGCTTTACAGTTTTCTAGTGAATGGCGGGTGTTTTTTGCTATTCGACTCTCGATAGGATTCAAATAAACCAAATACTTAGTAACCGCAATTTAATCATGATCATTCAGCATTCAGTCCTCTCATTGGAGGAGGAGAGGTATAATAGAGCGTTAATTAAAATTACAGCTTTTTTCATGAATGTACAATCTTTAGTACAGTTTAGGTTATTTCTAGGCACAAATAACCCCCACCGCTTGAGTGTTGCGGTAGCCGCTGTTTTGTGGTGAAAAGTCTTCTAAAGCCTGCTGAAGGTGCATGTCAGAACTATATCACACACCCTTGCATGTCATTTGTCTGTCTCATATGAAATAACTGCTGGATCTTTACTTTCTACCGCGGTGTCCACTGATGCCCACTGGCACATGTAACCAAAGCTCACCACGCTGCAGCATACCCGTGCTTTCACACTGGACAGGGGATCCGCTATCGGGTCTGCCCCAGCTATGTTGGTCACGGGGACCCGTTTCACTTGTTGCTATGAAACGGAACCACACGAGCATGTGCATGTGCAGAGAAAGTCTGGAGGCCTTGCTGAGTCCATGCCTGTGAATCTGGAGGTGGATGGAAAGGGACCAGAGAAGCTCTGCTGTTTTTAAACATCTTGTCAAATGTCTTTAGACAGGGGTTTTCTTAAAAGTGCCCCAGCAGCCCCTCTTTTGCTGCTGGTTTGTTTTAAATGTTGTAAACTAAGTTGGGCACACGGCCGATGTTGGGAGGTTACTAGTTTGTATTTGAAGCTGTAGATTAAATCCCAGAAAATGTATCAACCTTCAAGATCTCTCCATGAATTCCAGTTTCTTTGTATTACCTGATGAGGACGCTGTCGATGTCACAGTATTTTCTAAATACTTTGATTTTTTTTTTTCCCCCTTTCATTTTTTTTCCGAATATATGCTGCCTCAAAAGTCTTCTAGTCTTCATATAGATTTGTAGTGCAGCTGTAAGCGTTGTGCATTTACCGACTGCTTGAAGAGCGATGAGCTGTGTTTGTGTTAGTCGTGACTGGTAAAAAGGAGTTAGCTGATGACAAGGCTGTGTTGCTAAGCAACCCACATCATGGGCTGTGCCTCTTGCAGCTCTGAGCTGGCTGCACTTTTCTTTTTTTTTCTCTCTCTCTCTCTGCAAGATAGGAGAAAAGCGTAGTCTCAGGCTTCCGTTCATGAACGCACTTGTTATCAAGATTCTTCTATTACCAGCATCCATTTGTGAAAATCAACACCTTTTATACAGCACAAAGTCAAACTCTGCTTCACCTTTTTTTAAAACCGCTGCGTTCCCTTCTGGAATTCTGTTTTCAATTCAGGGTGTCTGTCAGAGGGCTGGAGAAGCAAGGGTGCACTGGGCTGCCCACACTGTCTCCGGTTATGTTAACTCATGCACTCCATCCACGTGTGTCTGGCCCAAATGTGGCTTGCAAGATATACGCACATATAGAGGCGAGGGTTGTGCTGCAGCGCATTAATACCTTCTGTGCCGGAATAGCGGGGGGGGTTTGGTTCAACACGGCCAGAGAGACCGCAGGGAGGGGTGGGGGACCTTTGCTCTCTGTTATAGCTATATTTTTACATATTGCACACGCAAGCATATTGAACATCACAAGAAAAGAGCGTGGATATTTTCTTTTTTGTGTATATTTGTTTATCGGGAAAAAAGACTCCAGCTCAATTCTCTACATGATGCTTCACTGTTCACTGGTTATAAATGTGTGAGAATCCGATTTTGTAGCTGTGACATTTCGCTCAGAGTGACTATTTAACCGTCCAGTTTCACCAACAAACAAAAGTCACCATTTGTCTAGCTACGAACAGTCAGACAGGGATAACCTGCATATGTGTATATACATTCTTATTTTTGTTTCTTTGTGCTGGTGACTAATATGTGTCCTTTAGCTGACTAAGTTCCTTACTTGCCCCAGATAGCGGTGTTTGCCGCTGGTGGAAAAAGAAATGGTCTGCCACATGTTGGATGAGAAGCTGAAGACTTTGAACCGCCTCAGCGTTTTTGTATGAACATTTTCATACGTCAAATTATTTTATATATTTGTCTGTTTCTTTTTTTAGCGCGACTGTTTTGTTTAATCTTTGCCATCAAGCTGTTGCTCCGCGGTGATAAAATCCTGACGAAATGATCACAGATACAAATGAGTGAAGGCTCTGCTTTTAGACGCAACTATAACTTGATTGGCAGTAAAGTAAAGTGGGTGTTTTATTCTGGAAAGAGCGCTGTAACAGCGAGCAATGGATATGTTCACAAATTGAATCAGGTTTTATGTGCACCTTTTTAAAAAGATGACAGCTTGTGAATTAACAAACTAAAAGGTTTCATCCCAGTGCACTTTTGCGTCTTGAAACTGCTCTTGATACAGAAATACATAAGTCTTTCCTGGTAGGTCTTCAGAAGAATCAAATGATTCCTTATGGTTCGTTTTGAATTCACCATATTTCTGATTGAAACTTTTTATTGTGTTGTTGTTTTTTCCGCTCTTTCAGGGATTCAGTAGTTTGATTCAGCCTGCCCACACGTGTTACTTTGGCTCCGAACAAAGAGCCTGTAGCGCTGACGTCCAGCATTCCAGTATGATTCCCTGGCTTTGGTGGAGGTGAGGAAGCATGGCGTGGAAATCTGAGGCGGCGAGACGAACGTGACGACAGTATGGTTGATGGTGGAGAAGCTCAAAATGGAAAAACGCCCGTGCAGGGAGGAGAACATTGACTCAAGCGAGGCCCGGCATGCCAGTGACGACTCCGAGGACGCAAGCAGCTCCGAAAGCGAACCAGAGGAGCAGCAGCAGCAGCACCAGAGGGTTCGGCTGAGCAGCAGGTGTAAGAAGAGGGAGCCTCTGGCCGTCGCCAAGCCCCACCGACAGCTCTGTCGCTCGCCGTGCCTCGACCGGCCCAGCTTTTCGCAGGGCAGCACCGCTCAAGACCTCCGCGATGACGACGGCAGCGCAGCCGCCACCAGGCTGGCCAGCGACCGCGAGTACCAGACCAAGATGGACTTTGCGTTGAAGCTGGGCTACTCGGGGGAGCAGGTGGAGACGGTGCTCCACAAGCTGGGGGCCGCTGCGCTCATCAACGACATCCTCGCCGAGCTGGTGAGGCTCGGGAACAAAGTGGAGCCGGAGGTCCAGCCCTGCAGCGGCGCCGCAGCGTCCATGTCGCGGCCCCCCTGTGTGAAAGAGACCGTCAGCCCCGAGGTGTCGGTGGAGGATGACTCCCCGGATACGTTTGACAACCTGCGGCCCATCGTCATCGACGGCTCGAACGTGGCAATGAGGTAAGACGCGTAAGACACACGCATCTAATCAGTCATTAGTTCATGCAGATTTCCTCTAAAGTCCATTTTGTGAGGTAAAAGACGGCCTTCTGCCTCCACTGTGTTTTGTTTTTTTCTAGCCATGGAAACAAAGAGGTGTTCTCGTGTCGTGGGATCCAGCTGGCTGTGGAATGGTTCTTGGAGAAAGGACACAAGGACATCACCGTGTTTGTCCCCGCATGGAGAAAGGAGCAGTCGAGGCCCGACGCCCTCATCACAGGTAGTCGGCGGTTTGCGAGGCAGCCGCTGTTTGAAGTTGCCCTCTGTAGTAGAGGTTGGCGGGGCAGAAGTCACACTAGGTTATATCAGTTTGTTGTGGACGTGTTGCATGCATGACCTTTTGTTGGGGAAGTGAGTGCTTGAGATTTATCCGAGTGGGCGGCGCGGTGTTGCGGTTGGTAGCACTGTCGCCTCAGCAAGAAGGTCCTGGGTTCAAAACCCTGGACGCCTCCTCCCACAGTCCATAGACATGCAGGTGACTTGGTCAATTGGTGACTGGTGTATGAAATAGAGGAGTTAGTGGTTGACTGTCTGTCATCCAATGCCCGCCTCCAGCGGCCCTCCAGGGATGAGTTGCATAGAAGATGCCTGACTGACTGACCCTAATACGACGTTGATGCATACGATCACCATCCAAAATACTCTGTTCTCCTTCTCCTTCAGATCAGGAAATATTACGCAAGCTAGAAAAAGAGAAGATCCTGGTTTTTACCCCATCTCGGAGAGTTCAAGGCCGGAGGGTGGTGTGCTACGACGATCGCTTCATAGTGAAGCTGTCTTATGATTCTGATGGAATTATTGTGTCAAATGACAACTACAGGGACTTGCAAAATGAGAAACCGGAGTGGAAGAAGTTCATAGAAGAGCGCCTCCTAATGTACTCATTTGTCAACGACAAGTAAGAAACAACGATTCCTTATTATGCCTTCCAAAGTATTTAGAATTGTACCATCAAAGCAGGTTTCTAGTAAACATTGTTATTTATTCAGAAACTATTTGTGTGTATTTGGTGGTTACATTCTGGCCTTTGCAAATCAAAGAACATGCTGGCAACAATAGAGCTGACATTCTCTGAATGACTCTTGGGAAATAGGTTCATGCCGCCCGATGATCCCTTGGGACGACACGGTCCGAGCTTAGAAAACTTCCTCCGCAAGCGTCCTGTGGTTCCAGAGCACAAAAAACAACCCTGCCCCTATGGTAAGTTCTCCAATGTTCTTTTCCCCGCTCACGGTCTGAGCGACGTTGCCGTTCTGGTTTTGCGTCATTTGAGGGCGAGCTTGTGTTGACGCCACCTACTCTTTCTTTCAAGGGAAAAAATGCACGTACGGACACAAGTGCAAGTACTACCACCCAGAGCGCGTCAACCACCAGCCGCTGCGGTCGGTGGCCGACGAGCTGCGGGCGTTCGCCAAACTGTCGGCGGTGAAGACGATGAGCGAGGGGGCTCTGGTGAAATGCGGTGCCGGCCCGGCGGTGGCGGCCGCCGCCAAGGGCGACGGCCCCTCCGAGGTGAGGCGCGTGGCACCCAAGCGCCAATCCGACCCCAGCATCCGCCCGGTGGCCTGCGAGACTCCCGCGGCGCTGTCTGTTGCCAGGAAGTCCGAGGCCAATTCAGTGCCTTCCCTCGTGTCTGCTCTCAGCGTGCCCACCATGCAGCCCGCCAAGAGTCACGCGGCCGGGGCCTTGAACACGCGATCGGCCAGCAGCCCGGTGCCCGGCTCTATGCAGTTCGGCCACAGCTCCCTCGAGCACATGTCCAGTGTACAGTACCCCCCAATTTTAGTGACCAACAGTCACGGCGCCTCCATCACATACGGGGAACAGTTCCCAAAGTACGACTCGGTGAGCGACCACGGGTACTACTCGGTGCACAGTGATTTCTCCAACATGAGCATGAGCAGCATGCACAATGTGGACAGTTTCTGTAGCATGGAGCACGAGCACGGCGTGTATCAGAGGAATCCCAGCCACTGCCTGGAGTCCTGCCTCAGCCATTCAAACAGCGACTCCTTCTCCTCCTACGGGGACATGTACCCGAGCTCCGTGGACAGCAGCTTGGAGGAGAGCATGAAGGGCCAGCAGCAGCCCACCGCGCAGGGCCGGATGCAGGCTTTCACCCACGGCTTCCGACACGAAGCGCTGACTAGGGTGCAGAGCTACGGGCCCGAGGAGCCCAAGCAGGGCCACCGCAAGCAGCCCGGCTCTCGTCTGGCCCCGCACATCCAGCACGTGGCGGTGGGGGCCCGGTCCAGCTGTCCCGGGGACTATCCCCTCACTCAGAACGTCCTCCCGCCTTTGTCCTCGCAGCCCACGCGCTCCCTCGGCATGACTCGCATGGACAGCATATCGGATTCACGGCTGTACGACAGCAACCCGATGAGACAGAGGCGACCTCCGCTGTGCCGCGAGCAGCACGCAAGCTGGGACCCTCTTCCCTGCGGGAACGAGTCCTATGAATATCACTCGTACCCGCTGAGCAACAACCTGATGCCGTGCTGCGAGCGAGTGATGGTCCGTAGCATGCCGGACAAAATGGAACAAATCTGGAACTCGCCGTGGGAGATGCCGTCCGCGGCCGAGCACCAAGAGCGGTACGTCATCCCAGACCACCAGTATCAAACATATCGGAACCTTTGTAACATCTTCCCCGCTTACGTAGTCCACTCGGTAATGGAGAAGAACCCTCATTTGACAGATCCGCAACAACTCGCTGCCATCATTGTTACAAAACTGAGGTCATGCCATTGAGCAGTTATTATTAAACATTCTATAATAATGTGATACGGGGAAATTCAGATTTTGATAGGCCCTTGCTGCATGTGCAACATCTGCCCTCAGGAGTTTTTTTTTCTTTTATTTTTTTTTATATGTGGGGAAATAATATTTTACATCTCTAAGATGACAGAAGAAATCAGCATAGAGGAGGTTTGTCCAAACAGTTTATCTGAAATTGTAAAATGTTTCATAGCTACGTTTTTATATAAAGTGTGTTAGAGTAAAGCTTATTAGAAGTTTGCTTCATAGCACATTTATACCACCTGAGCAGGAGCTGCATACCCGCTCTGTACCATATGCAGAATTAGTTTTTGTTCGAATTCTGCAAAATATATACTGTATTAAAGAACACCAACATTTAGCATGGTGGTTAAATGTCCACCGGATCACAGAGCGGTTGGACAGCGGGTGTCTTTTGATTTGATTTATTACAGTATGAAAAGGATGTGTGGATATCCAGACTCTTCGGCAATGAAACAATCTATGAATTTATTCAAGAAATATTTGGTTTTGATTTTTTTTCTATTTCTAAATTCCCTTCAAGAATAGGTTTTAAGGTTTTCATTTTTTATCACATTAGTGCATAATTTCCTGTAACATTCACAATTCTTAATGTCAATTCTAATGACGATGGTGATGTCACTGGCCTGTTACTCAATCAGGAGCCTCCTGACCTGCCTCTAGCTATGAACTTTAACAACCGTGCCATTCTGACCAGCCAGCGTTATAGCAACAACCATGATAAAGTTATTATGAACTAACTAATTTGGGCCTGACCTGAAATATACACAGAAACTATGTTCTCCTTTTTATTTATTTAACTTAGTGTGGCGGGCCTGCTATACAGGGATTCTTTATTACTCCTCATCAAAGTGTGTTTACGGCAGCAAGTCGGCTGTGTTTTGAGTCACGTCGATGCCGAGTAGTAATCCAGCATGCGTGTAGATGGGTAGTATCATCCTTAATCACTAAAAAGACCTTTAGTTACTGTCATCACTTCGTTAGAGTCGACTTGGCATTTTGTTGATTTAGGTGCAACAACAACGACAACTTTGTGTTGACTGGTCAAATCTAGAAGCAATTGTGAAGTAAAAACAGACTTTTGAATAAACCTATTTATGATACAACTCAATATTCCTAAAAGTATTTTTACAATAGAAATAATGTGTTAATACTTAATTAACCAACAATTTGTTTATTCATTTAATAAATGTTTAACAGCGTTTAACCCATTTAAACCCCATTTACATTTAATTAACTAATACTGACTAACAGTAGTGACTGGCTGGTTCACCAATACAATTGAATAACTTTTATCATAGTCTTAATAATATAGTAATCCAGTTTAAATCTGAGCACAATCTCTCTTTTATGAAGCTCTTGTTCAGGCTGTGAACGTGTTATGAAAGGAATCTAGTGTGTTTCTGGTGCAGTTGAACTATAAATAACCTCGCTTAGGTCTGCCTCTGCTGTAAATAATTTGTGACTTTTATTTTAAAGATAAGAGAGCGAGGTAGTGACATACCTCACAGCATGAACTATGACATTTAATGGCCTTATATCTGAATGACCTCACGCTTTAGTCATTGTCTGTTTCAATGAAAGTCTTTGTCGTTGAAGCCTCCTATTTTCAAATGTAAAGCACTATCCCCGTATCTAAAGGGATATATTTTCTCAGCTTCACTTAACAAAGCTACTATTTTGGTAGAATTTAACAGTGCACAAAGCAAGCCAAAAAAGAGATTTGACTTATATACACGTGCACATACTGATGTACATATAATCACACGGAAGCCATTGTTTCAAAGTCATTTATAAGCTGCTAAATAATGCCAAAAAAAGATAGAGACTTTATATAGTGTCAGTATTCTACATACCTTGGAAGCAATTGGATTACAGCATTAACTAACTGGGTTAATTTCCTACAGTGCTCTGTATAGTTATCTTTCTGATTTTATTGGATGCTACTTCCAAGATTTTCATATATATATATATATATATATATATATATAATTTGTCATCTGTTGTGCTGATTCTTTTTCAATGTGAAAATATTCAAAGTATCTTTGTTTCAAACAGTAGCTCTAATGGACTTCTCCGCGTTGTCAGAAGAGCAGTGTGTTTTCGGGAGTGGGTTCATGTCGTTTACGTGCAGATCAGCAGTCTGATAATTCCTCATACATCGCGTGAGAAATTAGACTCTTATCAGTGTAAAGCACGAAGAGAAACTGGGTTAAACATCCCAGATTTCATTTATACACTTTGTAAAGGATCGGGTTTGTTTCTTTACGTGTGCTAACGTGCACGACAAAGACCTGGGAATTGGAAGGTGGCGGTGGCAGTAATCTAGCAGGATTAAAGAATATTAAGTAAAGTAAATGCTTTAGTCGATTAAATGATCTTTGCCCGTTTCCACAGATGAATGGTGCACTTTAAACACGCACGCAGGAAAAGACGTCTGCCATCAGCACAGATGCTATAACAAAAAAAGAAAACACAATACAGATGTGACAGTGTCCTATGGTTTATTGCATAATATATCAGATACACGTAGCTTGAAATCTAATTCCAATTTAGAAATTGACCGTGATGTGATAGAAATGTGCTGTCGGAGATGGAAACCATGTTTTCCATCGCTGTTAAAATGCAGAGAACTGAACACTCACCCGCCGTTCTCTTTGGCGGATACAGAGTCAGATAGTGTATCTTGGCGAGAGTGTATATTGGACTCATTTTTTATGGGGGGGGGCTGCTGGCCCGTCAGCAGATGTTGAGCAGGCCAACGTGTGTAAGGGTTTGGCTGAGCCTCGCAGCACATCGCTCTCAGGGCGCTTTCCTTTTTCTAGTTTTCAGTTTCCCGGCTAAAATCCAGTGGTTCACTGGCAAGAGTGTATTCTGATCTAGTGGTGATATATTTTGTGAAAATCCTACATGCAACATGTGATACTTAAAAGTAACGTATGTACAGTTGAAAAGTGGCGATGGCGTTGCAGAACTTTGTACTTTTTGTCTATATCCTTGTTACGCACCATGAGATCTAGAAATTTGAGTTAATCGGATGGCTTCATCTGATGCAGCTGCCGTCACAGGGCATCATGTTGGGGTCCGTGAGGGTCATTTACATTTTATCCAAGACTTTGGTCCTTAGGATGATAATATTAGACGGTACGGGTGATGTTTGGTACGGCCCCCAGGTCATCAGGCAACCGCTTCTTTTCAAGAAATATGACCTAATGCAAAGCACATTCATGCACCCCGGAGAATAAACCCCTGTGATCTTAATGATCCGTTGCCTTTATTCCCACTCTCAGGACAAAGTGCCACACACAACTTTCAGGCTATAAATTGTAAAGAGGTTGTAACATGTGAAGCATTTTAATCTCGAGATTCAGGTGTGGTTCTCTTACACCTACTATTGGATGGCCTGAACATTACACATTTACAATATAGTCTGTGAGGCGTGTGAAATAGAGAACACGCCCACTAATGTCACATCCAACTCCATTGTGATCAAATGACAAAAGTCCATCGGTGACCATGTATTTAGTCGAGTGTTTTATTATCTTTAATAAAGCAAATGGAAGTGATGTTGACCTCAAAGCGTCTAGAAAGATGCCTCCCATCTGTAGAATATGGAGCCCACTCGTATATTTGTCCTTTTTGAATTGGAAAAATGTTCATGTTTTCTAACTGAGTGGTTTTACTCTTTAACAGGGTTGATTGTGTGAGACTGACCTTTTCTCATTGGTGGTGTTTGAAAATAAGAAGAAAAATCTATATTTCTTTATAATGTCTACGTACAGCCGGGGTATATAAACAGACATAAAGAAAGAAAAAAAAAAATTGAATGTGTTTTTGCCCAAATGATTATTGGGCTTTGCCGACTTTGTTTTTTTTCATGAAACAAAGACAAGGCCACCTAAGGCCGTCTGTCTGCTCATGAGAAGGTGAAACAAACTGCCTAAATGTTTCTTCATGTGAAACAATCCGATTGCAAGGCGCTGTCAAGGTTGTTTCTGGCATTTGGCTTGAAGTTTGCGTGCTGTCCCTTTCCCTTTATAGATAGTTGAAGTGTTATTGATTAAAAACAAGTTCTCCGTGCGGATCAGCTGAAATGTCTCTAAAACATCAACACGGATTTAGAGGCCAATGATTATTGATTTGACACTAATTTGGTTCAAATGTAATCGGACTCCATCTCTTGGTGATAGTGAGATCCTCTAACCTGAACTCTAGGATGGTCGATTGCCCCGATGAACGCAGAGTGCTTTTACCGAGATGTGCTGGGGAACCACTACGCGGAGTTTAAACATCAACACCACCCATTTCACAATGACAATTTTGTGGATTTATAATAAGGAATAGTATTCTCGAAGTAAATCATCGAGTGATCTCAACGGACATCTATGGTGGCGGAAGCGGTTGATCACAAGGTCCACTTCGTAAGCTGCAGCACATACAGGACGCACCTGTGACATTGATGTCACATCGATTTACAGCTGTGTTTAACTCGTGCTGCTATTCCTGGCACGGGGACACAATGCCTGCACTTCTGTCTCGTGGACAGCGTGGCCTCGACAAGTGTTAAAGATTCAGAGCCCAGCGGCTGTTAATCGTGTGCGTATAATGTTGAAATAGTCCAATCCCAAAGACGGCACTGTCTGCGCGTCAGTTCTTTTAATTAAAAATAAAACATCTTTTTAGGGTTTACGTTCTGTCCATGTTCCTGACGCTACTTGCAGAAAGAGTCTGCTGGACAATCGACTGCCATCGGGCTAAAAATAATACTCACTATCACGTCAAAAGGTCCGTCAGTGTTTAGCTGCTTTTGTTAACCGGTTACAATAATGGCCGTAACAGTGTGCCCCCCCCCCCCCTCCACCCACTTTCAAAAGCGCCGCAAAAAACTAAGCCACAAATGTCTAGAATTGACTTTTGCTTGTTGATACAAATTGTATCTGTACCTTGAATGTAACAAAATATGAAATGTATTATATGAAAATAGTTTTATTTAAATAAAAGGGAAAAAAATAAATGAATGCCATAATGTTGGTGACACTGTGTGTCACTGGGAGTAGCCCATTGGTATGTACTGATTCTTACTGGGTACAGTCGTTACTCTACAGGGACATTTAAGTGCTGCACAACAGTGCACATATAACCTGTGTACAGTAGTGAGCATGTCCTCTCTGTACATAGTCACACACGTGTGTGTGTGTGTGTGTGTGTGTGTGTGTATATATCTATATCTATATATGTATATAGATATAGAATGTGATCTGTAACAGTAACTTCAGTTGTTCGAATACTTAAATGATTTCTGTGTTGTAACCTGTGCACCCTGGTTAAGTGCATCTAATTCCTCTGAGGTCTCAGCGTTGCGCTATTTTAATGGGAATATTTTGAATATATTTTGCCTAATAAAACATGCCAAAGTTTGAGGTGGCTTTCTCGTACATCCACTCTCGTACTCGTTCTTTGTGACTCCACACACACACACACACACACAGAACGGGTGGATACATAACACAAACATGGTGTAATACTCAGGTCACACAAACATTTAAAATCACAAACTGGTGTTTTCTAATGTTGAAAGGTGGTGGTCTGTAGTATTAAAAAAAGCACTTTTCTGCCGTTTTCACATCCCGTCTGACTGGATATCATTGCTTTTATAAACCTAAATATACAAGAATAGACTATTTGGGTCTGTGGGCTCAAACCAAATGTAAGTCTTATTGACAAAATGTGTTTTTCTTCATGAATAAAGCAAAATTATGTTCAAACTGTTTTAATTGTGTTTAATGAGACAGGAGTGTACGTTATTCAAGTGAATTTGATGTTACATTTTGATGTGTGAAGTAAAGGAATCCAAGGAGATTGTATTGTAATAAGTGTATGTCACTTTTTACTCTGCTTTTGAGCCTTTTTTTAATAACTTTTTACACCTCATGAACAAGTTAGCCGAGATCAAGCTGGAAGGATCCGGTTCAGACCCTCTGAAAAAATAACATCATGCTTCATCTATGACAGCTGAATAGATGGACAGAAACGGTTGTTCAATTGGAAACAGTTTCCATTGTGTTTCAGAGGAAGGTACGCACGTATCACAGGAAAAATGAACCCAAAATATGTGTGGATGATGTGCAGCGGGTTACACAGCACATGCACACTATCTGGTGGTTGAAGGTTGCAACGGCTTCAGATTAGATGGCAATGATTTTACTTTAATTTATTTTACAAACGGACACTAAACTCAACCTGTTGAAGCAATGAAATAAAATGACTTTTTTGTCCCTAGTTGACTTGTATAATAGAGGGCAGGCTGCACAGACTAAGACTACTAAAGAGGATTTCTGAGGCCTAATGAGACACACACAGGTCTGGTCAGCATCAGGGTTTGGGGGGATTTGAATGGGCAGCAGTTAGCAGCTCACTGAGTTCAGGCTGTGGGAGGTCATGCTGCCCCCGGAGTGTAAGATGAGTCAACATGTCGACGCAGTGACGTCTCCAGGGGATTTATCGAAGCACCGGCCGCTCCCCCAGGAATTCCATTTTCTCAGCTCGGTGACTTTAAGAGCTTATATCCTGTTTTTGAATTTCTATTTTCACACGGTGCAAGTGTACATTCAGCACGACGCTCTACTGATGTTGAAGCGGTTTTGATTTGATATCGTCCTTCTGAATAACACATGGAGGCTACTTGTACCAAAAGAGAGCAGATGTTGAGACACCATCGGCGAGGACGCGGCGTGATTAGGGGAGCATATGAGCTGCCAAGAAGAAGCGCAGCCGAGGTAAACCACACAGTCTCAGTTTCACCGAGGCGAGAGGGAGTTTCACATGCACACGTGCATACTTGGGTTTACTGTAGGCCAATGGTGTGTTACCATGAGTCATTGTGCTTCATTCGGTGGGTTCTGATAAAACCGTCAGGCGAGAGAACATTTAGTGAGAAAGTTGAACCCCCCCGACAATGCAGATAAACAATTTGAAGCGACCCGGCTCTGCGGCGGGGCTCCTAAAATGATATTCATCCCTCAGCGGGACATCGGTGGCCATGGAAACAGTTTCATAACCATGAAAAAAAACACTGTAACAACACACTGTACACTGTCTATTATGTCAGGAACAGATATAGGCCACATGTCTTTTATGTCCGTGCAATTGTGAAGTAACCTCAAAGTGTCCACTGGATTGTAACATTAAATGAAATGCTGCAGTGCGTGTTGTTATTGATTCACAGTGCCTTAAGGTCCGCATGCTCACTAGAGAAGCTCCACCTGGACCAGAAGCGCTCTTTACATGCTACAAACACGTGGCCTGCCAGATGTGAGCGGCCTAATAAAAAATAAGAAGAAATAATACGCTGCCATTTTGAAGAAAATAAAATGGTTAATTAAATTAAAACCACTACAAAGTAGGCTGCTCTTCGTTTTTCATCTGTCCCCTAAACCACAGAGTGAAACTATATTTATTATCCATCACATTGTTTGTGTTGGTTGCAACAACTAAAGAAACCCGTAATCACGTATCAGGACCTCCATTGTGGTTTAATGTTTAAAATGTAAAGGCGCCTCCTTAAACATTCACAGGGTCACAGAGACAGAGAGACAGACAGACGGACAGACAGACAGACCGAGAGAGAGACACAAGGAGAGAGACAGAGAGAGAGAGACAGGCACCGAGAGAGAGAGAGACAGAGGAAGAAAGAGAGAGAGAGAGCGAGAGAGACAGAGACAGAGGAAGAGAAAGAGAGAGAGAGACAGAGAGAGAGAGAGAGAGAGAGAGAGAGAGAGAGAGAGAAGCCATGACGATGCAGCCGTGTAGGCGGAGTCTGCCGCCCAGAAGCCCACCTCCCCCCTCCCCTCCCCGGCCCGGCCGCCGCCGCCTGTCATCGGCTGGGTGTGGTCTTCAGGAGTCCCGTTAGCAGGAAACCGAGCTGGAGCCATTTCACTTTTAAGGCGAAACAAAGAAAGTCAAGCGAAAAAGTAACGTTTTGTGTCCTCGCGACGGGCAGAGCGGTTTGTTTTGATGGGAGAAAGTTTTCTGCTGGTCTCGTTAGCTGCTCGTCTGATTTAATAACTTTTTTTTTGTTGAATAAATCCTGAACCGAGGAAAGATGCCGAAGACGGTAAGAGTGAAAAACCCTTTAACGGTCTCGAGTTTAAAAGACTAACGTCGCCGTGGCGTTATTTCAGTTTGTCGCTCTCTCGCTAATTTAATCTCATTTACAGTGTCAAATTGAAGTGGACAATTCACACCGGTACCTAAATAACGAACATTAAAACAACCCTAATTACACACCCGCTACGAATCGAGTGGTTTTTACCCTCTTTACATCCCACGGGCTCATCCTGCGATTTTCTGGGGGCACTTTCCGTTAGGCGTGTGCCCGTGCGCGCTCCCGCCGGTTCGTTCATTAAAATTAGCGCCTTAAATCAAGTCCTTCACGGAGGCGTCGGGGCTTATTTTGCGCGCCACGTTACCGGGGGAGGAGGCGGCGGCTTTCTCTCCGTCCCGGGGAGACCTCAAGTCACATTTCTGCTCAAAAGCCGACTAGTGTGGCCTGCGGGAGCTAACGAGCTAGGCCTCCCTCTCACTCTCGGGGTCCAACCGTGCGGATTTGAACTGTCATTGAGGCCAGCTGTGCTTCCCTGAAATCTGGAGCAAATGGAGGCTTTACCCTAAAACGGGGAGGTGGCGGCGGCGGCGGGGGGGGGCAGGCCGTAACAACCAGTGTGCGCTATTGCCACTGTGACCGAAAAGCGGCCCAAATGTCGCGCTGCGGTATCACCGCTGCAGTGGCTCTGAACAAAGGGAGCGACGGTGGACTCGGACCTGGCTCTTTGTTTTATTCAGTCAGCATTTGGCAAAGCTCTATGTGTTTTCCAGCTCGTGCCCCCCCTCCCCCAAATCAGAGTCACGCTGAAGGGGAAATAATAGGGGCTCCAACCCATCGCTCATGTTTGCCCTCCGGTGAAGAAGAGTCAGGCTTATGACTCCGCATAATGCTTTTGCATTTACAAGTTCATGTAGAAAGTGAAATCTGTGGGCAATCGTTGTTATTCACGGTCGGTCCAGAGCTGTAATACCCACGTGCTCACCCTGACAATAAATGCAACACTATGCTACGAAAAGAGACACACAGGATGTCACAGCGTAGGCACTTGAATCCATTATATCCATTCATTTGTGTATTTTTTTTTTTGAATCGAGCGTCATTAGATCATCTTATGCATTACTCACTAATTTACCAGTTAACTATATTGTTTTCTGCTCTTAAGTCATTAATTGTGTGTGTGCTATATGAAGGAAGGACTTCAAATCAATGGATATATATATATATATATATATATTTCTTCCAGCTAATAACTTGAAAAACATGCCATAGCATCCTGTCATTTAAAGTGCCCTCATCATCAGTACCCTCGTCTTCCTGAAAGGAATTCCCCACGTCATATCAGCTTTTTTAAAATAAACTTTGTAGGGCTGCTCAATAGTAAAATTGTGCTACTGGGGCAAATAACATTGCCATATATTCACAAAAATGTTGCTTTAAATTGTAAGTGGAATTATTTGCACGAGACGGCAAAAATATAATGTGTGCAGCATAGATAGTGAAGAGGAAGCAGACAGATTCTCTCAAAATAAACAACAATGGAAAGTGACCACGGACTACAGGCTATCTAGACTATCTTATATTTCAACATTAAACGCAGACCACCATGATCAGTGATTTGGTCTCCTGTATGGCTCCAGAAAGGTACTGTACAAGTGATTTAAATGAGTTAATGGGGATGCCGTGGGCACAATGTATGAAAGAATGCAGTTTTACGCTGATTCAGCAAACGATCCGAAGCTAACCGCACCCAGAGAAAGTCGTCTCCCCGATCTGTAATCACATACACAACAAACCCCATCAGCGAGTAGAATTCCTTCTGTTTGTTCAAAATAGCTTTTCCATGAACTGTTTTGGCAATTTATTACATTTTTATTTTTTAGTTAACAATGGCAAACTTTGACGTTTGACCAGAGAAATCTCTATTGAGAAACTCAAATTTGCCCGACTGCTGTTGGCAGTGCTGAAGTTTCCCAAGGAAGCCATGTTGTGACTCAAGGTTTCTGCTCTTACATCAGTTCCTCTCCGGTAATTTTCTTGCCTGCAGCCTTATAAGGACTTTCACATCACAGTCTTGCCATTCTCCCCCCCGCTTCTCGCCGAGCGCGGCCCTCTGATGCAGACCTCCACTTTAGATTGCATTACAGCATGCAACAAGTACAGGGCCTTCTGTAGCGCTGTGGTTAGCGGTGTTATTTTACACTTAAGTGCCTTTTAGTCCCTTTTATGCAGGATTACATTTAGGCTTTTCCATTTTTCTTAAGTGAGAATTAATTATTATTTTTGGTTATAGTGCTGCAACCTGATCTTGTGTTTTTAAAAGTAGTTTTCTTTTCCACCTCACTGACTTTACTGCTGAATGAACCTTAACCATAGTATCCGTTTACTTGCCTTCTGCTATTTGAACAATATAACCATTTCATGTAAAAGTTCAGCAAACGGCCGGAGGGTTTTTGAACCAGTTTCTCGCTAAGTCTGGTGTACTGTTAATTACATGAACACAGCACCTGTTTTGTCAACAGATAAACAAACAGCCTACGGTTATTGCACAAAACGTGAGCCTAACTCACCATTATAGCCCGTTATGTAGAAATCCTGACGAATGCTGTTTACTTGCTATAAGCAGGACCAAACTTTAAACGAGTGTGACCGTAGAGAAATGTTGAATGGAAACTGCCAGCGGTATGCAAGCCGGGGATTAAATAAGTCTGTATAGTGCACATAGCAGAGCAGATTATCTGTGTGTGTGTGTGTGTGTGTGTGTAGAGGTAGAGCCTTTTGGACAACCTACAATCAAACCTTTTTACACATGTTTTCTGTTTGGAGGTGGTTAACAAATCGTACGTCTAAAAGTAAGTTATTTTATTTTTGGCTTTAATGTATATTAGCATCCTTGGTCTATAAGCTGCTAAAACCTCTTGTCCATTTTCTGTTTTTATTTCTCTCTAATGTACTTTTTATAGACATTCAAAGATTATTATCATAACACAATACAATGTTCTAGTTATTTGTCTAGTGCAAGCCAGCAAGCTTCAGACTGTGTACATGATGAAAGAATAGCATGAGCACTAGTCCACATAATGGTGGAGGACTGCCAACAGAAGAGCCTGGGGTTTCTATCCGTCTTGTTTCTGTAGGGAAGACGTTGTCAACTTGTGGGGATTGGACCCTGCTGGAAACATGGAATAAGGTCTAACAAGTCATATTGGGTCTCAAATGTATACTGGAAAACGATCCAGTCCGACAAGTTTTGCCGTTTTGGTCTTTTAGTTGGGTCTACATATTTCTGTGTGCATGCCTGTAACAATATAGCAGTGGATTCTGATCCAAAAGCAGACCCTATGGGCATAAACCAGCCCTTACTTGGTCAGTAGGAGGCTTACAGCTGGCAAACAAGTGCAGGGACCAGAAGGAAGGCAATATGTCATCAGAATAAATGAGACCAGAACAAAGCTAAGGCCACATAGGAGTGGTATCACCTAAAATACGAGGATTAGTAAGGTAGAGAAGGTGATGAGTGGGGTTAACGCATGCAGTAAACTCGAGACGATGTGACCCAGCAGGATGTGGATGGCTAGAGAGGAGGAAGCAGCGCTTTATCCCCACGCTTGATGTTTTTATTAAAAACAACCAACAAGCTTGTTTGTAATTCTTGCAGTGATGTGATTTATTTTTTCCACAAGTGGTTGTGGGAACCGCCTCAAATGGACCCTATCTGCCCTCTTTGTGTTTACGGCCCCCTGCGTTGAGATCCTCCTCCTTCCTGTCCACTGGTCTCTTCGGCCGCGGGGTTTCTGATCTGATCCGGTAACAGCAGGCAGCGCGAGAACATAGTACTGTAGTGGAGGTTAATGTGTGTATACGGGCTTTAAAGGATATAAACATGCTTGTTGTTTTTCTTAAGTCTTTTCACGTGATTTTCCCTTTCAGCAATTGCTTTCCAGCCATGACATAAACACGGGGACTGGTCTGTTATACCGTGTCTCAAAACACCCCCGTCACGTCCTCTCACATTTTTCACACTTCGCATTTCAGGTTGACGTTGCGCCGAATAACCGTTAACTATGTTGGGGGGGTGACGCAGCTAGAATGACAATTTAAAACACTACTTGAGCAGTTCAACCTGACTCGATCGCAGTCTGACCCGATTTTCGGTCAACTGACATCTGGGTTCGTGTTTCAGATAAGCCGTGAATCCGGTGGCGGTGGATGTCGGTTGAAGGCCTGTTGTTATTGAGCGTTTCAGCGTAGTCGCTGATGTTGTGCGACTGCCGTGGGCGCCGTGGCTCTGGAGCACGACTCTGCGGGAAGCGGCCCGTGGTGGGCAGAGCGGTGCCATTCCTTGCATTTGCACCTCCTTAAGACGGCACATTACACGAGCTGCCACGCTCCACTAAAGCGGGTTCTCCTGTTGGTTGGAGTGAAATGAACCAGCGTGTTGTGGTCCGCATACGTAATGGGGCTGTTGGTCAACATGTGTGTTCCCGCTTGCTTTAAAACGCCTAGCAGTGTCTTTGTTGTCTTGGCTGTAGTTAGAGCGGCACACTGAGTCGTATGAATAAAAATAAAGTAAAAAGGAGTCTCGGGCAGTTTTGTCTTTTATGCCTCTAAATGTAAATCTTTTTAAAAGCTGTCTGGTTTAAAAAGTCCTTTTGAGAATGGGTCATGGAAACTCCACGGGCCGGCCTGTGAGGGGTGTTTTCCAGCATGTCCTAATAATAGGGTGTTAAGTGTTTTTGACTTGTGGCCATGAGAGACACACCCTAACCAGGCAGAATACGTTTGAGTTCAGTTCCCTTTTCTTTCAGAATTAGCCTTTCTGTAGCAGGAAACGAAAGCGCTGAAACCCCACGAACACCCTTCATGAACTCTAATCCACACACTAATGAAACCGAGGACTGCGGGGGCTGTTGAACGTCGGTTTTATGTGGTATGTCTGTAGGTCAGTGTCGGCCTGCACAGTGGCTTTCACTGTGTCGCGTTCTGCCGCTGGTGATGACAGGAAGTGAGATGAGGGAAAAGTATCCTGGGCAGTAAATGGGTCCGGCTGACGTGAATGGGAAAGAATGAACCCTAATCAGCCCCGCCACTGGGAAATAATGCATATCATTGTTGTCCGGGGCAGGCGTGGGCCTCAGCCCGCACAGTTATGTCCCAACAGACATGCTTGCTGAAGTTTTGGTCATCTCTAGGAGGACAGACCAAATGAGAAAAGGCTTCCGTCGTTAATAAACGGATTTATTGTCCGGGGGACCTCAATGCGGGGGGGCTTAAGGTTAAATATATTAATTTGACTTTTCCTGCATTACTTTGCAATGTGCACAAAACTTTCCAGCCTCATTGGCTGAATAAGCAGCTGCGACAAAGCGTGTTAACTGAAGAGGACAAACCTACTCATTATAGTTGCTCTTTTGAAATTACTGGTAGCTTAGCACATAGCTTAGCATTACAGCTCAGCGGCAAACTGACAGGCTGCTTGATACATGACAGGATGTTGGTGACTCTCATGAGAGCTCCGGGCTCGGCGTCGGTGCCTCAGCAGAGGATGTGGTTACTTCCTGTAGAAAAGTTTTCTATACTGAGAGAGCGCCATAGAACACTGACATTCTTCTTTACATCATTATTCTTGTTTTAATAAAAGCACTAGGGGCCAAAAGTAAGACATTTCTCAATTCGATATATACCAACTTATTTTAAGCGCTATGAAAAGTACTAAATATTAAAAAGCGCTATCCAAATATTATATCATTATTTTAAGTGAGGCATCGAGGGATTTTCTTAATGTTCTTTGAGACCGATTTCTTCCGCTTGGCGGCTAGTCATAAAAGAAAATGTCATAGACATAAAAGTTTAGTGAATTGACAGTTTAAAGAGTAAAACATGAAACTATTACTTTGACACAAAAAGCCAATAATCCCTTCATAATGCCAAGAATAACAGAAATATATTTATCGTTTTTTGCACCCTTGTCCTCAGATAAGTGTAAGAGTCACCACGATGGATGCTGAACTGGAATTTGCCATTCAGCCAAATACAACAGGAAAGCAGCTCTTTGACCAGGTATGAAAAACTGCTTTGAGCGGATGTCATTTGGAAACACATATTATAGAATCGTTTTCTTTTTTGGTATATTTTTTTGGAGTAATTTAGATAAATATAACATTTCATTTTGTTACATAGTAATTTCCATTGTAAATTAAACATTATTGGCAAATACATTTTATTTGCCATTGTAAAACATCTGTAAACTCTAAAACTACAGGAAAATGGTTATCTGTACGATGTATATGCTTTATTCTAGAAACCATCTAGGGTTTGTTTTTATTTTAATTCACATACAGAATTCCAACCTAAACATTTTTTTTTTACAAATTAATTGTTTTATTTTCCGTGACTGAAACAAGCATCAATCATACAGCGGCATGGCGATGGCCCCTGCGGTTTTCACTGTGTGCTGGTGTTTGGCTGAGTCACATGACACTTTCCTGTTTCCAGGTGGTTAAGACCATCGGGCTGAGAGAGGTTTGGTACTTTGGACTCCAATACCAGGATACAAAGGGTTTCTCCACATGGCTCAAGCTCAACAAGAAGGTGAGATCCTCAGTCGTTTTTTCGCTTCACTAACACAAGATCTGTATTTACAGAACTGTAACCTTTAACCCCTCATCCGTGTCACACTTTATTCTAGGTGACAGCCCAGGATGTGAGGAAGGAAAGCCCGCTGCTGTTTAAGTTCCGCGCCAAGTTCTTCCCGGAGGATGTGACCGAGGAGTTAATCCAGGACGCCACGCAGCGGCTGTTCTTCCTGCAGGTGAAGGAGGGAATCTTAAACGACGACATCTACTGCCCTCCCGAGACGGCGGTCCTCCTGGCCTCCTACGCCGTGCAGGCCAAGTATGCCGACTACAACAAGGACGTCAACGCGCCAGGCTATCTGTCCGGTGAACAGCTGCTCCCTCAGAGGTAACACAGGCACATGTCAGCGTGCAGTCGGCGTCACAGGGGCGTGCGTTAGGGCGTGGCTTGTGACACTTTGATGTTGCATCTCCGCAGAGTTCTGGACCAGCACAAACTCAACAAGGACCAGTGGGAGGAGAGGATCCAAGTGTGGCACGAAGAACACAAGAGCATGATGAGGTAACTGCTGACAAAATGGCATTTATAGAGGATGTTTTGAGATAGTACCCCAGAAGCTGAATTTCACAGACTACTCTACCTCTGTAGCATGAAACTGAATATTTAATGATTGTCTTGGTCTTCTCACCTGCATTCCCTCTTAGTCTCCTGATTATAATGTACCATGTGCTTCCAACTCTCTCTGTAGCACTTGTTTAAAGACCCCTCTTATTTGTCCACAGAGAGGAGTCCATGATGGAGTATTTGAAGATCGCTCAAGATCTGGAAATGTACGGAGTCAATTACTTCAACATCAAGAACAAGAAAGGAACAGAGCTGTTTTTGGGAGTGGACGCTCTGGGGCTCAACATCTATGAACAAAATGACAAGTAAGCGAATCCGCAACAGCCATGAATGTCTGTTCAGCAGTTTATTGTTGTTTGCAGTCCCTGTCCAACGTCATGCAGATGACAGGGTTTTTTTGCATTGTCTTCTACAGAATGACTCCCAAAATTGGATTCCCTTGGAGTGAAATCCGGAACATTTCCTTTAATGACAAGAAGTTTGTCATAAAACCAATTGACAAGAAAGCCCCCGTACGTTTAACCCCTAACAGAGGACTTCTTAACCGTTGATAAATCCTCTGTCTCTGCATCGCTCTTAACCTCCCGCATCTCTATTCTCGCTGTGTTAGGACTTTGTGTTCTACGCTCCGAGACTGCGCATCAACAAGCGTATTCTGGCTCTTTGCATGGGTAACCACGAGCTGTACATCCGCCGCCGCAAACCCGACACCATCGAAGTGCAGCAGATGAAGGCTCAGGCTCGGGAGGAGAAGAATCACAAGAAGATGGAGAGGTAAGAGACTACAAAATGCACCCAACGTGGTTAATGGAGGTGTAGGCTACTTCTATTTTTAAATAGAAAAGCGTTATATGATGATCTGCTCAAAAAATCACGAGGGCTGCTTACTCCCGTCCGCCCCGTCTGTTTCCATCAGAGCTCTGTTGGAGAACGAAAAGAGGAAAAGGGAAGTTGCAGAAAAAGAAAAGGAGAAGATTGAATGCGAAAAGGAAGAATTAATGGCGAGGTTAAAGCAGATCGAGGAGCAGACGAAAAAAGCCCAACAAGGTGGGTGACCCGGTGGAGAAGCGTCGTACTGCAGGGTATGTCTGTGGTGTTTTTCCCTCACAGTGCTGACCGTTGGTGTGTGTGTGTGTGTGCGCGTGCGCACAGAGCTGGAGGAGCAGACGCAGAGGGCTCTGGAGTTGGAGCTGGAGAGGAAGAGAGCTCAGGAGGAGGCTGAGCGTCTGGAGGCTGACCTGAAGGGAGCTGAGGACGCCAAGCAGGCGCTGCTGCAGCAGTCAGAGAGCCAGATGAAGAACCAAGAACACCTGGTCAGTCAACCACAACTCAATGATTGATCCAATGCTTCAAATATCATTATAAAGAAAAACTAATGGGAAAACTTCCTTTCAGGCGACCGAGTTGGCTGATTTGACTTCCAAGATTTCCCTTCTGGAGGATGCGAAGAAGAAGAAGGAGGAGGAAGCAGTGCAGTGGCAGGAGAAGGTACGATCGTACGTCTCACTCGGTAAAAAACGTGTTAACCGAGGGGAACATTCATCCTGCACTCGTTCTTTGTGCTTGGGAAGTCCTCCCTGTGTTAAGGGATCTATTCACAATCAGCGCAATGTGGAGACTGCAGGAGTGAGTTAATTAATCAATCTTGATATTCTGCGGATTGTGTCGGCCCGAGGTCACGGGAGGACATTCCTCAGGTCTGGTGTTGTGGGGGAGGGGTGAAAGCTCACAGCTGGCCTCAATAAACAATAAACAAACCATTGCATGTTCCATCTGCTTCTTCTTCATGGGCAGCGGGGCCCATGGCGAAATGTCCCGTCGTATCTTTTGTGTACCGTTGTGATGTGCCTCACCGTTGGGTCACTATGTGCGGGACGAATCGGTGGTGTGTAGAAACCGTACACCGCTCTTGTCGGGGGGGAGCCCTCTCCCAACACATCTCATCACACCTCACTGCGCTCTCTGCTCCCTCAGGCCACCACGGTGCAGGAGGACCTGGAGAAGACCAAAGAGGAGCTCCGAAACAAGGTGATGGTGGCTCACGTCCAGGAGCCGCTCAACGAGCACGATGAGAACGACGAGAGCAGCGCCGAGGCCAGCGCCGAGTTTGCGTCGGACGTCACGTTCAAGGACCGCAGCGAGGAGGAGCGCATGACCGAGGCGGAGAAGAACGAGCGCCTGCAGAAACATCTACTCGTAAGTCTTAACCTATAGCTTGCGTACGACTCGATAGATCTAAAGGCTCCTTGTAAAGTCTTTATCGAATACGGCAGACTCCGGCACTTTAAAGCCTGTTTTCTCATGTTTTTTAAATATGTAAAACATACTCCAGGGAGAGAAAATGGGCAAGAGGGTCTTGTTACTGCCGTCCTTCCTTTATTGGCAGATATGCACTGACAGGACACAGTGAAGTCTCATAAGCCAATGAGGGGAATTTATCCTCACATCTTCACTCCTCTTCAATAAAGAGGGCAAGATAAAGCTCAACAGATTAATTATAGATGGGTTGTTACGTTTTAAACAGATGTGATGTGCAAATTCAGAACGAGTGTTGTGTGTGTTGTAACAAACCGCCCCGACTCTGCTTCCAGGCGTTGAGCTCCGAGTTGGCCAACGCTCGTGATGAGAGCAAGAAAACGGTGAACGACATGATCCATGCGGAGAACATGAAGGCGGGACGAGATAAGTACAAGACCCTGAGACAGATCCGGTCAGGAAACACCAAACAGCGCATTGACGAGTTCGAGTGCATGTGATGTCTGCACACCCTGATGCAAAAAAAGAGAGGAAAAACAAAAGCCCACACAGCTGGGCCTCTCTGCCTGGACTGCAGTCCTGCCTCACGCAAGCCGTCTCCTCTGCACCCAAACAAATCAGATCCACAACATGGTTGCACAAGCACAGCACGATGTACAGATATGGATCTGGAAAAACACCATTTGTTATCATTCCTAACTTTGAATTTAGGCAAGTTACTGTTTGAAAAGGGACAGACTGTATTTTATTAGTTTCATTCCTCATGGGGGCTTTGTGTAGCATATTAGTATTGGGCTCACGCCTCGTTTCATGAAACATTGAGCAAGCTTTTTTTAATTTCTTTATATATTTCTGTCATGTTTTTGTATCATGATTTCAAAATAAAAGACTCCGACCAAATTTCCCATTGAAGACTGTGCCTGCAGACATTTCTGCTGGTCACATGCAACGGTTCTTCTCAGCGATCTGGACGTTAACATTTGTCCCATCGTTGTTGAACCAAATGTTCCGTCATCTATCCATGAAGAGCATTTACAAAGCAGTATTACTTTTTTTTTGCAAAGTCGATTTTAGTTGACTTATTGATTTATTATTATTGAGTATTCCGAATCTACCTACTGTTACAAATCATTCAGTATTTACACCCTACTCTGCGATATTAAAGATGCATTTTTGTCTGATTTTTAAATTTCTGAAAGTGTTCAACTCAGTTGAAGGCTTTAGTGTAAGTGTTGTGTTATTCAGTGCCATCATCTAGTCAATTCAGCATTCAATAAAAAGAGAAACCTGATATTTGAAGTTTATTTTACTGTACCGTAAGAGTTTGACCCTAGTGTTATTCCTATGCTTTCGTTTTTGGAGTCTGCTTTTTCACGAGGAGCCTGTTGGATAATCAGTACATACAGTTTTTTGCATTGATATGGAATCACACTAGTTGTCACACCACAGGTTAAAAGTTGCAGTTTAAACTTACATTCTCGCTCATTTGTTTCATTCACAGATGAGAACTTTCCTTCTACAAAATCATCATAGGATTTAATGCGTGGAATAGAATAATTTCCTTAAACATGCACTGGAAAACCATAGTTTACCTTTTCAAAATGAGTCAAGACAGACTCACTGTCTCCAATGCATGTGTTTTGGATAACTATGTATTTAATTTTGTGATTTGGATTTTTTTGCAGTGTTAGAACTCTGTAAGGTGGGAAAACTAACACCACTGAGGATATTTTTGTACTATAAAATCTAGACTTACGGTTTTTTTTTTTTTCAGAACAAACATTTAAAAAGAATTCCAAAGTATTTTGGTGTTAACTGATAGTTTGGCTCAGTGCTGTGATAGTTGAATGAAAAAATCCGGACGCGACGGGAAGTTCTGTTCATTGCAGGCAAAATACCATGAAAAGACATTTGAACCAAGCCAAAACATTTAGCCTGAAAGTGAACAAAACTTCCTTGTGTCGTCTGTTCCGTTTGACATTTTGTCATCCAGGCATGTGGAGGCTTTTGCTTGTTTTCAGATTGTTCGACTTGGTTTGAAAACTTTATGGATGCTATTCAGCAAATTTAGACTTTTTAAATAGTATTTAGTTTTTTCTCTTATTGAATGAACATTAGTCATTTGTACCTAGATGCATTTTGATATCCCGTATTCTCCCCCATTGCTGCGTTGAGTTCTTTATCCATGAAATGTCAAAATGCAGTTGTAGCTATTTTGGATACTTTTTCATGCCTTTGACGATAACTTTTATAATGCTGCCCTGTACTGTTTGTTCTACCTGAGGCGCCGTGAGTTGACAACCTTTTTTAAAGAATCGAGTGCCATTTGACGTTGCCACTCAATATTTAGTTTTGATTCAAAAAGGGTTGAAGTGTGATATTGTAAATTGACAGACAGTGCCTTGCCCAGATTTCCCATCAGATGTCGCTGCTTCAAGTCCTCCTTTCACCAATGAATAAAAGTCAAATTAAACTGATTTGTTTTCCTGACTACATCCTTGCTATTTACAGCTAACATTGCAGCCTTGTACTCCACATTGCTTTAAATGCATCACGCCACTCATTTGACCTTCTCTTGTGTTTGTGTCTGCAGCGACCCGTTTTAAGTTTTAAATGCATAAATGAGCCATATAAATTAGTTTATGGCATCGAGGCTCATTTTTTCACAAAATTCTAAAATGCTCTTGTTGAAAGAATGACCTTTGTGTCGTTAGGGTTGGTTTTGACCCAGTTGTAATAATTAGATCAAAACTAGTACTGTCAGCTAACACACTGACAGCCAGCTCCTCTCCCAATCGTGTGAGCTTTTACTCTCATTTAGCCGTGTTATCCGACATACCTGCACAAAAACAAAACAAATAAAGACGACTATGTGAGGTGAATTCAGTATAGAGGTGATAAAGAAAAGGCCCAGAGGCCCACAGCAAAGGTTTTGAAATCAGTATCTTCATTGATAAGGAAGCCTAACAAGGTAACCAAGAAATATGAAACAAATTGGATGATCGATAATTGTTTTTAGCGTATTTTACAGCTGATTTAAGAGATGAAAACTGCCCCGTTAACATAAGAGATGGTAACAGCAAGCTTCCACAAGAGGAAGGTTTATCTGTTCAGATGTTTACATTTAGTCCAACACACAGTGGTCACACACCCTTGGCGACCTTGTTGACGGCCTTGAGTTCCCATCGCTCCTGCTGTGGAGCACGTGGTTGCGATCCCACAGTCGGCCACGTGGTGGCAGTCGACCCTCAGCCTTCTGTCCGGCCCCACGCGGGAACCATTCAGAGGTTCGGTCAGGTCCATGAACATTTGGCGCGATGATGTCAAGATCGTTACCAATATAAACGCCCCGACTGCACGTAGTATAGTAGTGTGTATGTATTAAAAGAAACAGGGCCTTGCCTCCGGTTTACAGAAGCAAGTTCTCAGAATAGGATATCTTAAAACTCATACAATCGACACATTTCAACAATGAAACCTACATAAAAACACACGTAGCGAAATATTGCTCTGCAAATTTCTTTTTACAAAAATCCGCAGATTTAGTTTTCAATGGTTTGATGTCACAACACTTCTCTCATTGTGGTACCTCAATATTTTACACTATCACGAAATAAACACACCTTCACTAAAACACTAAGGTATACAGAGACTGCTCAGCTATTTTATTTGCAATAGGAAATTCAGTTAAAAATCAACCACCTCTTTCTTAACACCAAAGAGAGAGGGAGTTTTTTTCATCTCCCACTTCCTCTATATTTGTGGTAATAGTGGCCTGAAAAGGGTGTCGAAATGGTTCACACTCCGAGCTGCTGCCGCGTAGAGATAAGGTGCAATGAGTCTTACTGCCTGAACGACACACGCAGTAGAGACCTCAGCGTTTCACAGGATCTCTCTGAATAGCTTCTCTCGCTTCATTCTTCTTCAAGTTGTCGGAAGTCTTAACAACAAGCCCTCCATGTCCTTCGCCGTAATACCATATTCTCACTTTGTTTAATGTCTTCTTCTAAATATTATATAAGGTGCGGTTTTGTCTAATGATTGGAATTATTCATCCTTTCAAAGCACTGATGACTCACGGTACGGGACCCAAAGGGCCCACTTTGCTTAGTTGAGGAGGAAACTAAAGGTACTTTAAAACGGCCGAGGCCTAATATATATATATATATATATATATACACATATATATCTGTATGTAAGGTGGCATTCAAAAATGCGCCCTGCTCTGTGGCAGAATACATCAAGGATCAGAGGACTTATGTCAGAAAAGGAGAGCATCATCACATCACTTCCGCCTGCAACAAAGAATTGACTTTAAAATCCTGCTGTTGGTTTACAAAGCCATGAATGGTTTAGAAACAAAATACACGTGTGACCCTCAGGTCGTCTGGGACGGGTCTCCTCTCTGTTCCTAAAGTCAGAACCAAATATGGAGAAGCAGCGTTCAGCTTTTCTGCTCCACATAAAGTATCTGGAACAAACTCCCAGAAAGCTGCTTCCAAACACTGAAGACTTTTCAGTTCTGCTGCTGCTTTAATTTGACCCTGATTCACGGATGCTGCTTCTCTGAACCCTTTAGTTCAGGGAACTCAAGAAAGGTAACCGTCCTGTTTAAGGTTTAACAGTTAGTTCCGGGAATCAAAAAGAGCTTCGTAATCTTGGTTCTAAGTAACACTTCCTCTACAATTCTGCAATTTAATGCTGTTTATTTCTTGAACTGCAATGCAACTTCCATGTAGACGTTTTGATGCTTTGTGGGAAGCACATTGAATATACCTTGTTCCTGAAAAAGGCTACACAAATAAACTGGCCTTGCCTATGCTACGCCACATTACAATACACTACTGTTGAACGTTTTCCATCATTGCCATGTCTGTGGGAGGAGCCACAGGCACACCTGTGCTGCCTGGCGTCCTCTACAGGTGACCTCAAGCTGCCCAGAATCCGCGCTGGAAGGAGAATCGTTGCTCTGTTCGTTTTCCTGCATGAATCACATGACACCGCGTGCTGTGAACGTCCATCTTTAAGTGTGTCGGGTGACCCCTCGATGTAGACGTGTGCACAACAACTGTTCAATGTGGTAATGCAGCATAGTTGCTTCCTATTTTCTGCGTAGTGTCATGTATCAAGTTCTGTTTGGGCCTCCCGGGCCTCCCCCACCCCCCCTGTTAGCTTCTCATATCTCTGAGTTAATCGGTTGGGTTCGTTTCTTTACTTTATGCATGTAGACTTCTGCCTGCTGCCACAAATAGACCGGAAGAGCGTCTGCGAGAACAACCGTCCACTCCCTCCCCCACTTTGAATAGTTGCTCTTCCAAAAACCCAATGTTGAGTCACGTTGAGTGGTAAGGGTGCACAAATTACAGTGCAGATGTAGCTGCAGGGGGGGGGGGGGGGGGGGGGGAAAAAAGGGGGCCCATGAATCCTCCTGGGGGCCTCAAACCCAAAAAAAAAGAGGAAATTATTGTACCTTTGGGCGGGCAAAAAAATTTTTTTTCTCCTGTTCCCGGGGAAAGGGGAAAGCAAAACTTTTATAAGGTGTGGGACCCCTAAATTTCGGACCCCCCCCGTATGAAAATGTTTGCCCGGCCCGGAAAAATTGAACCACCAATCTGCAGAACCAGCGAAGGAGGATTTGGATGGAAATGAAAGCAAAATAGGACATTAATGGAGATAATAGTGTGATTATTTAATAACAAAACCACATCTGTGTTGCACTGTCACGCAAATGCAAATTGCCACTATTTAAAGCGCGGTTGCTACTTTCTTTCTTTTTTTTTGTCTTCCACACAACTACATTCACGCAGTTCCACAATCACGTTCATCACAACAGTTTGGACGGATGCAACTCGATTATCTCTAAAGACGCGACGCACGAAAGCCTTCAGCAGCGTTTCACAACCGTGACATGTTGACACTTTATTTCCCCACATTTCCTGAGAGCTATAGCTTTGCAGCTATCTTCCTCGTTTTGACTTCCTCTTTGCAGCGTGAGGCTCGATGGTCAAAGGAATTGTCTTGCGCACGGAGTCATCACTGCGAACTCCTGCGAGGGGAAGAGGAGCGTCGCAGTCTCACCCCGGCGCTGCTGCAGCGTCGAGAGATCCCACCACGCAGGTAACGGATTGCCGTCTCCTTTTCCAACGTGAAAAGTAAAAGACTTGTTTTGTGTGTTTTTCTGAGTGTCTGCTGATGTTGGCTTGGAGCGTCCTGTTCGTCTTATTTCCACAGAGCCATCTTTGATGTGGCGGGATCAGGCCCCCCACTTAGTGTATTTGACAAGCTGAGTTGGACACTCTGTATCTCTGAGTGTCAGTTTGTCAAATACCCCAAGTGAGGTGTCACTTGTCTACAAACAGTGACCCGTCCTCGGCCGACTGCACGGACTGACCAGCCGGCTCCCCGCCGCGCTCCGCCCCGCTGACCGGCTCCGGGTTTGTGTGTCGTCATGGTGTAATCTGTCATTTGTTTATTGGATCCAACGAAAGAACAGAAACATTAATTTATCCTGTGACAATCCAAATGAGTGTAATGAATGATGCAATAAAGGTTACACAGAGATTTTTAACCAAATTGAAGTGTGCCAGTGAAGGAATGTTCTTTTTCAGTGTTTTTATTCGTAGGTCTGTAGTCTCTTCACTGCCCAACTCAGCCAAAACATTTAGGAGAGGTAAGGCTGCTCTGAAATTCGACCCTCTGTCGTGGTGTGATTTTCTTTTTGCAGTTTGAAGAGGTTAATGCGATACTTTGATCCAAACTGTTGAAATCCACCTTCAATGTGACGTCCGAGTTTACTCATTTGTTCCAGGCGACTAAAACATGCACGCTAATGAGCATTTTCAATGGGATGTGTATCCAATTGCATTTTCTTGTTATGTAGCAAATTAATGCTCTAGACAAAATGATCGGTATCTAAAAGACCAAATGCAGGACAAGCCTTTTGTAAGACGGAGCAAAGACGGAGCAAAACATGTATTCAGTGTCCTCTCCCATTCAACATGTGGGAGCCAGTCTTTGCAACTTCAGCATCAAGAACTGAAGCCTTGTTTTGGAAACTTGAGGTAAATAATAAATACACAAATGCCCCAAAATGTTCTCTGAATCTTTTACAGACTCATTGTGTGATAATAACATCTGTAAAAATGTGTATGACAGTGTATGATGTTTGTAGGCAGATGGGTGATCTATTTATTGTTCTTCTTATCCTCCATTTGATGGCGCTTATCGGTCCGTCCCCTGTTTCCTGTTCCTGTGGCTGCCCAAGAACGTTGCCAGCGTGTGCGTGCGTGTGTGTGTGTGTGTGTGTGTGTGTGTGTGTGTGTGTGAACAAATACGTGTACTTGTGTGATCTTTTAAATGTCTTAACCTGGTAACCGTTCACCTAATCATTGTGGTTGAGAATCGGCAGAAAAGCAGACTTGCACACTGCCGAAAAGGCGGCGCACATCCTGCTATTTTGACACAGTGCATTTGAAACACTACGCATTGGGAAATGGGTGATGGGGTGCACAGTAAGTGCATGTCTACTGCTGTGCATCATCACACGGGGGGGCTGCCAACATGTGGTGTAAATCTTGAGCCCTGCAGAGGAAAGGTTCCATCCCAACATCTACCAACACACGGTTGCCATAAACAACAAGAGGAGTTGTGTTTCATCTGCACGGCATTGTGTGCTGCGTGTGAGGATTTTGTTTTTAATGAGCATCCATTTCCAGTTTCACGGTTAAACTGCTTTCTTACAATCAAAACACTTTCAAAAATGAAATAAAACACTCACGTTGAGGAGATCTGTCGGACGCTGTCGCGTTGCGTCGATTGGTGGCTCGACTGTTGGCATCTCACATGGTCCAAATGTCAAGTTGTCGTATACATCGCAAGCGGGTTTTGTCCGACCTCTTGAGTGCGGCAGGAAATGTTCTTAAATTAACAAGCTAATAACTAGTCTGTAAGATTATCCTTTATATTTGTATAGGCCTAACATTCAACATCAGCAATAGTGTCACCCTCATCAAACTGTTTACAACCCCCCCACAAAAACACATTTCAAACATTAACGGCATCAAGCTTTTTCTATAATTCTTAAATTCCTGTCTTCCATCTGTTGCTGCACCTCCACCAGTAAGTGGTGGTAGAGCTCCATTCTTCGGTTCAAACGTTAGACCAGCCTCACTTTGAAGAAGCTGATGTTGAGCCTCACAGCACACAAAGAATCAGTTCTTTGACGTATTAATTCTTTGCTGGATAGAGAAGCTCGCGCCAACAACACAAGTTACAACAATGTTAATTCACTATTAGAATGAAGTGCGTTGGCAATATATTAAAGATATCTACAGGTATATTTCATTCTGAACCACAATTTATGGTTTAATTTGTATTTGTAATTTTGATGTTATGCAGTAAATTACTATTGTGCAATTTCAATATTAAGGTATCACACTTTACTTGATCTGCATTTCATATGAGCAATACTGTGAACTCAATCGTTCAGTCAGATCTTAGTTTTTGTTAGTTTTACAGTTTACTTATTTATCATCCCTTTACTATTTTCACATCCTATTCACGGTCATTGTTTTATACTGAGGCTATGGCTGCTTCCCCCTTTGCTTTAGTAATACTGATTTAACTAATATGGCCTGCTAGGCTCCAATTATCGTTCAGCCCTTTGGAATTTCTGAGAAAGTGCTTTTGATTTAATAAACTTTTTTGTGACTCACTCTCACTAAAAAACACGTCTACATAAGAGCTCCTAATAAGTGGTGCAAAGCATTTGACATTCAGTGTTATAATTAAAACAATAAAGCAACAGCAACACTTTAGGTTATTGATGTTACCTGATATCCCTTAAAGACGTTATGCAGAGGGGAACATCCCTAAGTTCCCTGAATGCCGTGCTCAATACAATTCATACTAACCGGATGTTGTTTGTTTGCAGAGAAAGCAAATACCATCCACAGCCAACATATGGGGTCAATTAGGGGAAACATTTCACCAAAGGTTTGTAAAACTTGCTGTTAAACAAAAGGTTGTTTAGTACGATAAGTTCAGTCCTTTAACGCACATATTACACGTGTCCACTTGTTTGCATTTGGAAGTGAAAGCCATGAGAGGAAGGCTGAAACAAACTTATTGTACCCTGTGAATGACACGGCCAGTAAGCGGTTTGGCCTCATGGTTTATTTTGGTCAACTCAAAAAGAAAACTCACACATTACATTTATTCCAGTGCAGGTTAATTATCTCGATACAGAGACATGAAATAAAACCAAAAAAACGCATTCTATAATAAAGAGTATCATTCCAACCACAGGAAACAGATCAAAATGAAATAAAATGACACATCGTGCGTGTAGATAGTTGTGAGTGTGCATAACTGTGATCTGGCCTCTGGTTGAAGCACCACGTTGGCCCTTTAAAAGCGACTGAATTGGTTGGATATCATCGTTCAACTGAACAATTAAAAAGCACAATGCAGGGATGCATGGATGCATCTTCCTTCTTTCTCAAAATCCAGTCCGACCTGCGAGTTACCTAAAAATAATTAAAAACAGAAAACCTTTAATACAAAATTGACTAGTATTGACTACACTCTCAAGCCCACCAATATCACTTTTGACCTGCATATGACTTACTTTTAGCTATATGTTAAGTCAGATTTAACATAGGATAAAAAATACACATACATTTATTCATTTTCAGGGTTTCAGGAGTGTAAATTGCCCCTCGTAGAGCAGCAGCCTGAAACCACTGAAGAAGAGCAGCGTGTGTGCGTCCGGAATCACACAAATATATGAATTTTCATTAACTGATTCACTTTTTTAAATAACTGAAAAATTCAAAAATATTTGTTCTCAATATTAATGCCATTTAAACATATGAACACTTTTTGACCAAAGAAGGAAAGCTTTTTTTTCGTTACCGTGTATAGTGACCACTGAGGAAATATTAGTGTCACCACCTGTAGATTAGAATCGGGGTCTGACTTCCAGATTTGGGTCATTCACTTGGTGCCAGGTGTAATACAGCTGAGATGGAAAGGATCCTCTGAACAAGCAGAACTTCTCTATAAAAGCAGGGTCCATATTCAACTGTAATTCTGAAAGGAACGTTCAGTCCTGCTGTCTTCACCCCAATATTCCTCCACCTGAAATGGAATATAGCACCTATTACAAGGCTCTCTCTAATAGGTCCAACACTCTGAATCAGGTGGCCAGTAAGGAGGTGCTTGTTTCCAGTATTGTCCTCGAGGCTTTAGGAGATTGACAACCACGTTGTTTGTCACTATCGACGTTAAGCAGGAAGCGAACACGTGGACGGTTTCTTTGCAACCATTCCAGGAAGCTGCTTCAAGTGCCTGAAGTCCCATCGAAAGGATGTCGCTGTATTCACGTCGCTCCAGAGGACTTTGTCCAGTCTCACTTTCTCGAAGTCAACCTCCTTCAATCCTGTGGTGATACACACACCCTTGTGTAGCCTCTCTTCAGGTGAGAAGGTGGCCAGGAGTCTTTTGTGGTTTTGTTTTGTGGCATCCTTCTTCACAGCGAGCTGGGAGCGGATGGCAGTGTGGCCGTCTTCAAGTCTTCGAAGAGATAAATGGCAATGAGGAAAGCTTGCAACACAATGGTGCTTCTCACTCACACACGTCTTCTTTAAAACACTGCAAAAATAAATAAAAATGCATATAATGCATTGAATGCATATAATGGATCATCTGAAATGAAGGAATGGCTCATCAGCATTGCTTTTAAAGTAAATCATGTACCACTGGTTATCGTTTGACTGGATTATTTATTATTAGGCAGCATTTTCAGCATTCAAAAGGAGCCATTTCTTATGTGTGAATGTGGGAGTGTATGTGTGGGCGCATGAGTGTGCGCCTGTCTCAAGCGTTCATCTGGCTCTCTTTACTACTCATTACCTATTTAAGACTAAAACACAGTTTCAACTTATAAATAGTCATCAGACAAACCAGTGCTGGGATCTAAGATGCTCTGTAAACTCACCCGTACTCAGGAAGGCTGCAGATTGCTCATCACCAGGGGAGGTTAGCAGATTGCTCATCACCAGGGGAGGTTAGCGGACAGTGGATGCTACTGTAAAAAGTAAGAGCTGTGTTGTTCTCCTCTATGATCTGACACAAGGTGATGCCGACTGCATTGTTCTAACAGTTTGTGTTGCAGATGCTGGTTTGTGCGAGGAACCCAATTAACCGAGTCTTGTCTGTGTGATCCACAGTCACAAAGGGTCTGAAGAGGAGGCCGTGGATCCTGGATGGAGTCGAATCCATTTCAATCAATGTCACCAATTAATAATAAGACAATTAGCAAGTGATATAATACCAAATTCCTCTCTCCCGCTGAATAACTTTAACCTCGAACCCGGCCCCACTCCTGCTGCTGAAGCTGCCAGAGGAGCTGTTGAAAGAGTTTTTTTTTTAATGCGAGCCGGCGTTCAGTCTACCAGTCTGGTTTAGATCAGCCTGTCCAACATGGAGAGGAACAGAATGCGCACACAGACGGACCTGCAGAAGATCACAGCAGAAACACGCTTACCCGCTTACTCCTTATTTGACCGAGCACAGTGTCATTGTGTTTCAACCACTTCCCTTTCTGCTTGACTGCCCTTCGTTTCTGGATGTGGGATTATAAAAAAAAAAGGATTAGTGTCAGGTAGTTTTAGCGTCCAGGACAACAGTATTTGTTTGGAATGTTATGAAAAAAACGTAAAAGTAACAATAGTGAAACAAATTGTCCTGTATAAGTACATTGGGAGCAAATCCTTCAACATATTCTGATATTTAACTGCCACAACGACATATTTTTGGGGTGTCTTCAAGGTTTTTTATTATTGCTGCAGAGAATAAGCTGTCTGCGGCCGCAGGGGGGCAGAGGGGAGCGCTCAATTTCCCTCGTGGGACATCCCGGAAAAGATCACAGATGCAATATTTAGTGAGTCAAGGCCTGAGACAAAAGTTCAGAGCAATGAAATACAAACGTTTCCATGCGCTTATGTCAGGGGTTATCTTTTGAATCTGGCATTATTTATCACAGGTATTTAGTTTCCTTAAAATCAAAATGTCCCTGCATTGTTATGTGAACAGACGGATGCGTGTTTATGGCGCAGATGCTGAATGCTCAACTGGGTAGCGCATTCCTAATTTAAGAGAGACATCTGGGGACTTTTCGGCAGTGACAAAAATCCTCACGTCAACTAGAGACATGTTTGTACCGCAGAGGAGTTGTGTTTAATCTGTGTGTTTGTGTGTGTGTCTAGTTTGATGATCCCTGTACATTTTTACACCAGTCCTTTAAGCTTTCTTTTGATCAACATATATTTATATTTACAGTATTTTTACTTGAGTAAAATAAACTTCACACACAAATATGATAAGGGACCAGATAAACAATGTCTAGAATCGTGTTGCCCCAGTGCATGCTGGGATATTTTACACTGTACACTCCTGAGAAGGGTTGAAAGTTGTCCTAGTTTTACCTTCATCTCACGTCTCGACTTCATGCATCCCTAAACGCACACTACAAATGTCCAACAAATGATTAATGAACTAGAACCAGACCAACTGAGGTCCCCACTTTTCCTTCCTTTTAAATAGATGACAATAAAATTGACAGAAAATGTGTCTACCATGGGTACTACACTACTCAGGGCCGTAGGGGCATTTCAAAGGCGCCAATAATGCGTTGCACTGCACTTTTTAGTTTCATTATCCTGAATTTTCAAAGTTGGTGACTCATTTTTGTGATTATTCCAGAAGTACATAAATCTCACAATGTTAATAACCGGCAAACGTTATGCTGTGGCCGTAAAAACAAGCAACTGCGCAGGCCAGATGTGTAGGATCTTGTTGTTTTTGGTAGTTTCTGGGGATTTCTTTGCAAAGGAGGAACTCATGCACCTGTAAAATGTGTTGAATGTGCAGTGAGGTGCATCCACCCGTGTCTTCATTTCAGGAATGGCTCAATGAAACCCAACAAAGTTGCCATGAAAGTTTATGTTGCGGATAGGAAAACTACCCAAGCACTGCCTTTCCTACTCCATGGTTCAGTGTGACCCCATTAATTGTGAATGTTGCACTCTCAATGTCACTCTGACTTGTGCTCGGAGGAGCCAAGCATCTTTTTGGTGGAGATTGTTAATTGAGGTAGAAACATAGTTGGAGGAGGATTACTTGTTCCCTGCCTGCTACCGAAAAAGTAATTCAAATAAAAACATCATTGAGCTCACATAATTAGTTTTTCAGTGACTGGCTGAACATCATTATCTCATGCCACGGTACTTAATTGAGGTGGATCTTTTTATTTTTGACTAGATAATTTGGGGTATGGTTTGTCTATGGAAGTTAGAGAACTTAAACAAATGTTCTCTGGTAGACAGGACTGCACTTTTTGGACTTTATTTTGGACCTTAACAAAGTACCAATAGATAGCATGCTAGCAGTGTTAACCAACATGGTGAACACCGGCTCAAAGGGATACTTTGGATTTCTGACCTGCTCACATGGCTAACAAAGGCAACGGCCGCCTGAAATGGCGAGGTTATAAAAACTAAAGCTTACGTGCAAAGGAAATGCACAGCTAAAAAGAAAAAAACACAAGGCTTGTTAAGGTCCTAAAGCTGCTTGCTTTCAGCTATTTACAGTTTAAGAGGCGGTCTGCTAAATAAAAGCTAGAGTATAATTTTATCACTCTCTTAAACTAAACCCAAGTTGTTTGAATAGCCGACTGAAGGCAACCATAACTAAGGAGTGCACCGTGTCGAGAGCAGGATGAATTGCCTCCGGACACGTCCGCAGAGAAGAGATGATACATTTAGTGCTGACCTAATTCTCATGTATCCATATGATCCCAGTGAAATATAAACCGACTTCGATTACCACAATAAATGTTGATTTCTTTTACCTTACGGTTGTATTGATTGTCCAAAAAGGAATTCTTTCCTCTAGTCTGAGCCAGACCCTTACACTAAAGATGTCTAATGTAAAAGTTATATTGACCCTTACATTTAGTGTTTTTGGTAAATGTGAATGCATCACATTTGTAAACAGGCCCTCGGTTTGACCCAGTTGACCCCACGTGGGAGGATTAAACATCAAGTGGAAGATTTGATTTGCTAATTACATTCCTGACATAACTGCAAAGCCAGTGCACTCATTGCACAGTAATCAACTTCTGCGTCATTAATAAACCTCACATGATGTAACATTCACAACAGATTGTTTGTTCAGATCCAAGATGGATTCAGCACTCTGGTTTAGTGATTCACAGATTCACCTTTTTCAGCCCTGATACTGACTTTAGGTCGATATATTGCTGATCAGATCGCTAAGACAATATGCAAACAAATGTATGTAAAGTATTGAATTAAATTGCTCTCTCTCAGATTCAGATGTAAGTCCTGGTACTGATGTATCTGCTTGCATCTGCTTTCTTAACCTGATAAAAGTGACCTTCTCACTTAAGACCCCTACGATTCAGGTTGATTTAAAAAAAAAAAAACTATAAGTGTGAATTACCAAACAGTAGACCTCCTCATACTTCATTTTCTAGGACAGATTAATGTCATATTTGACTTTGGTACAACATAGACCTTTTTCGACATGTTTAGGTGTTAAGACTTCATAAGTTCATATCCCTCACCACATGTCTAGCCCTAAGTTCTTATTAAAAAAAAGTAATTAAAAACTTTGTGGAATCTAAAAAGATACGACATTGCATTAGTTAAAGACTATATTAGCAATTTTGACTGTACTTATACCATCTCAATTCTTGACAGGTATTTAATGGAAAAACACTGGAAAAAAAGAAAAGCCGATGATGTGGGACTCATTTCAACCTCGTTTCAAATTCAGTGTAGATTTTGAATGCTTGCTTTATTCAGAGTGAACACATGTAGATGCAGGTATTACTGTTGGTGTGAGGTGATGTAGAGACATTCAAAGTGTGATTCATTTTCCTGCAGAACTTGCCTTGTCTTGCACAGCAGCTTTATGCAACACCTCTGAGCTGTTGTTAAGATACAACAACAGATGTCAGAATACTTTCGGCTGGAAAGAACCGTCTCAACATTGCAGATTTTTGTTTGTGTGTCATTTATTTTGTTTGTTTTTAAGACTACAAATGACATGTACATTAACTTTTACTGAATCAGGCTTTTGGACTCTTTCAGAAAGTGATCTTTTCTATGCAGATACTTTAGGTTTTGCAGAAACAAGTTTCTCTTTAATAAAATAAAATAAAAAATATATATGTATATATACATATATATGTATATATATATATATATATATATATATATATATATATATATATATATATATATATATATATATATATATATATATAGGTGAGCGTGTAAGGACGTTTATCACATATGAGTTTCAACACAGCCCTACTTGTTGTCATTTCTCTTTTATTGTCTACTCTCTTGAAGGACTTAATTGTGTCCCAGCAGAAGAAAGAACTATGAAGGCCGTGAATGACTGCCAGACAGAAATATCCCGGATAAGAACCGCCGACTGCAACATTCAACACCTGCATTTACTACTTTTTCCTTATCTAATAGAATAATGCGTCCCTGAAGGCCAACCCAGAAGTACGTACATCACACGGGTTCCCTCCGCAAAAATCCATTGGGTTTTCCAATGAGACTTTGGTTATTTCAGCACCTAAGAGTTTTAAAGCATGAATATTATGCCCAAAATAAGAAGCTAACGTTAAACCTTAAACAAACTTAACTCTGGTTGCTTGAGCGTGAGTTTCCATAACAACGCTTTGAAGGCAGACTTGTCGGCATAATAAAGTCGACACGCCCGATAACCCGTATAGCCCTTTTTACCACCCGAGTATTCAATGGTATATTTTATCATATCCTAAATGGAAGTCTACTGAACCAAACCCTTAGTTCAGCAGAGCTTGTGAGAGTTTTACATGGTTTAATCAGTGAAAATAATAATGTGAAAACAATTTTTATTGTAGAAATGAAAGCCCAAATGATGTGTTCCAGTGCAGTGACATTAAAATGTTCTATTTGTGTTTGCTCTAGCTTAAAACTTGCAGGCTCCAAAGTGAGAAAACCAACATGCAGATTAAACTTTCCCTGCTTAAGTATTTGCCAAGAATTCAGATTAATAACTTACTGTCACTATTAGTTTTTCTGATAATATACGATGCCTAATATATACTTCGCTCTCAAGCTGAAAGAGGGAATTAGAATCATTATTCGCTATGAGTGGAATTTGACTGGTTACATGTGCTCTTAATTACAAAAGCACAGTATACACAAAAAAAGAACTTTAAAAAAAAGAAAGTGAAATATTTTACAACTATACAATATAAGTATGAATTCATTTTTCATAAGCACACATGTGTATATGGCGTACAGTGCTCTGTAGCAGCAGAGGGGAGGAGGCTGAACAGGTTGTGTCCAGGGTGTACGCGGCCTGCAGTAATCTCGCCTGCCCTGTGGAGATGGTGCAGGAGAAAAGGCAGGTTGGAGCCAATGCTTCTCTCTGCTCCCTTGTTGACTGCATCCTGCACTGACCTGTTTGCCCGGCAGGCAAACTGCTGGATGTTTTTCAAGTGGTTCCACACCAGCTTCTCAAAGGGTTTTAATGACCACCGACGATCAGCGTGATGATGGGGGCCAGCTGGTCAGCACAGACTCTACCGGGGGATTAGGGGGGGAGGGGGGGGTCACCTGTAGTAAGTGAGTACTTGCCGGCCTCCCCACGCTGACGAAGGGTTGTTGGCTGAAAACCTCTTTCAGTCTTTCGGTCTTTTGGTAAATAGATAACGGCAGGAATGTGTGGGAGAACACAGGGAGAAAAAAAAGCAAGGTTTCCGAGAGGCAAAATGCCAAGGCTGAGACGTTAGACTGTCTTTTCCTGGAAAACAGATATCTGTGAAAGTGGAAGTTCAAGGCTACAGAAAGCACAGGGGAACCCTGTTTAGGCTCTTTGCCCTCACAGCGGACACCGCTGGTATCTTTAGCAGCGCTCATCCAAGCTGATAATGCACATGTGTATCATTTCAGAATATATATACTGTATAAACACTTTATTTAGCAGCGCAAAACAGAGATTTTCCAGTTTAAATGGTACAGCTGTTTAAAAATACGTCTTCCTGCCCCTCTGCACTCAGATTCATCCCACCTGACTGGCTTCTGAAGGACCTCCTTTCTTGTCCTCCTGGCTTAATGGGCTGATCTGGGTGACCGACGTGTTTATCTCAGTGGCAGCACTGAAGAGGAGGTTGTTCTGGACAACATCAAAGTAAACGGGGATCAAAAGCAGGGATCCTTGGCCTGCATACTGCTTGGTAACTAGCCAATGCTCGGTCACACAGGTGAGGGTCTTTGATACTATAACATTCAGACACTTATGGCCTCTGGTCTTACTAACAATTTAGTCCATCTCATACAGTAAATGTGACATGTTATACTGTATGTTACAAATCACGCTTCCTAATCAAGTAAACCAACACACTCGGAAGTATCTGCTTTCAGTTAGTTGAGACAAAAGAGTCCTATTCTTTATTTTTTGTGAATTGGTGAGTCTCCAAGTTCAGTGTAGGTAGTAACAGGCCTTTTGCTTTTATCTGATAATTGCTAACAGAGAGCAACAAGAAACAGAGGAAGGCAAAGAGGGAGAGTTGCCTTTTTCTTCTTCTTTCTAATTAGATAACTTAATAGATCACAGTAACGCCTCATGAAAAGCCTCATGTCCATGAATCAGATGTGACATGTGATGCGATGGTGCTAGATGTTCCTGACCTTTACAGTTTCAGAATATAATGACTTCTTGAGTAGCTTGAGTTGTGGTGCCAGTGAAAATAATTTTAAAATATGCCTGCGCAGCATTGTCACATTTCACTGAAAAGTCATATTACACCTTTATCCCCTCAATTACAGCTTAATACTGTTTGTTTCTCTGTTATCTGTTTATATAATTTAAGCATATTTTCTTTCTTTGTTTTTCCTATTAGATGATTGACCTCATTTTAAGCCAGACGCTGTGTGTTTTTGGTTAATCTAGTTATGCTTGGAGTCTGTGGTATTTTTGTTTGATATAATCGCTAAACACAGACAAGAAAAACAAAGCTAAATTCAGCGTAGCACCTTCACTGTGGTTTGTGTTGGGATTTGAAGTCTTGGGGCGACTTTGACCAATCTGACCAGCAGCATGTAAACAGTTTGACAACGAAAAGCCAAACGAACATACGGTCCAACTCACGTAAGCTCCTCCGTGGTGAGAACCGCCTGTATTAGTTACCCCACACGCCACCTCGGTGTTGCCATTTGGAAGGTTTCACCAGTGTTAAGAATCCTTGACATTTTTAGGGAGAGCAAGAAGACAAATGTCAGCATATAAAAGAAGAAGCAAACAGCACCGGCACTTGTAGATACGGCTCATCTGCAACAGCCACATTGTCAAATTGACGGAAGGCTGCCTCCCACCCCGAGTCGTGTTCTCCCAGCTGCCAATGGGTAAAATGGTCAGATAAGGGAGACATCTTTTTTTTTTTTTATTCAGTGAAGGCCCTCTTTAAAGAAAAGTTAATCTAACGAACCCTGAGGTCCAATGTAATGATGAATCAAACAAACTACACAGCAGCCACAGCAGAGCACTTACAGATTGCTGTGGGCAGGACAGATGTTCATGGACTCTGTCACACATGCTGTCAGGGGCCGGTCTGCAGAGTAAATACGTACAAAACGCAAAGCCTGTAAAATGAAGACCGTAAGTCGTCTCAGCCTTAAGCGGGCGCGTGAGGGAGGAGCCCGGGGTGCGGGGTTGGTTCAGTGCCAGCGTGGGCGTTCGCCGTGTCGCCATGTTCCATCAACATCGAGAGCGCCAACAGGCTGAGCCGCCTCTACTTCACCTGATGCTGCCACCTGTTATTCACCTGCCAAAATATGTACGGCCTAAAGTAACCTATAGTAAACCCATGTGAATAAAAATGAACATCTGTGCTCAAAGATCGATGAGTATTTATAACGATGAGGTACTGGAGCAGGTTAGTCCCGTACTGACGCGAATGAATCTGTGAAGCTGAAACGTCCTGACTTTAACAAACAGTCAAACTCATGAATCATTCACTCTTGGTAATGCAACCCAAGAGCATGAACTGTCCGAACCTGCCGTTATGTCCCCATGTCCACCAAACTCCTGAACCTCCGTGCTCCTTTCACGGCCAGGGTTTCTCCAGCTTTACCTCATGAAAATGAAATCAAACTGATTTGTGTAATCAGTGCCCCTTTAACGTCGGTCGACTGCTGCTGTTGAGCGGAAAGTGAAAGCGATAGCCACGCACAAGTTAGTAAGCAGGTTTCTATAGCAGCCAGGTCAGCTCTCCATCCGACCAGCGCGTTGGTACTCCACCAAGTCCAATCATACATTGTAAGATGTTTGCAGTATTTTGTCCTCCAGCAGTTGGCTTCACTTTTTTTCTGTTGTGTTTATGAATCTGTTGACAATAAGCAGAGCTGTGATCTTAAACCTTCACTCAAACCTCTTCCTGTTTGTACTGCCAAATCATGAGAAGCTTTGAGGTATTGGATCCAGTAAAGAGGGTTACAAAAAAACCCTTTTGAATGCCTTTGGCCTTTTTACAAGCCGCTAGAGTGACTCCGTGTGTGAACCTCATCATGACTCAGAAATGCTGCCGGAGACAACTACTACCCACCACAGAAGCACAGAAGGTGAACTTTGGCCATTTGCATTTTTCTCCGTCTTCGGATGGATTTTTGTCACTGTGACTGCATCACAGTTCCGTGAGACGCAGGTATGAAACTTTGCAGGTGTGCAGTTGAGATCAAAATGAAGGCAGAGATTGAAAGTGGAAGTGGTCCGAGCCAGTGTGGCTTCCTCCCTTTCTCTTCTTTTGATCCGTAGAAATGATAGCATCTGTTCATAGTTAGACTAGGGGCAAAGCAACGGTGCAATTTCTCACTGATCTCATAGTTTCGCTTCTATCTCCCACACTATATGAATTATTTCAGAAGATTACATCATGAAGATTTATTTTTTATTTATTTATACATCATCATGCAAGCACAGACGTTCGGCCTTCAGGTCGAAATGATATTGACTGCTGGGGGGTTTTTGGCTTCTCGGGGATCCCTCGTGGGCCTCGGTGTCGTTGACGTGACGCTGGTGGTCATTTCAAAAAAGCGTTTGACACAACGCGCCGCGGGCGGGGAACTTAACTTAAGGAGGTGCAGGGGCCTCCTTGGTGCTGCCACGTGGCTCCGTGTGGTTCTGGACAAACTGCTCACTTTGTTCACGGTCGGGTTGGACCGGCCTGTCACACAAGCACAAACATTTATACGTAACAGGGAACATACTTTTTTCATTATTTAGTAACAAAAAAGAAAAAAGAACAACAAACTCAAGGGTTCTATTGGTCCCCTATGTGGTGTAAAGGGTTCTGCTTTCGGCCAACTAGGGTTCATATCACACAGGACACTGTTATGAAACAATATCCCACCGAAACAACGTGTGTTGAGTCACCATCAATCGGCAGATGAACCGACACAATGGGGACCGGTGGCCCGCTGATGAAAGCCTCGGCAACCGGGAGTCTTTGAAGACTTTTCCTTGGAAGATTTACAAATGCGATACAAGACAGAAAAACAACAGCGTATCTCGGAGATATTTGTCGAAGGCAAAACAACAACAGAAATTCGTCAAAACTTCAAATTCTGGTCAACATCCAAACGATGCGACGACTAAAAGCAGATGTGTTTAATATGCACATGTGTTTTTAGTCGTCACATGCGCGAGTGATGGAGGAAAGCGCTGCTCGTGATTTTGTCAGCGCAGGAATGCGATCCTATCCGGTCTTTTCTTAAATGCACATGGAAGCTATTCGGAGTTCTGTGCCCGGCGTTAATGAGTCTATCTTTGGACAAGCTTTGTCCCCGACCGTCAAAGATACGGAAGCCAAACTTTACGGGGGTGTAGTTGATATTAAAATGAAAGCATGCGCTCGAAGATGCGTGTCGGCTGCCAGGAGCAGGGGGGCAGATTGCGGGCAATGAGCCACCGACGATCTGGTCCCGTGGATCTCCAGTTCACGACTTACAACACAGCAACATGGCGCTCCTCAAACGTCTTGTTTAACAATGTCTTGTGTCAAAATGTGCAACAACAAAAAAGGGAATAGGAAGAAACCCGGGGCATTTTACCCGGGGCATGCAGGGCAAAGCACGGCTGCTTCTGGCCTCATGGTGTCGCTGTTGTCTCACCGTTACTGCAGAGACGAAAAGGGGGGTTTGTGTACGTTGGCCTGTTGTCACGTGGCTGGGAGGTTCAGTTTGGACCGGTGTCACTTTGGGGTTGCAGTGTCCACCCGAGGCCAACCACGACAATGAATTCATCCTCGTGTCTTTTATGAATGAAACTAACCGGTACGAACGTGGGGAGGAAGGGTAATGTCCACGCGGTAGTCCCGGGAGATATTAGGACTGATGAGGACACTTTATTTGATTTCTCAAACGGCTCCATAAACACACAAAATTTTGGCCAAACGTCCAACTCGGGAAGCCACAGGATCGAGCTGGAAGAAGCAGGAAAGAGGTGCCGCAATGTTCCCATATAGCTGATGGCACCTTTAGAGATCGTCTAAAAATATATAATTTCCCAGAAGTGGAACCCCCCCACACACAATTAAACACATCGGTCCACCCTAAACAGCAAATTACGGTGCTGTGTTGAGCTTCGTTTTTCTGGCCCAAATGCGGCACATGTGTGGTGAAAAGTCTTTTCTGCTCATGCTCATGGGTTTCCTCCAAACGTTTGGTTTATGTCTTCCGATATTTTGGCCTCATCTAAATAATCAAACTACGCTCCAGCGTCTAAAAATGTTAAATTGTGCCATTGAATCAATGCTCGCCATGCTTCCAGAGGGGGGGGGGTTCCAGCGGTTTGCCAGATAGGTTACAAAAGTCCTCCGATGAATTCACTTCACATCGAACCCAATTCGAACGTCTCTGACTGCGTGAATCTCAGTTCAGGAGGAGTTTGTCTCTCCGGTCGCTTCCTGAAGGACCGTCACCAAAGAAAAAAACCCGCTCTGCGTGACAGTCGCCGCAGAGACCTTTGGCCCGCAAACTTCGCTCTCTTGGCCGAGTAAACACTTTTTTTCGGGTGGGGTGAAAGGCGGGTGGGTAAATTAGCCAAACTAACCGACAGATATCTCGCAGCAGTAATCGGACAGGAGGGAGAGGGGGGGGGGGGGTAAAAAAAAAGGGGGCGACGCTACGAGCGCTCGCAGCATGGCGCTAAAAACCGAAGAAAGTCGGGAGTGCATCGCGCAAACCTCAACGGGGAACGGCGCGGACACGCTGAAAGAGCGCAACAATGCGGACGCGAACATTTTTGGCTCCGGACACGTTGGTCCGCTAGCCCGTGACATGGAAAACCCCTGCTGCCAGACAGCTGCTGCTCCTCAGGAGGAGCTGTTAAACGCTGACTGCCGTGTGGGCGACAGTCGCTCATTTTCCGCCTGCGCCACAATCTCAGAAACAGCCAGGGAGCTCTGCAAAGCCGTGTCCGTGTCGCTGGGACTGACCATGGAGCCCAACGACGCGAGCGACTTGGACGTCGCTTTCCCCCCCTGCGCCGCCAGCGAGCAAACGCGCGGGGAGTATCTGTTCATGAATGTGAACTGTCCCGGTGGCGCGTACAAGTACCCGGACCGGGACGACCGGCCCCTGCACGGCCAGAAGCAACTGGTTGAGATGTTCAAAAGTTCCGAGGCGGCCGCGCGTCTCCAACACGTCGGCACCCCGACTCGGACGTCTGCGCACGAGCGCAACTTCGCGCCGTGCGAGGCCGACGAGGTGACTTCGGAGGAGATCGAGCATCTGGACGCGGCGCACGCTTCGTCCTGCGAATACGCGCCGGCCGCGCCGGGCAACTTTGCGCACTTCGGCCGGAGCGCCGCGCCGCGCGCGTGCCGGATCTACGAGCACCCGGACAGTGCGGCGGACTTCGGAGGAGCCACGGAGAACAAGTTCGGCGGTTACCAGCCGGCGCAGTACGGCGTCAAAGTGAAGTGCGAGGACGGCGAGTCTGCCGGGGCGCCGTGGGCCGGGGTTTACACCCCGAATGAGAAGTACGACGCCCAGTGTTGGGGCTCCAGGCAGTGCATGAACGCGCACGGCACGGACACCAACCCCGCGTTCGCATGCAATCCACACGAGAGGAGCGTCGTGCGTCCCGAGCAGTGGTACCCCGGCGGGATGCTGAGGCCGCCGTACCCAAACTCCAACTACGTGAAGACCGAAGTCGGCGAGTGGCTGGACGTCACCTACAATGACACCAGGTACACGGTGATGTTACGAATATTCCCAATAATACCGGTAACGTGAGTCGGTTGTCACGTGATAAAGACGCCGAAATTATGTTTAGGGAGGAAGTGGGTGAGTTTGCTTTGACCTTTGCAACAGACGCGAGTTGCTTTTCCTTTGGGTGAGGGCAAAACAAAATGAGTCATCATATAACGCCTTCGTCTTTGTAGATGTTGATGGATTTGTTTTCATGATGCTTTTTTAAAAATGCATTTACGGCAGAATAGGAAAACGTTTATTCTTATACATTTATTCTTATATTTAATTTAATGTTAGAAACCAAATGGCAAACTGAGCCCATTTACTTCTGCTTTGGGTTTTCTTCATGAAGTTATCAGCCTACTTTCACAGTTCAAAATTAAACCGAGGTGGCACTGCAATTTGAGGAAGGAAAATGTTTGTCTGGTTCACAAGCTGCTGATGTGCAACACTGAGCTGATTGGAAGTTATTATATATCAAACATCACTGACAAAGTTCCTAATGATAATATAGTCTTTAAATTTGATTTTAATTCAACCATTTCCTTTTTATTAATGTAAAAAAAAGACAAAACAATAAGCTAAATATACAGATAAATTACTGACATCTATAATATTTCTGTCATCTATATAAGTTCTGTTCTATGACAAATCTGTGTCATCAAACATGAAAGAAATGGAGTTGTCATTGTTGTGTTGGAGGTACCTGCTCATAACATCTACGAAGAAAGTATTTATAAATACACCCAGTGAATAAATATACCAGCGTAAATCTAGTCCTCCTGTGAGGGAATATCTCCACTGAATAGTTAGATTCACGTCATAAACCTGAGTGCACACAGTTTCCGAGAGGAGAGGGGAAACGTTTGTAGTTCCTGACGACGTCCGACACTTGTCAATAACTGGACTAATGATTCCAAAGCTTTCGTGTCAGCGGTCATGTTGGCACGTTCTCCCGGATGTGAGTGTTCACGTTAACTTAAAGGCAAAGGCTGACATGTGCACGGCTCCAGCTGACGTCATCATTACTTTCACCGTGGTGATGGATGCTTGACAACACTGGACACCAGCATTTACTGCATGACTAGTGTGAGTGTTACTAAATTACATATGTATGAACAAGGAATATGGATGAAGCCGTGTAGGTGTTATTTTTTGGGCTTATTGAATTTTAGATTTTTCAAAACCGGATCATAGAAAACCAAACAACACAATACCTGAATAAAAGCTGACAGAAAAAAGGCAAGGATGCTAATATCAAAAAATAATATTAGTGAGAATTGAGTGATACCTAAAAAACTAAATAAACAATAAATTAAGGCCACAATGACATCTTTAAAATGAGGCACCACAGGGAAATAAACGGTAACAAAATGGATATCACCAAGTCAAATTCCTTGTATGTCTAACATATTTTTAGAAATAAATGTTCCTGATTCCTGATGAAACATCCTCAGTTGATTGAATATTCAAAGGAGTATTAATTTGCATAAATACATTTCCAGAACAAAAATCTGAACATTGAATCAAGCATTGTTCGAAATTCTTTTCATTTTGTTTAGGATGCCTTTTTTATTACTTCACAATGAGAGGGAGACATTAAAAAATACATTGTGGCCATGTATTTAGAAATAAAATGTTCTATAAATCTGCCTGTGAATACAAACAAAGCCTCTGTACAGATCTTGGAAACATAGATTGGAAAACTGCCTTTAAGGTGTGTGCTGCAAAATGACCTAAAATTCAGAAGAATAATTAACTAACGTGTTTAAATATCTGATTGAGGCATTATGCAAACTTTTGGTAAACGCACGAGAAACAGACGCAAATACTCCAAGTGGTAAAATAAACACACGTGTTGATTTCCACTTGCCTGAAAGAAGACATGTTACTGCAGCAAAACGGCTCATCCAGTGGTTTAAATAAACTGTATCTACCTACAGCGTCTATACCTTCACCATGAGGTGTTCAGTCAACGTGTCGGAGGAACACGGTAACTGTTCATTGTCTAGTTGTAGTCCAAAAAAGGAAAATGTTAACAATGTTTCCTTCAGCGGCGCCGTTGCCAAATCCCCCCTCCTGCTGTCACGGCGGTCTCAATGAGAGCTGTCTAGGTTACTGAGAAAATGTCTCTGAGTGTCTACATGTACACATGCCAACGTGATGCATCAGTCAAATATCAATATGGGCACACCCAGTGTTTTATGAGCTCTGCAACAAACTAAATCATTGAACCCAATGACAGAAAGGTGTGTTTATTGGTTCCCCGTCATGAGAGAAACCTCCTGTTTATTTATTGTATTTTTCAACCTGATTTATTAGGCTTATTTTTTATAACCAATCAAAATACCTGTGATCAGTGGTGTTCTCACATGTGAAACCACTTCCGATGTCCCAAGTAAGGAGCTGAAATTTGGAGGTACGGAGGTCTGCCGACTGTGCTCCGACCTAATCTGCTTTCAATTAAGGAGACATGGAGCCCTAAACATACTTTGCCCGATGGCAAAAGATACATGCTGGTTTTATTTCTAAGGCAATTTTCCTTTATTTAAATCGTTGGACTGTCGGCTGAGTCAGAAATCACTGGAAAAGTTGAGAGGCATGTGATCTGTGACTGGAGTCCAAAGCCAGACCTCAGTTTGGGTTTCTATGGTATTCACTGTTAAATTCTAGGTCAGCAGTACAGGGTACAGTACTATCAGATAGTACAGTACTATCCAGAAGAATCCCCCTATAACCTTTAGCTGTTTGCATTTTGTTCACAATTTCTTTCCCATTAACATTAACTGATTAAAACACAACCACCGGGATGCGTGATTATGAAACAATAACACTTTTGCTGAATATTGTTGTAAGAAGACGACAACCCCCTGCATCTAGGCCGCTCCAATCAGGATATGTGTACGTGGTTTGTCTAGAAAAAAAAAAAAAAGCCGCAACAGTGACCTTCATCTATTGTTGTGGTGACAAGGAAGCGGGCGGCGTGAACCCCCAGCCGCCATAATATGGCCATTGCTCTGATGATTTATCGCTGTCACCAAATTGCAAAGATGTCCTCTCGCATGAATAATCACCTGTTGATTTGGGACTTGTTTCTGGTTGCCACGGATGACCCTGAGCGGGCGGTGATGGTCGTGGTATAAATACCGTGGGGAGTAATGGGGGATCTAGGAAGGTGAGTCGGGTGACAGTCGAGAGTTGCTAAGTAACGCGTGGCCTTGTGGGGAGGGAAGACGTGGCTGCAGACGGCAGCGGGCGGAGCCGAACGAAAACATTTGGTGAAGCGAACACGTTTACAGGCTGAGTTTATTGGCAAAATAATGACTCCAAGCGGGAGATAAATGTGTTTCGCTTTGAACCAGTCTCAACATGTGGAGGATCCTCAGTACGTAGTTCACTACAGAGGAGGGGCCATCTGAGAAAAACATCAATGGGTATTACAAATATTGGCGAAATCACCCTGGTCACACTGGTCCATCTGTAGACCACATGAGGGATTCCAGTTTTGGGCGAAGATCTCATTTCCTGTAATTATTCCAAGGGACTTTTTAACAGGATTGCTTTGCTGGTATTTGCCGCAAAAACAGACGGAGGTGATGAATTTATCCTCAGTCAACCAGACTTCTTTAGTCTTTAGTAAAGAGCAGCCCGAGAAGCAGACTCTGGAGTCATCTGTGCGCAAAGGGAAGTGAGTTAAGTCCAGAGTGGAGCGCGAGTAAATCACGCCACTTACCACCGAAGACAAATGTACAGTGTAGGATTTCAGTGAAGAGAGCCAGTCCGTGATGATATCTTGTCACCACGGAGGAGCTGCATGTTTCTACCTCACAAATGAGTGAAAACAGATGTTTTTGCTCATTAAGCAACACTGCAACATTTCTAGGCTCACACTCACTGCAGCTTTGATGTTTCCATTGATGCATTTTAGTCTAGCAGTAAAATCAAGCAAGCTGAAGCAAATCTTTGCAATAAAATCAGGTATTTTGGTCACGCAAGTGGATTAAGTAGCATCATCTGGTCCTCAGGCGGGGCTCAGCTTGCAGTTTCTAAGTCGTGATTCAGGACTTAAAGTGGCCTGACCTTTGCAGCCAGAGTCTAAAGGCTTCAGGCTGCAGAAAAAGGGTTTTGAATAAATGGAAAAATAGATCTTGTTCATGATGAGATCATTTATCATTCATTCATCTGGGTTCGGGTCTCCAGCAGGGGAGCCCGAGCGTCTCTTTCCCTCTCCACATAGTGGTGGGTCTTCCCCGGGACCCCTTCTTAGCTGGCCGTTGCCCAATTATGATGGCATCACCTAATGATATAATTATGTATGTATTCCTCACATGGCAGCGTGCCGCCCCGTCAACAATAGTTTAGGCCATCCCAAACCACGATTGTTATTTTTAAAATGTAAAGGACAACCCTTTAACCTTTTAATAGTATATGAGAAATGTTACCATGGTTTTATCCCAGTAAAATCTGGTAAATGTGGTTTGGCACTTGTCTCTCACCAATTGAAAGCCTCACAGGGTTTATTTTAAATGTAGTGTTGTTAAATCTTAAACCACATTTTTATTGCCATTTCAACAAGTCACTTTCAAGCCACTGTTGGTTACAGCCCTGCTCCCTTGACATCTAAAAAAATGTTTCAGAGCCGTGATCAATTCAGAGCTCGTATTGTTTGGATAAAAACGTATACTAGATATATAAAGCCCTCCTCACTTTCCTTTTTCAACGTTAGTTCCCCCATTTTTCTGAATCATTTTGGTTCCCCGGCACCTAAAATCAATAAGGACACAGTTGTGCTTAATCCTTGTGTTTTTTGCTGCAAACCTTGATATCCGCAGTTGCGCGTCACTGAGGCAACGTTATGACTGAACCCTTTCCAATCTCTCCGTGTTCAAGGCTGAACCCCCCCTCACGCCCCCTCCAAACCCCTTGGCCGCAGTGTTGGCTCTATGATCTTTCCCACACGTTCTGTCATCACACTCTGTGTCCTCCTTGAATCGCTCACCGAGAGGCCTCCGCAGGGCTCTGGGGAGGGAAGAGTACATGCGCTCTGTGGTTGCCTTTTGGGGACCATTAAACCAGTGAAACACTATGGATACGCTGTGGTCTCGCTCTCGTAGTACGGCTTTAAAATTAGCATTTAGTTTCACAAGATAATAAAAAGAAAAAAAAACAATGGACAAACAAATGCCATGCTCTGATACGTCCAAGCTGTGACCAGGGATTTTGAATGAGAATGAATTCAATTACTCCGATTTAATACCTTGTTTTTACGAGTGTCCTGTTGATCTTTTATAGCAGTCCTGTTTCGTATGTTTTACTGCAGGTTTGAGGCTGGCAGGGAGCACATGTTCCCAATGGAGTTCTTCTTTCCGCCACAGAGGATGTGCCTGATTTGTTCGGACGAGGCATCTGGCTGTCATTACGGCGCGCTCACCTGTGGCAGCTGCAAGGTTTTCTTCAAAAGGGCTGCGGAAGGTAAAACACAAGAAGGGGGAGTGGAGGCGGGGGTGGGAGGGGGGGGGGGGTCACTCGGGCCCAATTTTTCCACTTTAATGCCAGTGCTCAACAGCTAATCCCTTTTATCTTAGCTGGAACCCAGATTCTGTAAATGTCTAATGTTTCTTATGTTTTCAATAACGTAACAGATTGTGTACCTCTGGTTTCTCTGTCCGCTTAGGCAAACAGAAATACTTGTGCGCGAGCAAAAACGACTGCACTATTGATAAGCTAAGAAGGAAGAACTGTCCATCCTGTCGGCTGAAGAAGTGTTTCGAAGCCGGAATGACTCTCGGAGGTAAATATGTAATTAAAATACTTAAATCTGCTTTTAGGAGAAACGATGATTGCGAACGCGGAATATTTTGTTGGGATGACAATCAGTTGCGTTTTACTTAAGACAAAGAATTTGTGCCGCAGAAATAGGCCCTCAAAATGCATACGTCTGTGCAGCAGGGAATACAATAACCACTGTGCACTAGACAGTGTATGAACAAAGCACACTACAGAGAAAGTGAAGTCCTAAAAGTGGCTGCCGAGGACCAAGTACTTTATTCTCTCCACACTGCACATCCGAGCTGCCTCTCTTCAATTGCAGCATCATCACAATAGGGGATGTTACTGATAATCAAGCCCCTGACTGCGCTGCCATGCAATTTAGACCTATTCCATTCACTTCTCCTTACTGTCACTCGCACCTGTTCGTCATATTAGGCTGTAAAGATTGACATGTAGTGGACTAATTTTAGTCTTGTGTTCAATTTTCACTCTCTTCCATTTTCCCATTCTGTTAACGGTGAAAATTGTACTCGAAGCACAAAGCTGACATGAGACATGTGAATTAAAGCAGCAGACATGCTGGTAATTTTGCCACCAGTCACTGACAAACCCATGGAGGGAAAATGTGATCTAATGCTGCGATTGTGAGTAAAAAGGAACACCTTTTCTAGTTGTGGCTTAAAAGAGCTTCCTTTCACAGACACTCTCGTCCTGGACATGTAATTCCCTCAATGCATTTCACAGGAAAATTTATGACAATCATTTTTAAAAGTGCAGGCAGAAAAATTATACTTATTATCCCAGAGGGTTTTTAACTCAAAATTGAGGTTTGACTCTGCATTTTGTATGTATCAATTAAATGATAAACTTCAATCATTAGATCTCATCATATTCCGTTTTGTAGTTTCTCTCCTCGTGCTTTGGGAGGCCGGAGGAGCAGCAAATACATACAATTTTTGAAGCTTTGTTAAATTTGGCATCTGTTCGAGATTGAAAAGCACGGTTATTATGAACTGCTCAAAAGGTTTCATTTCTCTAATTTGAATTCCACATTATTCCTGGAATGCTAATTGCACCCACAAATACAAGCAGCGCAGGGAGGCGACTGGCCGATTCCTCCCGCAGCCGGCTGAAGGGAGGCTGCACCGCGCGGCTGCTTGTGTCGAAATGCAAAAAGAAGGCGCGCGGATTTGATTACTCTTAAAACCATTTACAGTTCATGAACTGAACCTCCCGAACAAATTGTGTCTCTAGCCCAAAGTGTGCTTGACATTAGTCCAAAAAGCCACTTCGGTTTCCATTTCACCTGCAGCGAGTGGGAGTTAGTTCATGACTCACACGACCGGCCGCTCTCAATAGCAAATGCAGCGCGCTAATTTCATTTCCCAGAGGACAGATGCGCGTCGACGTGGTTTTTAAACTTTTTTGTGATGAGCAGATTTGATTCTTCATTGAAGGGCGGGGCTTTCAGACCACTTGGCCGTTCGTTTAAAGCTTTTACCATCAGGAAGAAGAAAGCGAGGAAAGTCTTTTTGGAACGTCGCATTTCTTCCAGTCAGACTTTCCGACACATTAGTCCCTCAAAGTCTTCCAGAAACACAACTAACATCGGTGAGCTAATGATGTAATGACATCTACAACCTGGACACCAAAGTGAGAGTAAAGTGGGATCTGCGAAGGCACACATTACAAAAAGGCATTTCGAGAGGAGGAGAACGTGCTAAACTGACCTTCAAGTTTTTTTTTGCAATCAAGACGCGCCTGCCAACCTAAAATGGCAGTCGGGATAAAGATGGTGATTATAATGGTGATGAGACGGGTAATGACACAGAGGGAAGTGGTCCACAAAATGTGAGTATATTGAGGGGAAAATGTCCAATAAGTTTTACATGTCCAATTTGATTTGAGTGAAAATGGGCCCGTAATGGATACGTCTGCAGCTTATTCAGCCGAGGTCGGTTTGAGCTGGAAACAATCGATCGCATCAGCCGACACAGTTCAGTGTGCTGGTCAGTCAGCGAAGTTAACAACGACGTGACAACTTAATCGTTCTGTCTGTGAAGCAAAAGGGCTTGAAGCCATCGTTTTTTGGATGTCGACCGCCTATTTGTATTGGCTTCAAGTCAAGTTTGGGGATCTTAAGGTTAGCTCAACCCGCCTTATTTACACTGTACTCTGTAAAGATCAGATGCCTGCCTGTGTACAACTGAATCCTGGGAAGACATTTTTAATTAACCATTATTATTTGAGGTGTTTGATATCAGATCAGACAGAAAATGTGAGATGTGTCAATTATACTTCTTATATAATCCACAATTGTCTTTCAATCCAGGTGCTTTTGAGCCTCTTAAATTGTGTCCATAGCCGGATTTTCAATATTCATCCAAGTGAACTAGAAAGTTAGTCTGCGGGTTTAATGAGATTCTCTGCACAGACGCTGCAAGACCCAATTGCATTACAATGGATGCCATTTTACCTGCCTGTCAACATTGATATAATGGATTTAAGAAATGATTTTGCCTCATAGGTTGATTCCATGAAGTGTTGTTTTTACCTCTTATAGCTGAAACGGATTAAATGTCAAATGAATACACTTGTTTTAAAGAGGATTTCCAGCTAATTGAGACTATAAATGAAACATAAGTGAATTCTCAGTATTCTCTGTCCTTCAATTCCCCAATTTCTCAGCCCCAAGTCACTCTTTATATTTGTCTGTCACTCAGTGCAGCTCGGACCGAAGTAACGAGCTGCGCTTCTAACTTGTGGGAATAAAGCAGTCGGTTATCAAGTGTAGTAACGGTGGTGATGTTAAACCATGACTGTAAAAGAACCCAATGCATTTGGCAGCTGTTCAGCAGAATACAACCATCCCAGTTTGGTTGTATCACTACTTACTGTACATGGACGTCTACTCCACTCGCTGCAATTTAGTTTCTAAGTGCAGGTTGTCGTATGGAGCAGCTGCCTCGGCAGTTTCAGCGTTTGTGGGAGAGAAATTGCAGCTTTTCATTGCTCAAGATGAGCCAGTCTTCTGTTTTTAAGCATTCAGTACTTTATTTCCCACTTTTTGTTGTCTGTTAATACCTACATGATTTGCTGTGTTTTAGGAAACATACGTGTAATTCAAACACTCATGCTTTATTGAGGGGCAGAGCTTTATTATAATATATTTTCAATGCTCTTCCAAACCTTTTGCTTGAAAAAAATGTATTGACCAGCAAGCTCTGATATAAGATGACTAGAAAGGCTTTCCACCAGATAAGGTTCCACTCAGAGAGTTTTCTTTTAAATGGAATATGACTCAATACCTTCAACGCTATTAATCGGTCAGTGCAGAGTGTTTTGTGGTAAAATAGATATTTCCCATTAAAACCTAAAGTTTCACTATGATGAAACATTTCTTATGAATTACCGTCAATCTCGGTACAGTTTAGATTACCTTATGTAGCGTTAACGAACTAAGAGGATGTATTTTTATAGATGTTCAATTCACTGCTGATAAATACATCCGATAGTGTCTGTGATTGATTGTAGTCTGAAAGGGAAATCTTGTTCTGACGAGCGTCGTCAAGTCAGTCTGCACATCAAGCTGCAATCGTATTGGTCCCCTTCCTGGTTTCTGATTTTCTGCACATTTGTCACACGTAAATGTTTCAGATCACAACAAACTCATTTTTATAGCAGTATTGGCAAACAACGACTGCACTGTGATTAACCACAAAATGAAAGCTGGGTTCAGTTACGCTTGCCACACCCGGGTCTGATTACTGCCAGACCTGTTGAAGCAAGAAATAACCGAACCAGCTGAGGAAAAGTCTTTGAGGTTGAGGAGAAAGAATATTTTTCATGAACAATAGATCAACTTTTATCAGGACAATCCCAAAACCAAAGACTTTCCGTGCAGCTCTGAACCATATGATGACCTTCTACTGACTTTGAGATCCCCTATTTCAGAGGACAACTGAATTTGGTGAATGAATACGGTTGTCTCAGCTTAGATATTAATGACTCGCTTCTTAACTGCTCGTCTGTTAAAATAGCATGAAGATAATAATATATGAACGGATTCTTATTTCCGTGCTTTTGTTTGCAGCCCGTAAGCTGAAGAAGATCGGACAACAGAAAATCCCGGAGGAGGAACCTCCCCTGAAGGACCCCTTAGAAGTCATCCAGAATTTCTCTCCTAAATCGGGTCTGAACTTCAACACACAAATGGTCTTCCTCAACATCCTGGAGTCCATTGAACCCGAGGTGGTGAACGCAGGGCACGACTACGGCCAACCGGACTCTGCCGCCTCGCTGCTCACCAGCCTCAACGAGCTGGGAGAGAGACAACTGGTCAAAGTGGTCAAATGGGCGAAAGGATTGCCAGGTAAGACATTACTTGAGTTTTTTTTTTTTAGATGCTGAATGCCAGCTCTTTTGTCACATTTCTCAGCTTTTGCTATTTAGTGTAACTTTACAAAACACATTGAAAGGATCGAAATAAAAGTTAAATTAATAGAATAGTTCAAACAGAGCAATACAAGTAGATTAAAAAATTGGAACAAACATCGTTTTAGAGTTTGAAAAAAACATGAATGCAATAGAATAAATAATTAAACTCAATTTCCAATCAAAAGCCAGACTAACGCTGTAACTTCTAAGTTGATCAACACCGCTGTCAGACACTTGGATATTTACCATCGCATGAAAACTGTAAGCGACCTCTACTAAAGTTTAAGTGCTGCACTTTGGAACAACTAAAAGTTGAATATTACACATGAATTGCAAAGCGCCCACGCTGGAGCTTCAGATGATAAAAGTCTGATATGGGGAATAAGCCTTAACGTTTAAATCCGAGTGACACCAACGTTCTTTTGCTTGCTACCAAAGCTGACTTCTACAAAATTCCATTTTGTTTCTCTCTTTGAGAATTAGACCCTGTAAATAATATTCAGTTTAATCCTGATCCAATTTTAGTTATAGAGCAAACCCTGAAAACAACAATAAAGTAATTTAGACAAGTCAACATGAGACGATATAAGCTATGTGAACAAGACAGAACGAGACAGCGTGTGATTAAAACCGACTGCAGAGAACAATGTGAGCGCTGATTATAATTTTCATGGGCTAAGACGACTATCCTGCGTGGTTTCAAGGACGTGGTCAGCGGGAGCATTTATGTTCCGTGCCTTGAAAGAACATAAAATCTGTTCAAGCTTTTGGTTATAAATTATATTATTTCCATTCAGTATTATGTTTTTCCAAATCCATTTTTCAAATGAGAGAGGCAAGAAATGATTTCTTCACGAGAACAATTTTCATCCAATGGACCCTTTTAAAGAACATTCAAAACTTGCATCGGAATTCATTGCCCACATGTTGGTACTTGTTACAACCCCTTTGCTGCAATAGCAACTTTAAGTATACTTATGCACACTGTTTTATGTGTGATTTGTCCTCTTACTTCTCTGCAGATAATCTGCACTGGGATACGTCTTAATTCATCATTTGTAATTCGGGCAAAACTCATGATTGAGGGCGTTGACATAAAAGCGCGTCAGCGGTCCTGTGTCATTTCAAACATGATACGCATTGATAGGGAAAGGAATGCTGGGCATGGCGTCAACACCACCGAGGGATGTCATATATTGATTAAAAACTAGCGGCTCTATAATTGATCCTTGGGGAATCTCAAGTTACTTTACAGTTTTTTGTTATCATCCCTAAAGAAATCTTTCATACTGTCTGCCAGAGAGAAAATGTAGGAGACCAATTAAAAATGGTTTTAATAATGGTCATTGTGTTGCCCCAGTGTATTAAAAGCTATTTTGGTTATCACTTTACCGCACGAGGATTTGTGCTTCTATTAGTACAAAATATGCCGTAATGTTGCACTTCATTCGGCTGAATCTTTGTCCTCAGGGTTCAGAAATCTCCACGTGGACGACCAAATGACTGTCATCCAACATTCGTGGATGGGGGTGATGGTGTTTGCTCTGGGATGGAGGTCGTATAAGAACGTCAACGGCAGGATGCTTTACTTCGCCCCGGATCTTGTGTTCAATGAGTATGTACACCTCTGAATTCAATGGTGTTCTTTAAAACGATTTCATCAGTGGGTGAACAACATCATTTTATATATGTATATATATATATATATATATATATATATATATATATACTCCGCGAGTGAGTTGGCGACGTCGTACATAATACAGACGTATCAGTTTCTCTCTGTCTTCGTCTAAAAACACAAAGACATCTCTAACATTTTTGGCAGGCCTTTTTTGAATCGCGTTCATCCAATTCCCTCCTTAGGTGTTCTTTTGTCAATGTGAGATTAAAGGGAGGAACATTAGTTTGCAGCTTTCAAACTCTCCCACCCCCGCTGAAGTTGATTCACTCTGAATATTACTCATGACAGACAACAGTCGTTGGGTCTGCGTGAGTGCTAGTCAGGAATATTAATGGTTTTAGTTTGTCCCCTCGAATGTTTGTCCATTCTACTTCATGTGCAGCGCTGATGTTCCTCTACTTTAAACAAACAGGCACTTTAAAAGCTCGTGGCTGACGGATACTGTCTGTCATATTTAAAGAAAGTATTTCTATAATATTTATTTTGATGTAAATCGACAGCATATACAAAGCGTCCCTTGCTACGTTTTGTTTTTAAGGCAAACTACACTATTGTTATGTTTTGATAGATTATACCCCGATCTGACTCTATATTTATAAATAAAACTAAAAGATTGGAGTAACTGGAAAGTATCAGGATCCATCTGAAACTGGCAGGATGAATCTGGGCAGGAAAGTAAATGAACAAAAGCCAGACTGCTCATTTGGTGCTGCTCAGTGGCTCGCAGACCGCAGCAGCTGGGCAGCTCCCAGTTATGATTGTGTGACTTTGTGAGCGAGTGTGAGACCGGGTCTTACTTAGCGGATGTGATCGGAATAATTACAGCTTTAAATAAAGTAGTTGTTCAAATGTACCAAGTGAAAATGAGAATTAAATAGCTTGAATATTTAATAATGTGGTCTCAATGTGATGAAACTTCCATGTGGATTACAAAAGCCCCACAACATACAGTTGCTTATAATCACTGTATATTTAGAATTTACAGCTCTAAAGCTGCTGTTTTGTCCTCTAAACTCAAACCCCCTCACTGAATAAATGAGGGACGTCCATTAATGAATTCCTTCCTGTTCCCCTTTGGTCTCCAAATGGAGATGACCTTGACAACGTCAATACGACAACAACACTATGACATCCTAATGGTTTCTTCGCCATTTGAAAAAGCTTCCTCCACGGACAGACTGAATAAAAAGCTTTGTGATGAGCAAAGTGAACTTGATGCAATTTGGATCTTTTTTATTTCCATTTCGGTCTCCATAAAAACAATAATGGCAAAATTGAGCCAATAGACAAAACAGCTTTGCCCCTTGACGGTATAACACGGGACAATGTAGAGGGGCACTGGGAGAGCGCAGACCGCCGCCAAGACCGCCTGCGTGGGGGAAATGGGTTCTTTATCGGCCTCCCACCAATGCTCACGGTAGTCGGGAGCTCTAGTTTTTCAGTAGTCTTTCCCAGAAAAACAGACGAACAAACTGATCTGAAAACGTAGCTTCTTGGTGGAGATAATAAAGTCATAATGTCAACAGCACTTAATGATGCAGCTTGCAGTTGTTGTTTGCTAAATGTAACACCTCAACGAGCATCTGAACAGATTATGTTAATAATTATATAAATTGAAGAAAAAAAATGCAAACTGACTGACAGCGGAGAATTCCTCTGAACCAAGATCTCCTTGTTTCACATTTTTTGCATTCCCCAATTGAGTCATTTGCATGCAGGTGTTTTTCGTCTGCAGACAGAATATACCTGTGCATGAGCACTGGGTTTAGATGAGAGGGAAAACACAGGAGACTCCCCTCGTTGAGAGTTTCATGTTGGAATTAAAGGGAGGATGTTTTTGATGGAATCCACATCGCTTTACCAGCCTCCGCACCTTTGACACTAAAGGAGACCGACTTCCATATCATGGTCTGCGTTTTTATAAAGAGTGCGGGATCAGTGGTTTAGATTTTGAGGGTTGAATTAGGGCTGGTGGAGGCCTTTTAAATCAGTAAGGTGGATAATTCAAGCTATTTGAAAGAAATTTAGCATAAAATGTTAAGTGCTCCTTGTCATCTTTTAAATGAGCTGCTTACCGTCTCCCGCTGTGCCAAGTCTTTCCTCCTTAAGAGGGGGAAAAACCCCGGCACAGTCACCGTAATTGGGGACTGAATTAAGTACTGAGATTGAGGAGATTGTTGGGATTTTTCATTGAACTAAAAGTGCAGGTGTACTACTTATATATACCTCAGCAACGATCCCCCTATCACATCAGGCAGAAAGGTCTCCGGTTTACTCACATTTTATTGAATTATATTAACACGCAAGAACCGATATCTGCTGTGATGTATTATCTCATAAGACGGTTGATAGAGAATTTGATTCTACGATGGTTGCAGGTTATCATACACACATTTTCAGCTTTTCAGCTTGAAGAAGTAGTTATTATGTTAGAGGTAAATATGCTTTTTTTTCTTTCCAAGAATCATATCTTACTGCTTAGCTCAGCAGTAAGCTAAGCTGCTCCTTACCCCAAATAGTCTGTTGAAAAAAAACAAATAACCACACAGATTATAAAAAAAAAAGAAAGGAATAACATTTCCTACGTTACAGCCGGTGTGCTATTTGGCAAATGTTGTTAACTTTGGCCGGAGCCCGGATAGCTGTTTCATCCTTCGGTCCAACTCACCTGTTAACTAAGGTTACATTTTGCATTAAGTTTGGTTGTTTTATGCGTGTCAGTCATTTACAGGTGAAGTAGATGTTCTGCTTTATGAGCCGTTAGCCATCAGACTGTTGAAGAAGTCGGCCGTGGCGCATTCGGAGAGGGCAGTTTTCTGATAATTGTTTGAAATGGGTGTCAGTGCAGCAACTCTGTTGTACGTGATCGGTGTGTACGATGGCATATCTTCACAGCACTGGAATATGTTACAAACTGTTTCTTTCTTCAGTGGTAATAAAGGCACAATTGTTTTAATCACACTGAATAGAACTTTGATCACGATGCCTGTTCTCCCACTCTTCTTCTCCCAAGCTCCTTCAAATAACTGAAGATTATTCATGCGGGATGAACATGACACATCCAATCACTGCTTTTAATATTACACTATAAATTACACGGACATTCCACTTAATTTAAACTGCCATTTATGAAGGAAGAGATTCTAATGTAATGAAATTGTGTGTTTTAAACATCTTGCTCCACGGGCCCGCTGCAGAGATCTTCATTTTTCAAGGATCATTCAGTACCAATGACCCTATTACAGCATTAATAGATATGGATCCAACCCCTGACATTCTTTGCCATTCAGTAGTTATTTATTACAGAATAAATGTCCAAGCTGTAAAGCAAGTTGTTCCTTGACTCTCGGATTTGCAAATTTTCCTTTCGTTTCACATTTATGATCCTGACCTCTTTAAATCTGCAGACATCGGATGCAAATGTCCACAATGTACGAGCACTGCATACGGATGAGACATCTTTCACAGGAGTTCCTGCTGCTGCAGATTTCTCAGGAGGAGTTCCTCTGCATGAAGGCCTTGCTTCTTTTCAGCATTCGTGAGTATTCTGCGGTGTACTGAGCTTCACAACGTAGAAACAAACTGCTTTACTTCACCCCGTAAGTGGGCATGCAGGAGAGAGAGACAACTGCTGTCCAAACTGTTTTTTTTTTGGGTTGTCACCAGTTCCAGTTGAGGGTCTGAAGAGTCAGAAGTACTTTGACGAACTGCGTCTCACCTACATCAACGAACTCGATCGCCTCATTAGCTATCGGATGGCGGCCAATTGTCCTCAGCGGTTCTACCAGCTCACCCGACTCCTGGACTCCCTCCAGATGGTGAGATGCACGGCTTCATGCACGAGGTTGGCATGTATGCCTGCCCCCCCCCCCAGCGGAGGGGAGAGGCACAGTTTGTGGGATCTGAACATGTGGGTGCAACTAGTCAGCAGGAGAGTCTTAAGAAACAGCAGGTACACGAGTTTGCTTAAAAGTTGTTGCAACTCTTATCACACGGGCCCACAGGAAAAAAATGCAGCATTCAGGTCAGTGGAAGCGGAATCTGTGAGGCAGGAGTTTGATATAATGTGTAATGTATTTTCATGCAACATGTCTCCTGAAAACTTTGAATTCATCCAAATGATTTAACTATTGTTCTTTATTTTTATTTTTTCTTCTGTTTCAGACGGTAAAGAAGCTCCACCAGTTTACATTTGACCTTTTCGTCCAGGCTCAGTCGCTCCCGACAAAGGTCAGCTTCCCAGAGATGATTGGAGAGATTATCTCTGTACATGTACCAAAGATGCTGGCAGGTTTGGCTAAACCCATCTTGTTTCACGAGTAGGGACTTCTAATTGATCCAGAAATGTCTCCTCTTTGCTGCCTCCACAAACTTTAACGAAGGTACTTTTTACCTACATCTTCAAGTCTAATGGCTCTTAGCCCTGTCCTGTAATCATTATTTTGTTGCTAAAGCATTTTTTTTGTGTTCCTTTTAGTCATAATTGAGGTTGTTCAAAAACTGTTAAAGCTTTTATCTGAGGCACTGCAAGGCATCACCTGTTGACAGCTCTGCTATTTGTGAGTGGAAAGTTTTTGTTTTCAGCGATTCTACTTTACATACACAGTAACTCTGTAAATCATTAATGCAGCAACCAAAAAGCAGCAAGGTTAGAAACATTTTTGGAAGTTTTGCATGTGACCTTCATAACACACACACACACATGACAAGGTATTCGGAAATACTGAAAAACAAGAGGCAGCCAAAGAGCAGATGAGGATTGGATCACAGAAATAAACAAATACTTGTTTCCCCATTAACTTCCCAAAATCTGTTTTTCTGAGTGCTGCCTTCAGATGCACCTAATTTCCTGCTTGTGATATTTAGAGTGGTTAATACAACTCGTGAGGCATTTAAGTGCTTAAGTGCCTTAAAATGTAAAAAATGTACTCGGGCCTGTAAAAGACAGTTGATGTGCAACATCATCATTGTTTACAGTGAACCTGCAACATCAGATTGTGCTGACGTGTGAGTGTCCAGTACTTTTGGTGCTGCAGGTCAGTCATTAAAGGTAAAGTCTGCTGTCTGGACAAATGCTGTCTTTATTTGAAACTAAATCAAGCCAAGTAGAGTATTGTTTAGTGATAAGGAAATCCAACTATGAAATGAAAACAACATTGTTGTTACTACCTCTTGGGCTCACAAGTCTCTCAACAACTCCGTTGTTTTACTGAATATTTAGCTGAAGTAGTTCTGACCGGAATCGGAAGAAGCTGCAGTATTTTTGTTTTTATCTGACTGTAAAAAAAAAAAGAAAAATGTTTTGAAGACTTTGTTTATCAAGCATTCACTTACATATTGAAGATTAAATTCTCAATAACGTCAAAGACTTATTTACTTTGTCCTTTGGGAAGCACTGTGAACAAGATGGAAGGCTGTGACTCAGCTGTTGCGTCTGGCAGAATCCATTCAACCAATTCGGCACGTCGTGTTGTTTAGAGGGAAGATTTTCCACCTTAAATCAGGGTGGATGGTGGATGTAACTGCTTGAAGCAATAAATTCCTCTTTGGGTACCATTCTATTGACCAAGAAAGCTGAGTTCACAGCTGCAGAATCGGTTGTTGCTCCTGTATCCAGTGCTGTCATTTGACGTGTCAGTGAAACAGTTTGGAAGCTTGGGAGGACGACTCGCCACGTCAGCGTGGATTTGTAGCCTCGGCCTTTGGGCGGCCCCCGCCACGGGCCGTTCTCTAGATACTGCTAAAATAAACGTCCTAAATCTGTCTCAAAGTTCCATTGTGGTGATAAAGTCAACAAAATATCACACAGAACATACTTGTTTTGCGTCGCTTGTATTGCACCGGGGAAAACTAACTCCAAAAATAAGAGTGCAGCGGATGTTATGGGTGAGGATGAATTCATTTCAGCCTTACTTAAGTACATGTCCAAAGATATGCAGCGGGGTGAGGTGGACGCTGCATTAGCTGTGCAGGAGAATCTGGGGGAGCGGGGGAACTGGGCTTTCTTGGTAAAAGGTCAATTAACTACGTTTACCATCGACCCTGACTGGAAACCCATTTAAAGGGACGGCAAATTTTCCCTGCAAGCATAAAGAGTATTTCAACAGGTCATCACTATTTGCTCTTGTCTATTTATGAAATCAAAGATGATCGTGCATGAAAGAAACCGCCTGAGTTATATACTGTTAGAGTGTAAACACTCTGTTATTTGATCCAATGCAGCACATAACAGACATCTGCAGAACGCACTGCATGCTTACTATCGTTCTGCACTTAAAACCTTTTTACATTACATTGGCGGCGAATGTGTAAAGCTGTTTTTTCATTACACATTTTTAAGCATTGACACAAGATAATCTTGTCAAAGCAGGTACATGGCACAAGTGAAATTGTGGAGAATTTTAATTTAAGCAGTTTCTGTACTCTTTTCTTAAATACAGATCTACAAAACTATTGGTAACCCAAACTTTGTAGTCCATCTTTGAAGAAGTTGCCAAAGATCATGTTTCTGTACAGACATGCCAAACTATGTCAGTACAGATATTTAGAAAGAATCCCCCCCCCCCCCCCTCCTGCCGCCCCCTTTGGATTAGTTTTGCATTTACTTCAAATCACATGATGGCAAAGCAAATACTTGGATTAAATAACAAGCTTGAAGCAAAAGATTCAGCAAATAAAAGTAAGTGGCCTGCTCTCAGCGCGGCATCCTACAGCAGCGTAAAACATCCCAGCAACATGCTGTTGACAGCGTCGTGCTGCAATCGCAGTGTGCCGAGACGGGGAGACTTGTAGGGACACAAGACGAGAGCATGGCACCAAATACAGGCAAAAACGTGATTCAAACCGCCAGCGATCTCAGATTCGTTGCGGCCGTGTTCCAACATGATGACGAATAGAAACTTACAGCTAATTTATAACTGGAAGGGCTTTAGATGTGAAACGTGAAAGTCCTTGACTTGTCCTGCCAAAGCTCATTAGATGAAAAACCAAGAAAAAGAATCCGAAGAATGCCTTGAAGAAAACTGATCAAAGACCCCCGAGTCAAAACTGTTGAAGGGTATCCAATCATGGACTCAAAATCAGTTATTGTACTTTATTTAAGAATCGTAAACCAAGGCGTTGAAACACGAGGCACTTTTTACACACATCTCGGTCCACTAAATTACACTGAAATAATGTCTTTCAGTCAGTGACCTAAACGTGTAGCACGCTCACAATCCATCGTGAACTAAAACGAAAGGTTGATTCTGTGGTACATTTTGCAACAATGTTTCATAACTCTGTAAATGAAAACACTTTTTAACAATTCACCATTTATTTCACAAGCTTGTAGACGCATGCATCGTGTGATTGTTTATATATAGGCACTGTATTTCGCTTTACACCAAGCAAATGCATGGACATCCATGTATCACTCCACGTATCTTTGTTTTTGTAGACTGGCTGACGGCGTCAGCGTTGTTCATTGCATGGGACATCTGTTGTATAGTGCAAAGTGATGAGTTAACTATAGTCATTTGTAGTGTTTTGTAACGGATTCATACATAAACTTTAGAGTCCCTTATCTGCAGAAATGAATGTATTCATATTTGTCTTTTGATACACTCTTTGCTATGTGAACAGGGATGGGGAGAAAGTGGAGTCCAGTAGCTCTAGACAAGTTTGGACGATCCGTGACACTTGACCCCACCACAACAGCTAATTATAGCGCTGGCACTTGAATAAATGGGATTGCTGTCGTTTGACAAAGCAGCAGTTCAGTGGGAAGTTGAAACCACACAGAAGCCTAATTAAAACATAATAAAAACATAGCTTATATACAGAACGGTACAATTGTTTGGAGAACCTGTATTTTAGGTCCCCTGTATTTTTTTTCTTTTAATGGCTGTTTATCAAACCTCACAAAATCCCTGAATGCACTATATTGTAAGATCGGCGTGGCAGCAACTCTTTATCTTTTAAATTAACGCTGGTTCTAAAGAATGTTGGGATTTTTTCAGGCTATTTTAACTTTTATTATACATTACAATTTCAAGGCACTTCTAGTGCTGGTGAGTCATGCACCTTAATGAGCCACCTCGTTGCTCTGTAATTTAAAAAAATAATAATAATATGATTTAATCACAGTAGACTACAGTGTTTGTATGATGTGAATTGACAAAAGCTGGTGTGTGCCCAGTGTACTGCATATTAACCTGATCCTTTGTAAACGCCACAGTAACTGTATATATTGATTTGTTTGTCTGTTTCGGTGTCCCAACACTTGACTTTTAAAGTAATCTCTTGTATGATTTTTACCTTTTGTGACTTGTTTTTAAAATGTGTAAAGCTGCATCATCTTTTAAAGGCAATTAAAACCATTCTGACTCTGTTTGAAGTAATTGTACAAAATACTGTTAAGTAGTGGCATGCAATCATTTTATGTCCAAGTCCAAATGGCCTTGAACAAACATATAGAGGCTTACCTCACAAAATTTTAGGGACGGGGCAATGCGTGAATGCCAGGACAAGAACATAAAATAAATTACAGGGATAAAAGATATAATAAAAATCATTATAACAGAAATGTGCTGAATCATCTGGTAAGCATGATGCTCTGCTAAAAAGTAGAACAAATATTCATCCAGTACAGATGCCTTACCAAAGAAGCCATGCAGGCACTAAATACATGTTTAGTTCTTCTTGGAAATCAACTGAACCGTGCACTTGCTTCAGTTGAGAACACGCATCCTTTTGTTCGTGTGTGTTCTTCCCTGTTAGAAGGTTTCGGATTTGGCTTCCTGTTGATTTTCCGCAAGTCAAGCTCAGATGAATTGGCACAGAAGCTCTGAGCAGGGAAATTCCGATGTTCCCTTTGGCCGACCAGATACCGAGTGTCATGCTGCAGGGGCCGTGAGATACAAAATAAGGCAATTTTAATGTGGCTCCGACAGGTGGTGGAGGTTGGAATGTGGCTGGAGGAGTGGATGGTAACTTAAATACAATGTTCACCTACAATCTTGCGTGCATAACCTTAAGAAACAGCTGTGTTCCTCTTTTCTTTTCTTTTTTTCATTTGCAGTGCCGCAAGTTCGGTCCGGACTGTTTGAACTTAACTTGCATTCCACGAATATCTTGCACCCTAAATAGATTTTCTTTTTAAGAAAGGATATTTGAAGTGAATATAGATAAAAACCTCATGGAATTCTGACACAATTATTAATTTTGCTTTGTCAAAAGGCAGCACGGTTGTTGATGCTTTTTGTTTTTTTTGTTATAGCAAAGACTAAAGGTGATACTCAGTTGGCTGTATGAGGTCTGTTCAAGTACTCAAGGCCACAGGGGGGGGGGGGGGGCCGGATGGAGACGGCGGAGACTTGGATTGCTTGCAGCATGCGCTCTCAGGATGCCGATGTCTGTGCGCCAGACTCAACAACAACTTTTTAATGGGCTGTCTGAAACGTTGCGCCGTAACTCATGGCCACCACAGGATGAAGCTGTGCTGCTGAAGTGATCCCCTGACTTTTCGGTCAATGCCTCTAGCAGGTTGACATTTGTGGCGACAAGTTTGGGTTGGGTTGTCATGGAGGACTTGGTACAGTAAATTTCCCCGCTGCGGGACTAATAAATGATCTCATCTTATTTTACATAGCCTATTTATGCTACGCCAAACTGCAAAGACTTTGGGGATTTTTGTCACGGGCACAGAGGCGTTACGCGTCCATCGGTGTATTGGTCCACCATCCTGAACTCAGGATCTCCTGGAGGGAATTTGGGGATTACAGGATTAGGCGGTGATTACATTTTGGAGGTCAAAGATCAAGGTTACTATCACCTAACACCAGTGTCCTTCTTGAGATGTTTTGGGAAAATCTTCAAATATGGCGCTAAATAATTCCATAACCCAAGAGTTCACATGCTAGTGATGTAAACTGCAACATACAACAGCGGGTAAACATTTTTATTCTTACGTCATTGCTGCTTTTGCTCCCCTCAATGTTCAGTTCAATGCTACCCCTTTTTGCGTCGTTTGATTTTCTTGTAGCATAAATTAAGATACCGTTGATTTATTATTTCTCTCACTATTAATTGCCTGTTTTGATTTACATTTTCTTTGTACTAAAAAGGAAAATACAACGATGACTCACTTAAAACATCCGCTGCCTGACCGAGGAGAGATAGGTCTGTAACATGATGCAATTACACAAAAGCTTTTTCCTTATGTTAACAATTTGTATTTATTTTTTTGAAAAAATAAATAAATAAACAAGCCGACCAGAATTATCAAGTTGTGTTATCAAAAACAAGTGAGATCATTAACATAGCGTTTTTTAAAACAAAGAATGAGTGTTATCGTCACATGAACAGCTTCAACAATCAGCTTACTTGAACTGTTTTGGTAATCCCAACAATTCTTTGTGGAGCAACAACATCAAGTAAACTTCTAAGACTCTCTTGCGTGAGTTGTTGAGTGAGGGAATGTACACCATTGAATCTAGTTTTAATCATTCCCTATCAAACTACTGTTAGCATTGTATTCATCATGTACATTGTAACTATCCTCACTGGAATACAGACTGACACTGGGCAGTAAAATACTTTTTTGTAATGCTTCTTAAAAACCCATCCATCGCTGAATGACACGTTGTTTAAAATTAGTTTTGATTTAAAAAAACAAACACAAAAAGATCTATTCCGTCATGCAGCTCGCTGACAGCGACTTACAAGGTTCATTGTTAAATATAGTTAACATTTTCAAATGCATAATGATTAACCAGATTTAATCAATTAGTCTTCTTTGGGAGCAAAAACGTGTGTTAGACAAGTCGTCTAATTAAGCTCATTTAACCAGTTTGTTGCCTCCAATATTCAGACCTAACATTGTAAAATGACTGAATATTGTACTATTAAAAATTGTGACATAAAAAAGGGGGAAAATAGTACTGTTACTCCACGCTAACTTTGGAATAATCATCAAACACAGCCTACTTAGAAAGGGTAATTCTAACCATTAAAATGAAATGGAATCAAATAAATCCATTATGATCGCCACTTCTTCAGTCTATCCGACTCCCTGCAGCTTCATCAGCGCACATAGAGGTCACGTGATGTTGTCCAAGTCTCCTTAACTTTAATTCTGAGAATACGGGCAAAACAGACAAATTAAAATAGAGAAATCATCTCACTTCATTATACAGGTTGACTCTCAATTTATTCAGTATTTTAATGCTGTTAAATCTCTCACAGTTAAAAGTAAATCTCACCTCTTTTTTTACATTCGTCACTGTTGATGATGGCGGAGAGGCAGGTGGACTAAATTAACAGAGAAAACATTAAAAAATTACAGATCCATTAGCAATTCTGGAGAAGCATGTTTGATGTCTCAACTCCAAAACAAAGAAAGTAAAAAAAAGGTCAGAAAAAACAGTAAAGTTCAGTGAAATTTTGTCCCTTTCCAATTCGGTAAATTTTGTTCCGCCCATTGACTCATATTATTGGCTCATTTAATTGGAGGAATATTTCATTGACCTGATTTGTGATGTACTGTCATCATTGACCTGCGAATGAGCGTATTTGCTTTCCCAACTGCACTCTTTGTGGGTTCAACATTTAACATCTGGTTAACGGACGCAAATATGGAGCTCTGTGTGCGTGAGATGTAAACTCATTGTGTGGTTATTGGTTTCACACTGGTTTCTTAATTTCTTTTCAATTCGATGGGTTTGAAGTCAGACAGAAACTGACTGCTTCGAGGTCGCAGAGGGGCTCGCGCGGATAGCTCAGGAAAGGCGTGCGGTCAGTAGATTCCTGACTTCAAACAATTTTTTCAACTCGGCCTCATGAAGAAAGAAAAGCAACGGTCGCTGGTGACAAAACAACACATGACCTGCAAGGTCTTTACTGAGAGGCGGAACATTTGAGCGCGCCTACTCTTTTTCGCTCTAGCAGCAAACGTGTCGATGAAAAATGGTGTAAAAAAAGAGCCTGTCTCTCTGATATGCATTATTCAATCGGATTTATATGAAATTTCATTTTATTTTGAATGGGCTGGGATTATGCTGCTCCCTAAAAGTCCAGCTGCTAAATACGTCTTTAGACAGGCGATGGTTGAATAGCCAAAACAACTGTAACAAAACGGAACAGAAGCGGCTTTCCTGCTTGGCTCATATTGCCTTTGAAAAGGAAAGATTTATGGAACGGAGGAATAAACTGAACAAAGAGGAAATTCACATCCCAGACAATATCATCTTTGTCCAGTGGCCATGCACGTGGCCACCTCTTCAAAGGAAGTGCCTCCTTTTTAAAAACAAAATAAAATGTGTAGGTTTAAGGCTGGACCAAAATGTTCTTAGATTTGTTGCTTCAAATCAAAACATAAAGGTGATTTATCCGCTTTAACATAAAATCCCACTTTACCCAATTGTTTAAAACATTTGTTTAGGGATGACATCAAATGTTTTTTTCTTCAAATGAAGTGTCAATTGTTACATCCCCAATAAAGCACTATTTCTTTTGCTTTTGTAGTCTTGTTTTAGCCGGCTTTTGCACATTAAGTGAAGAAGCTGTGTTTCTACCTACTGTTGAATTTGCACCAAAGTACAGTAGCGTGTTTAAAAGGCACGTCCAACGCTGCTGATTGGCTGGAACAGCACTGTTATTTGTTTCACATTAACAGAGCCAGCGCTATGAACACTGGGCTTTTTTTTTTCCAGAATAGACCAGTTAAGAGAGTAAGAGTTGAAATTAGCTGATTTTGACAAATAGTATTCTCAACTACAATTGCTCACTGCACTTTTGGAAGCCCAAATGTGTGATAACAGCATCCTTGCACGTTCATTGCATTTCACGCTTTGTCATGAGTCTAATGAAGTACAACTGAAGAAGGTAAATTATTTTGTTATGTTTGTCTGTTTTTTCTATGAACCCCCGGTAATAATAATCTTCGGTGGCCAACAACTAATTGTGTATATATATATATATCTATCCACAATATTCATATGGTGACATAACAACCACAGTCACACTCTGTGCTTCTTCTTTCCAAAGGCCAAACGAGACCTCTGTACGTCTGTATGTAACAGCGACAGATTACAATGTAGAAAAAGATAAACTCTCTTTGATAAAACTCCAACAAACTCTTCCCACACATTTTTCATTTGAAGCCTTCATCACCGCGTGTGCAGGGAGGCCAGCAAGGATCTCAACTTGGACCATCCAAGCAAATCATAAAAGAGGAGACTGTTGCCAATTCCACATTAACGATCAACAGAAGGAAGTCTGTGTTCTGAACTAAAGACAATGACAGAAAAAAGTAGGCTTCTACATACCTGCCGGGGGGCCTGGAGGCATTCTCAAAAAACTTTGTTTTAGAGGCAACACTGCAGAAAAAGAAGAGGAAACAGAAACACGTCAGTATTGTGGATGAACACATGACGCGTCTCGTCGGTGAAATTCCTCTTTAGGTTATTTTGTGCTCCAACAGTCAGTGGCGATTCATTTCAGTAGGCCGCGCTTTTTATACTCCGCTATCTGCCCACACAGTCCCCACCGAACTTTGGGCGTTACATTTGCGTGGTACTTATCTAGGAAAGCGAAGCCTCGGCTGTAATCCGTGTAGGTCATAGACTGAAAACTCCTCCGTGGCCCATGAATACTCGATCGCCTCTTCCTCGTACGGTCTCCTGGTTTTGTTCATCAGTTGGATGCAGAACGGCACATTTGATGACATTGATGCCTGGTTCCTGCTCTTCTTGGGTTACCCGTATGGATGAATGCACCGATTGTCAGTCGGTCTGGATAAAAGCGTCAACTAAATAATTCTAATGTCATGACTGGTGTTCCAGTTCTAATATTTTGTGCATGCTGGCCCCCACGAAGTTAATGGAACACAGCCATTGTTAATATAAAGTCAGAGCGTCCCCAAGATCACGTTAACTGGCTCGTTATCTCGTTGGAAATGCCTTCCAATATCACACCTCATGAAGAAATTACCATGAGAAAATAAATGAAATCGCAAGATAACAAAAGGAGGAACTAACTTTTAACCTTTTTTTTAATTTTTTGTTGTTGAGACATTGTCACTTTTTACATTTTTATGGTGCACTTGTTGACAAACATGAGCAAGATTAGCATTTATTTTGAGTTTGGCACCTTGGTCTTGGTTTAAGGCCAATATTTTGATCTCTACCATTCCGTGAGGGAAATGGCATAATTTAAGTTAATAAATGACTTCAGCAGATTAGCAATTTAACATACACTCAACAGCAGGCTGCTCACTCTGCCAGGTTGAGTACTGTGTTTTTTTTTAGAGCTTCTACCACAGAAAATGTTGATGAGAGCCATGAAAATGAACCAAAACCCTCAAGTTGCAGAAGGTAAATCCAAAACAATGAGCTGAAAGACAGCATTGTTCTTTGTAGAGCTAAGCCAAAGAATCCAGTGATAATTTCATGGTGCGCAGCAACCCTGTATAGAAAGTCCATTTCTACTGTAATAATAATGATTATTGTCTTTTAACTAATCGTTGGGATTAAAGAATTTAGCATGACTAGTTTGGGCAATTTTGATTCTTTAAAGCTAGTAATGGTTTAAGGGTTGCTGGTTCTGCACATCTGGAATCCATTTCAAGTTTTTAAAACATTTTTTATACAAAAATCATAGTGTGTCTTCATTGGACCTCTTGACCGGCAACGCAAAAAAAGAAGACGACAGACTTTTGTAATCGAGAGGAGCACTTACTAAGACGTGGCTGAGCCCTCGCTGCTGGCTGCACTCGGGGTCTTTTGTGGAGCGGGGCTTCTGGAGGGGGGTTCAGGAGGCCTGATGGGGGGTCTACAGATAGCATGTTTCTCTGTGGACTTTGTTCTGGTCGGACCATCGCCATCTCCTGAAAGACGTGCAAAAATACAGAAATTTTGCATCACAATTGTGATTCAAGTTTCTAGAATAACAAAAGAGCTCTGCAATGGCATGCAGCGAGTTACAGTGTAACAGAGCTACTTTCTGGGCAAATAACTTGACAAGAAACAAACAGGTCAGCGACTTTTTAAGACTACGTCTGCAACAAATCTCCGGACAGCGTCTGCTTCATCACCCATTTCACCATAAATGCTTGCAGAACTCTCATGGCTGTTCTATGGATTAGCAATGTTTTGATAGCGTTGGTAAATTGAAGCAACCATTCAATTGGGAGTAAACCAGTAAACCAGTTACAGAGGACTGAAATCTTCCGAGGCAGCAGCGTGGATACAATGGGTGGACGCGTTCCAGCCCGCTTCGTAAGGCAACACAACTGGCAGATCTGTTACGACAATAAACTAGAATTACCGCCTCCAATGGGATTATATTTCAAATTGTCATGATTGGCATTGCATTTCTCAAGTTATAGACACAGAACACAAAATACCATAAAACCTATCATTTCACCTTTGAGTGCGAGTGGATGATTCTGCCAAAGAAATTCCCTCAGGGTGATATTTCATTCACAAGAATGCTACAGGGACGCAGTACTTGGAAGCCCAAAGCCTCTGGCCACATGCACTGCCGGGGAAGACGCAGAACAACAAATCAACCGGAGAGTAGAATGATTGTTTTAAAGGACCGAATCCTTTATGACGAAGGGAAAACCTGCACACTAAATTATTATTAGGAGCCAACGCGGCCGTGACCACTGCCGTGTCGCCAAAACGTCTGATGAACTACTCTCGACTCTACATCATCATCAGCGCCGGGTGTGTGTTCCTGTGAAATCTGGTTTTTAACTGCAAGAAAACAGTTTCCTTAAAAGATGTTCACCCACACTAAACACAGTGTCCATTATACCTTCTCTGTTGGCTGGCGTGCCTTTAGGAGGTTGTCTCCTGCTCTGGAACGACGGCACTCTGCTCACATAGACTCCAGACTCCCCGTTCGCCGCTGAAGAAGGAGAAGAAGAATCTGGCCGTTGCCTCGCGTCCTCTATCCTGCCAGCGTTGGAGTCCAAGTGTCTTTCCTGACGGTTAGCTGGTTTGGGCAGCAACGCTTGTCTCGGAGGAGGTTCTCTTGGAAGGAGTGGAGCAAAGCTCGCCGGTCTTTTCCGCTGCAGGGGAACCGGGTTGGTCGGGACTTCCACGTCCAGCACAGAGTTGTCGTTCTGCCCGTCTGTTGCAAAGAAAGAACATGACCGATGAATGCAAGGTGCTCCGCCACTCAGAGTGGACTCGACGAGAAAGGGAGGGGTATTTTTATGTGTATCTGGAGGCACTAACTACCAGCGCCAGGTGTATGTAAATTACTTTCTCTTTGGAACATTATAAATTGGCTTCAATGTGCAATAATAAAATCAAAACAAAGCACAGCAAAAGATGTAGTGAAGGTCACGTAACCCCACAATGTAATGCAGCCAGAGTGCTTCAGTGATCTACGGCTTGGATGATCATACGGGGTTGGTTGTTGGACGACACAAGAAGTGGAGAATATTTCAGTAATAAAGCAAAGCGGGGAGGACGAGCTGCAGGTGCTCCAAATCTCTCCGCCCCAGTGAACACCATACACAGTTAATGAGGGGTTCCAACTGAAAGGAAATTACACGGTTTAGCTGGAGGCCTTGAAAAGAAAAGACTAAAAAGTGGAAAGGTTTAGTGTATTTGTGTATTTAAAAATATCAGCAATTATAACAATAAAGGATGAGACCAAAGGAATAAATAAAAGAAATAGAAAGAGTTTAATTTGTCATTGTTTGACAAAGGAAATAATGATTCCCTGTTTTTGGGGAATGGTATGTGATGCAAACACCCAGTAAATCACATTTTTCTGTAGCGTACTTCAGAAAATGGTAAGAACTGACTGCAGGGAAGTTGTAGTTCAGAACCATGTGCAATATTTTAATCTGCTGAAAATAATCTTGCACAGGTTTGGGCAACGAAGAGGATGATGACCAAGCAAAGTGAGGCTGTTAATTACTCTTCGTCTGCTGGAAGTGGTCGTGACTGACAGGCTGATAAACCCTGGGGGGTCGCTTGGAGATGGTGATTGGTTGTCGCTTCCTCGGGGTGATCCGCGGAGGCGGGACTGGCGGGGAAGTGCTGTCCTCTGGCATGTAACTGAAGATCTGTAATCACGAGAAAAGTTCCAACACTTTGGTTTAGTGGCCACCGTTACAGCCGGCAACGGAATGAATGAACAACACTGCTCTTAATTAATTCTTTTGAAAACGTACCTTTTTGAAGTCTTCAATCAAAATCTCAACAACAATGTTTTGGAACTTAATATCCAACATGGCCGCCACGGTCTCCTCCTTGGCTCTCATGAGTGTCGGCCCGAAGATAACGGCCATGTTCGAGGGGGTCATCCGATTTTCTTCACTGTGGCTGCACACGCTGTTAACAAAAAATTTGGGTGAAAGTAAAGAATGAAGTCGTTTAACTATAAACACAGAAAATAAAATCAAACATCGTATGATGGAACTGACTTGACCAGGTGCTTGATGAGCATCTCCACCATCTCCCGGTTCTTCTCCGGTAGTTTGTGGGAAAGAGAATGAATCTCGCTCAGTCGAAAGTCCAGATTATCTGACTCTGCGAGACAAAGAGAACACAAACGTATCTGTGGCGCTCAATCGCGAGAAACACAACATAGAACAGGGCCCAGCTAAACGCTGCAACGGCATGAGACTTGCAAAAAGTCCTGGGAAACAAAACCGTATAATTAGCAGCCCTTATTTGATTACTGAACGGCATTTCCAGGAAACTGAAGCCACCATTTCCAACCGCAACATCCTGACAGAATGAGGCTGATGCTATTAAACTCGTTGTCTTCTCTTTTTTACAATGACATTGTGTGACAGATTAAAATAAGCAGTGGACTTTTATTGCTTACAGACTGGCCTAGCGGTGCCTGCTAAACTGCTGAACCTGAAGCCTGCAAGGCATTCATTTACCAACGCCTCGTTGGCGCCTGCCATGCAGGCAATGATTATCCATGGTGTACAGATAAGCAACATACATGGTACGTCGATAATAAACAGCTCAAAATAACTGGAAATATCACGTAAAATCTAACCCGAGCATCCATTGTGTATTCAATGAATGAGACGCCAACAGACGGTTAAATTCAGTCACATAATTGTAACAACCAAGAAGGGAAACGTTTAGGCATAAGTACATACAAAGAGCGTGTTCGTGTTGTGGTTTGTCTCATCTTTGCAAATAGAACACATGAGGCTTTTGGCACTTTAGGAACAACACGAAAAAAAAAGCCTGCATGAAATGTAAATGAAAAAAAAAGTCTCCTTGTTGTATGTAAACAGGCGAGGACAAGTTTGCGTCGTTAGCACATAATCAAGTTAGAACATTCCTAATCCCTGTGACATCATCCAGAAGATTGGTTTTTGAGTGACACGTGTTCAGCGTGAGCTCTGGATCCGAGAGGAGAGTTTAAGAAAACAACATAAAACTTGCAAACAAAACGTCTCTCTGTAGGCGCTGGATAACATCTAAATCATGTCTTACTTGCAGCACACATGAGGTCTCTGTGTAGACTGTAGGTCATCAGTGGTTCAGACAAGCTCCTGCAGATAAAGACACACGCTCGTAAACAAGTGCAAGGCCGCAGTGTTATATAACGGAACACGTCAAAAAAACAGGAAACTCTACGCTGTGCTTGTCATTTTAATGGAAACTTTTATGTGCATTTTCACCCAGATCCCAAAATACACACAACAGTCAAGATTCTTTGAATTTGTTGCATACGAGACTCTTGATCAATTGAACTGCATTCAATGATTTGTTTGTTATTGTAATATTATAGCTTTTTGTTTTTAATGAAGGCCTATCTAATTGACCAAATCCGGAACAGCTGTACTGATTTGATGATTAAGAAAATATCACTCAAAAGCAGCCGCAGATCAGGAGCTCTACAGTGTTCATTCCTTTCCACCAATTAACGTTGTGTCTCGTGCTCACATGCTTTTGCGCACAGATAAACAAACCTTAGATAAAACTTTAGTGCACTTGTGATGGTTTTGACGTCACAGTCGCTGCTCTGCAGATCCACATTTCCTGGGTTCGTTGGGTCTATAAAAAGGAGCAAATCAATACAAACAAGCCCGAACAACGTTCAATTCCATGTGAGCAACAGTGACGATCTTCTGTGATTGGTACTCAAGTTGATGAAAGTGAAAGGCCAGTTGCTGCATGAGCTAGCCATAATGAATTAATAAGCAATATGGGGCCAGGCATTCACTACGCAATAAGCAACGACAGAAATGTGAGGTGTTTTTGTAAGCCACATCACAGTAGGAAAATCTGTAAATAAATGGGTGTTGGCGTTGATGTTATTAATGTGCTCCTACTACGGAGCAAAATATCTTCCGTAAAAATAAACGTAATTCAAACCTGCAACACTTTATTCTTGGCCACTTAAAGGGCAGCAGAAACTAGGTGCAACATCACTGACGTATTCTAATAACCTTTCAAGTTGGCTGAATGTGTTAGCAAACGGATGCCTGTATGTGCACCCAGTTGATAAAGAGCAACATTTATTTCCCTTTTTAACTACCCACCCACTAGTAAAGGAAATACTCCGCTCTTTAGCGTCTAAACGGCACATTTAAAGTATTGTTTCAAGTTGAAAATCAAAGAAATGATTTGAAAGACTGTTTGAAGCAAAGTTGAGCTGAAAGGAAAAGCAGAGCTGGGAAATAACTATTTGCGGTTTTGCCATTAAGAACAACACCTTTTTATTGGACTGCATAAAAAAATATATATATATATGGCAGCTTTAAAGCCGAGCCGTCCAGAGTCGGAGCCCTGCGTGTCAAGGAGACATCTGCTGACATCTGATGATGGCTCCTTGACATTCACACAGGCAACCGTCACCGGAGTGGCAGGACCGGCTTTGTTTTATTGGAGAAGACGAACCCAAGTGGAGAGACACAATGAATGGGCAGCTGTAAAACGTGTTCGTGGGCTTATTTCCTTACCAAAGAAGGTATTTAATAGCTTCTGCACTTGGATGTTGCTGCCAACTGTTCGGTACACTCCTTCTTGTGTGACTCCTGGAAAGACGAGAGGGGGAGGTAAAAAAGAAATTTGAAAAAAGGGGAGGGTAATCTGGACAAATACAGAGGAGTGGAAATTTACCACATGCTTCTCTTCAGGAGGTTGCAGCCGCCAAAATGAAGCTACAGATGTTCTTTCGTGATTGTGCATGCTTCATTTAACCATTTACTTTGCACCAGGAAAACGGGCCATGCTTAGATCAGGAATCGAATTACGTGGTTTGGGCCGGAGTGTTTTTTTTTCTTTTTTTGTAAGATGGATCGGCCTTTTGTTACTGTAGAAATATAGACATACGTCGTCCTTTGGGCCAGTTCTGACTTTTTGGGCATCTATGTTTTAGCATGCATTTGAAATGGCTTTTAATAAAAGAAATTCTAATAACTAATGTGCCCTTAAATAAAAAAAAGAGGACATTAAATGTGTTTCATAAAGATGATTAATCTTATGTAAAATCTGAAATAGGCCAATGTTTCAGATTACTACCTTTATTCCCTGAGAACAGCCTACAGGCGTGGCGTCAACATTTAACATACGACTCCACTGCGCCCCCTTCAGGGAAAGCCAGTAAACCAACCGAACCAGAGACCGCTGGAATAAACCGCTTTACCTTTTGTTTCAATGTAGTTGATGCACTTTCGCACAAACTTAAATCCAACTTCATTCAGTTCCACTGTGGAAGTAAACAAGATGACAGGATTTAATAGGAAACAATAACTTAAGAAAAATCCTCTAATTGTTAAAATATGAACAAATAAATATGCCCTCAATGATGCGGGATGTAAAGTGAGACACCTCACCTCAACCTCACATCATGAGACCTTGAAGGAAATGAATGACTTACTTTCAGCTTGGTTGTGAATTGGGGAATGATAAATCTGAAAGAAAAAAATAATTTGAGGAAACATATGGAAAACCTAAGACTGGCCCCACAACATCATAAATAACCACATCGAGTAAATAGGAGAGAAACATGATGACGGCAGGAGGACACAAAAGCTGCTTCACTAAAATTAAACTTGGCTCGTCATAGTAATGGTTCCCCGGGTAGTTTATGAGACTATTAGCCCAGTTTTTCCAGTTGAAGTTTACTTTACGAGGAGATTCAAACTGCACTAAAATAATAGCAATGGAAACAGAGAGAGAAAAAAAGGATGAGAGGACTAAATGTTTGGCTGTTTAACTGATGGAAAACAGGAAAAATTCCAGGTTCAAAAACAATAAAGCTTTAAAAGTCATCCAACTCAAAGAAGTGTACATGTCAAAGCATTGTCTTAATCCACTACTGGCTCCCAGAGTTCAGGGCTCGCTACAGAGCAGCTGGAGACAGCAAAGTAGAGGCTTCTTTAAGGTCTCCTCTGCAAGGACGAGTTCTTGTTGTCACAGGCGGCTGACAGTGAGATATTGCCATCACGCATTCACGTGGTATTGATTTAGGACTGAGGATATAACTACTACATCCCTCTTCTTGGCTTTGGCAAGAAATTACTCTAAATCTCTCCAAATCTAGTAGAGTTTCTTGAGAAAAAAAAAAGAAAGGTTCAAATGGAAGCTATGCTTCAAAACTACCAAATCTGACATGCAAGAAGAACGGAGCTACTATCAGAGAAAGGAATTACTGGCAGTAAGTCAGCTTCTTTCCAATGTTTGAATGATTATGTTAAGAAAAGAAAATTGCCAGAATGTCCTCTCGCTTAGAGGAAACACTTTGATGCCAAATGTTTTTTTTTTTAACTTATAAGAAGTTTCAGTGGAAAGTGCAGAAAAATGAACGGCTAAGCGATCTGCAGGGGTAGTATTACATTAGACGTATTGGCACAACCGGTTCATGCATGTCAACCACTTCTGGTGACAAGTTGTCCAAAAGACGCTTCTGGCCTTCTGGCTGCCGAAAGCCCAAAGTCAACCTGCTCTTTGCATAAATCAAATGATTTCTTTCTTTCAACAGTTTAAAAGTCAAAAATATTCACATATAATAAGGAACTGCACGATAACTGCATCTTACAGCCGCCGTTCAAAAAGTGCATTCAGTGTCGACTGGGGCAGAAGGGATTATTCTAATTGAAGACCACAGTTGAATCTGGTCCAGAGTAGACCTGCCAGCAGTGCACTGCGTCTCTGTCTGACAATTTTTGGCCATTTGTGGGTGGGAAGCTCGTTGTGAAATGTGCATCATGTACAGAAGTCAGAGGGGAAGTTGCACAGGAAGAAAGGGCGCTGTAATGCGTGCCGTCTGTTGTTTTCACATCCCCCGACAGCAGTGCACGACTCACACGGCGTACACCTTTTAGACCATCTAGTATGGAGAGGGACTGCAGACGGAGCAGAAAGGGCAGAGTTTACAAACAAAAGCGGAACAGACTCTATTGTGCATTTTTGCGACTAAGGCGATTTGGTATAATTGTGAGAGACAGACTGTGAGAAGAGGAACGGTTTGTCAGCTCCAACAATGTGCTACTTTTATAGTTTATAACTAACACCTAAACGAGATTATAGGAGCGAGCAAGAAGAAAAATCCTTGATTGTGTGAACCAGGTGCCATCATCTCCTGCACACTGATGGTACAACGGGCCTAACAGGCTTCATACCATCTCACACGTTGGTAACAGAGAAGCCGTGATGACATCACCCTCTCAGCCGCCCCGCGGTGTTTAAGAAATGTAATATTTGAGCCGTTATGTCCCTTACATGATGAATTTGAAAGCAAAAAAACATAACATGGTCTTTTTTTTCCTGAACAAATGTATTATCTAAAACAGCAGAGTACTTTAATCAGGGTGATATTAGAAAACATTTAATTAGGTGCAATCCAATTAAGAAGCTGCGGATCACATTCATCTTATTATTATTATTATTACTGTAGCTTCCTCCATCAAATGTTTAAGATGGAAATAAAACTACCTGCCAACGTTTAAGGAGGTTGAATTTAAATCAGGTTGGATAGATTTTGCAATCCAGATTGCAAAGGGGAAAGGGGCGTTTGGGTGTTATGTGCCACCGCAACAACCAGCGGCCATGTCTCCCGTTAGTAGCACACTCCATATCGCATTGTACATGTTTTTTTTGGCAGTAAATCAGTTTTGACAAAAATGATGTCTAGGAGAAGAAGAACCCAAAATGAGACGAGAAATGAACTCACAGGCTCTTTTCCATCCATGGCCTCCATCCACAGCTTCCTGTCGGTCTCCAAAATAGCTTGGAAAGTGACGGGTGTGTTTCTATGGAAACAGTAACAAATGCCATTTAAGAAGCAAAGGTTGCAAATAAATGTTTGCACATCACGGGCCGCATACATTTCAGGAATAAATACAATACAATAACAAGAGCGACGCAAAAAGCACTTGGAGCATCCTCGTTGAAGTTGCTGATGAAATCCAATGTATTAATGACGGACGTAGCACATGGAGACAAATAAAACCAGCTTCAAGAGATGAGTATCAACCGTTGCAATCTGTCTTCTGCAGAAGCAATGAAATCCGGAGCCAAATTGGACAGCTTATAGGCGACTGGATGAATTGTTAACTATGACAACTGTGCTACGAGTTTAAAGCTGCCAACTGCGCTAATCAGCTAACTATGAGAACCCTAAAAACTCTTAAAAAATAACTATTTTTAATGACATATAGATGCATGTTTTTCTGATTTTGTTTTTGAAGCTCTTACTTGTCAGCGCGCCCGAATGGGACGCCCAATAGAGCCAATTAAACACTTGTACGCTGGCATTGTGCAAACCAGGACGACGCCAAGTTCAGCTAATAAATCACCTGAGAGATTAAAAGCAGGCGTATATAAACAACCCCGTGCAAACACACCTTTTAGTAAGGTTGAAAGGTCAGGGTCGGGAAGCAGCACCAGGAGCATTTCGGGGACATTCAGGCCCGCCATAAAAGCATCTTGGGCCAAGAAAATACTCTTCTACCCTAGACAGCACTGCCACCTTCAGTTTCTCGGCTTACTCCTCGTTGCGTTGGGCTTCAGCCGGCACAAAGTAGCGGCTCAACATTCACAGAATCTTTCAAGCACGTCACGAATAATTCAAGCAGCTTTTAAAACTTTAAAAGCACCCCCCGACGACAGTGGAGTATTTCCACATATTTCCCAAACATCAGAGCAGCCTGTAGCTCGAGTCTCTATTAAAATGCATGCCGTGCCGGATGGCCAGTTTATATAAATATGAACTTGTTGTGTTCCTTCCCCTGAAAATCACACAGTTTTTCCATCTGCTTCCAAGCCTGTGCCCGTTGCTTAGGGATTGTTTGGGCTACACTCCATTTAGCCCTCACACTGTGTCCTCGCGAGCCACCTGTTCACCCCGCCGCCTAAACCCGTGCATCCCACGCGGCTGCCACCTCGCCTCATCTTGCCGGTGCGGCGGATCCGCTCACCTCTCGTTTGTTTCCACGTCGAAGCAGAAGCGCCTGTCGGTGGACTCCGTCTTCCGGCGGATGCAAGATTTCAGTGTCAGAAGTGTAGGGAACTGCAGAGTGAGAGAGAGAGAGAGAGAGAGAGAGAAAGAGAGAGAGAAAGTTGGTACCCGTGATGGTGACGGTGTTCCAGATGTTGGCGGTGGATTCGTTGTCACAAATATCGATTTTTTTTCACTGAAGCACCTGTTTAGTCGTCGGCTTCTGTTCGCAGGGCACCATTTCCAGCTGCCTCCCATCCTTGTGATATTTGCAATAATATTTGACCCACGAGACGCCCAAAGCCCCTGATGGTGGCGAGAAAAAAAACAACAAATAAATCAAGTTTAAAAAGGAGCTGGTCTGGTCCGGTTTCATACCAGAAAGTATACTGCGTCTGCGTGAACATCTGGCACACGTACACTTCTCCTGACAGTACAGGTAGCCCTCGATGGGCAGACAGCTGTGCATTTTACAGATCTGCGATGGGTGTTTCATTCTTCTCATCAGCTCCTCCATCTCCTCGCGAGTGCTCTCGTAGTTGTTTCTGGTCTGCGGGCGAAGCCGCACAACACTTTAGAGTCTTTCCGGACGTCATTAAGTCAGAATAACGGCATTCATTTTTTACACTGCTTACGTTCTGCAAGCTGAGCTGCAGCTCTTGCTTGTAAGGCATGAAGTCCTGAGTCATCTCCACAGTCAGGTTGTTGAGCGTCAAGACGCTGTGCAGGAACGCCAGCACCTATCCAAACAAAGCAGAACATTGTTGTGCTCCGCCTACAAGACCCAACAAAGTACACACACACGTACTTTTATTTTCCAAAAAAGGTTGAATTGGGAGGACCAAAACACAAATCACAATGAGGATTGTAATGAATAATGTTTGACAGGAGACACACACTAACCTTTAACTGAGCTAAAGTTAAACTAAGATACAGTCCAGTTGTGATGAACGCAGCCTTTCCTCGTGCCCTTTGAGATGGTAAAATCATCACTACGAGGTATCAACGAGAGTCTGGCTTAATAAACCGATCGGTATCGTTTGTTTCTGGTACAAGCAAACAAGGTGACGCCGATGAAACAGCTTGCCGATTCGATGTTAAGCAATGTAATGATATTCAATTTCAGAATCCACAAATGTTAATGTAAAATCACTGTTCATTAATCGGCTTTGAACCCCCGATGTGCCGGCATCTCGTTGAATCGCACGCGTGCGAGAGGGAACATCCCCACACGTTGAATACGCACAGATGGGCTTGGACGGGTTTATGCGTTGCGAGACGTGGACAAGCGATGCAACACGTGCAGGATCACGGGACTTTAAAAAAAAAAAAGGGCACAATGAAACCGTTGCCGCGTGACACCCATGTCCTGACTAACACCTGCCTGTCGCTGCATCAGCGTGACGCTATTTTTCGGTCGATGAACCAGCTCAACCGGTTTGTCCCGCTACTAAATAAATGAGCGTAGAAACGGACCCGGCTGAAGCAGAATGCCTTCCGAGCCTCCGCACCGCAAAGCGCAGTCTCCTCTCCAGTCAGGACACATTTCGTCAGACTGGAGAACATCGCGGTCAGCTCTCTCTGTGTTCTGGAAGAGAAACTTACCACCATAACGGCAAGAGAAATGCCCAGCTGGCACATTTTGTGTACCACATGCAAAGCTGCACGTCCAGATGTGACTGATCCCTAAGCTGGAAGAAACAACTCACAAGCTTTCAGTATCCAATTTTTGCAACGCAAAAGCTTTCTGCAGCTCTGCTTGCCGTCTGATTCTGATTCCAAATATTTTTCCAACTGCATCCTTGAGTTCTATTCAAAGCTTAAAGCCTAAAACAAAACAGGGGGCGACTGCGAAAAGACGCTTAAAATATTTTCTCGCCTCTGCTTATTTCATAGTGATCGGCGGTCTTCATCAACCGATCACTCGTTCATTGATCTGAACCCACCTTTTGAGGAGGTCAAGTCAACCGACCCCGGGCGAGACGCACCGGAATGGAAACGCGGCCCAGAGTTAAGTCCGCTCCACGTCTCTGGAGACTGTTTGAGAGAAAAGACTTAACTCCTCAACCCTCACGTGAGCTTCCACAAGGAGCTCAAAAAGAAATACCCTCCCCCCCGACCCGACGTCACCACACATGGAACTCATGCCGTCAGGTCATTCCCCCCCCCACACTACAAGACAGAAAATCACAAAGGATGTTCTTCCTAAAAGCAAAACAACCCGTCAATCAGCTCACCACTTGAATTCTCAAATCTCAAATTGAACGAGGCCGCAATTTTGTTATGTTCCGGCTGGAAGACCATAACAAAACGGTTTAAAAACACACGCGGGAGGTTCTGAATTACTTTTATTTACAACGTTTGAAGTCGGGGTAACCAACATGAAAACCCAAATGAGGGATCGTGACAAATAAACCCCCAAAATACAGACACAGCAACAAAAGAGTGCTGACATTGTCTGGAGCTCGTTACATGCGTGTGGCAGCAGGGAGGAAGAGGAGCAGAACACGGGAAGCACTCACCGGCTCCACCACGTCGAACTTCTTCCTGTCCTGCACCTGGTGAATCTGGTACACGTACTCCACTGACGATTCATAGAAGCTCACACGCTCTTTTTCAAGGAGTTCGTCGGCCTTTAGTTAAAAAGAAAGAAGAAAATATCAATTTCACAAAAGGAAAGTCAAGTTGAAACAGGGGCGTTTTGTCACGTCTGCATTTGACTGCACTGCTGATGGAAGATCGTCGTACTGCACCTCTTGGAGTTGAGAGTCTTTCTTCTTTGCAGACAGATTGAGGTGTTTATCCACCTGGGAGTGATATTTTTCGCTCTCCTTCTCGAACTTCTTCTTCTTTTCCTGCAGGACAGATGCGCGATTGTGAAAATGAAGGCAAACAGTGTTGAGAAACGTTCATCTCTCATTCAAATGAAGTCCTATTGATTTCCATCACATGCAGGTTTTGCATGGAGGTCTGAAATGCTGTGTGCTGGTGGGCAGACGCCTGTGATGCGTTTTCCTCTGAGGAAAACGCCAAAAAGGCAACAAGCAACGAGCTAATATAGGTCAGTTTTTTCCGACCAAGGGTACGTCTGTAGCTGCCGGGGAATATTTGGGGAAAGATATTAAACGGAAATTACAATTTAATCTGACAAAAATAATAGGAAAGACTGGTTGAATTGTTAGCTAAAGAGAACCGTTTAAATATATGGCTAAACGTGTTGATAAAAGGTTGGAACATTCAAGTCGACCAAACCGACCCAAAGAAAGTTCATTCAGTTGCAGTTTAAAACCGATTCAAATGGTTACATTTCAATTGGTCGTGTCAATAAAGAGGTTCTTGATTTTGTCTGATTGGCGCTGGAGGTCAGACAAAGTCGGTTAGTATTGATGTTGTACACTTTACTTTTTTTGTGATGTGATACGCTTTTTCTCTCTTGTTGAACATAGATTCATTAACGAGTACGTTGTTAGGATTGTTATAGTTGTATTCTGAATAAGCTGCAGTAGTTAATCATGTGCTGCCTGTACATTTCAATTCTGCTTGCGTATTTAATCAGCACAGCAAACAGAATAACAGCAAGCCGCTGGTTAATAAATACCATGCGGGGGGGAAGAAAGTAGCAATATTCTGATCACCACAGCACCAGAAAATAAAAGAACCTCAAATGTCATTCTGAATAATCAAGGTGGAATCCCACAGAGATTCCTGATGACTTTAAAAGCAGAATAAAACATTGGTGAATTAGCACCCCGGGAGGGGGCGTCACCTTAGAATAGCGTGAGCTGTTACATCGACTACACAACTACCTTCAACAAAAGTGAGGAAGAAAAGACGTAAATGTTGGTATCCTTAACAGATCGTTTCACACAAAGACTCATAAATAGATTTGGGGAAGTAGATCATAACAGCCGGTCTTGTCTGCAAGCACCTCAGGAAATGATTACATAGATCTATAGAGGTAGATCTAGAGAGAGAGAGAGAGATCTAGAGAGAGAGAGGGGGAGATTGCATAATGCTGTATAAGGATTTGACATTACATGCATAAGAACAGCGCTCTGCAGGGCCGACTTGAGAACACGTTACTTTTGCCGCATTCCTCTTGCGGGGCAGATGAGTCAGTGAAAACACCTACTTTGGTCTCTCCGATTTGCTCCTTTCGGAACTTCTCCAACGGCTTGATGAGCAGATCGGAGGCGTTCTGAACCTGGACGGGCAAACACGGGACGGCTGTTACTGCGTCGCAGTTACTCGCGCACAAACACGGTGGTTAGTGGCTAGCGGCACGGGCACAAACACGTCGAAAAGAGTGCGAATGCGAAGCTTTCATAATGATGCTGCACCTCCGCAACAGTGGCCGCACAATTTACCAGCTGACTTCTGGTTTATGGAACGTCACCTGTATCCTGAAAACCCCGTCTAACTGGAAGTGCTACACCCGTCGCTGTGACTGTGTGGTGCACGAGGACGACTCAAAGTTTGCCTCCGAGTTTATCTGGCTCGCTGAGTAGTGGAAAAACTTGTAAACCAGGAAATATAAAGCGAATACCTTACAAAAGGACTATAAAATACTCAGTAGTATCAGTGTCCTAGATTTGTGAAATAACGGCATAAGAAAAATGTACAAAAAGAAGAACAAGCAACCAGAAGGGGGAAGTGATAATTACCAGCATCCCTCCCCACACGCAATAACAAGGCCACAGCCTCCAGGTGTGTGTGTGTGTGTGTTATAGAACATTTCAAATGATAAAGAATGATGGAAAATCAACAATGCTACAGGAAGCTAGTTATCTGTAAACCAAATGTGTCAAGTTTCCTTTTGAGTGGTCTAGACCGCGCTGTGCGAGGGGTCTAATGTCTAACAAGGCGCTTTATGGGATGAAGAATGAATGTGGAGGAAGTTGATAACGCACCAGCATCATCCTGTCGTGCTCCACTTCCTGCAGGAGTCCAGCGAACTCCTGGAATGATTGAGCTGTGGAGGAAAAGACAAAGATGGCCACCGGAATAAAGACCTGGCCTTCTGTTGTTAAGTGCAAACACAGTTATGGGAAAGATTAAAAGAAGCTGCAGAGTTGACAAACTGGAAGCAATGGAATGAACTTCATACACAATTGTCAGGAAGCTGTAATGCAAATTTTTTTTCATCTGCTTTTGACTTCCTCACATTGAAGTTAAAACAATGCTCCTCACCACTGAGGTCAAATATTAAATGTCTTTCTGCTATTGCTGATGTAAAACGCTGAATCATCCATGAGTTAAACCTGTTGGATTATTATGGGCATGACATCTCTGGCATGTATTATTAATTATTATCGTGATCTTGTGTGTGTGTGTAAACACAAAGTAGCATCATCTTACTAATATTTATTTCATCGTCCGTCAGTGAGTCTCCGATGACGTCGAACTGGAACGCGCTGAGAGTTTTGGAAAACTTCTGTATCGCCAAAGAATAGCCTGTTAAAAAAAGGAAGAACGTTTACTCTTTTAGAAACATTTCATTTGAGTTACGAATGACGTAAAACAACAACAGAGCCCAATTCTCTTTATCCGCGAAACGCATTACTGCATTTATGAAAGTTAAGTGTGGATTATTGCAACACTGCTTTTCTATTTATTGGTTTCTATGGTTTCATCACATCAGCGCGCACGCCGTCTGTACAATGTTTTGTTCCTGCTTTGTCTGGGATTTATTATCAAAACCAAAACATCAATCAGATCAATACTGTCTGGCTTTTTGCATGAGAAACGTGTGTACCATACCTGGTATCTTACCCCACATTCCTTCTTAGTGATGCAACAATCTTTATCTAAAACAACTTTTTGTTATTCAGTTTGTTTTGGCCTTTCTTTACTAAAGGCTTTTATTGTTGACAAAGTGCAGCGCAGAACACACATTCTGCGTTCAGCGGAACATGAGCAGAGTCCAGATCTTTTCTGCGGACTGACTACACAGCCGGAGCCTCGACGCACTTTCTGCTTGCGAGGCGAAAAGGATGCTCGCTGGGGATCCGGACGGCAAAATGGTGATGTGGCAACAACAATAACAACAAATGGGTGCCTCAATGACCTAAATAAACCCATCAGCTGTCCCTGGCTGTGGCCCAAACTACTAGTGGGACTGGTCCCACTCTACAAACCAGCAGCGGGCAGTTGGAGACGACAGGCTGCATCTGAAAAGGGAGGAGGAGACGAGGAACAGCAACGCTGGGAGGCAGCTGTTGTTTTGGGAACCAACTGAAGCGCTCGTCCTGCACATCTGCATCACATTTGTGGCGTTTCGAAGCGCTGGCACCTCCCAGAATGAGCCTCTCCCACCCACATTGATCCCGTGGGGCCCTCGCGAAGGCCCCACTGATGCTGATCCCGAGCCGTGCCACTGCATTCACATGCAATCCATGAAATACACATGTATATATGCACTTTTATATTGGTTATGACACGAGAGAGGTCACATGGAAGGAGTCTCACCTCTGATTGCAGTGATCACACTGTTGCCATCTTTGATCAACTCTTTCAGCAATTTGCTCGTCCTGTCCAGCTCCAGTTCATAACACTTGAGAGTCTCCCTGAAGTCCGGACTGTCCAGGTAGCAGTCGCTGAACTCCAGAGGAGGATGCCCCATCTTCTGACAGCTGCTACCAATTAAAAACAAACAAAAAAAAAACACTGACTTTGTTATCGTGAGCCACGCAGCCTGGTCTCTGTGGTCATCGGCGGCGGGGAGAAGCGCCTCCGCGCTCTCCTCTGGGCTCCGCGGCGCAAACCATGGTGTCCGTGGGAGCCTGCGGCCGGTGCCGGGTCGGGTGTGAAGCGCACCCAAAGGTGCGATGTGGCACCGTGTTGTATTTACGTGACTTCCCTGTTCGCCCGCTCTGACGCGCCGGTGAAACTGCAGCGTAGTTTATGTGCCTGCTGGTCCCTTTAGCACTTTTCCGCCGCTGCGGCGTCGCGGTTAGAAGAGCGGCTAGAATCCATTGGGACGCGTCCGTTTCCGAAATAGCTCCCGCTTTGTCTTAAACCTCATCCGTCCTTTTTGCCGCGGTTTGAAGTCAAATTAGGTTTTGAAGTTAGAAGCGTGCTAAAAAAAAGGCTTAATACGCATTACTCAAGACACGTTCTCCAACTGAGATGTTATACGCGCATCTGTACAAAGAGGGATAACACAAAGCTAAATGGGATGTGACCAAGTGCCTACGGACTGGCGGAAAACTTCCCCTTTTCCACACCCAGCAGGTTCTTAAAGGGGCTGCTGCACAGTTGCTGGACTCGTGTTTTATGATGCTGCTTTCAAGTGCTGTCGGGAATAAATGGCCAAACCCAAGTTGTGGTACATCCTAAGAAGGTTAAGTGGAAAAAGTGGTCCAGTTATTATGCATATTATAAATACGTGTTTGTCTTAATACCGTAATGTATATTTCTATATATCTATTTGTAAACCCATCCACCTACATAACAAAAAGGTTGAAAAATAAATTTGAGGGGTCCCAGAGTGGGACAAAAAAAAAAGACAAGACAACTTTTTTCTGTAAATCTGAAACATAAAAAAAAAGATCTGACATTCTAGTAATCTTAGCTCTTTCCATGTGAACCACTGGGTAATGTTATCCTACGTTGATTTTCCGAGCAGTTACACCTGCACAGACGCTTGATCATTCATGTGTGAATGCGCGCTATACTATCACTGGTGTTGTCATAGTCAGCTTACAAACATACAGACAACAATTTAAGTAATACTGCAAGATGTTAAACTCATGAAAACGATGTCATCACACAAAAAAATTATATTAAGGCTACGTGACTCATATCTTTGCCACTTTAGTAATATCATAGACATATCACGATGTCTTCAGAGAAAAGGTGTTGCTCACTGCCTGTTGACCTTTCAAATGATTTGAAATACCTGCAGACCTGTTTCTCTCCTCAGAGGCCTGTGCTGAAGAATGTAGAGTCAGATCACTTAACAACTGGCTGTCTGTGCACTGGCCGTCTCCCAAGAATGTGTTCACCTCTGCAGGATAAGGGAGGTGTTGTTAATGTGTTGCAATAACTTCTAATGACCTCCAGAGGTCCTCATGGAGTCTGAACGCAAGCGGGGGACCACAGCTTTTGGTCAGTTTCACAACCTGCATCCATTCATCAGTGGTATTTTTAACCAGGGACTGATAGTTTGTTGTATGGAGTCCTTTAACCTCTGGTGGAGAAGCACTGGTCTTTCGCTGAAGAAACAATACAATTAAAGTATAAAATACCTCATTGTTGAAATACTTTGTTCCGGGGTAAAAGTCCTGCATCAAAAACGTACTTAAGAAAAAGAAACAAAATATATCAAAATATTCTAAAAAAGTAAGAACAACCAGAATTGTCTTTTTCACATCATACAACAACAGAATCTAACCTTTGTGGTTGTCGTGGCAAAGCTTTAACACATGAGTATATCTTTTTTAAAGTTTATCTACACGTCTTCTAAAACCAGTGAGCTAAAGAGGCCTCTCAGTCTAAAGGCATTAACTCCTCAGGAATACACCAACTTGGTGTTGAGTCAGACTCAACCAGCAACAGCGTGGATCAAGGGAGGGAGCGATGAATAGACGATTATTGTGATGCTAAACTTTTGTCCTGTTATCTCAAGATTTCATGGCTCATTCTTTGTTTTAGACCTCTGTGTTGTCCTCTATATTGCGTCAAAACATCCTCCACTTCCCCTGCAGAACACAGCACAATGAGGACGGGAGGACAGGCCGCTGTCCCCCACACAGATTCCTCCGCTGGGCAGAAATTGAAACGTTTTATCTGAATTCTGAAGCCGTTTGTTTGCTGTCTGTAAAAGGGGCTATTGTATGCAAATACAGCGAGCAGAGGCATATGACCGGTCCAGTGCAGGGCAGTGGCTAGTGTGAGGGAAATGATTAGCAATGCAAAGTCATGGTGCTGTGATGCTCTGGTTCAAAGTCACAGAGTGACAAAAAAAATCTGTTGTCAACCTCAATATTTCTGGATGTCCTTTGTTCCAAACTGCAGCTGACGGTAAGTCTGCCTCATCTCAGACAAGATGTGTGTTGTGTTCTGATGGAGGAGTCTGTTTTCTGGGTAGTTTGCGCTCTATGTGTTGATTCTGAGGGGTCATGGCAAATAACCAGCAAGTACAGTTTTTTCTTGATGATTTTTGACAAAAATTGCCTTTTATATGGTGATAATCGACCAAACCAGTATTTTGCAGTCACTGATTGATGTTTATGCTGAAGAAGTGGACTTATTAACCGAGGATTCTTTCTTTAATCAACATCAAAGCACTTTTGGACTACAAATTATTTGCCTCGCGAGTATTAGCCACCGTTACGTGGGCTGCGGATGCCTTTTGGGCTTCACCGTGGAGACTGGTGAAAGCGTGTCACATGACACATGGTGCCAGACTTCAGGGTTGCACTATTAGGTGGCCTGCCAACTGCAGAGGGGGGCAGAGAGGCTCCCTTCTCCTCTGGATTCACGTCCATGCCAAACCAGCTGGTCAACGTTGTCCTCTGCGCTGCCTCCTATGCCTCTTACGCCTCCTGCTGACCCGGGTAACAACTCTGACATTTACACTAGACTGGATACTCAAGCGTGTTTGAAGCTAATACTGATCAGCAAAGAGGGGATAATTTTGGCTTGTGGTCTCAGAATTGTTTCTGATTCTGTTAATTTGATTAGAATTTTGATAATTTTTTAATCAAGCAGTTCAAAGTTAACTTTGAGTGAATCCGGAGGCAGTGGTGTCTTAAAAATTGATTTGTCTCAAGTTGTGTTTGTTTGTCTGTTTGCTTGCTCGCTGTTTGCTTCAAGAGTTTTGTTAGTTGCTCGTTTGGTTTGACCAGTCTGGACATATTTAGATTATCATGTAAGACAAGGAAATATTTACATTTTTTATTTCTGTGCTGTTGTCTCCTCCTGGCATTTTTCACAACATTCTCTTAGTTCTCTATGTTTTCCTTCCATCCATGTCTGTGTTTTTAGGAAAAGGCAAAAACCTTCCTGATGGAACCCCAAAAAGGGCGATGCCTGTTTGTGTGATATCTCTTCAGCAGAGCGGCAACCTTTGTGAACGTATCAATCAAAAATAAGATAAACTATAGCAATACTTCACTATATGTAAAGATGTGAGCTCTATTTCCAAGTGATTTAAGTGGGAATATACCTGTAAACTGCATATTTAAATGTTTTTTCTATGTTCTATTAATCATTTTTTAATTGCAAAAGTTAACACATTTACAGTAATTGAAATGAATTAATATCTGTTAGTGATATGTATAAAGCTAGTTACTAAGTATTTTATAAATGGCTTTACTGGTATTTCAGTTACTTTTGAAAATCTTTATTTCTGTTTATTTGTTTGAGTCTGTTTTTGTTTGTTTCCTTTATCTAGTTCCTTGTGCCACAGATTTGCTCCTCCATGGTTTACTTTTGGTTGCCTTATTTTCTTTTTGCAGTGGAAAAACCTGCATTCGAAACAAACAATCCAGTATACGCACAATATTCTCTCAGCTGTTGACCATTTGATGTGTCCTCCGTCAGACCAGGAACCGAAGATGAACTGGGCGTCGTTTTACGCTGTCATCAGCGGTGTGAACAGACACTCGACAGGCATCGGTCGCATCTGGCTCTCTGTCCTGTTCATTTTCCGTATCCTGGTCCTGGTGGTTGCAGCGGAGAGTGTGTGGGGCGACGAGAAGTCCGGCTTCACCTGCAACACCCAGCAGCCGGGCTGCAACAGCGTCTGCTACGACCACTTCTTCCCCATCTCCCACATCCGCCTGTGGGCGCTTCAACTCATCCTGGTGTCCACCCCCGCCCTGCTGGTCGCCATGCACGTGGCCCACCGGCGCCACGTCGACAAGAGGCTCTACAGACTTTCGGGGAGGACCAATCCCAAAGACCTGGAGCAGATAAAGACCCAGAAGATGAAAATCTCTGGGGCTCTGTGGTGGACGTACGTCATCAGCCTGTTGTTCCGCATCGTCTTTGAGGTGACCTTCATGTATCTGTTTTATATGATCTACCCTGGTTACAAGATGATCCGGCTGGTGAAGTGCGACTCGTACCCGTGTCCCAACACGGTGGACTGCTTCGTGTCGAGGCCCACGGAGAAGACTGTCTTCACCGTGTTCATGCTGGCTGTATCGGGGGTTTGTATTCTGCTCAACATTGCGGAGGTGATCTTCTTGGTGGGGAAGGCCTGCAGTAAGCATCTGCACGCTGCTGGAGACTCGACTGTCGGGGCTTGGATCCAACAAAAGCTCTGCTCATACTAATAGAACACACAGATTTCACACTTGAACAAGGGGACGTGTATGTGACCGTAAGATGGTACTTTGAAGAATTCCCACAGGAATTACAGTTAACACATCCTTTTATGAACCCGAAGACGGCACTTTGTACTGACATAAAATAATAGCTTGATGTTAGGCCAAAAAAGATGAATTAAGTAACATTTTATGATGAAATATGCCAACTTACCGCATAGTAGGATTTCATTGTCATGGAAGTTTATATCCACAATTGTAAACATTTGTTTGATCTTGAAATGAATATAATAAATCATGAAATGTGATACATGCTATTTTAAAATAATCAGAAAAGTGTGGGGTAAATAGGATGTAGTAGTATTTTTGGGCATTTTCATTTATAATATTTTATTATTTACATTAAATATGTTTGCAAACATCCTTTGTTTGCCTTCACGCCTTGTATTGGCTAGAGAATTTTTTTTCTGCAGTCGATAAAAGATAGATTGACTCATACATGAACGACTTGTTAAATCAAGTTTTTGTTGAATACTGATTCCTTACTTCCATTGGATATATAAAAATGCAAACAAGTCACATCAAAATATAAACTGCTTCTTTTTTATTTACTACTGAAAATGAGATCTTCGTGCCTAAATAACCAAAATGTTGATCGCGGAAATTTCAGCATAAAACTTTGCAAACTATTATATGAGCATTCAATCTAGAGCCTTGGTTGTTAAATTGTATTATTTTTTTCACCACATTCAACCTTTTCTCATGAACTTGCCCAGCGCTTCGGTCTTCAATTCAAAATGAACGTTCTGTATTCCAGACTGTGAAAAAAGGGTTACCATTATTACCATTATTTATTATAAAGCGAATAATTACTTAAACCCAACAGTGGCGTTGTGTAAAACTGTAATTTTACAAATTCAAGTGTTTTTTAAGGTATAAAATGGATAACTTCCTAAAAAAGGTGCGGCTGAAAATGTTTCATATCTCCGACTTCCTACTTTGGTCTTTCTTACGCTGCTCCTTCTCTTCAATCATCATCTAGCTTACTCGACCACTGCTTCGATCTCAACTAGTATTTAGTAAATAATTAAATTACTGTAATTGTTTTTGATAACAGAGGCATTATGTAAAGAAACTGGCATTTAGAGGGTTAAATCAGAGCAGCATTTCTTTCTTTAACCTCTTAAGACCCAAATCTGGGAGAGAGGCACCGGGGTTGAATGAACTTATTTTCAAGCAAGTTTTACATGTCAGTACACAATAGAAACAATTGTGTAATTCTTTCCAAAAATAAATGATTCCTTGTGCCTTAATTACTCAAGTTAATTGTCTACGGCTTTTGAAATGTTGAATTTGTCTCCAAGAGGAGTGTTCCAACATAAAACAGGTGAAAGATTGTTCTGGTGTACAGGATTTTGATGGGATTTTGTGACTGAGTGGACATAATTCTTTATTTGCAGGAAGAAATTAATCAAAATGAAGTTTTGCCCCTTTAAGAAGCGGGAATGAAACTTTACATCACACTTTTACAGTAGCGGCGACTTTACCATCATTAGACCAGAGATCTTGGGAGCCACTTGCCACCTTTAAAGAAACGTCCTCAGGCCGATTGAGTTCTTCTTAAGCTCCCTTTGAAGGCCAGAGTGCAGACTTTTAGGTTATCAATAGCATGGCCATGTAAGGGGTCAGTGTGCGGGTCACAATGTTTGACCCCCGCAGACAGCTGGACCTGAAGTGACCGAGCATGAAGGCTTTTTATGGGAAGGCATCTACGCACACGCCATCTCCAGTGTTCAGGTTGACGTGAAGCATATTGGCAGCGCGGCACCAAAAACTGTAATTGCTCCGACCTGGTGCTTCTGTCTGGGACTTGTGTTAGTGGTGACTGTGTGAGCAAACTCGTCACACACATGTGGGGCATCTCAGTACCACCTGCAGGACTTGGATAACGAGATTGACAATGCGGGTTCACAGAAGGATTGTTATGATTATGACCGTATATTCATACAAGATGACCTCTATAAAGTGGAATAAAACCACTGTGACAAGCAGAAGAAGGTTTCTGTGTGCGTGTTATCAGCGCGCAGAAAGCTTATCAGTCGCCCAACGAGCAGCGACGCTCCCTGCAGCGCTGACTGAAGGCTCGACACTGTTTGGAGCTCCTCCACGCATGTCAAGGGTCACCTCGAGAGCGACACCGAAGCCACTCCCATCCACGTGAATTATATTTAGATCCCACCGGCATGTAAGACCAACGTGCATCCTCACTGGACTCCCCAGCTGCCACTCCGTTGAATGGCTTTACCTCCTGAGCAAAAGGGTCTTATACGTTCCTGCGAGTGGGGATGTTTTCGTCTGTGGCGGCACGGAGGCCGCAGTGGTTCAGTTGTGGCGGCCTGTGTTGAACACGGCGGGCGTTTGATCAGCTCGGAGTCGGAGTGAGGCAGGCGGGATCGCAGAAGCTCCGGTGAAAAGTTTATCTCGGTCAAGCAGTTTCTTCAGGAGAAACATGGCCTCTCTGTGAACCGAAGAGGCGGAGTGGATCTGCGCTGCTGTAGGAGATGAACGTCATAAGGTACGTTTTTCTAAATGCAGACAAATAAAATACCTGTTTTTATTGTCTAACTCAAGACGTTACAGTTCCAAAGTTAATTTAGCCATCAAGAGTGTTTTTTATATAATATACCCGATAAGAAATGTGAAAATAAAATCCTGGCTCAGTCAATAACAACAGTCACTACTTTGTGACGTTTTGATCCTTTAAATGATACTTTGAATTCTGTTTGACGAACTTTACCTATTTAACGGATTTTCCGAGACACAATATGTAATATTATAATGTAATATGTAATTCTGATCCTTGCAGACAAGTACAACTATTTTTAAAGTACATTTTTCTCCTCTTGCCCAATAGGCGCCTGATATCTAAACTAGAAACTTAACACTGGAGTCAGGGAGCACTTTTGGCTTCTGTGTCACAAGATCTAGGAGTCTCCCTTGCCTGCCCCAGGGCTTTCTCTCACACACAGTCAGCTGTGTCCGTGCCTTCTTTACCAGCCTGCTCCCGACAGGACGCCACCTCTCAGAGTACAAACAGGGAATTTATAATAAATCAATGTCTCTATTACAGTAGCCCTTGCCTGTGGGGTAACAGTTAAGCAGAAACAAATACCATATTTGTAGTGGAATGAGTCACTCTCACAATAACCAAACTGTTTTGAATAAAGCTGCTTATTGGAGATAATGAATGGTGTTACGTGTGAAGTGCCAGCTTAAATTATTATTAAGATTCAGATATTTCAGTAACTCACTTTTTACATTTCCCACATTGTGTGTGTGGCACTAATATTGTGCATACATAAAAATACCATCATTCTGCCGGGAGCACTTACCACCACCTTCTCAACCATGTCAAAGCAAGTTTTTAAGATAAACGACTGGGCCGGAGTCAACCGCATTACAGTGTTCATTTAATCCAAGTCAAACATTTTCACCTCCTCTCGTTACAGGCGTCACTCCTGAGTCTTACTTGCGAGCCATAATGGGGGACTGGAATTCGCTGGGGAAGCTGCTGGAGAGCGCCCAGGAGCACTCAACCGTTGTGGGCAAAGTTTGGCTGACAGTCTTGTTCATTTTCCGCATCCTGGTGCTGGGATCCGCCGCTGAGAAGGTTTGGGGCGACGAGCAGTCGGGCTTCACCTGCGACACCAAGCAGCCCGGTTGTCAGAACGTCTGCTACGACAAGACCTTCCCCATTTCCCATATCCGCTTCTGGGTGTTGCAGATCATCTTTGTCTCCACGCCAACGCTCATTTATCTGGGCCACATCCTTCACCTGGTCCGCATGGAGGAAAAGGAGGTGCAGAAAGAAAAGGACCTCGCCACCGACGAGGAAATGCACGAGCAGTTACACGCGACCAAAGCCAAGAAGGCCTCGGTCAAAGACAAACAGGGCCACGTGCGCTTAAAAGGGGCACTTTTGCGAACCTACGTCTTCAACGTCATTTTTAAGACCCTGTTTGAGGTGGCTTTTATCGTCGCCCAGTACTTCCTGTACGGTTTTGAGCTAAAGCCCATGTACACCTGCGACCGCTGGCCTTGCCCTAACATGGTGAACTGCTACATCTCTCGACCCACCGAGAAGACCATATTCATCCTGTTCATGCTGGCCGTGGCCTGCGTCTCCTTGCTGCTCAACCTGGTGGAAATGTACCATCTAGGCTTCACAAAGTGCCACCAGGGCCTCAGTTACAGACGGGCGCGGGCTGCTCGCGAGGCTCCGAAGGCCTTAAACGAGGCTGTCGTGCCGTACGTCACCGACTACAGCTTCTTTTCGGGTCACGCCGCGGTGCCTAGTCCTTTCCCCGTGGACTCAAAGTACAGCGCGGCAGCGCCCAACGCCGCCTACAGCCCCTACAACAGCAAAGCGGTTCACAAGCAGAACAGAGACAACATGGCCGTGGAGAGAAAAGGCAAACCAGAGGGAGACGAGGCGAAGGAGAGCAAAATCTCAGGCCCCGTTTCTGAGTTGCCCGGCGAACATCAGCGCAGAAACAGTCAGTCAAGCAAACACAGCAACAACAAGAGCAGGCTGGATGACCTGAAGATCTAGTGACACTGTTTTTTCATTTGCGAAGGAGTATTGAAGACTTTTACTGCCAATACTATTAAGTGGATACAAGATTTGACAGCTTTGAAAATGCACAACATGCGAGGTGCCATTAGAAACAGGACGAAGGCTTCGTGATCCGATTTTTTCAGAAGGAAACCTGAGGGATTGAGTAAAACTGTGTGATGCACGGTCAAAGTTTGCAGTAAAAAGCTGCTGTTGGATGAAAATGAACCTCTTGCTGCAGTTGGAATGTATGAAATGTTTGGGAGACACGAATGTCCCTTTCATCATGTTGATGTACCGTCTCTGTTTTTCCATTGAACTTTGCTTCTCAACCAAATTATGAGCTAAATGTGTTTAATAATATTTAATTGTCATTACTTAATATATGAGACTTTGGAATTCTTGATTCATGACTGTGAGGCCGGCAACCAGTTGTTGGCTTTTGACTTCACAAAATGGAGATAATAAATCGTTGCCATTGTTAATTCACGTTATATTTTTAGTAATCATGAAAATGTACCTTAAAATGTGAAAATGTACCTTAAAAGAATAAAAGATTTATTACAGTAACCAAACAAGTTCATTCAGTAGTTTGTGTACTTTCCAGAATTTGAATGAAGTGTTTTTAGTTAGTGTTAGTTAGTCTCAATCTCTGATAGATACCAATAGTGCAGCCGATCTCTCAAAATGAATCCAGCAAGTCACTGGTTCTTTGTTCATCCGCTGTTTTTCAAATTGGTGTTACCACCACCGCAGATTAATTGGCCCTTCAGCATTGAACTGTTGTGGTCGATATTCCATATTTTCAGGGAGACCTTCAGTCTGTTGATTCTGCTTAGTCAGCAGATACCCCTCTGACATCCAGCCGATGAGACTGAGACGGCTAACGGCTCATCATGCAGCATCAGAATGTGGGCAAGAGATATTACTGTGTAATTAATGATACATTTATTTTGGGGTTAACGTTGCTATTTGTCTTATTTTAACAAATGGATGCCAATGATGCCGAACAAAGGCCGAGATTATGTTGCCAATGGCAACCTGGACTTTGTTACATGCAGGACTTAAGTGCAGCAAAAGTGTTCAGCGAACATGTTGTAAGTCAAATATCAGATATATTGTATCAGCAAGAGGCAAAAGATAACGTTGATTCCACAAACACAGTACCTGTCATAAAGTGTTAGTCTGAGATCTACTGGCAGTATTTCTTCTACTGACATGCACCATTTCCACAACATGACCACAGCTGGAGGCAAGTTGTTGATAGAGTACAGCTGCAGTCATTGTGTGATTCATGCTACAGCTCCTCAAATGCCAGTTTCAGAGCCAGACATAAACGCATTCACAGAAACATCTTACACACATCTTATCTTATATCTGATGTTTCTGTGTTCATCACAGCATTCAATTAGCAAACGTGAAAATGTGAGTTTTGGACTTTGGAAATGTTTTAGTCAGCACACTTTGGGGTTAGCGCTTTCACCTCTTAGTGTGAATGTTTGAATCATTTGAGTGGATTCAGATGTGAAAGTCAACATCGTCACACGTGAAGATAATGACTTACTTCCTTTGAGTGCGTTCTGTAAACTGCTGAGCTGTCGCCGCTCCTCTCCGTTTGCCCGCAGCAAAGCGGCGGTGGCATGCTTCACATTGTTAGCTCAGCGCCAACTGACACTTTAACGACTTAGAGGTTAAATATCTTGCTTAAGGGCACTTCGGTGGTGCCCAGGAGGTGATCTGACGCCTCTCTAGGCCACAGTCCAATCAGTGCTGACCCCAAGTCCCTAAATGACGTGGAGTCTGCATGTTCTCTGCGGGTACTCCCACAGTCCACAGACGTGCGTTGGAGCTCAGGTTAATTGGTAGGGTTAAATTGCCCGTAGGTGTGGGGATGTGAGTGTGAATGGTTGTTTGTCTGCGATTGGCTGGCGGACCAATCCGAGTGGTTCCCAGTCTCTCGCCCGAAGTTAGCTGGGATTGACTGCAGTGGACCCTGTATGACGGATAAGCGGTTTGAAGATGGATGGATGGATGGACTCTCACCTTATTGGGTCGAGTTAGTGAACATTATTTGAAGTAGCCAATAAATAACAGTCTGGTACTGAAAAAAAACCCATCAAAAACTGGGAGAAAACACATTTGCAAGATTTGTGTAACCGTGAAGTGCAGTCGCTGCTATGATTCGATCTGCTGTCTATGCGGCCGTGTTAGACCGCAGCCGCTATTTTAACTGCTTGGTTTTCAGCAGCTGCAGCAAAGTGGAGTGTGGATGGACCCGTTTCTAAAACACATGCCATCCCGCTGGTGAGAGATCTGCTTCAAAGACTTCCACACTGCTGCTGCTATAAATAGCTCTCATGCACACTTGCGGGTGCATTGGGGGTGCGTTGGGGGTACAGGGCCAAAGGTTTCTTCCCCTGCATCAGCAACAATAAGTTGTTGGCAACAATTTGGCTGAAAATAAAGACCGTTAAGTTTGGCGTGCATAGTGCAGTGTGTCTTCTGTTCCACGCAGCTGATTTACAACCACGATTGTTTCATTCATTCAGTCGTATATTGTAAATCCTCCAGTATGATGCCAGAGGCACTTTGAATGTCTTTCTTCAGTGACATGCACAGATGTTTAGATATCAATCCTGCTGTCTGCTCAGGTAAGACACTTGGTCTGCGAGAGGAGAAATGCTTAAGAGGATCGTTTGCAGTGGGGTTGTGCGAGGTCCTCATCCAGTAGTTGACCCTTGTGCAAATTAGAGCAGGCCCGTCCCATCGCATGTTGCTGTTCTACTGCTGCTTTGTTGTATGGTTTGTTTGTGTTATTGTGTGACTTATTTCAATGTTAAACCCTCTCAAAGCAGCAGCAAGTGATTGAGGCAGTTATAGACCAACAACTCAGTAACTGCTTCACTTTCTCCACCGGAAAGCGCTGTTTGACTGCAAGTTAAAGAGGGAAAATATTAAAATGATAGCGTGCGATGAAATATTTTTAGATTAGCTGGGCTCACAAAAAAAAAGTGTATCTATAGGTTCTCCTCTGACTTTTATCAATGTTACAATCCAGGATAAGGACCATCACACTGCCAAAGCAGCCTCTTGACAGGACAAGGATGGGAACTGAACAGGTGACCAGGGTTCAGCGCTGTGAACTCAGGGTTCTAACCTTACGCAACCAAATCTCTGAGCCAGAATAGTAGAAGTGATACGCAGACACCATCAGTCACTCCCCGTAAATCAGAACTGTAGGACAAGTCAACGAAGGGGACATTTTGGTGTTAATGGAGATTTGTTGTGAGCCTGTATGGACAGAACGCTGCTTCACAAATTATTTACATGTTGAAAGTTGAATATCTGGTTTTAGAAAAAAAAAGAAGAAAAAGCGTATTTCCTGTTGCGTTTTCAAAAGTCTTCAAAAATGCACTGTAACATGACCATGTAGGTTTTTGGATCTGGGTTGAAAACATACCACAGACTGTAGTTGGTCGGCTATTGGGTTGTCGGCTGTTATGAAACTTCCAGACTTACGGGTTAAGTTTGGAGTCTCTCTCCCTAAAAATATGACACACACAATGAGCATATATTTGGTCAACTGATAATGTAGAAAATTATGTCTCTTGGCTTTAACACGGGTTTCAGCTCATAATTTAGCCGTCTGTCCCACCTGCTAATTTGACTCACTGTCACGCTTCCATAATGTTGTTTTTGGCCGTAACAGTCGAGCAAGTGAACATAGTCGTGCATTTAGCAGCTAAACAGCGAGAGGTCTTTACTCTCTAATTCCGTATGTCTGCCATCAACCGTCTGCAGGTAATCCAGGAAGTCGCTGCAAGATCTCACATGCCAACCACACTCAGATCTCTTCAGCATGTAGGATACACTTTTAAATTCTCACTCTCACTTACAGAGCACTGCCGGGTCAGACTTCTTCCATAAGTGGCTGAACTATTTTGCCCCATATTTACAAGCCATCTCGTCAGGTCAAGCATGTTAAATTCTCTGTCCGTCCCACGAACTGGACTGGTGACCCGGGGTGACTGAGCGTCTGAGGCCGTAGCACCGACGCTTTAGGTCGCTCTGCTCGACCGCTAAAGGTCTGTGATTTGGTTTCACATTCAGGTCTAGAGATTTCCTTGTTGAGACTAGCGTTAAACTTGATGCTCAAAGACTGTTTTTGTGGCTTTAGAAATATTATTAAGATTAAAATGATTCTTCTGCATGAGCACATTGTGTTATTTATATATGTTCTAGGTTTTTTCACATTGTCATCTATGGCTGTATTTATTATACAATAAAATACTACATGATCTTTTCCTATAGTATTTGAAGATGGACAAAAATAAAACATTTTGATGCATAACCCTAACAGGTAACCAAAAACTTCACTACAAACATTTCATAAATCCAATTTGAATCACTGTAGGTGTGTGCAGATCCAAGGTGCTCCAGGTAAAACTCACAATGTCCAAAATCATATTCATAGAACCATCATTCTTTATTTTGATACCTTTTTGAAAAAAAGAAAACCAAAATATAACCAACAAGGTAGACGTAAAAACCTGTGATTCATATAGTTTGCAAAACAAGCTCTCAATCCACAGCTACAGGCCGGAGAAGCCGTATGGACCACGCTTGGAAATGTACACTTGTTGAATCATGTATGAATGCAGGAGCTGGAGCATTGTGCCTGCTGTACACACTCCTGCAGACTTACACACAGAACCTTTTCCTTCCCCTGTTATAGAAACGTCATCGTGTTTACTTTATTTCCTCACCAAGCAAAAACCCAAACCCAAAGAACCATAGCTAGGACATTACTGAGCATCTTAAGATATGTTATGTCTGAACCACTGTTAAATATTTCTTCACTTAACCTTTGTATGATTCCTCATTTTTAAGATATTATTACATAAATCAGACAGCAATAAGCACTTAACTGAGATGAAAAGTTAAGAACCCCTTGGACAAAGACACACATAGTCTTTGATTAAATGTTTTAATCTGCATTTTAGAATAAGTAATAACTCAGAGAAGTTACAAATGCAGCATGAAACTGCCTGGCAAGTTGTACTGAAATAATTGGACAAATATTGTTTAATTAGTGATACTTTTTTGAAAGTATGCCGCAGTCTCATTATGGCTTCATGTACTGGACTGACATCACGGACGGCGCTTTGGACTGAAGCAGCAATGACACATATAATATATATATATATATATTTTTTTTTTTACATTAGCTATGTAAACAGTGGCAGCTGTGTGTTTTCGGTTCCAATAAATTTTCAAAAAGTATGTACAACTAACTCTATTGATCCAACAATGAAATACATTTCAGATTGGTCCTTAAAGCCAAATTGAAAAACAAAACCACCAAAAAGCAGATGGCAAAACTATAAAAACGAACGACACAGAGAATTGCACTTATAAAAACACTGTTTCTGACAGACTAGCAGAGACGGAGCTCTGAATCTCGCTCGTCGAGACGACGAGCTGATTTGGCCGAGGTGCAGGCTTATCTATAACGTGAGAATCTCAAAGCATTGTGCAGAAGATTCCCTGAGAAAGAAGCCCAAAAAAAACTAAAGCAGCAGCAAATGTACAGACAAAAAGGAACCGACTGAAATACTTCCAGTCAGATCTGGCTTTCTGTGGTGGGCAGTTATAGTGGCTGTTCATCAAAAGTTAGCATAATGTGGCGAGCAAAGCAACTATCCTACTCATACACTACATATGAATCTTACAGCTATTTGGAACTCTCTTATATCCTTTATATATCCCAGATCCCCCCAAAAATATCCCTTTCTCCCTTTTATTTTACACAAATTGCACCCTGAGATTTGATCAAATAAAATGTCCTTCAAAGGGTTTAAGTTGCGTCCACAGTCTACAAACTCATATCTCACATTGCCTCGTAAATACAATAATCAAACCTCTGTTGAACTGACCTCCATGCACGAAATCCTGCACCTGACACTGGAGCATAACATTCTACGCGCACACGCACATCTACACGGACACCAGCAACCAGCACAGCGACCTGAAGCAAACACGCGGCGCGTTTTCAGAAGCCGGTGCAGGAGATTTCCTTCCAGCAGCACTGTGGCATTCTAAAGGCCGCACCTTACTGGTCGTAGTCTCCAGTGTGACATGCTTGAAGTCATGCTGCGAAACTATTTGAGCGTGTGCTGTGGTTAAAAGGAAGCGGACAGTTGACTGTGGCGGTGCGGCATCCTCCCTTGTGCGTTATTGCAACAATATAATAGAAGTAATTGAACTCTTCATGCACTGAAATCACACATCCTCAATGAGATGGCCTTTCTCACAATAGATTGACGTTGACAGAATAACACGAACGACAGCAGACACTTAAGTCACAGGGCACACTAGTTTGTTTTAGCAGACACTGGTTATCTTTAAGAGAATATCTATTATACTATATCGAGCTGTCCAGAGGACGAGTTGTTAGCCGTGGATTTGAACTTCAGCATCATGACATCAGCGAGGGGGCGGGACCACATGCTGTCGCTGCTGTCATGTTTCTAAATACAAGGAACAGTACTGAATGTCCCGTAACAAAATACACAACAATACTGTGGATGCTCCATGCTGCATAGGGGGGGAAATTACAACCCAAAGGCTACATGAGAGGATGAACTTCATCACAGAGCTTGAAAATGCATAATCAGATTTGAGGAGCGAGCCTACAATAAGCGACGGGGTCTAACGTGGGCGGTAACAGCAGCGTTTATAGTGGCTATATACGGTTTTGTTCCAAACACACCAGATTTCTTCCTCTTTTCTTCTTTTATGACACCACCGTCTTCCTAAGAAAAACAAAAGCAACAGCAGCCCGCTGGTCTTCCCAGGTGGAGAAAGGAAATTCATAGTGACTTGAATGAGAAGCAAAGCATCAGTTCCCTCATGTATCCTTTCACTTATTGGCCTTTAGCTTCAGCTGGGAGACCCTCGCTTGTCCCAGTTTAGTGTGAACATCAACGGGCCTTTCGAAGAAGCGGACTATGGTCGGCTCGTTGAGCAGAGACGCCAGGACCTGCTCGAACGAAAACGACCACTGCGTCTCTGTGAGGTCGACCCCGGCATCCGGACTGTTGCGGGAGCCGGAGCTCCCTGGGGAGGTAGAAGCTTTTCCCGCCGAGAGCTCCTCCTCCGCGGTGGCGGCGGCGACAGTGTCGGCGGATTTTGTGGACCCTGACGGGCTGGTGGGCTCCTGCAGCCTGCGTCCCACTTCCTCCATCCTCAGGAGAAGACTGGTCACGTGAGCCACGGCTCGGTATAGAGACTCCTCCTCTGGATCGCCGTGAAAGATGTTGTACAGTGTCTTGGAGAACTGGATGAACTGAGACTGGGACACAAAAAAGAAGTATATACACTGTGCTTCACAGGTAATTGGCCGTTTCTCGGGAAGAAAATGGTCCCCTCGCTTAATGGAACCACATGGAAAGGTTACCTGATTGATTCGGGGGAGGTCTTTAATTGTTTCCTCTTTCCGGAGTATTTCGTTCTGCCACTGCTTCAGGTAGGCCTGCAGGTCCACTTTTCCTCTACCTGTCAATTTCACATACAAACCGTAAACAATCGTACACAACCAAAAAAACATCCACAGCTTTTTTTGTTAGAGCTTCGGAGTGTTTGTGAGGGATCGGATTTGTTGAAATATTACCTCTTTCGGGGCTTTTCCTTATCACGCCCTCTTCGGGTAGATCAAACGCTGAAAAATAGAAGCAGCATATGGACGAATGGCATAGCGGAATGCTGCTACAACAATCAATATATTCATGGAAATTAGGCAAGCATTAAGGCAGAATTGTGACAGGAGTAAGGAGAAATAGGTATGGGTGAAATTTGAGTTTTATTAGAAAAAGAAGAGAAAAGAGGCTGACCAGAGAGTCTACTCAAGTAAGAAGAGTCTTCAGCCACTGGAATAATTCTTTGTTCCTTTAAGTGCAAAGGACTACCTGTGAAAGCTAAAAGATACCGAATGTGAGAGCACGGAGAGGAAAGATGAAGCACAGCAGCAATGGGGATCCAATTTGATAAAAAAACAAAAACAAAGATATTAATACACACTGAGTTACCGGTGGATTAAACACAGTGTAATGCAAGCACATGTGACACTCCTGAAGTAGGTTGCGTCTTTGCGAATCTGCCTACAAAGTCCGAGGTCAGGCTGAATGAGATGTGCTGTACTTTTTCGGCTACAACCCCCACCGATGTCTGTGTGTGCATGCATGCATGTCAGTTTGCATTGCTGGATTAAACAATTACCCACACAAGCCGGCAGTGTCATTATATTTGGCAGATAGCTTGGCACTGCATCCGCGGCACAGCCAGATGATCCTCTTGTTGGTCCCTCTGTGTATCTGACGAGACATTTGATTCTGATACTCTGATAATCTAAACTGAGTCAGACTTAATCGTTGAGGTGACCGTCTCAAATTTCCACCTAAAATCCCAAATATCATTGAAAATCTAATTTGGCCGATTATCATTAAATTGACTGATTATCTCCAAATCTTTGGAATCTTCAAACCAGCAGGTCAACAGAGCCATAAAATTCTCACTGTTGTACACAGATAACTTATGATACACTATCACCATCTTTACATTCACACACAACATACAGCTTAATATTTGTTCACGCTCCACAATTGTACATCTCTTAACAGCAAGTGCACCCCTGACATTTTGTTGTCCTCACTACCAATCAGGACACAGATGGTGGCGCTGTGTACCCCCCCCGCTCTGTGATCAAAGCTGTTGAGTGAGCTCAGCTGCTGTACTTTGTGTTTTGGACTAAAAAAAAAACCACAGCAGAAAGCATCATTTCATTTCCTTGATCAATGATGTGTTCGGCCCCGGGGCCAAGGCTGTCCCACTGTGAAACTCAACGCATTTGCATCATGAAATTAAAAAAAACACTGAACCTAGGTAATTATTGTCTTGGTACCTTGATTTGTTCTGACATTGCTCGATTGCTTCTATACACGGACCAAACAACAGATGGTCGGCTTTCTTAAACATCATGCTGAAATACAAGCCTCGCACCGCTGTACATAGAAACGCAACGTGCATGTAGAATGACATCTCAGAAATGCCGTTCCACTTATCAGGCAGCGTCTGGAGCACTCGAGCTGATTAAAATCTGCAAGAGTTCAGTACTGGGGACCTGTCCTTGGTGCTGAAGGAAGGAACGCTCCACATGACATAAGACGTCACAGACAGTGAGTCAGTGCTCGTCTGCTGTTAAGCTGTCAGTTGTTATTTGAGCACTTCCTCCTCATCATAAATCCTGGACCAATGCAAAATGCCCTTACAGCTCCTTCGCACCCATCGTTGCCATGGCAAAGTTTTCACCCAATATAGGCTATTTTTACTTGTGCCTTCAGGCCCGCACGAACACGTTACGCAGTCAAGAGTCACACGTTCAAGGACATTTTCTAGCCTCGGGCCATGTGCTCGCTCATCAAGTGCTGAGTTATGGATAAAACCCACATTTTTAAGCCCCGGAGCACAAAGACTATCTGACCTTGTGTTGTTCTCCGGCCTTTTCCTGTCGGCAGCAGTTATCTTACTGCTGCCACGTTATGCAGAGTCCAGGGAATGATAAGGATCCAGTTTTTAAAAAAATTGCGTGTTCGAACTTTGAACCCTGAATGTATGTGTAATCACTGTAGACATTTTGTGAGAAAAATGGGTCAGAGGTTGAAGCTGAATAGGTATCTATCTTGTAGTTTACACAGTTTTCAAACTATTTATAATTTTTTTTTTGTCATTGAGATTTAATGCTACCAATGCTCATGACTCACCTGGTGGCAGGTGCAGCTTGAAGAGGAATTTCAGCTTATTGGTGAAGGAGCCACTGTACAAGGTATCTGCGGGGGGAGCATTGTGAAATTATAGCAGCGGGGATACGAAGGATAATGGCTGCGTTAGCGGAGAGCAGAGAGCAGAGAGCGGGGGAGCTCACCGAGGGCAAAGCAGAACTCTTTAAAGTTCACGAGGCCGTCTTGGTTTTCGTCGATCAGGCGGAAGACCCAGAGGGAGAGGGTGCTCTTGGAGGTGCAGAAAGCCCAGGGCTCCAGCAGAGAGAAGAGGGTGCTGAACTGCTGGAAACCCAACTGGTACTGCTCCAAATAGGCCAGGCTGGGGTCATGATGGAGCAGTGCTGGACTCTTCATTGTCCAATAGCAGCACAGGAAATGCTGCCTCTGAAAATAGAAAACAAAGAAAAACGTCAATTAATAACCAGTGACATTTTCTATGCTCACACTCAAGATCCCGGGTGGTGTAATTGACTCACTTTGAACAAGTTATAAATGCTGTCGAGATGTGAGGCACTGAATTGGACTTCTTGGGTCACCACACGAATCTGAAAAGAAATAATGAAATTCATCCTTAATGCCTCAGAAACAATGCAGGTACGCCAACTACTGTAAAGTCGACAGCCACTCACCACATTCTGTTTGGTTGTGTCCTCCAGTGTCTGGATCACATGCAGTTTGTTTCTTTTGCGTGAACTCTCGACTTCCTCCGTACGGATATTTCCATATTTCTAAAAACCAAGCACGATTGGTTTACTCCATCCCAAAACTGACATTGCTGAATAAAACCGAAACAGAGGAACACGGTACCTCGTAGGCCTCTCGGATCAGTTCGCTGATATCCACCTTCGGGTGCGAGGCTCGATCGTTATTGCCCGCTGAAGCCTGCTGCACTGTTGACGGAAGGGGACTGTCTTTGTTTGTCACGCTGTCAAAGAATCTGAAACAACAGCGTTGGGAGAAAGCAGGACAGTGGTTTACACAGTGATCACGCTTAATAAAAACATCTGGCCAGCTTGCTTTGCGTTCCCACAAACTTGTTGAGGATGGTGACGGCCTCGGCATCGTCCTGGCAGCTGATCAGAGCCCCCAAGTTGTAGTCCAGCACTGTCAGGCCGAGCTGCAAGATGGCTTTTATGCCGTCGTAGAAAAAACAGTCCACCACGTTCACAGCACTCTCTATCGGGAGGACACTGATGAAAAGCGTGAGGAACCAGGACAAGGACACGGACGAGAAGAAACTCAGGTCTGTCATGTGCTCCACCAGCTGGGGGAGGTTTTCTCTGATCAGATCCTCGAACACGGCTTGGTCGACAAGAGCACCTGAAGAAAGGGATATCGGCGCAGTTCAGATTGCGACTTTCCCTTGAGTCAGGACATTAGCAGCTGAAGCACGATGGGAATTAATTGTACTCTCACCAATTATTCGGCGGTTGAAGTAATCTGGCAACATCCTCTCGCAGACGGCTACCAAGAGCCAGAAAGCCTCCTCCTCTTTGGCGTAGAGCAGAAGAACGGATGTGAGAATGTTCATGGCCTGAACAGGCAGAAAAAAAGGGATTTTTTTAAAAAACAGACTGCCTGATTTGCAAGTAGGTCAGGTAAGAAGGTCACAGTAACGGAGGCGAGAGACCATTTTACAAAAGGTGTCTCCAGAAATGAATGTTTTTCAAAGCTCTGGTGCCATTAAAAGAAACGTATTCAACGGTTTTGGACCCAATGTTGCATTCTGAGCTCTACAGGCTTTTCCTAAGGCACTCGGCCTTTAAAGAAAAAATCCCTCTGCTTTTCAGAGTAGCTGCACGTAAAAGACACAGGTTTAAAACCAAAAGGGTCCGACGGTCTTTGTTGTCTCTACGATAACCATACGTCACAAAATCTCACCCTGTTAAAGAGAACCCGAAATGATAACAGAGATGTAAAGGTAAATAATGATCATGTGAGTAAATTGCCGGGACAGTTTATGTGTCCATGTCTGTCCTATACATATGTTTATATGTAAATAAACACACACACACTTACATATAGATGTATGTGTGTGTTGTTGTGACAGTTACAATCTGGGCTTTTCCGCCTGTCAAAGAAAACAAATCAAAGCACCTGGCAGTAGCCAATTTTGGGGTTCCTGTATGCGTAGGCGGTAAGGACTCTGCGTAGAGCGGAGATTCCGGTGTCGCTCTGAAAGGCCGGGTGCTCTGGCAGAGAGCGGTGCAAGTCTCTCTCGATCTCATCTGTAGCCAAAGTGCTCGTGCCCAAAGACTGTTCAACCAGATCGGAGTAATAGCCGGGATGAGTGGCCATGTCGTTGACAGCCCCTGCAGAGGAAGAACCAGTGAATCCAAAAAACAGATGCTGCTCAGATCCCACACCAACCATGTTTTATTTAATGATTCATGCTGAAGAAGCACTCGGGAAATAACACTCTCAATCCCGCACGCCTTCGCTAACTAATCACTGAGCCGTCCCTTAGTATAAATGACGCGGCCAGAGTGAAGTCTGTTGAATAAATACCTGAAAAAAGCATCCACAGCTCTCCTCGCAAGGCCTCGGGCACACCACGAACAATCAGGTCCCGCGTCTTCCTGGTGAAGAACATACTTGTGCCTCGTCCGTATTCAGAGAAATGGATGTTCCACGACTGTTCCTTCATCTTTTCTTTAAGCTGCCGAATGCACACACAGGGTTATTTAACAAGCCCTGCCACACTTTTAAAGCTATTTGTATTTCTAAACGGAGGGATTTTTTATTATTTATGTCCAGCCCTGAATCCATCAGACACCCACTAAAACAGCCCCGTCCTGTGGATCATGAGAAGGACCTGCAGGGTAACACAGTCGCATTTTGGTAGCGGAGGTTATATCTCATTTAAAACAAAACTCTATATTTACCATTTTGGGTTCAAGGTTTTCGACATCCTGCGGGTGGAAAACGGTCATGAGCGCCTCAGTGCTCACAGCCTTGCTGCTGTCTTTCTGTCCCACCATCAGCGTTACGTCCTCTGGGTTGTCCTCAAAGTGGTTGATGAGCGACTGGCACTCGCCCCGTATGGCCTTACGTCAGAAATACATATTATTAGATTAGTCATGTCGGACAGCACTACTAGCTGTGAGTAGAGGTACAATGGCACAAATAAAGCGATAACCACGTTACCTCTGATGATGCTGAGTGCTGAGGGCTCGCACTAATCCCACACCTGCTCCGGATCGTGTTGGCGAGCAGCTGGTAGCCTCGCACCTCGGAGAAACGCACCGCCCTCTTTCCACGCATGCACACCGTTAGAGACCTGCTGCTGGCGTCTGACTTCTCAACATTTATAACCTGGTGGAGGTCAATGTTCACTTTTAGGTTTTCTGCCCTTCATCCAGGATTTTGTTTGTTGTGTCGTTATTGTTTACGTCGCTCCGGTTTCACTCTACCTCTCGCATTGGGATGATGACATGACATTGGCTTCCATCTTGGCTGGCGAAACACAGGTAGTTCTCAGACAGACAGATCTTGCCAAGTGTGTTAAAATGGCTGAAGGGCACCCACAGGAAGCTCTCGTGCACCTCCAGCAGGTTTTCCTCTTTGGGGAGCCTGAAAAATGTCCGGAACTGCTCACTCTTTGCATGGGCTTCTAGGCCTCTGGCGGGGTTGGGTGGATAAAGCAGAAAACAATCAGCAGAACATCACATTTATATGACATTATTTCAGAGTTCAAAAAGCGTGGTTCTAGCTGATCGTCACCCAAATAAATGCTTGAATAGGTTCTCTATAAGTATTCAACTACAGTATGTTGATTTTAGAACTGTCATGTGTGGCCTACATGCCACTCCAGCCACAGATAACAACGCGCGTTTAGACTTAAGTCAGACTTTATGTTTCCTCTGCATCTTTAAGCGGGCACCTGGCACAGGATCCCGTGCCGCTGTGCACTGCAGCGGGCAGACAGTTACCTCTTGGTAATTTGCAAGGGGTCGGACAGCGCTGGCTCTCTCTGGAAGGACTCTTTATCAAAAAGGCGCTTGACGGAGTAGTCAGCCAGCTGTTCCATGATAACAAAGGTTTCGTTTAGGTGCATCAGCATGGAGAAGTAGTGATCCTCCCCATGGGCCAAGACATGGATGCTCTCCGTCAGGATAACGTTGGAGGTTTTCTCCAGCCTCCAGACCTCATCCCAGGAGATGATGAGTTTCACTGCAGTCATGACAATGAGTGAAAATGAGACCAGTGACTAACGCACACAGCTGCGAAGATAAGGATTTTCAAGTGCTGGGTAAATTATAATCAAGCAATTAAGTACAGAAATGGTCAAAAGCTCATTAATTAAAAGAAATCCATGCAGTAACATCATACCTACTAGTGCCTTTGTAAAGGATTACTGATACCAAACAATGAACATTTTCAAAGCATTATTGTGATAATTCTTAAAATGTCACTTGGCGTCATTAATATTCAGTGTTATCCATCATCCAGACTGCTTTTCTAGTCTACCTGCACTATGAGGTCTGCCACCGTACAATGGCCTTTTCAGAATAATGTAAGCTAGAATTATGTGGAGAAAAAAAAAAAAAGTTCTTTTCAGACCACGAAAGCCAACAACGGTTAGCATTAGTAGCAGCCACGCTATTTGTTTCCACCCATCAAAATTGGCAGGAGAAATGGCAGCTGTTAGTAAATTAAAGAGAAATGGTCTCACCCTCCGCTCCCAGCAGGTACGAGTAGAAGCAAAGGAAGTTCGTGCTGAGGTAGAGCCAGCCCTGGCAGGGCACTTTGCCCCTCCAATAGCTGCACGAGTAATATGTGACCAGCTTTTCCATCGGTGGCAGCTCAAACCACTTCTCAAACCTCAAAAGGGCTTCCCGAAACTTCTCCGGGTCTTCCTCCAGCACCAGGGATGTCTTCCCTTCCTCAGCAATGAGACCCTAACACATCAAACATCAAAGGTTACTGCAGATTGAGGTGGACAATAAAAGAATGCACCATCTTGCTTTATGCTGCTCAAATTAATATATTTACATGGACAAAGGAAGAAAAGAGTGTGGCTGTTTGTGTATAACCCACACCTTCAGAAGAAATGCTCCAAATAATCCGGGATAACAACCATATTATGAGAATCAAGAGGCCTTCATACAGTAATGTGTAGTGTTACAATTTCAGCACTGCGGAGAGATTAATATGTAGACATATTAGCCATGTGGGATAAGAGGTTCTTACTCTAATCTTGCCCTGTACAAAGCTGGTGATGTCCTCGCTGGAGTCAAACACAGAGAGCGTCCTCATGATGTTCTGTTGCAGCCACTCCCAGTGCTGAACAATTTCCTCCTTTGTGACACCTGACCCCATGTCAAGAGAGAAAAAAACATTAGAAAAACACAACTGTCTTTGACTTAAATGTAACTTTACTAGTACTGCTCTAGTAATTCTAGTAATCCAGAATGAGATTGAAATATAGTAACATACCACATGCTATGGACCAATACACCTGAGAGTCAGGTGTGTGGTGCAGAATGCGGTACGGAGCGACTTTGGATGTGGAGTCCAACACGGTGTCCAGAGTTCCCACGAGGAGGCCTGTAATATACAGCGCATTGATATTTTTAACCACCTGCGTCGTATGTGACCTTCAAACATGCAATGCCTGTGAAACATATTGGACATGTATGCATAAAACATAATAATTGATGAATCACGGTCTGTTAATCGATCACGTCAGTGTTAAAAATGGTATTTGGTGATAAATTTGACAGCGTTTGACAGCAACCTGTGCATTGATGAGCATAGAAATGATCCCTCACGCCCTCCGACGGCGCCCCACAAGTGAAATGGGCTAAATCTGTTACCTTTAATAACGTCTCTCTCACATGCCCTCCATGAATTATTAACAAGGTAGCAGTGAAACCACAGTCATGCACTACATCAGCATTATACCAACCTGCCTGCCGAGCATCGACCAGCCCTCCACATGCTCTGCTTTAAGGACTTAAAGGATCAAACGTGGTTCACATCATCTATGTTCGCATCAGTGTGGAACAACTTCACACAGTGGAGAAACACATGAAAGATAGATAGAGAGATGCTTTGGACATAAAAGGTCTTGTGCTGCAGAGAGAATTCAAGCGCATCAGGCCTGGTACCATCAGGTAGTATTTAACCTCCACGGCTGTTACAAATCCCCAAAAGGACACTGCTCCTTTTGTCTCCAGTCAGAACAACAATCATTATCACTTACTATGTTCTAATTACCGTGCTGCGGTCCCACAGATGCATGTGGTTAGAAGCTGTAGGTTACAACCGCTGGCGGTAGTATAGGCACCACGTGACAATGTTTTTTAGACATCAGTCAGTGAACAATGTCATGCAGTCAGCTGGTTGCAAGGTTGTTTCTGCATGACAAACACACTCGGGGTTCGGTTGGAACCGAGGGTCTGAGGGTGCGCGCTCCAAAGAGAAGGCCTCATGAGCGAACACGTTATTCTTCTTATTGGCAACTGGTTACTTGGGAAAATGCACCACTCTTCCCTAAAACTGCTAGGTGTGTTAGAGTTTACTGTACTCCCAAGAGGAAGTACTACCAACAGCTTTAATATACATTTTGAGGTGTGAAATTCAATCCAATTTAGAATAATCCGTTACCGAGGCTAAAAGAATCAGATCAGTGTGTCTGATAACTACACTGATGGTCAAGTTATATATAGTGTGTGGTTTTGTCAGATATTTATATGCCACAAGTCCATCGCAAGAAAAACATGGAAAGCTCGACAATAGATGCAATTATTGGTAATGAGGAAATTCATCAACAATCTATTTAATTAACATGTATTTTAATGACATTCACATGTCACATGTCACTGTAAATATAATAGGTTTAGCATTTGAACTTTTAGTAGTTATTGACTGTAATCAACAGGCCTATTGAAAACACCATTACTTGTCAAAGCACTGACATAAACCACATTCAACAACTCAACTAAGCATCAATGTCTCACATTCATTGTTCAGGAAGTAGCCGGCTCCTGACATCCTAAATAATGTCTAACCTCGTGGAGAAAGTTGTGCACATCTTCACAAACTGACTAAACTTGGGCGAAACAACAAAGTGGAAATGTCCCCTTCAGAGCGACTGGTCAAACATCTGCATATTGTCATGACGTAGCTACTCCGAAATCCACGATTGTGTTTTCGTCACCCAGTAATGCGCCTTGACTCCCGATCTCACAACAACGGCACAAAGTTCACCCACGACCTCACCTCTTTTTTACGAGGTTACCACCTTGTCATCGATAGTAACGAGCGCAAAGGGGCCAAGGCACCGGCACGTACACTCACAAGCACAGCGAAACAGAATGGAGTCACGCAGGCTGCCATGACAACACGGGAAAGCAGCTGTCTCGTTCGCCTCGTACCTGTTGCCATGAGGACGCTATTCCGCCCCGCGCGGCGCGGACGCCGCTACGTCAGCTCATGCCGACGTATGGCGAGTTTAACCCGTTCGCAACTTGTTTAGTTGAGACGTGTGTGTCGGCGACGCCGAAAGCGGCTGTAACCGACACACACGCGCGCGCGAGGAGGTCGAGGACGCAGCCGCTGACGTTACCTGTCAAACCGCCTCCGCCGTCTCCGTAACCGCGTCTCCTTTGCAGTACGAAGTATTCGTTGTCGTCTTCCGTGACCCACAGTTTGAACGCGTTCTTCAGCAGAATCTCATCGGGTTTGAGCCACATGTTTCAACTGTCATGGAGTTACGGATCCGCCTGGCATGTCCCGGTTGCCTGTAACGTTGCCCCGCATCAAACCCGGGGGCATTTGTTTGTGTCCGAATCCCTCCCTTCCCACGTCGACAAGAAATGCTACCAGAGCCGCAATGCATTCTGGGATTGTAGTTTCTGAGGAGAAGGCGGTTCTCCGGGTAGCAAAAAAACTACTGAATAACTGATTAATTTATTAATTATTTGTCATTATTATGATATCATGTATTATTATGACACGATATCATTATTTATATTATTATTATTATAATGTTATTATATTATTATAATCATATAATAATTATATATTATAATTATAAATATATATATATATATATATATATATATATATATATATATATATATAGCTACAAAAAATAATAAATGTGCATGCTTCATCTTAAGTTTTCCCTATTTACTGATATTTCTAGTGTTGATGTTTGTATTTGAATTATATTTCTCTTTGTAAATTGTTATTTCAATGAACTGGTAACAGTGTTTGCTTTGCAACCATTCTTGGGTGGTTATGTGGCTGTACTAATATCGTACATTAAAATATGTATCTCTGTGTCTCACGCACAGAGGCCCAACAGGCCATAGCACAGCGTCCCCTAATCCGAAGCATCCTATCCTATGCCGATCAACACCCATATCTAAATTATCATGTTTATCGGTTTGGTTGTCTGTGTGATATTTGAGCTATGAGCTTATTATTTATGACACATCTAAAGGTGGAGATCGAGTGCTTTCAAAAATGTAAAAACAAAGTATGTGGTTGTGGAACTCTATTTGGGCTGTAAAATGTAATCATTGCTTCATTCAAAGAAACAAATGCAACATGATGGCTGATTCATATGCAGGAAGTGAGTGCGATGATTCTTCCAATGGATCAGCAGTATAAATAGATTGAAATCCTTTACCATTGATGGCATAAGTGTCTTGCAGCACCATGTTGACATGGTGAATTAAATGCACAGACAAAAGGTTACAGTTGATTTTTATGTTACATGATACTAAAGTTTCTTAAGCTACACAATCTCGTCTTCCAAAACAAATGTGACTATTGATCTTACAACAAGTAAGATCTCTGTGGGGGAAATCTCTCCCCAAAACACAGGAACTAAAGTGTAGAAATATGCTCTCACTCACTGATTTACGAGGTTGAGGTTGGGGTCCTGTGCAGTGGAATGTTACAATACTATTGTGTGCTGTTTGAATCCCTTAATTGGGAAAAATGGGCCTGTGCAGCATGAAAAAAAGCATCCCAACTATGTGTACATGTTTTGGACCATGTACTGTGTAAGAAAGCAAGAACAAAAAGCAGCTCTTGGAAATGGCAATCCCCGCTCAACAGTCAAGTTTATGTGGAACTGATTGTGTGAGACACAATTTTAAACAATCATCATGAGCTTCTGCATTTTGTTTTCATTTCTTTGCTTTTTTTCCTGTCTTTTTAAACACATTCCACCGACGACGCGCCCTTTAAAATTGAACATTGAACATATTTAAGGGAGACTCTAGTGGCCTACTGGATTTAATTGAAGGAAAACTGACGACTGAACGCTGTTTGCAAAATGAATCAGTAGTAAACACAGTTCAACAAAAGAAATATCAGAACGGTTGACCGTTACTCAATTTACACCCAATTATTGTTAAAATATGCAAGTGTTGTTGCTGCCACCAGGTGGCTCAGGAGTGATTTCTTATAGGTTTCAAATCTACCGAGTCTACAACTCTTTGGAATACCAAAGGGCATTAGCAGCTTGAACACAAAACAATTTTCATCATATTTACGCAGACCACTTCTGTTGCAGAAGACAACATAATGCAATATATATTATATATATATATATATATATATATATATATATATATAGCTACAAAAAATAATAAATGTGCATGCTTCATCTTAAGTTTTCCCTATTTACTGATATTTCTAGTGTTGATGTTTGTATTTGAATTATATTTCTCTTTGTAAATTGTTATTTCAATGAACTGGTAACAGTGTTTGCTTTGCAACCATTCTTGGGTGGTTATGTGGCTGTACTAATATCGTACATTAAAATATGTATCTCTGTGTCTCACGCACAGAGGCCCAACAGGCCATAGCACAGCGTCCCCTAATCCGAAGCATCCTATCCTATGCCGATCAACACCCATATCTAAATTATCATGTTTATATATATATATATATATATATATATATATATATATATATATATGTATCTTCTTTTGTGAGCAACGATCGGAGAGTGAGACAATGTTTATTATAGTATCATTTGTAAAATGCCATATTTGTAAATTGGGACTTCAAAAAATCAACATTTTTAAACCAATGTAAACCCATTCGCATTAACATATATACACAAACCATTACCGTGCATTTGCCCTACACCTACCAAATTCATTTTGTAGTGTGCACATACTATGTAAAACCATTTTATTCTATTACCTCAGGCGTTTTGAATGAATATATTTAAGGTAAAGCCTTATTACGTTGCCATGTGTTTTACACGAATTTGGTATTTACAGAACCTCGTATTCTTTCTCTCTTCTTCAAAACACACGAGTTTTTAATTCTCCGTCTATTCTCGTTAAAACGTGCTGTGTGTTAAACGCACCGTAGAGGGCAGTAGTAGCACATTGTGGCCGCTTTTAATCCGTAGAAATGTCAAGAAGAAGAATTGGACTCACGACACCAACCAAAGACCGTTGAAGGAAAGATGTGTCATGGCTGAGACTCGCTGTAACAGCCTTTCATACAGAGTTTCACTTTTTAATAACAAAAAAAAAAGTTAACTATCTGGCTGTTGAATATAGGATCAGCATCATAATATGACGCATAATAACACACAAAAAAACAGCAAAAACATATTACGGCCCACACCGTCACTCATATCATCGGCGTCGCCATCTTTCCTCCAATGCTGTTATGCCATTTATCTTTCTGGGGAGGGACCAATCTCACACGCTCAAAGAGTCTTTAAAATTACCCATGACCCCCTTGAAACGTATGACCTGTCTCCCGTGTCTGGCCTTGGCTCGTAACGCGGTGCTGCTGTCTGTCAGTGCCTGCTGGGTTTACGACTTAAATCAACGTCAGGCTACTTTTCGTGTCGGACCGGTCGGCTGGTGAACTGGGCGCTGTTCCAGCGGAGCTGAGCCACAATGCTGAAATGTAGAACAGTGTGGAGAACGCTTGCACCGCTAGCTAGAACCTCCTCGACTGTGTGCCGGCAGAACGCGAGGAGAGCAGGTGAGTTGAGTAACTCCACGTTACGCAGAGCAACTCCGCGTCCTCTTGCCAGCTCCCCTCGAAAGACACATTTATTGTAGCGTATCGTCGCGGAATGTCAGCGATTTGTTCAGTTACAACGGGGCACCTTCTTTAATGCACCCGTCTCGATATGTTGACCTTCGAGTGCTAACGGCAACTGAGCAAATCAGCTAACGGCAACTAGCAGAAGTCGGTGGCATTTTGACGCGTTCAGTTCCACGGTGACACCGAGAGTCACGTAGACGTTAGATTCCCTCAGCACGAGCCACGCTGTCGCTCTGCGCGGTGTCCTGTTCATCGGTTCAACGCACACTAAGGGAGAGGAGGACAGACATGTCAAACGAGAGAAGTTGGTCGGGATTCGCCTTTCACGGCTCAACCAAACGTTAAGCTCTTAAACATCAAGCCAATTTAACAAGCGCGAAGATTCACGAGCTAACGTGGCTGCGAAATGTGACATTCATTCATTCATTATGGGAGGAATGTCAAGCTTATGATGTCTTATGGAGATGCGCAATTATCTTGGAGAGATCAGCATACTTGTACGAGTAAGACGTATACGACTTATACGAGACGTGTTCTGTAAAAATATCCAGCAGCTTTGCACAAACTGTGGAAACACAACCAAGCACGTCCTTCACGAGCTGAATTCACCATAGAAAAGACATGTAGTGTCCTGCTTGGTACATGCTGCCCCGATGATGTTGTTGTTGTTGTTGTCTGGCCATATATCGTGTGAGATGTTATGATCAATCAATATATATAATTTGCTTACCCTGTGGCTAGTGGGTTTTCCAGTTACTAGCCACTGAGCAAGTTCTTTCACAATTTTGTTGATGGGAAATTGAGTTTAATTTGATTAAAGATGATAACAGTTTGCTACAATTTGCTTGAATAATTCGATTTACAGTATTTTTAAATGTAAATGACTATTGTAAACACCCAAATCAAGACTACATCAAATGTATTTGTGCAGTCACCAAATCTCTTATTATTGTGTAAAGCTAATTTTGTAATAGACCTGAACACAACACTTTGTTGTCTTTGTCTGTTTAGTCACATTGCTTTAGACATGAAAGTTTCATGGTCCTTTTTATTGTTTCCACTGTGAAATTGGTTTCACTGCCGAACGTCCTACAACCAGTGCATGATTATTTATAATCCTTTATTAAACCCACATGGGGAAATTATTCTCTGCATTTTACCCATCCTTAGTAATTAAGGAGCAGTGTGCTGCTGTGAAGCACTGGAGCTTCAGTGTCTTGCTCAAGGACACTGAGACGTGCAAACAATGGAGAGATCCAACCACACTGTAGAACATCACAGCCCTGTTTAATTCCGTCCACTTCTTCTCTTTAACTCAAAGAGCCCTGACAAATTTTAAGTTTGAAATTAACTGTTCAAGCCAAATCTTGATTTACATTGAACTTACGTAATGCTTTGTGTTGACTTATTCTAGCATTAATAAAATGAAAAAAAATAATGGAGTAACAAAATGTCGTTATTTCAATAAAAATTCAGCATGGACCATTTTGTTACATATTTGTTGGGGCACTGGGGCCCGAACATTTTTCTTCCTTCGAAGTGTGGCCCAGCAGAAAAAGTTTGAGAACCACTGCTTTAGATAATAAGAACTGCCCAATTCTCCCTTCGTTCGGCAGGTTCGTTGGGTGCTAATGTCAAGCCCTGGCTGCAACCAACCTTCACCAACCAAAGTGCATCTCCACCCGTGCACCGTTTGTAATGTCTTACCGTACTCAACCCTGCAGGATTGAGAAATTGATGTCTGACTTTGGTTTGCTTTTGTGACCGACATCAATGTGTTTGACTAAATCGAATGGGCGTGACTCATCAAATTTCCTTTTTTTTTTCTCCCCAGGGTTAAACAATGGCAGACTACCCGCATGTGTACCTGCAGCTCACATGTCCACAGCGCCTGCAGGGGGAGGAAGAGAAAACCAGCTGTACGTTCTTCTGGTCGGAGCAACCTGCGTTGGTGGTGCAATATATGTGCGTACGCTTAGTCTGTCAGAACACGCAGTGCAAGTAATTCGTTGCAAGTCGTTAAAGTATCAATGGCTGAAAACTGTTCTGTTGTCACAGGCGTACCGAACTGTCAAGGGAGACAGCCAAAGATATCAGGACCGCATTGACGAAATCTCATCCAGACCTCTAAAAACATTCACAGAAGAACCAGCCACACCCACCCAGTCAGAGCCTCCCGGTGAGCGGATCAATCAGCGGATTTTAGGGATAATGAGTCTTTTACCTTTTCACTGCCGTACAATATTTGAGCAGAACCACAGCCTTCCTCTGTGACTTGTTTTAAATCCTGATCCATTCAGAGTCTTTTTGTGATTAGTATTTTTTTTTGTTTTAGCTGTGGAAGCCACTGAGGCAGAGTGGGATCGATTCACATCTGATTGTAGTAGATATTTTTAGATCAAATTCCAACTCTGTTAATGAGTTGATAGGAAGGAACACTTCACCGTAATATATTCACCGCGATGAAGAAAGAGCCAGTTGTAAGCTATAAAATTCTTAACGCCTTTGGCCATCATTCAAGAACAATCCATATGAACAAATTCACCTATTTCCATTTATATTTAATGTTCTTAGTGTTCCAGACTTGCTGTATAAGTGATTTGTGTAATTTGTCTGTTATTCATTGCAATAATGCATTTCATATTCCATTTACTTTGAGTTAAAGAGTTTTACTGCACTTGTTATTTCCCCCCATTCCTTAATTGCGCTGGTGACTCATTTCAAATGACAACAGGACTTGAGCATAGCACATTCAGGGCATGGGGTCAATGTGTGCCTGCTGATAATCTACACACTTCAGTGAGGCTGGGTGTGACGCATTTGTTTTCGCACACTCTATTGTGACTCAACAGTACAAGCCCACCACACAAAAGAGAGTATGAGAATGGAAAGATACGACTATGGTCATGGTGGTTCGTGAGGTCAAATGCCTGCAGAGGATTTACTGTGACGATCTATTGTAGATTGGTTTGAATCACTTTCTTCTAATCCTGTTCTCTTTCCTGTTGATGAAGCCGCACCTTCACCAGCAGAGCCAAGTCCTCCGGCCCCCGATGCTGAAATACTGGCCCCCATTGAAACAGCTGATCTACCCTCAGGTTGTGTGCATACTTTCGTATACCCTCACATGCATGCTTAACATGTGCCTCCTGTATAAACAGTGTTTTTGAACCAAAAAGTGATCTGCAATTATGTGCACTGCACACCCTAATACTACTACCTAGAAGAGAGCATTGGTGACACCAAATTAGGACGTCAGCTTAGTGCAAAAAAGTAGAACACGAGTTATAACTCGACCGGATTTTTAGTTATTCATGTGTGATTGAAGACCAAAGAATAACTAGGAAAATCTTTTGACTAAAGTTGTCATTTCTCTTGGTAAAATCATTTTAGGGAGTCGTCGTGTGTGTGTGTGTGTGTGGCGGGGGGGTCCACACCCTCAGACATTGAACTCCTAGAATTATATAGGGATATAATTTAGTGGGGGGACATCCAAAACTTTACACAGCCAATCCAAATGATTTGAAATGTTAAAGATGCACTTTAATGGTGACGGCAGCGTTTATCCAGGGGGCCCTCTGTGATCTTAACTTGTATTGCCTCCATCCAGAAGTGCGCCTTGATGCACTGTGACTTTTTCCTCTTGTTGCATGCGTTTATTTTTTTTGTTGTATTTGGTGACGCATGCGTCATGCTAAATGTGATCAGTAGGCTTTCTTTTACTTTGCATCCTCTAACCTTGTACAATAACATTTTACAGTTTTGGTATAACGTTGCACCCTCCTTTCCCCTCCTAATACTCAACGTATTTCTCTTGTAGTGGGACTCAGGCATTGGAGTTGTCAGTATTTTCTACAAATATCTTGGTTCCTGTTGTGCTTGTAGTATTTGTGATGTAACATGGTTTGACATTTTCCCTGAATTTGTCAAACTTTGTGAAAGTTTACCGTTGCGTAGCACTCACAATGTTTTCTTTCTACTAATATGATATCATTTTCCTAACTGGAAGCTGCCCTTTTAGAGTAAATTATATGTATTTCCTCAGAATTTCATTCTGTGCTGTGTCTAAGATACAAAACCCCTTTCAGGCTGTTTTCATAAGACGTCTTTCAAACACAAAGGTCCCTGCCAATTAATCCAGAGTGTGGCAAGACAGGTTTGAGTAAAGATTAATTTACACCCCTCTGCGCTTCCCCTTAATGCCACGCGCAGTATCTACGTCTCTGCAAACATTACACACACTTTGGGCAACTTCCACGTGTTATTTTGTGTTTAGTTTTTCCTGCGGAGTGTTCCCAGGGTAAAGCAGGGATCAATGCATGATCGTCCTCCATCTCTGTAATCCCTCCATCCGTCAATCCAAACCTGTAGTGTGGATTGCCTCCACAGCAGATGAGCCGGCGGTAGAAGCGTCCCCACAGGAGGCAGCCGAACCGGCCGCTGCACTAATAGTTGAGGAGGGTAAGATTTGAGAAGAAAGGATACTCCCATTCTCTTACTTTATGTTGTAAATACATCGAGGAGACGTTTGCGCCTTTGCTTTTCCATCCGAGCCTGTGTCTCGTCTTTGCATACTTTAGTAAAGTACCTCTAATGTTTATCGGAGGTAATAATTTAATATTGCCGTTAACAGCTCACAGAGCCTCCCCCTGCAGTCGCTAAGCGCTCTGTCCGACTGGTGCAGGCAGACAGTGTCGTACGTTTACCACGTCGCAGGGTTTCTTTGGTCCTTACTTGTTCAATGCTCCGGTTGTACTAACAGAACCTCCAGCAGCAGAGCCGGCCGAAGCTCGACCGGGAGTTGTGGCAGAGGGTAAGACCGTCGTGCTGCAGAGGGTCAGCAGACAGACACTGATACCTTGTCCCATTTTGTTCATTTCAAATCCCTTTCCTCCTCTTTCTACTTTTAGCATGTTTTGCCATTAACACCTTTCCCCCTGACCGGTTCATGTCTTTTTCACATTGTTTATTATCAGATAACAGTAAAGGTTAATCTCACTCCTATGAGAAGCATGTGTTTCTGTACATCCGTGGACACTCTTCTACCCACCTCCATTCTGAGCTGTTCACATTTCTGGTTTTGAGTTGTTGCAGGTGTCCGTATTTTCCAGATAATATCTTGGCTCATGTGATATTGAATGAAAGTCTTTTGGTCTGACATTTTTCTGTGAATGTGTCATACTTTTTCCCAGTGGTTATTATGTGACATTTTTGTTCATACCTGGAAGTTTCCCTTCGATTTCGCATTTTATTTATTGCTTCTAAGATACTAAAAGTCTTTCCGGCAGAGTTAACAGGAAGGTCTCTGGTGCTTTAACTTCAGTGTGGTGAGACGCCATCCACCACACGCACAAAGGCTACAACCTCTTCAATGGTCTCTACAGTATATACATCTTTGTAGAATTGGATCACAAATTGGGCAGCTTCCAGGTGCTCTGTTAAGTTTGCACGCTCTGCAGAATGTCCCCAGGGTAAGGCAGAGGAAATGCATGGATCCTGATGCTCTTCCCTTTCGATAATCTTTCCAATATTTTTGCGTTAACTCTTCCTGTGGGTGACAGCAGATGAGCCAGTCATAGAAGCGTCCCCCGAGGAGGCAGCAGAACCACCTGTAGTTGAGCCGGGTAGGATTTGAGAGGAATGGTTATTCATTACTCCTGCACTTGTAGGGCACATCCAGGGTTATCTTGTAACTCTTGTAACCACTATACTACCAGAACCGTCGCCCCCCTCTGAGCCGACCCCAGCTGAGCTCACAGAGCCTGTTGCAGACAGCGGTAAGCACAAAGGCTGCGCATGGCGACGTACATTTACCACGTCATAGGGGTTAACGCGTTGTAACGGCTCAATGCTCCGGTGTTACTAACAGAATCTCCAGCAGCAGAAAGCGCCGCCGCCGCCAAGCCGGCTGAACCTCAACTGGAAGCTGTGACAGAGAGTGGTAAGAGCATAGTCGTCCTCTGCTGGAGAGGGGCAGCGGGCTGACTGATGCCTTTTCCCATTTTGTTCATTTTAATTTCACCTTTTTTCCCTTTTACTGGTTTTAACATTATTTTTGACTCATTGCAGCTTTCCTTTTGCCTTCTATGTGTTTTTCACATGGTTTGGGGTCATGTAACGATAATGGTTAATGTCACTCACATGACTTTTTTTTAATTTTCTCTTTTCAGGTGTGTTTGTGTAACTCGTGTTTACTGAAGATCATGCACTGACTCTCCCTTCTCCCCGCTTTTGCTTTTTGCCCTCTCTTGGTCTCCCCTTTACTCCCTCCGGCTTGCTTTTGCTCTCTCGTGCGCACTGCAGGAGACGCGTCCCCCGCCTCTCACAAGGTCTCCTCACACACGCCCTACCTCCTCATCGGTGGAGGCACCGCCTCTTTCGCTGCTGCCCGGTCCATTCGAGCCAGGGACCCCGGTGCCAGGGTCAGCTTTCATCTTGGCCTGTCTGTCTTTGACCGTAACATTTATTAGTTGTCTCCTGTGCTGTATATGACTTTTTAAAAATTGTTCTCACCAGGTATTAATTGTGACCGACGAGCTGGTCCCGCCATACATGAGGCCCCCTCTTTCTAAGGAACTGTGGTTCTCAGATGATCCCAGTGTGACGGAAACTCTGCGTTTCAAACAGTGGAACGGAAAGGAAAGGAGGTGTGTTTAGTGCAGTTCATGTCCTACGAAAGGTCTCAACAGTTGTCTCTCTACCAGAATACGGGGCTATTACATAGAGTAAACAGTTCTCCCGTGACCAAGGCTGGCGGTATGGCCAAAAATTAATTCACAGTATTTTTAATTTTTTAGATTCTGGCAGTGCATCACCGTACGTTTTTTTTTTTTTCCTTTTCTCGTCTAAATTCATTCATTCATTCATTCATTAACACGGCAGTAGTGAACAGCTGTTGGTGTTGCCTCCCATTTGTCTTCACCTACGTTCCCCATGGTCCTAAAGTCCCTCCATGTTCAGCTTCTCTTCACAGTCTATGTACCAACGCACGTAATCGCATATACTCTTCGTATTCCAACACATGCTTTCTGCTGAGGCGATGGAGTAAATTGCTAGTGTTGCCATCAGAGGTGATAACAGCGACTCAACAAACTTTGCAATCAATTGTTTTCTAACTTAATTGTTATAAAGTTATAACCACGACTCTATCTCAATCCGCGTAAGACAAGGAGCTCTGATTATGTTCTAAAAGGAAAAATCTGTGAAGTGTTTTTTCAACCTAATATTGTCATAATACCAGCAAATTATGACTTTTGGCTGCTTTTCTGCCTAATTGTTGGTAAACAATATGTTTTTTTATAGAAGAATGTTTAATTCTTGTTTATTTGTCAGTATCTACTTCCAGCCACCATCCTTCTACATAAATGCAGAAGAATTGGGAAGTGCAGAAAATGGTGGAGTGGCAGTTCTCACTGGCAAAAAGGTTGTTTTCTATTTGTTTTATCTTTAACAGTCAGACACTGAATGTGCGGATGTCCAATAAACAACAGTAGTATTGATTGAATGTATTTACTAGAGTGGTAATTTCATTGGCTGATGATGATGATTTAATCTATTTCAGGTGGTTCACATGGATGTGAGAGGAAACAAAATAAAACTCGACGATGACACTGAGATTTCATATGACAAGTGTTTGATTGCTACAGGTAAGCCTCTTTCAAATGAAGGCATTACCGCGTGCGGTTCAAACTTGGTGGAAGCTGATTTGCGGTGTTTGCTCTCAGGCGGCGTGCCAAGAAATCTTCAGGTCATTGAACGGGCAGGCGAAGAGGTGATGAAGAGGACGACGTTGTTCCGCAAGGTCAGTGTTTGGCCACAAGAGGGCGACAGCCTTCCTTCACTTTCTAGCTGATGAAACAAAACCCTAAAAAAAAAGTGACATATTTGACAATTGGAGTAAGAGGGAATTTATGACATTCTGTAGATGACAATATTTTTGGCGGTGTTAAATAAAAAAACAAACCTGAGTAAGTCAGTATTACATGGCGTTTGCCTCAAAAACAATGCAAAGTTGAGCTTTTATGCTGAAGTCATGTAAACAATATGCAATACAGATATTTTGCCCAGTTGCTCCAATGGCAATACGTGTGTGCAATGTTTTTATTTTACTGCCATTATAAACCCTTCATTGTTGCCACAAATGTGTTGCATCGCTCCCAAAAACAATGTCCCTTTTCATATTAATGCTGTTCTCTTCCACAGGTCGAGGACTTCAAATCATTGGATAAAGTCTCCAGAAACGTCAAGTCCATCACTATCATTGGTGGCGGCTTCTTGGGCAGCGAGCTGGCGTGTGCCCTCGGCAGGAGATGTAAGACTGGACAGAATGGAGGAAAATGCCTTTGTTCCCCCGTTGCACCACTCAGCTTCTTTCTCCTCCTTTACAGCAACGGAGAGCGACCTCGAGGTGATACAGATGTACCCTGAGAAGGGCAACATGGGGAAAGTTTTGCCTGAGTACCTAAGCAACTGGACGACAGAAAAAGTCAAGAAAGGTTAACGACCGTTTTGATCCTCATCACGCCGTCAAATCGACTTGAACATCACAACAACATACAGACTTTTTTTATTTTTTAATCTCTTTTCTTTGTTTTTTTACGTACTCTCACAATAACTGTTTATCATGCATGTTCCTCTCTATCCCTGATCAACTACAAACAATAACACTATTATTAATGTTATTAATCAACCAAATCTACATTTCAAATCCTTACTAGTCCTTCTTCTAACACAGTTTCACACCTTCCTTATGATACTTTTGCCTTCCAGAGGGTGTGAAAATCATCTCCGAAGCTTTGGTAAAATCTGTGGTCAGCAAAGATGATAAATTAGAAATCCAACTGAAGGACGGACGACTGGTAGGTCCAGGTTTATTTCTTTTTGTGTAATTCAGCAAATGTCTCCGCAGTTACTGATGATCTTGTGCTTCACCTTGTAGGTGAAAACTGACCACATCGTTGCAGCTGTTGGCCTCGAGCCCAATGTTGACCTTGCTAAGTCAGCAGGTCTGGAGGTGGACTCTGACTTTGGGGGCTTTCGAGTCAATGCGGAGCTGCAAGCTAGATCCAATATTTGGGTGGTAAGTTCATGTTGATAAGGTAGTAGTCGATAACAACACTCAACCGGATTTCTACGTTTTTGTTTTTTTAATTAAAGAACATATACACTTAATACAGTGTGAAACTTGTTATTCACTGTGTCAGCAATTTTAGCTGTGCTGTTTTTTTTAATGCACCATATGTCAACTGTGCCGAGGCAAAAGGAAGCTAATTTTCATTGAGTCAATGGTTGTTGGTGAAATGAATCCCCCTCGTATAATGTTGACTGGTCTAGAGCCACACGTAAGGTTTCATAAATGTATGCCTTTCACTTCTTTCCGTCATATCTTTCATTACAGCGCCCCCTTATGTAAACATGTGGCATGGCGCCTCTGTAGCCGTGTAACGCAACCGTAATAAAGTCTAAAGTACTTTGCCATTTTAATCCATCCCACATATCCTCCATCCCTCCCGTCTGGAATCAGGCAGGAGATGCTGCGTGTTTCTATGACATCAGACTGGGCCGCAGGCGAGTGGAGCACCACGACCACGCCGTCGTGAGCGGGCGACTGGCTGGAGAGAACATGACCGGAGCCAACAAACCCTACTGGCATCAGTCCATGTTCTGGTGGGTATCGGGGGAACTTTCTGTCTCCTGCTCAGGACCCTGACCCCCGTGTTCCAGCGTAAACGAGCGCTGTAGCTGCAAGTCGTTAAAAACCAGCTTGAAATGAAGGGAAACATTTGTGAGGGCGATGGACCGTCTGAATTATTCATTGTGTAGGTCCACATTCAATGACACATTTAATAACCCTTTTAAAGAAAATATCCTACCAGTTATTTGGGGCTTTGCTGAAGATTGAACTAGCGTGCAGCATGCGCCCCACATTACACAGATGAACGCCGCGTCTGCTTGTTTTTAGCAGCTGGTGAAATATGGCACGCCGCTGTCAACGTGGGCGCGCTGCAGTCCGAAAAAAACCCAAACTGTTGTGACTCAGACGCTAGCAGATGTTGTCAGATGATATGTTGCTGTTCCCATGAATGCCTGCAGCATCGGGCTGTTGTGATGCTCCTCGGCACACCACGTCATAATTATGTGGCACTGGTCAGTTGGTTTGCCTGGTTCCTGTTTAAAGGGCAGTTTCTGCATCCTGTTTGGCTTTTCCCGTTTTACGAGCAGTAACAATTTCAGAAGAAGAAGAAGATGGTATCCTTTATTAATCCTTGTGGGGAAATGATCCCACCGCGCACAGTGGGAGCAGTGTGCCGGCGCCTGGGAAGCAGTTGGGGTTTGCTGTCTTGCTCAAGGACACTTTGACACATTGAACATGGAGCAGCCTGGGTTCGAACCACCAACAGCGGTTTCCGGCGCACCGGTATTTTATTTATTTTATACTGGTATTGACAGTCTGCTGTCAGTAACGATCCTGAACCGGCCGCGGGCCCAAAGTGTTAACACTGCAGACTGCGTCGCCGCGTCTCCGTGTGTTGGCTGTCAGACTAATGGAAAGAGACACACACGCACACACACACACACACACACACACAGCTGACTGATTATCTATTTAATGGCTGAATATTTAGCTGATTTTGACATGGCGTCGATGCAATGTGAGATTTCAGACAAACAAACCGTTTTAGGGGCTCGGTAAGAATAAACGCTTTGCTTTCCATCTCCTCGTCGTAAGTAAATTGATTGATGGTGACATTTGGAAGTTTCCAAGTGAAACCACGTAGTGTAGAAGCTCTCTGGGCAAAATTGCCACAGCATGTAGTTTTGTTAAAGTCATTTCACTGTGACCTCACATCAGCTTGAAAGTCATCAGGTGGGAGGGGTGGGGGGGGTCCACTAATAAGTCCCCTCTCAGCAACGTTTGTTTTGTGTTCATGAGTGTCTGTGTGTTTTAGAATGGGACCTGTGTGAGGTGTACCGTGTTGACTGTAAAGTTCGCATGGGAGGAGCAACTATTTCCAATAGAATGTAGCAGAATTCTGCTTTTTCCTTGAAAAAATAGTCAAAACAATCCTGCGTTTTTTTTCCAGCAGCAGTGTCGATCTGTATTGGCTCAATCTTTGAACCCATCTGACACAGATTGGGTGTTCTGGTGTGAACAGATGAATGCAGATAAATAAATTATAGTCTTACACTGATAGTCGATGGGTTCTGAGATCCTTTCTTGGCCAAAACGTTCTGCCTCTTTTGCTCTCTACGTCTATCTCTATCTTTTAACTGCGTGGAGCCAAAGCTTGCTCCAACATGATAAAGCGTTTTTTAGCTTATTTTTTCAATAGAACCTCTTGTACGGCGCACAAAATATGTCTCTGGAAAAAGACTGTTTCTTGCTTTGCATCCAATCACTCCCTCATCGTGCCGTCCGACCCGTTGGTTTTCCACAGGAGCGACCTGGGTCCAGATGTGGGCTACGAGGCCATCGGGATCGTCGACAGCAGCCTACCGACAGTCGGCGTGTTCGCCAAAGCCACGGCCAAGGATACGCCCAAAGCTGCGACGGAGGAGTCCGGTATTCATCACATCTCGACCCTACCAAGCAGCGAGTCGACGACACATTCGAGGCGGAAGCCTTGGATCGCCGTCTTACCTGGTGTGTTATTTCATTAATTTTTTATTCACAGGAACCGGGATCCGGTCAGAAAGCGAAACCGAGCACACTGCTTCCAGCCCGGTGGCCTCTTCAGCGCCATCTCCCACCGGCGTGCAGCATAAAGACGAGTACGGAAAGGGAGTCATCTTCTACCTGAGGGACAAGGTGGTGGTGGGCATCATCCTGTGGAACGTGTTCAACAGGATGCCCATCGCAAGGAAGGTATGAGACTCGACGCCAGAAGAATGGTTTCGTTTTGAAATGTAGATTTTTGTTAATGTGACTTGTGTTGTTGTTTGTAGATTATCAAGGACGGAGAGGAACATGCAGATCTGAACGAAGTGGCGAAACTGTTCAACATCCATGACGATTAGGAGGCCGGTGGCCGGCACTGAGTGAGGACGAGCTTCACGTGGAGACTGAACTTTGGTTGAGTCTTTAAGACGACTGATCATACAAAGAAAATGGGAGGATTCATGTAAATGTCTGAGATATTTTTCATATTTGCATTATGTATCTGCTGCACCTGCTTGTGTTTGTTTCTTATTTTCTGTTTATGGAAAATTGTCAGATTTTGCTCATCTTTTAGAAAATCACGGTCGGGATGTGATTGTCCTTCTGCTTTTCCACACCAGGCTATAAAATGCTCAACATGGATGTTTGTTTTCCTCTGTGTGATCAGTGCAGCTCGTCGAGAGAAGCTGCAATGCAATAAAGGCTATTTTTAAATTGGAGTGATCCAATTAGTTTCATTTGGCTCCTAGATATTATCACTGTTCAATGATGACTACTTATTTCTTGCAACTGCATGCTGAGCTGTGCTGAGTCTGTGTGGTTAAAGTCTGTGGGGTTAAGCACATCTGTCCTGAAGCATTTTAACGGTTGAGTACTGCTCGCCAATCGTACTTTGGCCGTTGGACCTTTTTTTTCCCCTTCACATTGTGTCCGGTATGTTACAGGTCTAAGCTCAGCTAAAAAGCCTTTTTGTATAAAGGGCATCTGCCAAGTGCATTGTACAAATACGATGTAATCAAGCAAAGTCAATGTGCACTCTTAACAAGAACCACATTAAAATGGAGCTTGGCCTACTTAATCCTGTCCGGAGGTAAAAATGTTCAAGCATGCGGAAAAAATGGTCTTATTTTTCTGCTGTGGGCTTCCTGTTATTAGGATTGCGTTCATGTTCTGCGTTCTCACACATTTCTTATCCTATTTGACACAGTGGGCTCCAGAGCCAAGTGTGGAATGGCCTTTCCAGTGAGGCGAAACACGTGCAGCCATAACGTCCCATCGCTTTTCTTCGACATCAATTTTGCATGAGTAGATGGCTGAACCGCCTCCCCCTCTGTATGGAGGAATAAACACGAGTTTCCACATTCATATTTGATTTTGCTTGGCGATTTGGAAATGAAATAATTAGACCAGAAACGATGGACTGCTCGGCTATAGATAAATAACCTCTGGACGTGTACTGTGACACTTCCCGAAACATGTTACACTGAGTTAATTGGACAGTTCTGCCCTCATGCCAGCGTTCTCTGGAATGCAACAACAATTCCTTCTGCTTCTTTTCCCTTGTCTTCTGTCTCTAGTCTCTCAGAATGCTCATAATTTCAGGAAATTTAGTTTTGATTTTAAATGGTCTCCCAAATATCAGTGAAAGACATTTGCTCCATTGGACATTCTGTACTGATGGAACTGGCTTCTCTATTTATCACCATAAAAATCAGCCACAGACCAACGTGGAAGATATCGGTAATTCAAGTTTCTCTTGGATATGAAAAAATGCTGAAATACATGTTTTTCTTTTAAAATATATATATTTTTTAATAGTTTTGTTTGCAGCGAATATAGCTGCTAATCTGATGCCTCGGGGGGGGGAGAAGCAGTGTGGGCCGCTCTTCTCTGGAAAGGGTCGTGTCTCTTTAAATATGCTCACAGGAATACTTTGAACATGCATATGGCCATAAAAAAGAGATGAAGCTTGAAGTCGTCCACACAAACAGGCATTTTGAATTATACAGCAGCAGCTTCCTGTATTTTACACTTGCAGAGAGGGAGGGAGGCTCAGCGGAGTCCAGACGGCGGAGCCCGACTGGAGGAGCAACAACAAGTTTCTAGCATCTCTGCTTCTATTTTCTTTTTCAGTTCTTCCCTCCAATCTATTGTTTCTCCAAAGTAAGAATGCTGTTTTACATTGTGTGTCTGCTGTGGACGTCATCTGTCATATTTCTGCAATGCAGGTAAGTTGTACTTCTGTCTTTGAGAAATCAATAATTTTCTGTTTGGTTAGCCATTTTGACATTATATCAGTGCATGTTTTAAAATTATTTTATTTTAAAGGTTAGAAATACACAAGAATGTATAATTCGCTATTACGACATTAGACGTTCTCGGTCGTTATTTGACCAAAGGGCACATCAACATTATCGTTCTCTTGGAATTGTATGCATTGAATAGGATTTATCTTTAATTGAATGGCAACAATTAACTGACATTTTGAGTTAACGCAAGATGCCGGATTGACAGAACGGGAAAAAAGAAGCTTGATTTAAGGTTATAAAATGTCAGAACTGTGTATACACATGTTTACATACACACTACTTCTAAGTAAATACTTCTAATCTGAAGTGCACTGACTATTTCACATTCAATTATTATTAAGCAGCCGGTACAGTTTAATAAAATGCTTTCCTAAAGAAGAATTGAAGGTGTTAAATTAATAAAATATCTGCATATCCAGAGTAGATTAAGAACACGACTGTTGTTCTGGGTCTGAACCACCTGGATAAAATGCACTAATTGTAAGTAGCTTTGGATAAAAGCATCAGCTAAATGTAAAGTAGAAGGTCCCTTCCTGTGGCAGGTCTGTGCTCTGTAAGGACATGAAGCTCCCCAGCCGGGCGGCCAAGCCCCCCTCTCCATCGGACTTCCTGGACAAACTGATGGGACGCACATCTGGCTACGACGCTCGCATCCGACCCAACTTCAAAGGTAACGCGCCGTGTGGCGTGCAGAGGGAGGAGCTCCTCGGGTGGGGCAGGTGTGGGGAAAGTGCACGTTTGCATACCGATTTGGGCAGCGAAGTGGCACAAATCATTCACAGATGGGTCAGAAGACAGAGGTCCCGCAGGCCAACAGGTTTTCACACAGGAGCCCTTTTTGTTGTTGTTGTTGCTGTTGTTATGCTGACCTGCAGCCGTAGACTTCTCTTTCATATTTGTCAGAAAACATGCACTTACCCCACTTGGGACCATCTCAGTCCGACCTTGATCTGAGAGAAGCCAGCAGACTCTCTCCGACGTTCTCCTCCCTCGGCCTCCGGGGGTCGTGTTCCATATATATTTCATTCTTGCTCCACATCTTTGCCAGTGCATACAAGGTAAATCACGGTGCATTATCTATAAATACAGTAATGTAACGGAAGAAGGATTAATAAATGATCGCCTCTCAGGAAACAAGGGCCTGAAATATTTAAAGTTCCGGTGGGCGACAGATGGACTATCTAGCAACGAGAACGTGGTGGAAATGTCACCGCGATTTCAAGGAGATCTTTGATGAGTCTATTCATCGGGACAGAGCATGGCACATTGTGAAGAGAACAAGCAGATGTCATTTTGTTCTGCTCTTTTCTGACTTCAATACGTCATGTGACCCCCCCTCACGGAACATCAGTGGTATTTAAGAATTTCAGTGTGACTATAACATGTGTTGACAATCTGTCTCCTAACAGGTCCTCCGGTCAATGTCACCTGTAACATCTTCATCAACAGCTTCGGGTCCATCACTGAAACTACCATGGTAAGGATCTGCATACAGCGGATAGACAAGTGAATATCTGTTGGGTGGGAAAGTTTGACCATCAAATTACAGTGTGAGGAAAATAACACGAGTAATGTAAAAGTGTCACATGTTCGCTGGTTTCCCACAAGGCGGCTTTAGTTTAAGGAGGTCTGTTAAAATGGCACCTTGTGAGGACTTCAGCTAATGCTGTAAACATAATGCCTCAGAAAGTATTCAAGTGTCTTTAGTCAGTTTCTGAATTACATTACGGCTTTCATATTATTGTTGTTTAGTGACAGTTGTTATAGTTGTCATGTGGTATTAATTATTTTTACAGAAGTTAAGCATGTAACTATAGAATGTCAAGCTGCCATTATAGAATGGTGCAGCTTGAAAAGATACAGTTTATAATTTAAACTACCTTACATACTACCTGGCTGGGTGGCGTTATTAATTGTATTTGTTGTATAAAAATGTTGTAATAATACAATCAACAATATCATTATTATGGCGGGTAACTAATAACTAAAGCTATCCAAATGGAGTCTTAAAGAAAGTATTGAGAGGAGGCAATTTTATCAGATGCATCGTACCGCTTGACGCTTCTCCTTCTGTTTGGAAGCATTACTGATGATCCCCAGACAAACTGTTGTTAGATTATGACTAATTGATGACCATTTTGCATTACATAATGTCATCATTTTATCATCCCTCTGTCCCAGTCGAATAAGGGTATTCCTTTATTTATGCGGCCCCAGATAAGTGTTAAGGGATGGACATGTTTTTTTAGACAGACTCTTTTTCTAAATTACCTCTGGGGCGAGCGATCAAATATTAAATGATGACATTACAATCAACGTTATCTGTCTCACTGTTTCTTTTTTTGTGCTTGCACAGTGGTCCTTGCCTGCTGAGACACGCCGCAGTTTCATTTGTGAACACAAAAACACGAGTGAATTAAGATCACATCTTCACCAACACAATCGTGTTATGAAATTGGTGACCACGTTTTCCTCATATACTTGTGTTTTATCTACCTACTCATTGTGATTCCTGCTGCGGCACAACTGCCACTTGTGGCTGTATGTTTTGTTTTAGCCATTCATAACAATTTTAACTTCCAAATGAACTCCAAACTTTAGGACTACCGACTCAACGTATTTCTGAGACAGCAATGGAATGACCCTCGTCTGGCATATAAAGAGTATCCGGATGACTCTCTGGACCTGGACCCGTCCATGTTGGACTCCATTTGGAAACCGGACCTGTTCTTCGCAAATGAAAAGGGAGCAAACTTTCACGAGGTTACAACGGACAACAAACTGCTACGCATATTCCAAAATGGAAATGTCCTCTACAGCATCAGGTGATTACTATTTCTTTCTGAGTAAAGCACCAAAACGTACCTCTATGCGACGTTACGAATCCACTTCCATGCGTTGTCCAATTGCCAACTGAACATGAACTTCCAGTTCTATTACTTGTAGTGTTAACCTCTAAGGATGCACTCTTGCAACATGTTTGTTTCACTCCAGTTCAGTTCAGTTGTCACTGTATTGTACAACACCCACTGGAAATAATAACTGCAGGCTATGCAGAATAAGGTCAGAAATGTGGCACTAAAGCTGCAGTGAATTGTAGCGTAATGGTTTAGAATATAAGAAAGAGGAGGCAAATCCCTATGAGCACATGTGTATATCATGTACTAAATAATCAGTTGCTTTTCTTGTCGTGGAACCTCAAAAGTAACCCCTAAACAAGGGATCAACGTTGTTGTTTTTGTTGGAATGCATTAAGCATTCCAAGTATTGTTCTTCGAATCTTTAATCAACTTCCTCTTCTATTTCTTCCGTGACACAAGTCTCAACTATTTTATTAAAAAAACTGCTTGTTGATATCTATTCTACTTTTTTCATAATCACTGATTATGTTTCACTAGTTCTTCAGTCCATTTCTGAGTTTTACATGAGTGTGTATTGCATTTGTTAGAGTGAGAGCTGGAGAACTAGAGTGTAGAGCAGCATCAGAATCTGGTTAAAAAAATATGGAACTTCTGTCCTCACAGCCAAAGTATACACTTTTGAGGCTTCATTTTTTTGGTTTATTGATGGCATGGTTGTGCTGGTGTCGGTTATGTGGTTATGGAATCCCCCAGTTCTTTAGATTTGGCCTCAGAAGACCGAGAGGGACTTCTTGGGTTTCTCAAAAAAAACATATTTTTTAGATATCTGTTATAATTTTGCGCTAGTGGACACTTGTTTGAGGTGTGGATTCTGTGTAACTCGCTGTCCTGTCTCTGCCCTGTTCAGCAGCTCGTTAATGAACACAGGTGCGCCGTTGCCGTGGATACTCGCACACACACGCTGCAGTATCTCTGTCTGTGACTCAAAGCTGCTCCTATTACCTGATTAGTGGAGTCACATGACGCAGCTATGCTTTCTGTCAACAGACCAACATGATAAAGATACCGGTCGTGAGGTGCACAAAGTTGTGGAGGAAAATATGGGACAAATGTGTCCTTGATGAAAAGCAGCAGTGTCGATGCACGGGGCAATGAAGTCCATAATAAACAAATAAATAGATGTGACTCTTTAGGTCGTCTTCAACAAAAACACGTTACTCCGCCTGTTGTTCTGGAGGTGAATTGCTCTGCAACACACGCAGAACCATGAATTGAAACGAGTGCGTTCCTTTCGCAGTCTTTATCTACATTGACTTCCGTTTTTTACCCAAGCCCGGCCTTCAAAATAAAAGCATCAAACGCCAAACAGGAAATGCATAACAAAATCAACCAAAAAACATGTAATAAAGAAAAAATGCAAAACATTCTTCAATGCTCACAAACTGGGTTAGTTACAGTATTAGTATTACATCTGTTTCTACTGCTATTGATACTAAACCTACTATTACTGCTTCTACCACTAGTACTACTAATACCACAATTACAACTATAACTAATACTACTACTAATATTACTACAAACAATTTAAAACCCCTTTTTATTCATCTCAGCTTTTGTTATTTCTGTATTTTTTTAAATTAATTTAAGCTCCTGCAACTTTTGCATAGAAATTCTATTGAAATTCGGTTTCTCCCATTTCTATATTTTCAGCAGTTCTTTAAAATAATTTCAGCTTTTCTTATGCCAGTATTAATTAAGTTTTAATATTCATTTCGGTATTTATTTGCAATTTTTAAAATTCATTTCAGCTGTTTTCATTTCTGCTTTTTCAACAAATCGATTGAAATTCCTTTCAGCTTCTCCCATTTCTGTATTTTTAGCAATTTCAAATTATTTTCAGCTTTTCTAATATCTGTAATTTCAGCAAATGTATTAAAATTTCCTTCAACTTTCTGTATTTTCAGCAATTTTCTGAAGTTCATTTCAGCTTTCAGCTTTTAGCATTCCAACGCATTTTCACCAGGAAATGCATTTTCTAGTTTATTCCAGTTAGCTTATTTACTTAAGCACTGATAACTGAATTCATTACCTCATTACACCTCATTCTAGTAGCATTGTGCTGTTTCTGTCGCTTTCTTCCAGGCTGACACTTACCCTTTCCTGTCCGATGGATCTAAAAAACTTCCCCATGGACAGCCAGAAGTGTACGATGCAGCTTGAAAGCTGTGAGTGAATCATTGACGGCAGGTTTGAAAACACCACATACAGATTTAGTGATGATTCCTTACGGCACGCCTTCTCCCTGTCTTTCTTCTAGTCGGCTACACCATGAATGATCTCATTTTTGAATGGCTGGATGTGGGAGCAGTGCAGGTGGCCGATGATCTGACGCTCCCTCAGTTCGTGCTAAAAGAGGAGAAAGGCCTTGGCTACTGCACAAAGCATTACAACACAGGTACATTACGGCCGGCCAAGCAACAACCTTGACAGATATACTGTCAATAAACTTCTAATAAGACTGTCAGTTTGCACCTGTATCTCCTCCTGTGGTTAGGTAAATTCACCTGCATTGAGGTCAAATTCTACCTGGAGCGTCAAATGGGCTACTACCTGATCCAGATGTACATCCCCAGCCTGCTCACCGTCATCCTGTCCTGGGTGTCGTTCTGGATCAATATGGATGCGGCTCCGGCCCGAGTGGGACTGGGGATCACCACGGTGCTCACCATGACGACGCAGAGCTCCGGCTCCAGGGCCTCCCTGCCAAAGGTAGGTGCCGCTCTGTGACACTTTTTTTCTAAATATGATATCTGCGCAAAATATATGCTTTTCCTGCAGGTCCCTGCCTGTCAAACGCACGCATGTCCTGTCTTCATGCCCGTTAGGGGCGCGCTCAAGTTCGCCCACAGAGGGCGGGTCTAAGAAGCACTTTAGCGAATTGCTGATTAGATAAATCAATATGTGACATCCAATTTAGCCAATCAGCGTGTTTGAATAGACTCAGCCCGGGCAGATGTTGGCTTTGCCCCAAGCTTGCGCGATCCCTTGTTAGGGACATTCCCGACTTTAATAAGAAAGTCATTGAGAGGTTTTCCACTCAGAAGGACAGAAGAGCAAAATTCCTCTTCAAACAATCATAGACACATTCTGTTAGACATGTTCTAATATATTTATAATTTGTATACTTTTATTTAACACTATTTTTTGTGTTTTGTGTCAAATACATTTTTAATATTAAACTACAAACTATTAATGTGTTTTTGATACCTTTCTGGGTTGTTTTGCTGGATTGCATAACATGCCAGGAACATTTTCCACCAGCTACCACCAACCATGACTACTTCCTGATGTACTACACTAAAATATTTAGCACATACTATATCATATTTTATAAAACGCTGTCTTGACCTACTATACTTTGAATAACATTTCTATGACATTCTATACAATGACTGCTTGTTAAATGTATTTGCTAGTATTTTTAGGACATAGCTTACTGTAATATACTTCTCTGGACACAGAGTTGGTGATTCCGTGTCTCTCATGTCACTGCCCAACACGGCATGAATGCTAATGTTGAGTGAGTGGTTTTCCTGATTTGATTTCCGCGGTGTCGCAGGTGTCCTACGTGAAAGCCATAGACATCTGGATGGCCGTGTGTCTCCTCTTTGTGTTTGCCGCACTGCTGGAGTATGCGGCCGTTAATTTTGTCTCCCGGCAGCACAAGGAGTTCTTCAGACTGCGGAAGAAGCTCAAAGAGCAACAGCGGCAGAGAACTGTGAGTGCAACCGACCCACTCGGCCCCCCCGAGGCTACTGTCACCTGCTATTCCCCGGGCCCGGCTATGCACGAGAACCACAGCTCCGCTGCTTTTTGCACCCCGACCCGGGAAAGGCGATGACCTGTAACAAATTCAAGCCATCATCTCGTTCAACTGTTGTCAACATCTTGCTCGCCCACATGCGGAGAGGAAGATGAGGGAGAAAAAGTCGACCAAACCCTCTTTGAATATAAAGTGTTTCTTAAATGAAGCGTTGTGGCCTTTATAGCTATTTATTCATAAGGACTATCTGCTGCAACTTCAGTTCGGACTAAAGGGAGAGGTGGTGATGGCCTGCTGATGAAGATTTGAAACCCACATGCATTCCACAAAAGTTGTGTCAGTGTGATGATGATGCCGTCGGTTAGACGTGCGTGTGTGTTGTGTTTTCCTCACCAGCAGGCGAGCGGTGACACTAAGGCGAAGGGGAAAAACACGGCAGGGAACAACACTCCTCACGGCAACACAGCGCATCAGTGCGCTGCATGTGCGCGGGTACGTAGCGGCGCCTTGTTCTGTTTGACGCCAACTAATCACCGGCTCTCTTGGAGAGCAGATGTCATTCTGTGCCGTATTTTCCTTCCAGGAGGAGGAGCTGGTGCAGCAGGGTTTACTCTTCCAGAGCTTTGGACTTGCACTGTCAGCAGAAAGTGCGCCGGAGATGGATGCCACGCCGGTCTTCGCCGATTTACCTCCTGGTTTAGGCTTCTATGACATTCGCAGGCGCTTTGTGGATCGGGCCAAAAGGATCGATACGATCGCCCGAGCTGTTTTCCCCATGAGCTTCCTCATGTTTAACGTCCTCTACTGGCTTACCTACAAAGTCCTACGGCACGAAGACCTTCTAGCCAAGCTGTGACAGTAGGACTGAGGACTTTAAAGACACTGGATACCTTTTTTAATTCTTCCCCTCTTCATTGAAACATTTAACGGCTGAGAGTACTCGGCTGTGCCATGAGAAAGGCGTTGTGACTGCGTGTCCAGTGCCATTGGGACATTCCATGACAGACCATCTGTTTCCTTAAATTTTTTAATACCTCCAAAGAAATGCACTTTTTCTCAGTAAGGGTGCGCCATGCACCCCACCTCGTTATACAGAATGTGTGCAGTCAGCATCCGCTCACACCTTTTTCCATGTGAAGTTTCTGTAGTTTCAATGTTGCAGATCCTCACCAGACATGAATCTTTTATTCCTTTTTATTTTTAAACTGTTACATGTTTCATAGATAGCATCGGCTTAATCGGGAATTGCACCGTGCAACAGTAGGAACATCTTCTTCCTCACTTATTCCTAACAGGCATTTTTTTGTTTATCAGGTGGCAGCAGAAATCAGATGCAATGCAACAACTATTTTATCCCAAATATTTAACAATTCAAACTCTACGAAAGGCCGCCTATATGTGTGATAAATACTGAAAAGAATCGTTTCCTAATGATGTTTCAAATTTGTAAATGTTTTAATTTTATATTTACTACCTGAAGTAATTGAAGGGTACATTCACTATTTAGATGTGATTATTATTCTTAGATATGTGATGTAATGGCATGGCACACACGCCGAAGGCAGTATTTTTGGTCTTCATCAACCAAATTTATCTAAACTATTTGACATCTTCAGTTTGGAATTGATGTTTAACGGTTATCCACACAGAATATATTGTCTGTATCTTTTTTTATGTTTTATTTTACAAACAAATGTGTATGCAAAATTGTTTCTCGGGTCAACATAAAATAAAGAAATACTTTTAATTGAAATAAAGAATGCATCATAGTGTGACCTTTTATCATGAATGACCTTTTTTAAACTATAATTTTTCATTGTATATATGTAATATGAGAAATGTTTTCCCATATTTCTCATGTTTTTAAATCAAAGAATTACACAACTATGACAAGAGTGGGAGTCAAACCAACGAGCAAGCGGCACTCACTTGATTTTTGTCTTCCAACTAACACTTTTCACTAATAAGGTCATTTTCAATGCTCACTTGATTTTATGAAGTAAAATTGCGTAACGAAACAATATCATTTTATTTAACTGTTCCCATGATCAACTCGCTGTGTGGGTTTTTAACACATTAACATGTTGCCACTAAATTATTTATTAGTACGCATGTCTGTAGACTGAAACTATTTCCAGAAACCTAGTCTCATTTTAAAAATAAATCATGTTATAAAATAAAGCTGTCATTCATATTGCATTTGATGTTGCTGTCACTTTTCATTTAAAATATATTTTTAATACATTTATTTTTTACAGAGGATTGTGACCTTTATATATTTGTTGAAGGGGATACAGTGCATATATAATTACAAATTAGTTTCACGTAACATTTCCCATTTTGTCAGGAAATAGAATACATTTTAATTGACTAATTTATCGTTAGCCATTGACTTATATTTATCAATCTCAACTATCAATCGTTCACATCACCTGTATTTCAGTTTTCATTACTTCTCATCTACCACTAGAGGCCATTGTTGGTTCTTTTAAGGCTTTTCCAGCAACATTGCTGACACAAGCCACATAAATGTACAGTACAGCAATAGATTGAGGCTTTGAAAAGCTACATGATCTGCAAAATGTCCGCATGCAAACCTATCGCTACGACCCAGTGAGTCCGTTATTCCCTGAACATTTGAGATGCATTTGTCTGACACATCGATTGAGAGATGGATTTCACTTTTGTAGTGTCGAGAGTTCAACAAAAAGATTTGTTCTCATTATTTTATTTGCGGGGCTTATTCAGGTCGTAGAAAGTAACTACAAAGAAATCAGTATGTCTAAAATAGTCATAGTAGTTTGTCAAAAGAAATCACTAAAAGCCAATAGCATGGTACAATGAAAAAATGAAATAGTAAATCCAATTGTATTGTACAGTATGTAACATAGCAATAGGGTATTATGTCTTAATAGCAAAAAGCCAGATAAAGGACTATATGTTTTTTTATAGAAAAATATGTTAAAGATTATATCGAAGGACTATAAAGCCATAGTATATATAGCACGACAAAATAATTTATCAAGTAATTTTTAAGTTTGTCGAAAAAGTCATTGTTCGCTGGAACAATGACTTTACAAATAAAGCTACATCTCCAAATCATGTTTAAAGATTAGAGAACATTTCCTTGTAATCGCATTAGAATGTAATGAGTGGAAGCTGTAGCTAAATTCTTCCTACTGGACTGATAGCAGCACTCAAGCGCCATCTACCCACGTGATGGTGAATTACCTTGGTATGTGTGAAGAGCGTTAGAACTGATAAATTGACAAATACGACTACAGGAGAGGAGACACGTTGGTTGTGTATTTTTTCGGAAGCCATGCGAAATAATGTCGCAAAGGTTTATCAATGAAATTGTAAGAGGAAGAGTTGTTGGTCGGAATCTTTTATATTCCCTCTACTTTGCAGCAGCCGATAACAGATGAAATTCATGTCAAGCGTTTGGACATTAAAGGAGAGCATGCTGAATACCGGGAGATCAACGACTTCCCAAGCGGTCGACTGTGACCAAGTCATCGGCTTCTTGTGTGCAGAAGTGACAGAGCAAATCAAAGGCAAAGACTCATCGTCGAATAATTTATCAAAACATTTTATTTTGTCCAACAACAATACAATATGTCACAGAATAAACACAGAGGGGTTTAAGACAGGTCTGGCTCAGGTTTTCTTCTATGTCTTTTTTTTTTTTTTTTTTTTTTTTTTAAACAATAAGTGCAGCATAAATCCAATAAGTCAAGAGGAAAAAGAGCATTATCACATCCTTTAAATAATAACAATGAGGACAAGACACAAAAAAAAAAAAACTCAACATTGTTAAAAGTCACATCCCTAAAAGTCTTTTGCAAAAGTGTTAAGAATTACAACTACTACTAATGCTCATCATAAAACCACTACTGCCTCACAAGATGGACGAAAAGCTTTAAAAGAGTCTGTATTCATCTGTTAGACACAGTACAAAGACATCATTCCATTTCAGTTACCATCAAACGGCGATGAAATGGTTTCAAGCACCAACCGGTTGGTTTGAGTTGTATCACAGACTTTTGTATTCGGTTTAATGAGGGGGCATTCAGTCAAGGAGGGGTTTAGCACCAGGAAAAATACACCGCCCCCCGATTGCACTTCCCCTATCCACACCTTATTGACCGTACTACATTTTTTTTTTTAAATACCTTGTAGCCCCTTATCAAGTGAAGTAACCTTTGATTTGCAATAAATATGTAAGAAAACCACAATGTACAATATAAATAATGTCACAATTTACAATTTTCTCTTTAGTCCAAAATACAGAAACTGACAACAAAAAGAGGTATAAAAGTGGAAAGAAATTCTCGTTGTAGTGGGATACAGGATATTTATAGGGTGTATTGTAATAGAGAAACGACCAAAACAGATGACAGACTGAGGTGGACATATTTGACCATATACAAATTACATTGTTGTTTGAGAATAAAACTACATAAGTCTTCTAGTGTACCTGAAAACAGTTACATTATGTACAGTATGTGTGTGCACAGACTAATAAGGGCACGGCAGAAATGTTAAAGTGGCCAATATGCGGGGATTTCATTGTGATGTTATTAAATAGGTCGAACTTGGCTTCACCCAAAAATGTGTATGCGATGCAGTCCAGAGGAAGCGAAGCTTTGAGTTGTACCTTAACCTTGCATTGTGACATAGAACACCCAGAGGCCAAAGACTCTAGACTATGTAGTCCCTGTTGGGAGAGAATTGATTGATCTCATGCACGCTGAGTTTTTATCTGGCTCTCTGTGACCTCTCGCGTGAACTCTGTGTCGTCCCCCAATAACATAGTGACCTTTATTCTGGCACTAATTCCCACCACACTCAACAAAATCAGACCCTTTTTTTGGGTGTCAAAGAGCGGTCAAAATTGTTGTGATGTCTCATTCATGTGCTCTTCAGCATGTTCAACTGGAAATGTCGCGTATTAAACCCCTGGCAGTGCATGGAGCCTCATCACGGCGGATGTTTGGGGCACAATCAAAACATCGAGGTGTCATTTAGTCAGCTCATCTATTTGGCCTCATTGGCTTTTGCATTATAAGATTATGATTGTTTGTCTCTTTGGACATATATACCCCGGCCCGCCTCCTCAGAGTCCTTGTATTCTCCATCTATGCACATCACTGTGTATCTCATAAATTCAATCACAATTTACAATTACGTATTTTCTCTGTCAATACATTTTTTGTGTTTTCCAGAAACAAGATTATAGCAACAAAAAGGAGGTATAAAACACATTATTTTCCAATTCCAAAAATAAAAAACGACACGGTCGGTTTTCCGGGTGTAGCATAGAAACCACAGTAATGACAATTGATCATTTTTCCCATATACATACTCGATTTCCAACTAAGAAGTAAACCATATTTGTCCTCTGGTAAACCCGTATTGTAGAGAAACTGATAAATGTTTTTGATTTGTTGTTTTAAATATGTACAGAAATCATTATTTGTGTGTTTAATCCTCTAATTACCTTTCCTATAAATACAGCTTGCAAGGCCAATGTGGTGTACTAATAGGCTGGTAAAACTTGGTAAGTATCTAACGGGAATAAATTAGATTGGAATAGCACCTCAAAGAGTATACAGACAGGAATTACAAATGTCAGTTTACCTGAATACCAAAGAAAGACCAAGAGGAACCAATACAGTGCCAAATGTGACAATCAGCTACTTCTCCTGTGAAGCGATTCCCCTGCTGGTACAACAGAATCACAGCAAATTCATGGACATATAGAATAACTAGATTGGTATAAAAAAGTTCTACAGAATTTGCATAAAAGTACCTGAATTTAAACACAGAAACGGCTACTTGACGCTTTTGAATCACAGCAGTGTCCGTTGAACATTTAACCTGATTTTCAGTGCTAACAGTGCTCACATTTTTTTTTAACATATCTGAAATGCTTTTCATGAAAAGTACCAGTCTAGTCATTCTATTTCAAAACACGCGTCCAATCAGCAGCTGGTACGGGGAAGACAGTGAGCTAAAGTTGGATTGGCTGAGTATCCATACCTCATTGTGTGATGTAAACAATGCTGAGTGAAAGTGGCTGATTCAAAGAGTGTTTGCTGGAATAGACAACATTTGTGCTGCCATCAGAGTTTTGGTTATGGCTGAAAGACGCCAGGAAGGAGTCCTCACTTTGAAAACGGTGATGGAGCCTGAAGAGGGAAAAGAAAACAGGAACAGAGCTTCAAAAAGCTGTGAGTGAGTGTGTGCAGATTAAGTTTTCATCCCATAACTTCTCATTATTACTTCATCATTAGAATTATTTGGCTGGATATTTTTTGGCGGTTACGTTTGTGTTAATTAAACTTTGTACCCCTTCACTTAGAACTGCTTTGAGCAAACTGGGTCAGCAAATACACACTAAAGCATTCAGCGTAATTGATCACAATTAGCAAACAAACTGCCAAAAGAGCCATTTTTGTTTTGTAGTTTTGATTGTTAGCTCCACCCCCTTAGGTGGTGGGAGGTTGTTTCAATTAGGCCGCAAGGTCAATATAATCAGGTGGATTACTTGGCACAGGTGTTGGTGTTGGTGAGAAGCGAAATAGTTTTTTGAACGTGAGCGTGAGGAGAGCGTGAAGTGTGGAACGAGAGCGTGACAGGGTGGAAGTGGCATGTACAAAGATAATTGGATGGTGTCATTAAAGAACAAAATAAAGGACAATCAAAGAAGTGGAAAAGTCTCAAGGAATATTTAAACGCGTCAAAACAAACTCAAAACACCAACCAAGAGGACTTAACTTTTGATAGGAAAAAAGGGTCTCTACACAAACTTCAAGCTGATATTTATATATTATTGCCATAAAGTGAGCCAATCAGTGACGCAAATAAAGGAAATCAATTTAGGATCTGATGGTCTACTTAGGAAGAGGGTGAACCGTAGCGTTGAGTCAATTAAAATTCTAGATAACGGAGTAAAACGTGCAAAATCCTTTGACTATTTAGTATACCTGAAATATATTTTTACAGCCTGTGGAAGAGCCTGTTAGAAAGTTAGACTGACCAGCGTGAAGTTGTCGTAGGTTCTCATCAGCTCCTCCATTCGGTACTGTTCCAGCACCACGACCCCCCCCAGCGACGGGCTCTTGGCTCGAGCACAGTCCTCACAGTGCACCACGTAGCTCTTCTTACTGCTGTTCTCACTGGTCACGAGCAGGAGGTCAAACACCTCCACCTGCATTCACACGCAGTCATAAAAACCGCAGTTTATGTCACAGCTTGTGACGCGCGCAATGCTAAGTGTCCCCGTATAGAGGGACGGGGGGACTCACGTCGCACTCGTTGCAGTAGTAGGCCGGCTCGTCCTTCACGCGACTCTGGTAGGAGATCTTCTTCCCTGCAGCCAACAGCTGCTCTCTCAGGATCTGGATGTGCTTGATGGACTGCATCAGGCAGTGTCTGAGGGGGAGGAGTGCGTAGTTAAAGGTGTGAACAAACACCCACCAGAGGGTGGCGGCGAAGACGCGATTCTCACTTGATCATCTTGTGGGTATCCTGGTCGGCGACCTTGATGGTTCGCGCCACGTTCCAAGAAACGTGGATCATGGGAACGATCGACTTAACCTTCTTCACGTCGTTCCACTCGTAGCGCTCCAGGGCGAGTTGGTATTGGTACGCTGGGAAGGCAGGAAAAAAAAAAAAGCAGCCCATTAAACGGCAATCTTTAAGTCTTAATTGGACAAAAAAGAAAAGACACCTTTCGAAGTCAACATCCAATGAGTTATGAAATGAAAGCTGAACGAAATGAACAATAGCTCGTAGCTCACAGTTGAGTGGTCCCACATTCCAGGCGATGTTGTTGCACCACCCCACCGCCTGGACCCAGTGTACAGTCCCCGCGTTGATCCACACCAGGTCTCCGGGCCTCTGGATGAAGCGGTACACCGGAATGTTGGAGCTGTAGAGGTCTTCAAGGACTGGCCACCAGGACCCCGTTAGGTAGTCCACACCGTGCCTGAGGGTAACAGTTTGCAACAATGCAATTTAGGAGAGAAACTAGAGCTACTTGTTCTCTCCGCCGGGAGATATTTATGTGTGCGCTCGGGTGAGCGCACATCTTTGTGTCGTTACACGACTAATCTTGCGTTCTGGTGCACCAAACAGAATAATAGTCTGGGTGGCTAAAATGCTTCACAGACCTTGTGTGGTTGGAGTGACTCACTCTTTTTCACCACACGTAATGTTGCCTGTTGGATGTGTGCGTTTAAGGGGGAGGAGAGAGGGAGGAGAGAGGGAGGAGACAGGGAGGCACGGCATGGACAGTAATTTGTTTTCATTGGATCAAACAGGTTAAGTTGCAGACACCCCTGGCGAAGATCTGCTCCCCACTGAACGCGACGCTCTCCTTTCTACACACGTCCTTAAACAGCCTCTTCTTCACTCACTTCTCACAGAATTTGTTGATGGCGTCCCAGTAGTGCTCGTGGACAGCGAACCACTCACAGTCACCAGGCCCAATGTTGATGTTGACAGAGCAGAAGTTGTTGTTCTCTTGATGACCTAATAAAAAGCGAACACGGAGTGTGAAACATCAAAGCGACGGTTTACTGGCTGCGGACCGCGTCGTCGGTCTCTCTCACTCACACACACACACACACACACACACACACACACACGCACACACTGACCCGGCGTGCGGCTGCCTGGCACCTTCATGTACAGCTGGACAGTGTTCATGCCCAGGATGGTATGGCCGACGTGACTGAGCATGTTGTTGCTGGATTCCACGCGCATGAAAGCGGGCAGCTTAAACAGCTCCTGCAGCTGAGGCTTCCACCTAATGAAAAAACATGTGATGTTTAGTGTGAAAACCTGAGTGATGTTCATTATGACATAAACTCACCTTTTAGGGTCAGAGAGGTCAATATTCGTCCCAAATTTAATGATCTTTCCGGCGGTTTTCGGCTCCGAGCTGAAGGAAAGGACAAAGTCTCAGTTGTCTATTTCTTAACGCAGGAAACCTTCTGAGCTCTTTGTCGGGGCGGAAAGCCTGTTTTGCGCTGACCTGGTTGTGCTGCTGGAAATAAGCGGTTGGGCTTTGCTGAAGAAGGTAGAAGGACTGCCTTTGATGTTGACCAATGTCAGGGCAGCCTTTGTAGCGGCTTTCGTTTCTGAAGACTGGGTTTCCTCTCCTTCCTCTTCATTCTCGCTCTCCTTCTCATCCTGTAACACATCTACATGAGCTCAGCTCACAGGTTGAACTTTTAGCACAGTTGTTATTTATCTCAATAATCCAACAGTTTAACTATCATGCATTATTTTATGTTCTCCAAGGACCTTTAACAAGAACCTTTGAGGTTTATGCTTATAAGTACTACTACTTATACTCATTAATCACCACCACTGGGGAAATATTCTTCATTTAACCACATACCTTTTACTATTCATTTCATCATTTATTTTTTAACTATTGTCACACATGTGGAGTCTCCCCCGATTTAAATCATTTTACCATAATGAAAATAAGACTCATAAGACACCATATATGACCAATGCAGATCAATGCACGAGAGGTGGTCAATGTTATGGTCTAGCGGTGAAGATGTTTAACTGAGGTTGATACTGGAAAGAGACCCTGAGGTGGCTGCTGCAGCCACAAATGTGCCTCATTTGCAAATTAAAACCATTAAATCATAAAGGTATTATGATGATATGGTGACTGTTAATTTAAATCCACATTCAAACTGCTAATTATTTATATGAAGAAAGACAATACGATCTCTTCACAACTCATATCCAAGGAAGTTGGGGAATCTCGTAAATCCTGCATACAAACAAAAATTTAAACATGCGGCCCAGTGGAGCCTTTCCGGTTTTCAATTTTAAATTAGATGAGAGTTCCAATACAGGCCGGTTTAAATCAATTAATAATGTCTTTAGCTGTATCCATATCTACAAAATATGAAACCATCTGTGCGCATGCGAGTGAATGTGTTGGACATGTGGGAATCCTTCTACCTGCAGGCTCTCTTGGAAGCTGGAGGCCTGGTACTGAGCATATTTATCAATGGTGGTGTGTGAGCGGCTGCTCTCGCAGGGCCACGTCTGCGTGGAACCACTCGAATCCCAGTTCTCATCAGCGGGCTGCTGGACCTGCGTCCTCACTTCCACCGCGTGCTCCGCATTGGCCTCCACCAAAGATTTGGTCGAGAACAGACCGAGGTCTAAAATAAGGAAAGAAGGAAACAGGGACATTTAACAGATAGATGTTACTTTCTTTCTTTTTATGACAGGCATCTGTTGTTTTCCCAGTTATGTAACAATGGATGATTTACAAGAAGGTGTGAGAGAAAGAAAAGGCTGTAGAAATGGAAATAAGATCAGCTTATCTTTACTGGATGATTGTCAAACACAAAATGAAATATGCAACCACATTCAAATGAATATTCCTCTCTCAAAGTTGCAGCCTACGAGCTGGCTAGCCATTACATCATGGCTGAGCACACACGGTCTGCATTCAAACGTGGATCATAAAGAGAATATGATCAGAGAATATGTAAATGCATGTTGTATAAAAATTCTCGAATGTCATGTGAAAAATGTCTACAGTGTGTGAAATAACGCCCAATTTTGATATGCTGCATTTACATCTGAATAATCAACACCTTCTCTTTCCATGCATTACAATCCTCATAAAATAATAAACAACGGCCCTAATCTGTGTCAATGTAGTAAAAAAATTGAATGGAGATTGAATGGAATTTCACAGCCCAAGTGTCCGTAGTGGGGTAAATTAGCGATGAGGGATTGGAGATGAGTGTGGTGAATAAACTTACTCAGGCGGAGAGATCCGGCGAGGCCTCTGATGACAGTAACTGCATTTTTGGGATCAGTGCAAAACTGAAGCAGAACTGGAGAGAAGGCGTCCCTCTTGCTCTCCAACTGCAGAAGAAACACACAATAAGTATGAACATTTGAACACGGGGAAGGAAGTAATCAATTTGTTTTGAAAACAAATGAAAAATACTGACAGTAGGTTGGTAACGTGTAGATGTCTTGAAACAAGGTATGATAAGGCAGCTCTCTCTGCTGCTATCGAGAAAACAATCCAAGACATAATTCAAAGATTTATGGTGATGATTTCCTCTTTTTTTTTTTTCAAATGAGTGAAAGCCTTTTTTGTTGAACCAAAGTTCAGTTGAGTAAATTACACTTTGGTCTGAAGTTTATTTGTCTTTCTTCCTGCCCTTGACTCTTCTCATGCTCACTCCTAGTTTTCTTACATTTTGTTGTTTTCTTCCAAACAGCACAGCGACACACAACATTGTTAGCATGTCTTCTCGGTGCTTTCTCTTGTTAGGTGATTGTCTCTTCGCATTTAGTGCACTCATGTCGCGCCTCATCACATTCATCAGCCTCCTCTGTCTTCCAAACTGAGCATAATCAGTCACCACTAACAATGTCTGGACTCCACGTTTTGTTTTTTTGTACCTTCATTTGGTTAAATTGCCTTTTCCACACAGTTTAAAAAACAAGTTTTTTTTTTCTCCCTTTATTTGTCTCTCCTGATAGAAACAGGCTTATGTCCAATGGGACATCTGGCTGAGATGTGGCAGATGGCAGAGCGGTGCTAACATCAGCATGCTAACATGCTAACGATGGCAATGACAGGATGCTGATGTTTACTACGCGGAGTTTGGAGCATCGCAATGCTAACATTTGCTATCTGGCACTAAAGGCAAAGTAACGCTGATGGGGAATAGTTTTGAGAATATTTAGTGCTACAATAAAACATTTTTTTGGGGTAGATGAAAAGTTAAGGGCTCCCCGAGGACTTTAGAATTCATCCTGAGGGGAACGTGTCTGCACAAAACGGCATGCAAACCCATTGGATGGTCATCGAGGCCTTTCAGCTGACCGGCCGACCAACCCACGGAGATCCACAGAACCGTGCCTCCGGCATGGCTAAAACACGGCATTAGGATTCAACACTTGATGATACCACTTGATGAGCCGGATCATATCGAGTTTCCTACTCTGCGGGGACTCACGTAGATGCTCGGTGTAGGGGGGTTAAGCTTCGCTCGAGGAATGAGTGCCGTTGTGGCGATGTTAGGTTTCACAGAGAAGGTGGGAAGGAGGAAAGACTCCTTGAACTTCCCCTTCACCCTCGTCCCCCTGAAACAATATCACAGAGAAACAAGACTAAATTCATCAAGCGCAACAGTATATGTAGTATATGTAATATATATATATATATATATATATATATATATATATATATATATATATATATATATACACAAAAGGGATGGCCAAATGAGTATCATTGTCACAGAACTGACTTGCAAGCTCGGACCACTTCAGCACCCGTGTTTCTGATGCAGATCTTTGAGAGTGGGATTTTTTGCTCCTCCAACTCCGATATGTTGAATGTTTGTCTTCCAGCACTTTCCACCTTAGTCAAGAGGATCCGCAGCTCCTTGGTAAAGCCCATGGACAAGGCTTTCAGTTTCATGGGGTCAACTGGACCTACTGGGCAGGGAGGTTTGCTTGCTGGTGTGGTCGCACATGCTTTGGAGGTATTGGTTGTTACAGTTGATGCTGAGCTTGGGGTCTTGTGATCTGTCTCTGCAGTAGCTGAGGAGATCTCATTTTCCAACTCTTCCTTCTTCTCAGTCACGATCTTTGCGTCCATGTCTAATTTTCTCTTATGGACGTGTTTGCCCTCTGTGGTTGAGTTTTTCTGAGGTGTCCGGCCCTTCTTGCTATTTCTGAACGGTTTGGGGGACTTTTCTTCCAAATCCCGGATCTCTTTTGCTTTGTTTTTAGAACAGAGGTTGCTTCTTTCCTCCGCCTTGATCTTGATCTTGATCTCTCCTTCGCTCCCCCCGTCGCTGACCTTTCGCTTTTTCTTTCTGTCTGAATATTCGCCTGGTCGCTCTTCGCCGCGTGCCCTCTCTTCCTTGGTAGAGAGAGTGATGACGCCGGTGAAGGAAGCTGCATGCGTTGTGGTCAGTCTCAGCTTGGCACTCAGCGACCCATCCAAAAGCGCTGACTCTTTTCTCTCAGGAACAATCTCCATGTCCGTCTCCTCTTTACTCTCTTTCACGTTGGTCTTGATGTCCTCCTGCTTCTCCTGCACGGGGGCGTCCGCCGCAGGTTCCCCCCCACGCGCCGGACTGTGGTCTCTCAAAAATGTGGAGGTAGAGTGAGTTGGTGACTGGTGACTGGATTTGGAAGATGCCGTTAGGTCGGACTGTGGGGAGAAATCCGGATGCTCGTGGATCTCTGGCCCCAATTCAAGAGAAGACGAGTACTTCACTCCTCCCGCACAGCCAGCAGGAGATCCCCCAAATGGACCGCCCCGAGATGCGACCCGGTGGCCTCCGAGAAAGGTGGCCAGGCTCAAGAAGACGTCGTCCAGACCCGTTTCATGGTGGCGAAGTTCGCGCAGAAGAGAGGCCGAGGTTTCCTCGCAGCTGTCCACCTCTTCGTCCTTCTCCTTGTCCGAATCCTGCTCCGATGCACAAGGCAGATCGCCGAGTTCGGACATGCCGTCGCGGGAATAATCAGCGCCCATTGCCCTTTCGCAAGGCTCCGTGTTCGTGTCCTCAGTGCTCTCGCTGTCAACGGGAGGGGGAGAGAGGCACTGGGTGGGGCTGGGCTGGAGGACGGGTCTACTCAACACTCCCTTTCCCAGCTCCTCTTCATCCTCTCCCAGAGTGGATACCGGAGAGCCCTGCCAGCTGAGGACGGGAGGAGTGTTGGCGAGGTCGTCTCCCACTTCCCTCGCATTCCCCTCAGGCTGCAGGTCTGGAGCGTTGAGCACCCCTCCCTGGCCACCGTCTTTGCCGTGAAGGGGCTGCCGTAAGGTGATGGAGCACGCTGTGCTGAGAGGCGCTAGTGCTTTAAGTAAAAGGGACGGCAGCGTGTCGGCGGGCTTTGCTTCTGCTCGCGCTTGTGGTCGCGATGGGACGGCAGTGGGCCTCTTGCTGGTCTGGTTGGGGCATTTTTTCCTGGGAAGAGACCGTTTTACTTGTTCCTTGAAAGGGAGTTTTGGGGGACAGCTCTTCTTCTTGGGTATTTGGGTTTTCTTACACTTTGACAGTGGCCGCGGTAAAGAGCAGCCGGGGTGAAGAGTGCTTGTGGATGGCTCGTGCGTCCTCTCTCCTTGTTCCCTCCTCTGCCTGTGCCTGGCTGGTAACTCGCCTTGGTATTCTGGGGACACAGTTGAAATCTCCATTTTATGTATTTTGGCTTCCCCTGAAGATCTGGAAGTAGAGCTGGAGGTAAACAATTCATTTTCTGTGACCTTAGATTTCAAGCCGAGCTTCCTTTCCCTCCTTGCTGCTTTATCCCTCTTCCTTTTTCTCTCTGCCAACCTTCTTTCCTCTTTTTTCTTATGCCGCTTCTTCTCTTCACCCTTTTGGTTCGTCTTTCTGTCCTTTTTAATCGGCTTCTCGGTTTTTGTTAGTTCTTTCAACTCCCTTTCCGGCTCGGTTGCTCTGGATTTGCCGTGCGGGGACTGTCGCGAGCAGGGGGGCTGCAGGGTCTCCCTATATTTGACGTCTGAAAACCTGGATTTCAGACCAGCGTGAGACGAGAGAGGCGTTGCAGACGTCAGGCCAGGTCTCTGGGTGTAATTTGGGCTTCCCTGGAGGTCCTGCTGCCCACTGAGGCCAGAGATGAACTGATGACTGATTGGTGGGTCTTTTCTGCTACTGGCCGCTGTGTATGAGGAACTGGGAGACGCGCGTGGACTGCTGGCAGAAGAACCTCCATCTTTAGGGCTAAAGAGGAGGGATGAATAGGAAGGAGAGCCTGCACCAGAAGACTTGCAGAGGGCCGGATCCCTTGAATCACCCCTCTGATGAGTGCGCTGAGGTTCCTGCAGAAGATCACATCTCTTTAGACATTTGCTCAGGGATGGAACACTCACTACATTGATTTCATCAAAACATGCAGCTTTTGAATGCAGTGTAATGCATTTTCTTTTTCTAATTAAAATACTACATACTGGGAGTTTAGGAATTGCACAAATTGTGTGATGCCAGTCACAATAGTATTAATTACTTTGTTGTTAGACCATGTTTTAATAGTGAACCTCATTGTATGGATCTTTCCATGGTGTTTCCAAGGTCTTGCTCTCTTAATGTAGCATGTTAGAGGGGATCTCTTCAGCTTTTCAGTTCATACTATTTAAACATTTATTTCTCACTGTGCTTTGTTTGTGTTGATGGCTCCGTGAGTCCTTTTCCCCAAAAGGGTGTGGCGGCACGTTGTGCGACGGGGCTCTGGGGTGGGCCGTGTGTCGTGGATAGTAGCGATGATGGTTTTGGCTGTAAGGCACACGGGTGTGGTCTGCTGGTGATGATGCGATTCTCTGGTCGACCTTCCCCCTGCTTCCGTGAGGTGGTGGTCTGCTGCCACAGCCCTGTTTCGGAGCCGCTAGGTGACTGTTGCTCAAGCCGTGTCCTCCAGCTCGCAGTTTAGAGGTTTCCTGTGAAAAAAAACAATCATTGATCTGATGTTTCCTCCTGATGTTTCTTAATCTCGTAGGAATCATTTGCGGACTCTAACAGCTGACCTGTTGCTGTGTTGTTGTGGTCCTGTGGTCATAGTGGTGGCAATGATCCAACCTTTCATTGGGGGGCTTCCAGTTATTCGGGTTGGAGCGGTGGTGGCGAGGTGGTGATGAGGCGTGGACGGGTGGAGACAAATGTCTTGTTCCAGGATGAGATGGCTAAGAAGGGAAACACAAAATAATCATGTCATACTCAAAGGAATCCGTTTCCAATGGGTGGTGCTATTGCACAGGATTAAAAGCTGGAGTACAAAAAGGGTCTATTTAACAAAAGAGTCAAAGGCGACAAACTCCACCTGATCGGGGCCGAGGTCCCTCCTCCTCTTGGATGAACATTCGTCCCTCGGGGATAGAGGGTGCGGTGGAGGGGAACCGTGGGGGTGGAGATGGTCTCGCCGCTGGTGGAGGGCCGGCCGTTTCCATGGTCCTGGTCTGTTGTTTACAATTCTGCCGGAAAAGTTCCTTCTGCAGTCCGAAGGGGCCCATCTCTCTGGTGGGGACGGGAGTTCTCTGTTGTTGCGATGCAGGCGAGACCCCCCGTGCTAAAGGTCGACAAGAGAAGAAGAACATAACGTACGACGACACGCTTAAAGTAACATCAACAACTCTTTGAAAGTGACGCTGTCGCGGAGCTGCAGGTCTCACCAAAGAGTTGCCGGCAATGTTGTCCCAGTTTGCGTAGCGCTCTGCTGGTCCCGTCGGGTAGCCGCTGGGGGGGCCGCCTCTGTCGTGGAATGAGCGAGTGGAGTTGTGATGCCAGTTCTGAGCCTCAGACGACTGCTCTTTCCCATCCCAGAGACGGAGAGGCTGCCTGTGCCCCGTCCTCTCCCCCCTGAGCAAAAGACCCACTGCGCTAAGCAACACGTGTGACGACACGGCTCCAAAGTGACTCGAGTAGCTGAATGAAAGTTGAATTTCCGAATGGTTTCGGTGAAATGACAGAACTTCTTCTGTCACCGGTGCGATGACGTTCGCCCCGGTTTACTCGCCTGTTATAGAGACGACTTGACGGTGGACTGTGTGCTTGATTGCGCCCTCCACGGCATCTGTGGTACGGCAAAAAAACAACTCATTCAAAATCTCAAAATAATGTAGGGTTGAAAATATGAATACATATATATAAAAAGACGCATCATGGAATGAATCAAGAAATTAATTATCTAGAAAAGCACCTGTAGTTAAAGGATCATGTTTGCGAGATATGTATATATATATGTAAAAAGGAAATACAAACCAGCTATTATCTGTGGTGCTGTGTTTCAATTTGTTGCCAAATTCACAATCAGCCAGCAACAGACATGATCATATGCCTTCAGTCACCCTCGACTGCTGCAGCTGAGAAGCTAGATTAAAGCTTCTCACAGCTGCAGCTGAAGACGTTATAGTTTCATTCACCAGAGTCGTGCGTATTTAAACCGCAGATGGGTTTCTGCTTCCAGCTGCAGCACTCTTTTTTTTTTTCATGAATATGCCCATAAGAACTCCAGATAATCAGTCCGTCCCACAAAGTGGTGCTTATCTTGAATCAACTCCAGCAACAACAAAAGCTGGAGTCCCACCTGCTCATATGACCCGTGTGGGTTGAGCTCAGGCCTCAAAATGTGCCACTATCGATTCCCGAATGCGTTTACACGGGATGTCGTTCATCTTTTCCAAACTCACTCTGTGTCAATGGCCCTGATGTTGTATCTGTAGTCTTAACCGTTTCAGCCACCGACCTGTGAACCTCGTTGTCGTCTAATTTAAAGTCTCGATCCCACAATCCACAAGCAGTCAAGAAATAAGGAAAGTCTGTACAGTACCGCAAATACTTAAGCGCCTATATTCATGTGATATGACAGAAGTAGCACTTGCAAAGGGACTAGTACCATTTCTTTAAGAATCAAAAGGTGAAGTATTGTGATGGTGGTGCTGACCTTTCCGTTTGGCTCCACGGAGCCCATTGTCCTCTGTTAGGTCCTCCAGCTGGATAGGAGTCCCATGTGTCACGGCCAGAGTACAGCTCTGCGGGGTGATACATGCAGCCTGGAACACAGATCATGTTTTATGCATACACTGTATTTAAAATAAACACATCAATAAATGTGATTAATCTCATTTAACGAACGTCCGGCTAAACAAACAACTTCAACCAATTAGCTAGTAGCTTTTGCAACGGCGATGCCACTTTACACCCGAGCTTTAGTGCCACGACGCTCATCCAGAAGTCTGCTCCGCTCACCGATTCGTTAATTGAAAAGGCCCACAGGAAGGGTAATGTCAAATCCAATTACAGCAGCAGGTGAACACTCACAATAAACACTACACGCAGCGACTCACGCATGGATAAATTCGGGGGGGTTTGATGCTATTTTGGCAGTACAAAACGTGTGGTCTTAAGCGTCTTCATCCTCTTATCAACGGCCTTTCTCACACACAATACAGCCAACGACAATCAATGTGTGCTTTAAACAACATTGTGGTTCCATAAAGTAATAAAGTGGAGCACATAGCACATTTCTGCAGGTAAAAAGCAACACACACACACACACACAAGCAAAGTAGTGAGACGGAGACAGATGTTACCAGTCTTGGTCTGTGTTTGGGAGGCCCTCCACTTCAGACCAAAAGAGAGAGAAAGAAGAGAGAGAAACATGAATGTTGGCACAATCATTACTTTGTTCTGGCTCATCCTTGTATCGTGTATCTCTGGCACATGCGATATCATCGAGCTGCATTTCCTGCTGCACCGTATGTGTTCAGCGGTCATATCATCAGTCAGCCAGAGCTGCTTGGTGCATTCAGCCTCTTTCTATTTAATGCTACCCAGCAGCCACCACAGCCAGTGGCCATCCGACGATGGAAAAGAACACATGGCACTAAGAAAAAGGGCCGCGGCAACCTCACTTTAAGAGCAGAGACAACCAGGGAGACGAAAAAAGGAAACCTGCTGTAGTATTTCTCTCAGATTGCAGTAAAAGCCCAGGGCCTTTATTGCCTGATGTGCATTTTTTCCTTTTTATTGTTAGTTTCTCCCAGTCGGTGGAAATGAAACTGTTGAATAAGGTCACTTATTTGACCATGTACTGGAATGACGTCTTACTGTTTTTCTTGCTGCTGCCAAACACTCAGTAACCTATTTCGTCTTGACATGAGCCGACGTTGTAAGGATCAACTTTGCATGCTGAAGAGAGCTTTACTGTATTGCTGAAAGGTTGTACCTCTATATGCATTCATTCTCAAAAATCTATTTATAAATACCATGACGATATATGTTGTTTAACATTTGAACCCTCCCCGCTGTGGCACATTTTACATAAATATTTTCTTCTTATTCTTCTTTGCACCTTTTGTATGCTGAATCAGCTAAGAGAGCAACCTCTTCAAGAGTCCTTTCCTACCAGTTGCCAGAGCAACTGAAGCCAGACGGTTCTTTACACTGAGACTTTGGGCATCTAAAAGTCAACTGCATCTAGATTTATTCTTGCAGTACAAAAGACGATACACGGAAGGAAATTCCTGCACATGCAACGTTTAATGCCTGCATGCATTTACCCTCTGCGCCGTGAGCCATCGGTTGCTACACAAAGCTGTGCAGTAGAACCGCCATAAATGTCCGGTTACATCCACTCAAAACCTCACAACCCCGCCTGCTCCACAAAATTCAGCTTTTCGGAGCTTCTGTGATTCTCTGCTAACGCTGAAACAACCGATCTTTATCAACCACTACAAAGCTTCTGATCTCGGGTTGCACTTTATACTCAGACCTGCCTGTTTGTGTCCCAGAATGTCAAGTTATGCTACTGTCACATCGACGGCCATCGCGTGCTTCACTCATGCAAACAACTAGATTGATTCACCGTTGCACTTTTTTTAGACACAAGGGTTGCAACCGTCCGGACAAGTGAACGCACCTCCCTGCGCTGTAAACCAGCCTCCTGTTGGTAGTTGAGCAACAATACACATGCAGTAAAACATCTGCTGCAGACCCCTCCCGTTGCACACAGGGACACCATGTCGGTGGAGAGTTGTAGGGGGAGCTGTCAGTCAAGAGCAGCAGCAGCAGCTTCAGTTTAATTCTGCACAACAATGCCTCTGTGCCTCCAATATCAAACCCATCTGCGCAGGGTTAAAACCAGACATCTGGAATCCAGCTCTGCAGCCAAATTATGTCACGTGCAAAGGGGGTTAAGTTGCTGTTGGGTGAACCCGCTGCCTCGCAGTGAGATACGTTCAAGAAAAGAATGTGCAATGCAAACAGTGCAGTGTGAGAGTGGGGTGTGTTCCTGACTTGCATAGCGAACTAATTGTGGCCAAATGATGCTGTACCAATTCATTCTTACATTGGTTATGCCTGTGGGTGATGTTAGCTGTAACTATTAGGTTAAACCTGCTGCCTGCAGCCCTTAGCCTCCCTCTCCTTCTTGTCACCAAGGAAACCCGGGTCATCTGTTTAAAACCAAAAATGGGATATCCATGCATCCTCTCACGTCTCTGCTGAAACCCCCTGTGACTGTATAACTACTGTATTTCTGACCTGATAGTGTGTGTGTGTGTGTGCGTGTGTTTGCAGCTCCATGACCCATCTTACCTCACAATGGGCGCTGAGAGGAAAAGGGGGAGACAGACTTCGTTCCAAATCCAAGGATGCCGTCGGTCAAGAAGAGCAAGGCAGCGCACCCGTGCAGACTCGGACCCCTTTAGATAGACACACTCATCCCCCGCGACTTGGCAAACACACACACAGACACACGTAGTAGAGGGAGTGAGGAAATACCAGTTAGTTGGTGCACAGGAGACATGATGTGCAAGATAGGAAGGTTTTACTGTCTCAAAATCAAGGGCAGTAATCTCCTCTCCATCCCTCAAGTGCCTCTGCCATCCTCTCCTCGCCTCTCATTTCCTCCAGCGCATGCTTTCACACACATTTCCCTGTAGTGAGCCATACCCACTCTAGACAAAGGAAGAGGATGAAATGCGATGTAAGTCGGATGGATAGGCCAGGAACCTCTGACAGGCTTTCTTGGCTCCTGTCTTTCACGTTATGGCCCTTGCCCTTTGCTATCTTCACTGCTTGTTACAACAAGGCTCCTTTTTCTTTTTTTTTTCTTCATACCCAATATCCCCGCCGCCTCCTTTCTCTTTTAGGCGCATGTGTATGGCTCTGCCTATGCCTCACCCTCCCTTTCCTCTGCACGCTGGGTCCCTGTATCCCTGGCAACCGATGATATCATTTAGTCCAGAGCTGGGAGCAAGGCCCCGAGCAAGGAGGAGAGTGCTTGTGTGCGAGTGTGATTTTGACATAGGGTGCGAGGGGCGTGGGGGGGCTGGGGGGGTACGGGAGGGAGGTATTGGATTTAAACATATACTTCCACATTTCTCCTTTCTTTTCTACGCAAAAACGTCTGCCACCATTTCACAGCCGCTCTGTCAGCTGAAGGAAAACACAGTTCATTGTTCAGTGAAGAAGTGCCACAGCTCACCGATGTGTGCACTCGTTTGCACGAGCCGACATTCTGGAATATATGTACCTCACACTGTTCAGAGCTGCCTGCCGGCTGCAACGAACCGCCGCAGATGTGCACCTCTCGCTGTGACTTTCCGTGTGCATGTGTGTAAGCAGTAAGGATACTGATCCCATACCATAAAAGGAAGGGATGGGGTGCAGCAGACCGGGCCTGTCTCTGGTGGCTCCTTGGCTAGCTAACGCGAGAGAGCAGTGATAAGGGGGAGGCGTGGGGGGGCCGATGGAGCCGAAGCAGACAGATAGACTGGACAGACAACCCCCCCTGCGTGTGATTTCATTGGCCTCAGCAAACCAAAATAGCGTCACGATCACAGACACGGCGTACAGTACGGGGAGAATATCAATCACATTTCTAAAAATAACCTCCCCGCAGCCCCGATTCCCTGGGCTCTGTCCCCCCCTCTCCCCCTCTGTAACAGCAGCTTCTCCCGGTGTATGCTCCATAAAGCACAGCCCCCAGAGGGGTACTGGAATGTACCAAGGCAAGGTCAAGAAATAGGAAGAGGGGTGTCTTCTGCAAACAATGCCAAAATGAACAGCTTCTATTTTTGTGAACAAAGACTGTGAGGCAGGTTAACAGGTTTGAGGAAGGCACTGAATGCATTGTGTGTGTGTGTGTGTGTGTGTGTGTGTGTGTGTGTGTGTGTGTGTGTGTGGCAGCTGGCTCGTGTGGTGAACAGTAGAGTCACATGTCCAGGCTAGTTGGTTACCTAAACTGTCCTATCAGCTGGAGGCGTAGATAAAAGCTGCCATACACAATCTTCATCCATTCCACTTAAAAACTGTTTTAAAAAAAAGTAAACAAGTGGAAGTCAATGGACACCAGCCAAGCTGAGAGCGTCTGGGTGAGACGTGTTTATCAGACTGAGACCAACTTTCACTGGAGCCAAATACTTATGTGACATAGTTTAAACATGACTTCAGGCGAACGTGACACTAGGTGGCTTCTTACTACTGTACGCCTCCCACAAACACACACACACACACACACACACACACACACACACACGCGCACACACGGACGCACGCACACACGCATACAGTTAACGTTAAACGTCCACGTTCCACGAACGTGACCGCAGCGCAAGTGTAACCCACCGCATTCATCCTTTCACAATTCTGCTCCGGCTCCCCGTGTCTGCACGTGAGCACCATATGTGTGCATGTCGGTGTGTGCGTGAGCTTCATGCATGAATGTGCAGCACTGTCTGCCGACACACACACACACACACACACACACACACACACACTGCAGTATGTTCTGCCAAGACAGATCGTTGAGGGAAAACGACACACATTGGATACAGAGAAATGTAGATATACACGCAAATACACGCTCACGCCCATCCGCACAGGTACATGTGGTACAATCAGTGTATTTACATTCAGACAAATGCAGACAGCACATGAAGCTACTCCTCTGCAATGCCTCCTTTTACCTTTTTTGTGTGTGTGTGTGCCTTCGTTCTCTCCGGTCCACGCGCCCCTCTGCTCCCCTTTTCCTCCCTTTCAACTCCTCTCGCCACCTTGTCTCACCCGATCCTCTCCTCTCGTCTTCTTTCTCCCCCTCCTCTCCTCTCCTCTCCTCTCCACCTCTTCCTGTTTCCCCTCGACTCTCCGATGCTCGCAGTCTCCGCGCACACCGATCCATCTACGGAGACCGAGGGGGCGGACCTACGAGCTGCCAATCACGCGGCGCGAACCAATGAGAAGGGAGAGAATCTGTAATCTATGACATTTTTGCAGCGAGCTGGTGGAGGGGGGCAGACAGAGGCATGGAGGGGGTCTTTATTTCTCTCTCCCGCTGTGTGTGTGCGTGTGTGTGTGTGTGTGAGAGAGAGTTGGAACATGGCCAGTAGCTTACTGTAGAGGATACAGCATATGTTATTTCTTTCTTTCCATTTATAAAATGTTTTTCTGAAGCTCTTTTTTCTGTTCCCCGCGGAACAGCACACTTAATGTCCTGATGAAAGGGGCCCAATGAGTGAAATATGATGCACGTGATGTATTGATAAATTGACATGGTAGAGCCGTGCAACCAGGTTTCTTTCGTGGAGGAAGTGGGAAGAGAAGCGGAGTCGTGCAACGAGAGCAGGCTGAGCTCTAGTGTCAAATTAACACACTAACCGGGGGAGGGGAGATGGGGGGGGGGTCGGTGGAGGGCGGAGCCATGGCTCCGGGTTCACGGGTGAGGATCCTCTCTAGACGGATACACGATGCTAATGCTAGCAGGCAGAGCCGCCGGTAGCTGTGCTCGGCGAGAGACGGAGAAGGAGACACGCGAGTGGGAGTGGGAGAATGAAATGGTGGAAGCAAGCCGCTAACAGCTTTTTTTTTCTTCTCTTCTCCTCTCAAGCGCCCTAGCAACAGCGCCCGGTGAGGCCGGATTCTATTGGCCCATGCGCCAGCCCATGTGGGGGGTCTGGACCAATCAGAGGACGTTGGTGCAGAAGCAAGAGGGGAAAGCTTCATCTGCTGAGCTGAGCCCTCTGGTGACTGACTGAGGGTCTCAATAGTTCCCAACAAAAACCAAACACCCGCCATGTACTGATACAGTAGATGTTTTAGCCCAAAGAAATCATTATTCACGTCACACTAATACCACCCTTTGAAAAGTAAATAGCAAACGTGTTCATTCATTCAGAATTCAAATTCTGACAAAATCCAATGCTAAACCGAGTGGCATGCAATGAAAACAAAGAGAGAAAAGGGACAAGGAAGAATTCTAAAACTAATCATAAAATGATTCTTGTTTACCGAGCATAATCCTAAAATTCCAAAATTGAAATACATTCATTGACATATCCTATTAACTTATTTAACACAATATTGTATAACCCCCAAATTCCAACCTAATAGCTGCCCGTCAACATGCACTAAAAATTTAAATTGCCATAGTGGTGTTTGTTACAGTCCTCAGACCTATAAATGCATCTGTGTTGATCGATTTGAAAAAATTAACATTTAATTGATGTGTATATGCATAAATGCCTTTGATCATCATGGAGCAAGAATGGACACAAACAAAAACAAGCCTACACTGCTTCTAAGTGGGCATAATATAGTCTTGCATGATGACATACTTGTGTGTCATGATTGTGTAGAACACAAAGTTGACCTGACAAGAACTTTTAGATGGTGTGGAAAGGTGTCGAAAAGCAAATAGGTAAACAATTTGAAAATAATATCACATGAAATGGTCACACATCAATATTTATTTGAATTATCGTGTGACTTCCTGTACCAGAATTAATCAATAATAAAAGGAATTGTCAAATCTCATCTTTTAACAGATCTGTAAATTCATACGTGTCGAATATGCTTATTCCAGGTCAGCCTTTTAGCTGATATGCATTATATTTGACTCCCACTGACTATTGATTACCCCAAATATCTGCCCCCATGTTACTGACCAACAGAATTGACCGATTTCCCCTCAAAAAAACTATTCACATTTAATAACACAGAAGCTAAACACTCTCCCACCTCTGCTGAGGATGAGGCAGCAGAGGGCAGTCGAGCTTGGTCGGCACCCGGTCTGAATTTCTAATTTGAATTGGTTAAAATGCTGACAGCTGAGAAATGTCTGTTCGCATAACTGCATCACCAGCCCCTGCTACATAAGTTATGATTGTCATAACTCGGAATTATATCAGAGAGGAGAGCTGGTCCCCCGATGAATGACCACACTCAGTCACTCAAATTGACTTATTAGGGCAGTGAAGGATTGTTGCTGCAGCTAATCCGACGAATATTCGTCATTTGCATAAAACCGGCTTGAGACGAGGCCAGTAGCTTTAGTCGAGCAGCAGGTACGATGTGCGTCACATTGTATTCTAATCTTTTTGCTTGTTATTACTTGAACTACCCCAGTGTTGGCTATTCTACACTCGTTCCACCGATTGAGACGATCCTCCTTAGGGTTTATACATTTGGGATTGGACACTGACAGGACACGAAATTAATGAGTGGGTCAATTGGCGACCCTACTTTTATAGGATGGTGAACGCAAACGCTAACTCACATGACATATCCTTTAGTTATCGAGTGATACAACACATGCACGTGTCCCTTGCAATGCCGCAGGGAGAAAACTGTGCAGAATAAGTCATGTTTCAAGTCAAGTCATAAGTAACGTTTTATCAGAACATTGAACCATTTGCTGTTAAATGCTGCTTCTTCCTCATGGCATATTGAGTTTCTTCTGTTTCTACGGAGTTCCGGGTTATTTAAAAAAATAATTGTTGCTTTTGAACTTGTACGCTCTTTGTCGCTGTTAAACTTACAGGCTTTATCTCCTTCTTTTACGCTCAGTTGCATAGTAGCTCTAAAACAAACCGATCACTGTAGGCCTTTTGTTCATCACTGAGACAGATTAGAGACTTTTGCATTTTACCATGCCGTTGATTGCATGTCCATGAATGGCCCTTTTCAATGTCTTGTCATCACCGAGGTCTCTGGGATTGAATTGTATTTGCAAGGCCAAAATGTTTTTTGCAATGGGAAGTCATTTAGGCTGGTAGTTTGGGAAATTATGTCTTTGTTTCCGGCCATCACAATATGTTTACAACGGGTGTGCTGGCTTTGAATTTCTAGATGTACTACGGCGAATATGTGAAATAAGGACATTGTAAAACTGTGACATTTAATACTGCAGTCCACACCCCAATCAATAATCCTGTGTCCTGGCGCCTCAGCATTTGATCGCACCTGAATAAAAGGTAATGGCTATCTGAAAGGTGAAAGCAAGACCTTACAGAGACGATCCTGTCGTTGGGTTTAAATGCCCATTGAGATGATGGACCTAACCTGAATAGATCCATGAGTCTGTTACAGTAGCCTAACTTTAAAAAGAGCAATTAGAATAATATTCAACTGAGCAAACAGCTTTCTTATCCGGCACTACTTTAAAACCGTTGGTCAGAGCAAGGAACTGCACATCCACGCCCACCTGTGCCTTTGGTCCCACTTTCTACTTGCTTTGCATATCTGAAATCGCCATAACCATAACTGCATACGCTCCGGGTCATTCTTTTCCAGTTGCCCCAGTAAGTGCGACTGAGGAGACGTTTTTTCGCCATGAACATGTTACCGCCGACAGCTTTTGTTCCCTTGCTGGCTTGTCTTTTGCCTCTGATGTCGGCGACTGTTGTTCAAGATTTTAATCACATTGAGAGGTGCAAGGACTCCCTGTATATGGGGACACCGCCGCGGGGGTTCACTGACACCAAGCTGAAGAGGATCTGTCAGAGGTACATGGACCGACCTCGCTTTGTGACCCTGTACGACCCCCAGAAGAGGATTCCAGTTTACTCAGCTTATACCTTCAAGAAAACCGAAGGAGACAGACGGGTGGACTACCCTTGGATGTTCGAGCCCCAGGTCAGATACTTGTCTTTGAATAATAGTCCAGGTTCGCCTTGGAAAATACCCTCCAAAATAAACTATAAACTATTTTACTGTCTCAAGAGATAAAATACTCCATATGTATGCAGCATCTCAAAAAAGTGTGTATATGCGTCTTTCAAGCTTGCAGAGGTCGATGGTAACGGAAACATGCAGCCCTTCCCCACCGGCTACCTGCACATGAAGTTTGAGGACAGCCAGGCGGTCTTGGATGACTACTCAGATGTGGTCCTGTACGAGAGAGGTCACCTGAACCCGGACCAGCACCAGTCCACCCCACACGACCGCGCCGCCACCTACACCCTCACCAACGTGGTCCCGGAGATCCGCGAGTTCAACATCGGGCCTTGGCGCGAATACGAGGAGCGGATCCGCGTCCGCCTCAACAACTTCTGCCGCGGCACGGCCTACATCGTGACCGGCGTGACCACCAGGGGCAACATGATCCGCAGAAACAACCAGGACCGCGTGGCGATCCCCGAAGACGTGTGGTCCGCGTACTGCTGCACCGAATATGACCGCAACGCACCGCACGACGTGCGCATCCGCTTCCCGACCTACGGAGTCTTGGCCAAAAACGCCAAAGAGGGAAACAGCGTGAACGAGATGCCGGTCCAGGAACTGGAGATCTTCCTGAAGGGTCATTTAGATGTTGACCAGAACCTTCAGCTATTCTATGATAACTGCATTTCTCCATCACCCCTCCCTCTATATCTCCAGCACACTATCTGAAAGCCTGAAGGGTACGTGTTGGTTTGGGTGCTACACCTTTAAGTCAATGGGGATCATTTGTGCTAAAGAGGATTGGAAAAAAATAAAATAGGCTATTGTCATAACTCTCTGTTATTTTAATTTATCTCACAGTTCAGTTATTATTTTTGGGAAAACAATTTGTGTTTTCTGTTAATAATCTCATTTTTTTTAAAGGAGAGCTGCTGGAAGAAGGTAATTTAATATACGTATAAGTTAAAGATGATGTAAATTGGCTCAATAAATCATATATCTTTATTTACTGGTCTGTATTGTGATTGTTATTTTTCATCTACTACAAATTATTGATCAAATGTCAAAGTAAAGCTGTAAATAGCTTCTCTTCATTATACTCTTGCGCATATAAGTTAGAATGTTGGGCCAGCTATAAAAATTGGTTTGGATATTTTTTTAATTTGCCACAGACTTCCTTAGGTTTTGAAA